CCGAGCTGCGTGAGGCGGAGGATACCGGAGGTAGGGGCACTCTGTTTGGCCGTTGGGGTAGCGGCACCTCCGGAGAAGATGACCATGCGAAGGACAAAGGTACAGAAGAAGGATCTACTGCTGGAGGTGCTAGAAGCGCCGGACTAATCAGGAAGGGAAGTGGTGCTTGGCCGAGTGGAGTGGCTGGCTCCAGCGGTTTCGCCAGCAGTGGTGCCCTGAACAGTCCGATGGGTAGTTTCGGTAATGGTACTTTTGGCGGTACAATGGGCGGGTTTTCCTTGCAGAGCACTACAAATACGGCGGACAAAGCCAAAGCCGGGGGAGGAGCCAGTGGCGCAAGGGGTTCCACTGCGCCGCCCAAGGTTGAAGATGTCGAGGAGGAAGATGACGACGTAAATCGAGTAGTTTCGCACGCCGTCGACCATCACCGTGACGAGGAGGAGAGGGAGAGGCCGATGAGTTCTGACACGGATCCTTTTGGAGATAGGGATCAGGACGATCATGGGACTGGTCAGGGACGTCACTCTCCTCGCTCTTCGATGGACGATCCTCACCGCATCAAAAACTCGGCATCTTTTGGTAATATGGCATCTGCAGCTGTGAACGCGTCGAGAGGCGGGAATAGTATTGCTACGCCTACAAAAATCAGGAGTGATCTAGGCTTTTCTGGCCTTGGGGGTAGCCGTGAGGGCTTAACTCTGGGTGGCATGGGCCAAGGAAGTCTTCACCAGCAGTTGCAAAACTTGCAGTTGAACCAGCATGGCAACTATCCTCTTCACGGTAGATCTCGGCAAGGAAGTATAGGCGGTATGGTCGGTGGGCTCAATGAGAATGAGCCTTTGAGTCCAACCGAAACAAATCCTTACCAAAGCCCGGCACCAGAAAAGGCTGACGACGACGACATTAATGATATACACGGTGACGGCGGTCACGGAAGTGGCATCATTGGTGGTGGGTTCAAACGTGATGTTGGAGCCCCCGGTAGCGATAGGAGTGGCAGGAGTTCTACTGCAGGCTTGGGCGCTGTAGGAGGACTAAGTGGTTTTGGGTCCATAAGCGGGAGTGGGTTATGGGGAGGGCAGGTTGGGACTCCCGGCTTGGGAACCTCCGCCACCCCAAGCGCATTTTTCGGCTCTGGGTTGGGTGATTTGGCTAGCCCTGGCGGCACTCTTTTATCGAGCAGCGGTATGGGAGGTATGGGCAGTATCGGTGGTGGTGGCGGTCCGTTCGGCTCGGCTAGCCGTAGTAGACTTGCGCAGATGTTCTCCCCAGAGCAACAGCAACAAATGGAGGACGAGAATGGAGGATTTGAATCAAACGACGGGTTTGGCGACTTGAGGTTTGGAGGATTTGGGAGTAGAAGGGGGTTTGGCAATATTGATAGCCCAATGAGAGACAGGGGCGACGTGTCAGATCTATTCTCAGGATTGCATACCACAAGAAGCCTTGGAAATATCGGCGCGCAAGCATCCGGGGATTCTATGTTTTCTAGGGAACGCGAAGATTCCTTTACTCTCGGAAGTTTACAGATGCAAAATCAATCAAACTCAATGCAGCCACCGATGTCACACCAAGCACAACCAATCAGACCGCCTCCGGGGACTGTGCCGCCGCAACCGCAGACGGTGTTGGTTATGCCAGACAAGATACAGTGGACATACCGTGACCCATCCGGGACCATACAAGGGCCATTCTCGGGATTGGAAATGCATGATTGGTACAAAGCCGGTTTTTTTACCCAGGAGCTCGCAGTGAAAAGGATTGAGGATCATGATTTTGAACCACTCGGGCAACTGGTACGTAGGATCGGAAACACAAGAGAGCCTTTCCTAGTTCCTTTGCAGGCACCTCCGGGTTCGACTGCACCCACCGCAGCACCTGCGGCTCCAGTACCTAATGCTTGGTCGGGTTGGCCTCTGGATGCCCAACAACCTGGCACTGTTCAGCCACCATTCGCCGGAAGTTTCCCAAGCTTTGGAACCACACTCACTGCCGATCAACAAAACGCTCTGGAGAGGAGAAAGCAGGAAGAGCAATACCTTTTAGCAAGACAGAGGGAGTTTCTTGTTCAGCAACAGATCTTCGCCAAAAACCAAGTGTTACACCACCAACATTCACAACAGAGTCTCCATTCACAGCCTAGTTATGGAAGTTTGCAGGGAAGCTTGCAGAGCCCCGGTGGCTTTGCTACCCCAACTGCTGGTGCACCTAGTGTCGGGCCGCAAAATGCATTTGAACCGGGTGTCTTACTGCGTCAGGCCGGTGCTGCTGCTGGAGGCGGGGGGGATACATTCGGCGTTGGGCATGGACTACAGGGAATGCCTGGGCAACAAATGCAGCCAGGCAATCAATTTTTGCAACAGCAACAGCAACAGATTCACCCGCCAAACCATATTCAATTAGAGCAACAGAAGCAACTCCTTGATATGCAACGTCAGACACAGAGAATTTACCAAAATCAGCATCAACAAGTTGAGAAGCAGCAAGAATTGGAACATGCACAACAGCAACAAATCAACGCTGCTGCGCAGACGCCGCAACAAGCTCAGCAGGATGTGGAAAAGGAGGAGGATAAAATTTCTCAAGAGCAGCATGAGCAAGCCCATGAGTCAAACGAGAGATCGGCCGATGCTGCATCATCCAGTCCTGACGACCATTGGGACCCTGAGTCAGAGCACAAGCCGTCACCCCAGGCTAATGAGCAATTGAAAACGAGCGTCCCTAAGGGATCATCCGCCAAGGCTTCGCCAATTCCAAAGCAAGCGCAACCTGCTCCCCCTGCGTCCGTCTGGCAGGAAATCGAACAACCTCTTGTTCAGCCTTTCCCTCCTCCACCAGGCTCTCATCATGCTTCAGAAATTCCATCCTCGACACTCCCAATGACCCGCAGCCCTTCGTCTGAAACACCACATACAAGTGTCTCTGTTGCGCCTTGGGCAAATAAAGAAAACGAGGTTAAGGGACCTTCTTTGAAAGAAATCCAAGAGGTTGAGGCCAGGGCTCAACAAGCAAAAGACGCCGCTGAAGCCGAACACAAACGTCAGATGATGCTCCAACAGGTTAACACTCAACCACCGCCTCCTGCGCCTGGATTGCCATCCACGGCTACCTGGGCCACTTCTCCCTCCGGAACTCCGTCAAGCAGTCAGGCCTCGGCGTGGGCAAAGCCCTTGGTGAAAGCAAACACTTTGCCAACTGGTGGTGCTAAGAAAACTCTCCAGCAGATTCAGAAAGAAGAGGAACTCCGTAAAGCGAAGGCCGTAGCTGCTGCCGCTGCTGCCGCACAAGCAACCCAGAACGTTGCTGCTCATCCCACTCCCGCTGGCGGTAAGCGATACGCAGATCTTGCTGGTAAGACTCAGCAGCTACCGCAGCTCAACACGGTTGGAGTCGTTGGAGGTGTATGGACTACGGTGGGTCCCGGCGGCAAGTCTAAGAATCTTGCCACCAGCCCCATTCCAACAGCCCCCGCCCAGTCCTTGAAGACTGCGCCTAGCACTCCTGCTCTAGGTCTTCCTGTTCCTACGACGGCCAAGAAGGTTTCACCAACATCACCTGCATCCAAGCCTCCAACAATGAGCGCAAACGAGGAGTTTATGAAATGGTGTAAGGCAAGCATCAAGGGGTTAAATCAGGGTTTGCAAGGTATTCTTCCACTGCTCCACTTGGGCGTTGATGTGGTGCTAATGTTTAATAGCCGACGAGCTCATTCAAACTCTCTTGACCTTCCCTGCGGAGACTGAACTCATTGCCGAAACCATTTACACCTGCACTACAACCATGGACGGTCGTCGTTTCGCGGAAGAATTCGTCCGTCGTAGATCAGCTGCTAACAAAGGCATTATCATTGATGCCGGAACTGCTAATGGTGGTGCAAGTGGCTGGAATGAGGTAGCAAAGGGAAAGCCGCAACCTGTTACCAGAGAGGTTAGCCCAGAGACAAATGCAGCATTCAAGGTTGTACCTGGGAAGAAGAAGGGAAGGAGATAAAGAGTTGATATTTGAGAACGACGTGTAAGCTTGTACGAAAAGTTTGCTTTTGTTTTTTCTTGTTCAATAGCTAGGTTTTATGATATCATCCTTTGCGGAGAGGGAAATTCGTTTGGTATAAGTGCGGACTGCATTCTTTCTAGATTGACAGTGTTAGTGCGAGAGTCTCTCGATCTGGTGTACATAACACATGTACCCACGCGATCCTATGCTTTGTACTCAGATCCGTGTCGGCAGTTTATCTACCAATTTCAGAATCAGATTTATTTAGTCAATGTAAGTCGTTTCTCGATGGCGAACTTGATCGATAGTGGCATATATGCATATGCCAATTGATACTACACGAGTCAAGGGCGAGTCAGAGGCCTCTGTTTTGGTTGATTTTTATCATCTGACATCAATCTGGAATCGACTGTATCTCGTGCTCACCCAAATCAAAAGTACATGGGTGAGTAGGCGCCTTTTCTCAAGAAGGGAGGTTGCTGGTGATGGTGGCGGTGGGACAAGGACTTTTGTCACCTAGAACGCGGTGTGGGTTGGTATAGGGACCAAGCCATGACCTTGGTGTTTTCAACTTGCGGAGCGAGTGATATTTTATGCCCCGAGATCAGCTGATGGCACGTTGTTGATGGCAGAAGCGCCGCGTGGGAGTATTATTTGATGTTAACTGTCTTTATTTATCCCCCTTCCGTTTTCCGTCTTATATCGGTGGTGTTATACAATAGAGCTGCTCGAAAAGCTTATCTGTTTGGTGCAGCAGCCAGAAGCCCCCTTTCTACGCACGTTTTAAAAGCCCACTTGCTTTCTCTCCCCTTCTGCAACCCCACTACCTCACCACTACTCATCGCCCCTCTTCCAACTCAAACCCCATCCTCCATTCGCATTCAATTGTTTCACTGTGCTTTTATAAATTGGTTGTCACTGTTTTCTCTGAGAGGAGGCGAGATCTTCGCTCCTGCTGCTTGGATTCAAGGGTATGTTCACGAAAAGAATTTCACCCAAAGATCAATATGCTAATTTGGAGAAAATACTCGCTTCTATACGTGCCCCAGGTCTTCTCTCCATGTAAGATCACCGCCCCCTTCCTTTTTCCCTTTCTTTTTTTCTTTTTTCTCTTTTGATTATTACATTTTACTTACGTTTCTCGTTCCACTAGTGTCTCATATTGAACCAAATACTTCTCGCCCAGTAAACTCAAGGAATAAACCTGGTAAGACTCACCACACCTAAACGGGTCCAAATTTCCTTAAGGATCATGCCTTCGGGAGCGAGAACTTCTCTCTCTCCATAAAAGAACCTTGGAGAATTGGATAAATGAAGGGGCAGGAGTTAACACTTTCATCACCCAGTCATGCGTGACAAGAACGAAGAATATAATAATTAGTCCACTAACTTCTCAGACCATTTTAGCAATGACTCGTCAAATAGATCCGTTTCCAGCGGAGAACGACCGGCACTTTATGATTCGTACCTATGGAGACCGGGAAATCCTTCCTGAGTCTGAACCTCGCTCTCCAAGCCCCGAAATTCCTCCAAACTTTGTCCCAGAGGCCCCCAAAGATTCTTCACACTTTCCTGCTTGCAATAATATCCACAACTTGATACAGCGGTTGTCTGGTGTCAGTGCCGAAGAGTCGTTGATTGTTCCAGCTCGTACATGGGACCGCAACAACGAGCATTGGGAGCACAAGTTCACGGTTCTCAGAAGAAAACACAAGAAGGAGATGTCGGAGAAAGAGTTGGAACTCAGTAGGAAATACGACGAGAAATACTCAGATGCCAAATATAAACAGCTTCTTCTTGAAAAAGAAATGAGGGAGATGGAATTTGCAAGAACCGATGATCCTATCGGTGTCCTCGGGAAAACCTACAAAGACCACTTGACAACTAAAAGGTTACTTGAGGAAAAGTACGTCAAAAAAATTGAGGAACTAGAAAAAAGTCTTTTCGAGAGTCAGGAACATGTAAAGGCGCAAGAGAAGGTTATTGCAGAGAAGAATGCATCCATAGCAGCCCTTAACAATGCTATCGCATGGGGCAAGGAACAAAGAGTACACTATGGCAATCAGTTGCCTCAACAGTCAGAACAAAATATCCGCCCCAATCAAGGTCCCCAACAGGCTTTCCCCCAGCAGGGTTTCAATCGGCGGGGCCCCAACGTGCATGCTCAAACCCGGCAGGTTAACACTCAGCAGCAAGATAGCAGACGTCCAGGTGCCCCTCCGGGAGGCCGCGGGGCCACCGAAGCACCTCCCCCCGATGCCAACAACCCGAACTATCGAGTAGAACCTCTAGATCCTCGCAGTGTACTCCAGTGCCCCGCTACACCAGACACAGCCCCCCCTACCGGCCAAAACAGGTCACCAGGGATAAACGCAGCTCCACCCCAGGCAAGGCCATTTACTTTCCCACCATCTAAGGGGGACAACCAGCAGAATCATCCAGAAGAACATCGCTTGCCTTTAGGCCACCAGCCCCGCCACCAGCCTAGCCAGTATCACCCAAATGGTGTGCATTCAGGCGGTTTATTACCAGGCGACCAAGTGGACAAAAACCAGCAGAACTTGCCGGGGCAAACCTTCACCGAATACGCTGTAAATTCCAGACAGCTTCCGGACCGTAGAAATGAGGGCATAAGCCTAGTTAATAATGCCGGAGTTCCTCAAATTAACCAACCGTCTGTCCCAAACAACGGCGCATACAATGCTACTACTGGGCGGTTGAGGGACGCTGGGGAGGAGAGCGTAGCAAAACGTCAAAGGGTTGAAGTCAATGATCCAGGAAGAGCAGTGAACATCAATGATGGTAGTGGAGCACCTGCAATATCCCAAGAGATTGCGATGAATACCTACCATCCCCCAAGGCCGGGCAGAAGAACCCTTATGGTGGAACTGGGTGCAAATAGTCAAAACACACTTCAATTCCTCGTACAAAGGGTGTGCCGGGGGGCGCTGCAACGAGTCGAAGTTGTGGAGCAGAATAAGCTTCGCGTGACTTATATTGACCCGGGTTCTGCCCTGAGATTTTATAATGATTATAATTCTCAGGTTGGAACTGCTGCTAAGCATCATCCTCAACTGATTGTTAACTGGTCAGATCATCCTAGTCCAGCGATTAGTGACGAGCTTGCTCAGCAAATTCAGTTAGGAGCAACGCGTTGCCTACATATTTACGGGTTTCCAAATGCTCAAGATAAGGATATCTTGAAGACGTTGGCTGTTTCCGTGGACTACTTTGTGACTTGGAAGTTCTCTAAAAGTGATTCCCAAGTGAATTCTATCTTAGTCGAATACCGCGATCTTGAACTTGCCATTCATGTATACCAAAAGATTAAGGATAAGTCACTACGAGGACATGAAACGAGCGATGTCCAGTATGTTCCTGATCACGTTGGACAGATCAATCGTGGGCGGATTGACGGCAGAAGCCAATGAATTGTATAGGCCCGCTACACTACTGAGAGGTAGCCTGCAAACAATATGACCTATCGGTATCATTATCATTTGGTGATGAAATATTGCAAAGGGTGAATATAACTGGAGGGAGGGGGGGGGAGTAGAAATTGTGGTTCTGAAAGGTCACAGAGACAGGTGGTGATGGAGGGAAAGGGTTCAGTTTTGTTTCTGACGGAAGTGTAATCTTTAGTCTGTGATCGAGTCTTAGTATCCTTCAATAAACTTGGCTGCGATTTATCAATAGTATAAAATCGTTTTTCTTGCTGCGGCTAAGCAGAAAGCCACCCCCAGAAGTAGATTAAAAAATGGGTGATTTCTCTCTAGTGCATTGTATTTACAAAAGGAGCCATGTTATATATATGATAGCCTCGGGCATGCAATATCATGATGTAGCTGGATGATACTTATTTAAATTCTAGTCCATAAATACAAGAATATTAACCTCAAATGTCCTCCTTACATGTAATCACGTACACTCAATATTTATCATAAGATGTCAATCCCTCCTCAAGTGCCTTAATTCTACATTCGCAATAATATCAGTAACGCAAACTTCACGGCGAGAATAATGGAGTAGACTTACTGCAATGCCAAAAAGCGACTAAAATATCTCGCAAAACCCAAATTTCCTAAAAATCGCCATCGTTAGTAAATAAATCATTCCGAGCACATACCCATAAGAAAGAAAGGGTAAAGGGAAAATAACTTACCACCCATAAACCAGAACCCCTCATGCCCGCTCCTCCTCCACATTGTCTGGATCTCACCCTCCTCATCCAGCCCCCACACAGGCTTCACCTTCTCGCCCACCTCCTTCCCGAATATCCTCACCGCGGTAGACCTCATGTTGTCGTACCCCGTCGCAAGGACAATCTCGTCCGCCTCAAGGACACTCCCGTCGGCAAACTCGATGCCGTGTGGCAGGATCTGCTTGATTTCTTGCCCTTGTTTGATGGCGATCTTGCGGTTGATGATGAGCTCGGAGGCGCCAACGTCGATGTAGTAGCCGCCGCCGCGCTCCCAGTACTTGAGGACGAAGCCGGAGCCGAAGGAGCCGTTGTCGAGCTTGAAGCCGACGCTCTCGAGACCTTTGAGCAGCTCGTTATCGAGGCGGTTGATGCGTTTTGTGGTGTCGACGTGGAGGCGCTTGAGCACGGGGGCGGTGGTGCCGTACATGTTTAGGTCACCGTCTTCGACGGGTGGCTAGCATTTGCAATCATTAGGTTGTGTTGAGCGTGGACGAGAGAGAAGTGTACTTACGCCATTGTCATGGAAGCTTGGCTTTATTAGCTCGTCCATACCATGCTCACTGGAGAGCACACATGTTGTGCTTCTCTGGACCATAGTAACCTGTGCACCCTGCTCATACCAATCCTGCGCAATATCGTGAGCGCTGTTGCAGCACCCTACTATCACCGCCTTCTTCCCCGTTGACGGTTGTGGGGCACCGGGGAACTGGGAGCTGTGGCAGATGCGGTCGCCCTTGAATGAGCCGATCCCCGGAATGGCGGGAATGTTTGGTTCGCCGGAATGGCCGGTGGCCATGACGATGTGCCGTGGGTGGAATACACGGGTGGATTGCCCAGAGGGGGTGGAACGGACGACGGTGGCGGTCCAGTGCTTCTTTATGGGGTCCCAGATGGTGCTGGTTACGGTGCTGGTGGTCCAGACGTTTAGTTCCATGCTATTGGCGTATGATTCGAACCAGTCTCCGAGCTTGTCTTTCGGGGTGTAGACCTTTTGGAAACTACGTAAGCTTTAAGAATAGTAAGAAGGGTTCGGGATATCTTACCGGCCAATTGGGTGGGAAGGGAATATAGGGAAGATGGTCATAATGGACCCGGTCGTGAAGAACCAACTGGTGATATCTCTTCCTCCAGTTGTCACCAACTCTTTCATTCTTGTCAATAATCAAGGTCTGAATGCCCAGCATCTTGAGTCTAGCACCAATTGTAAGACCGCCCTGTCCAGCTCCTGTAACATTGAGTTAGCCAACCAAACACTTGAGAGTATCGAGAACGAAACACTTGCCTACAACCAACACAGTCGGCTCAGCGCCATTCGCAAACTCAATCTCAGCTTCCCTCCTATCCTTCCAGCTCATCCTAGACTGTCTCGCACCGTGATCCACACCATGAGGCCTTCTATCATTTAGTGGCTCTTCATGTCCTCTAAGCTCCTCCAACGCTGTGTAGAGTGTATACGCCTTTGGTTGACCCCCCAGGCCCTCCCTGAAGATCCTGACCAAGCCTCGCCCTGTCCCGAACTCAGTAGCGATCTTTAGATACGCCTGTACGGCCCTAAACTCCTGCCCGGGTATCAACGTTATCAACGACACCGCGTCTGGGTTCTTATAATCGATCTCGACAGTCTTCAGACGGACCGCTGGGCTCTGTGCGAAGAAGGCCTCCATCTTGGAGGGCCCGTGGAACGTTCGCAGGTCCCATGAGAGGCAGAGGTGATCGCGCCAGTACGAGTTCTGGAGGAAGATGTTGCTTAGGGAGGCTTGATTTGGGGCGGTGGATGAGGAGAGAAGCTCTGAGAGAGAGGCAACCCAGGTTTGGGCAATTGAGACAAACTCGGGCTCCTCGGAGGGGAGGATCGACCATGATGTTGGTGGCAACTCCGCTGGCTGCACGTAGCCGTCTGGGAGCTGCTGTTGCTTGGTTTGCGCTGCTACGGAACCCATGGTTTATATAGCTGTAAAGATGAGATTATGAGGAGATGATAGAGATGATGAGAGCTCTGGTGAACGGAGAGGCCCTCGATTCTTGCTTCTCCTTATATATATCTGTCTTCCGGTCAATTAGTAACCAGCTTGCTGACAACCTCATCGGCAATTGAGCCGGCGTTACTCGAGCTTCGAAGTACCTCGTGAGGTCTCAGAATTAGGCAGGAAGAGTTCTGTTGAATCGCCATGGCGTATCTACTTACACCTTGTACTCCACAATCCCATTCTTCTGCCCTTGAACCAATAGATAGAACCAATTCCAACATTTAGGATACACAGGGGCCAAAAAAGGCAATCTATCCATGTCCCAATCGACCCCCCCCCCCCCCAGGTACATAAAACCCGAAAGCTTTCCCCAGGGCGTCAGCTCAAAAGGGTATCCCGGGCTTCCTAGGACAGGTTGCCGAGGCTATTCTAGGCTAGGATCGAGGAGCTTCTCCTATCTACGCTACCCCGCGTTTTTCTTTTGTGGGGAAGGCGTAAAGTGGGGTAGTTAGTTCTAGCGGGATGTGGGGGGAGGTTGGTTTCTGATTAGAATTATGTAGAGATCGTGAGAAGTAAAAGCCATGACCATCTGACAGGGCCCTGATCCGTTCGTCCTTTGCAGCGCTGCACGGTGTGCAATGCTCCTGAGAAGCATATGATGTCAGGGATGTAGAGTATGTATATGTATGTAGTCGATGAGCCTCGCCTTGGCGTGGAGTATTACCGCACAGAGATAGATCTGTCTCTCAGGTCATGGGTTTTGATAACAACATACTTACGAAGCACTGAAATTCTAGAGCCTCTTTCTTGCCCTGGGGATGAGTCGGGATGCGAAGAGATGCAGTCCCGGGGAATTCTGAGACCATGCATTCAAACACCAAGACATCACATCGCTAACCCACCCAGCTAAACTCCTTTTATCCGCACCCGTTGGGTCGAGTGACCCCTCATGACCCTCGCACAAACATCAACCCAGCCCGGAAGCCTCTTTTGGGAGCCCTAACCCCCGGAAAGCCAGATTGGTCAATTCCGCTGTTGTAACCTTTTTCTAGTGAGTCGCATGGGAAATGAGGCGAAACGAAACGGTAGTTTTGTTATCGAGACGGTAGCTGCGGGTGGGTATTTTCGGAACTGCTACCGATGGGGGTTGCATTGTGTGCCTTGATATGATTCCTGGTTCAGCGTTTCTTGAATTTCGAGATGATCAACATGCGCGGTAGACAAATATTGCTGTAGCCACCACCACTTCTACCGACGAGATAAAGGATAGGGATGACTAAATGGGTGATAAGTAATCCGAATACTGCCAATACGAGGGTGATTACGCCAGGAAACTTACTTGCCTTGATTGAAGTCTTTAAGGTGCACTAGTTGATATCAGCTGTAGAGCTGTGCAGGGTCAGACTTTGGGGTACATACATGTACTTTTAGGTTTGATGTATGTAGTTGTACGGGTAAGGATGGGTAAAGGTACCTAATATTGAGGTCTATGCTCGCCATCAGTGGTGGTCGTGGTAATGTAGCCATAGGTACTCCTACGAACTGGTTGTTATCGTGGGTGACTTGAAGAATTCAAGAAGGGAATGGTCTTTTCCGGTGAGCATGTGGTGGTTTATGAGGTGTCCAAAGTATGTTTCTTTGTGAATCAGCTTGTGTCCCGTCCCATCGCTGACGGCCCTGCATGTTCTCACGATGTTAAAGTATCTTTTTCCAGGTCACGTTTTAGTGGCTCTCGGACGTTGCCAAGAATTATTAGCATTGCAGTTTCGGGAGAGAAGGTGGCTGTGTGCACGGTACGTGACATGTACCGGAAGCGTGGTGCGTGACGTGACCAGGGCGATGGCATGAATCATGGAGCAGCACTACTCGAACAAAATGGGACCTGAGATTGGTATCCGTATAAAGAAATCATTCCTATAGGGCACATACTCATAGTGTATATACGAGATTCCCGATGACCGAGTGATATATTATGAAGCAATCTTGTACCTGCCGCGAACTTCGTTGCAACTGTGCCTTTCCATATATGTGGTGGGATAATATCAGGACTACATGTATTTACCAGACTGAGGCTGCGGGGAGACTGCGGACAGACTGCAGTGCCGGGATAGTGGGGAGCGGCCTGCACTGTGAGAAAACCCTAGGCGGAAATTATGCGGAAGACTGGTTTACACTGTGTCTTTACAACCACCCACCCGGCTCACTTCTATCAACTCTAGCTCTCCATCCTGTCCCTCTCATATGATCCTTCTCGCTCTCATCCAGTCCTTCTCCATCAATCTTGTCTTTTTCGATGAAAAGGGTATATATGTATCTATTATTATATCGAAATTACCCCCCACCAACAAATAAATGTGCGTCTAGACTAACTAAATGCAAAAGACAATCTATAATGAAAGGAACCTTCTATCTCTATGTGAATTATGAGAACCTCTATGCCTCTAAGCCTGCAGCTTCCCTTTCTCTCTCCCTCTCCTCAAGCTCTTGCTTAGTCGGAAATCTACTATTCCTCCTCAACCACTTTCCGTACTTGAAGAACAACCATGGGATTGGCATAAACGCTATAGCAATAAAACCTAACACCCAACCTAGTCAGTCACCCGGACAAGCGAATAAAACACTAGCATTTCAGTCAACACTAACCAAGTAAACTGCCCGCCCACTCCGGTGTCATAGCTCTATACATAGTCGGCCCAAACAGTGGAAACGCCATCGAGAACAACGACCTCATTATCGTATTGGCGGCAATCACGGACGCAGAGTACTCGAGATAGCCCTCTGCTAAAAAGCTGATCTGGCTGATAAACAGCACAACCATACTCCATCCAAACGGCACACCGGACAGTACAGGCACAATCCAATGCACGTCGTTTCTTCCACCGCTCCAGGCAAACCAAAAGATACTGCCGGGTACTATAACGGCTGCTACTATCGCCATGGGGAGCCGGCCTTCGGGGTAGGTGCGGCGGTCTTTCTTGAGGCGGATGTAGATGATGTTTGAGAGTGCGCCGGTGGGGAAGGAGAGGATGACGCCGATGCCGATGCCGAGGAATGCAAGACCTGAATAACCGGATGTGAAGTGATAGCTGCCTTGAAAGATAAGAGGGTATGCCCCGAAGTAAAGGTATCTATCCCATCCCATGTCAGCTCGGAATGCAAAAGAAGAGGGGGAGAGAAGGTTTGACGAACAGGATTCCGAAGAGAAAGCTGATATAGACCGATACAAGAATAACTACAGGTTCGAACACTAGCATCTCCAATGGTCGCCAGATAGCAACTTTAAAGACTTTGCTCTGTGCTTTTCTGCCCCCGCCTGGTAGGGGTCGGCCGAGTGCTTTGGCTTTCTTTTCTAGTAAAGTAGTGGCATATGTTTCTGGAAGCCAGATCAGATTCGGGGCCAGGACTCCCGAGAGAATAAGTTGAACCCAGAAGCTCCACCGCCAGGGGGCAGAGTTTTTAATGTACTCCACTATGAAGCCCCCTACAATAGGGCCTGCCACAGGGCCGAGGAATGCAGTCATCGTGAAGAGTCCGAGTGGAGGACCAAGTTCATTTGCTACATGATACATTATCAGCAGATTCCTCTAGTAGGATGTAAGTTAGGGAGACAGTACGAAGCCATATGTCGGACATTGAGCCACCGGCGACTGTCAACGATGGTGACCCAAACATTCCGACAAAGAAGCGGCATATGAGAAGAGTTTCGATGTTTTGGGCAGTGGCGCAGCCGATTTGGAAAACGCAGAAGAGTAGCCAGGTGGGAATGTAGACTATGCGGCGGCCGTATACTTCACTCATGGGGGCAAATAATAGTGGGCCCATTGAGAAGCCGAGTACATAGCTGTGGTGATGGTTAGTTGTGTCAGCACTACTATTTCTACTAACTACTAATCAGATACCATACTACTGATATAATCAGCAGTACTAGAAAATACTTACAAACTCAGACCTAAAGTCGCAACAACAGTCGATACGCCGAATGAGTATGAAATAAAGCCTATTCCGGGTGTGAATATCGATGCACCGATAGAGACTGCAAAGTTCATCAGACAAAACACTGTTGTGATCAACCATCCTAATTTTTTTTGTTAACCAAAACTCTTCTCAGCTCGATTGGGATCATATGCGCTTTGTAGTGTCACAAACTTTTCTTGGTACTCCAATTATAAGGATTTTCATTGTCGACAAGAGATATGCTCTCCTCAGCAGCAGCATCCACTACAACACTGCTGTCAAAAGGTGACGCACTATCATTACCGCCCTCCAGCTTGAGCTTCTCGTCCGGTAGTTGAGACACAACTGATGATTCCGACATTATCTTGTTACCCTCTATCTGTTGAGACCTTGGCTCAAATACATCACATATATATGTATATATACAGAAGCCAATTTCTACGTAAACACTCCATTCCCACGGCCACATGTACAACAAATTCATCCGTCCTGTCGAGAACTCGCCTGCTGCTCTCGCCTAACCCTCGCCTGTCCGGAGAGACATTGTCCCGGGTAATTGGGGTTAGGGGTAACTCGGCGAGCAAAACTCGCGAGATAATGCCGGATGGGGGAAAGAGGGCACTAATAACTGGAGATGCACGGTGTAACCTGCGCCGGTTCGTTTGATGATTAGAAGGGAGTGTATGGTGGTCCTATTGAGCCGCTGGAATGCGGTTTGTTGGTTAACTCTTTGGGGCCGGTTATCTACTCATATGTACCCACAGGCCACTCTACCGGCGGCGAGGACTGAGGAACCTACCTCATAGGGGATTCTGGCCATCACTCTACATATGCACATGGGATGAGACAAGATTGAGTGATTGATTAATAGATTAATTACCTACTATTAAATGCCTTACGTACGGCGTTCTCAGAAAGCTTGTGGTCTCCCGAGGTTTCTCTCAACCACCCGCTCAAATCACGAGCTTCTTCGCCAAATGATGCGATAAACAGTTAATGCTTGTGCGATAAAGACAAGTACTGCTAACTCAGCGAGGTAGGTAGGTATGTTGTCTTCGTATCGCAACGTGCAACAAGATAAAAAGGATTACCAATTGCTCAAACCGGGGGTGGGCGGGGGGAAAACTTCAAAGTTAAGAGTCATACTCTGGAGATACATACAATTTCGAGCTGCCCCGCATCACAAGTATAAAACCCTGTAGCTTCAACTATCTACAAACGACAACAACAAAACCACGCAGTTTAAACTACAATTGGAATTGAGGAGATATAGACAGCAATTATGGTACAGGTAGAGGATTTTGACTACCTCGTCAAGCAGGTCTCGCAGCTGGAGGTCTCGCAGACAGAGCCTGAGAAGCCGGAGCCTGAGAAGCCGGAGGAGCTCGGCCATGCGATGAGAAAGTACTTTTATTTCGAGAAGGATTGGATCAATATCAATCATGGTAAGACACTCTCACCTGTTTTTATAAAACCGCCCCCACTGTTTAAATTCTCCAGTGCAGTGGACGCTACAATATAAACCCACATAATAGCACCTCCCAAGCTCCATCCAATCAGACCGCACCACTAACCTAACTCCCGCCCACCCGCAGGCTCCTTCGGCACATATCCCCGCCCCGTCGGCCGCGCCCTCCAAGCCTTCCAGGCCGCCTCCGAGAAGCGCCCCGACGAGTTCATCCGCACCACCTACCCCGCGCTGCTCGACCGCTCGCGCGCCCTCCTCGCCGCATACCTCAACGTGCCCCTCCCCGAGCTCGTCTTCGTCGCCAATGCCACCACCGGCGTCAACACCGTCCTGCGCTCGCTCGTCTTCAAGCCCGGCGACAGCATCGTCTATTTCGACTTTATCTACAACGCGTGCAAGAACAGCGTTGAGTACATTGAGGAGACCACGCCCGCGGTCGGCGTAAAGGTCCCGATCAAGTTCCCCGCGAGCGATGATGTCATCGTTGATACCTTTCGTGCGGCGATCAAGAAGGAGCAGGAGAGCGGCGGAGTGGTGAGGGTCGCGATCTTTGATACTGTTATAAGCATGCCTGGCCTAAGACTGCCGTTTGAGAGGCTGGTGGGCGTGTGTAAGGAGCTCGGGGTGCTGTCGCTCGTGGACGGCGCGCATGGGATTGGGCATCTCCGCCTCGACCTGGGAAAGCTCGACGCCGACTTCTTTGTGAGCAACTGCCACAAGTAACTCCCCTTCCCCCCTTCCTCACACATATACAATACGATACTAATATAACTACCTCACAGATGGCTCTACGTCCCCCGCGGCTGCGCCGCCTTCCACGTCCCCCTCCGCAACCAGCACCTCATCCGCAGCACCCTTCCCACCTCCCACGGCTACCTCCCGCCCACACAGGCCACCCGCACCTCCGCAGTCCTGCACACCAACGCCTCCAACTCCGACTTCGTCACCATGTTTGAGTTTGTCGGCACGGTCGACAACTCGCCCGCGCTGTGCATCCCGGCCGCGCTCCGCTTCCGCGAGGCTGTGTGCGGCGGCGAGGACCGCATCATGGCCTACGCGCAGGACATTGGGTACCGCGGCGCGCAGCTCATTGCGCAGCGCCTCGGCACGGAGGTCATGGAGCGCGATCGGGAGTCCTGTTTGTGGAATGTGCGGCTGCCGCTTGTGGTTGCGGGGGCGAGGGCGGCAAGGGAGGGGGAGGGCGTGGTGGAGGAGGAGAAGGCGGTGAGGGTGAGGGATTGGGCGATGGATGTGGTGAATAGGGAGTTTAATTCGGCGGTGCCGTTGATGGTGTATGGCGGGGAGTGGTGGGCGAGGGTTAGTGGGCAGGTGTATCTTGAGATGAGTGATTTTGAGGTTATCGCCGGGGTGCTGAAGGCCATGTGTAAGAGGATCGCGGAGGGGGGGTATTTGTAGATTGTTTGGTTATTTCTGTCTTTTGGGGGCTTTGGGGATTGGGTTTTCTGGTTATCTGCCCAGATGTGGGGAGCAGAGAGGCGTGCATTAGGCCATCGAGTAGCACTTAATAATAGATATTGTGCAAAGTGAATAGAACAGTACGAAACTCTGGCACGAAAGTCTTTGCCGGCGCGGGCTTGACATAGAGTCAAGGACGCCTGCTGGACAAAGATTCCTACAGGCTGCAGGATCCTTATATCTATCAATGTCCTCGACTTTTTGGTCAAGTTGGCACTGGTATGTAAGTAAGTTAAGCAATATTCATGATAATGAAATCAGGCAGTTCGTGGTTCCAAATACGGGGTGAGAGAAGCGAGTGGGGTCAATGAGTTTTTTCACGTGAGTCTTGTTACTACTTCTTTTCAAGTGACTGGAAAGAGAAATCACTTCGAGACATCCATCAGGCACTTCTTTATCATGGACTATGCATGGAATCGTTGATTGGATTTATCAAACACATACACATAAGCTAAGCGCATATCTAAAAAGGTGCCAAACCGATGATTGACCGCAATGAAACTACAAGAAACAAAAAAGCAAAAAGCTAAAACACAATAAAACCAGCACCACAATCATTTCCACTACATCTTCGCCTTCACCACCCCGCCCCTCTCCTTCCACCACCGCACCACGGCGGCCCTGACGCTCTCCACACTCGTCACATCATCAATCGTCGCCGGCACCTCCACGCCCCTCCCATCCCCGCCCGCCACCACGCCCTCCAGCACCTCCCGCATCACCCTCCGCAGCGTCTTCCCGCTCCTTGTCCGCGGCACCTTCGTCAACACCACAATCCCGCCCAGCACCGCAATAGGCCCAATCTCGCGCCGCACGAGCTCGTTCACCTCTTTCAGCAGAACGCCCTCGTCGACGTCCTGCAGCGCAGCCTCGAGAACGAGGAACCCGAAGGGCACGTGCCCCTTCAAGCTGTCTGGACACGGGACCACGTAGGCCTCGCCGATGCCCGCGTGCCCGAGCACCACGCCCTCCATTGCGCCGGTGGAGAAGCGGTGCGCGGCGACATTGATCACGTCGTCCGTGCGGCTCATGACGTTGACGAATCCGTCGGCGTCGATGTACCCCGCGTCGCCGGTATCCAGCAGGTCGGCGCCAAACCGCTGCTTGTACGCCTTTGTGTACAGCGCCCCCTCCTCGTCTGCCCACAGGCTCCGGAATCCTGTCGGCGCGAGTGGTAGGCCCAAAACGATGTTCCCCATCTTGCCTGCCTCAGTGATGCGTTTGCCCGAGTCGTCGACAATGCGGATGTCCCAGCCGGGCAGCGGCCGCCCCGCGGACCCAGGCTTGATACGTGGGGGCCGCGGGTACAGCCCAAGACACACACCCGTCATGGGCGAGCCAGACTCGCTGCTCCACCAGTTGTCCACGATCGTCCCGGACCCGTCGTACCCGCCCCACAGGCGCCTCTGGAACAGGTCGACGATGCCGGCCTCGCTGCGCTCGCCGGCGAGGAAGAGGGCTTTCAGCGAGGACGTGTCGTGGGCTGCGAGGCCGCGAAGCTCGGGGTCCTCGCGGTGGATTGCGCGCAGCGCGGTGGGCGCAGTGGAGAGGACGTCGACTTTGTAGTCCTCGACGATGCGCCAGAAGGTTGATGCGTCGGGGGTGCCGATGGGCTTGCCCTCGAAGAGGATGGTGGTGGCGCCGAGGAGGAGCGGCGAGTAGTGGATGTAGGAGTGGCCGACGACCCAGCCGAGGTCGGAGGCGCAGAAGATGGTGGAGGAGGGCGTGAGGTTGAAGAGTGTTTTGGCGGTGTAGGAGAGACCCACGAGGTGCCCGCCGAGGGTGCGGATCACGCCCTTGGGTTTGCCGGTGGTGCCTGGGGGGGTCATATCAGCTATTGTCTTTTATATATGCGGATTATATTATAGGAGGCAGAGAGGGGGGGGGGGGGGGGACTGACCACTGGTATAGATGATATACTGTGGGTCCTCACTCGGAAACGCCTCTCCAACCTCCACACACCCGCCCCCGCCGGGGATCTTGACCCGCTTCACCGCCCCCTGCTCACCCTCCACCCTCCCCACGCCCGTCATCCCCCTCCGCACCCGCTCAGACCGCACAAGCTTGTTCCACCCCAGCTCGCCGCGGCCCTTGTCCAGCGCCTGGTACATCTCCTCGCGCTGCCACAGCAGCGTGGCTTGCGGCTTGTGCGCGCTCTTGTCGATTGCTTCTCTCACCTATAACATGCCCACTAATTTAGCCCCCCTTTTTCCTTGCCGCCCCTCTCTCTGCAGTTATGGATTTATATTTGGGGGGGGGGGGGTCAATGATCAATACACACGTACCAAAGGTAGATAAGGAGTGACCCTTCTCTTCCCGCCCGCGCCGCCCTCGATGCCGCACGAGGCCGTGAGGACGAGCTTGGGCTCGGCCGAGTCGATGCGCTTGCTGCACTCGGCGGGCGCGAAGCCGCCAAAGACGACGGTGTGGACGGCGCCGAGGTGCGTTATTGCCAGGAGGGCGATCTGGCATTCGGGGATCATGGGCACTGGAGGGGTGGGGGGTTAGCTTTGGGGGTGGTAATAATAGTGGTAGTAGCGGTTTGTGGCTTCTGGAGGAGGGGAGGGGAGTGAGGTATGTCTGGAAATTTGGAATTAAAGGGTATAGAGTAAAGTAAAGGCTGCGGGTATCTGGCCGCCTCTACAAAACACTCATAAAAACCGTGTCCACAATCATTGACCCTCCCCAACCCTACCCTCCTCAATCATTGACACCCCACTCCACATCCCAAACCAACCAAACAACCCCCCCCCCCAAAAAAAAAGAAAGAAAGAAAAAAAGAGAGAAATTAAAACCTACTATAAACCAACACCCGATCCCCCCTCCCCACGCCCCTCTGCCGCAGCACCTCCGCCAGCACCTCCACCTCCTCCTGCAGCTCGCCATACGTGATGCGCCGCTTCATCCCCGTCACGGGCGAGTCCCAGATGATGGCCGTGCGCGCGCCATTGCCCGCAAGCACGTGCCGCGTGACGAGGTTGTACGTGGCCGAGATTGTGCCGCCGGGGAACCAGGTCCAGCCCGCGGTGGCGGCGTCGTGGTGCAGCGGCGTGGTGTAGGGCGTGGACCAGTGGAGTTGCTGGGCGTGGGTGTGCCAGAAGGTGGATGGGGAGGTGAGGGAGGCTGTGTGGGCGTGGGATTGGGGGTCGGTACTGTCGGTGTCGGTGGGCATTTTGGTAGGTATATGGGGGGTGGAGAGTGGAGAGGTTAGTGGTAATTAGGGACTTCAATTAAGTAGATAGCAGGCTGTTCTATGGGCTTTTATATAGTATTATCAGCAGCAGTACCAGCAGGTATCTATCTACTGCAGAGCAAGTACTGCACAGTACTGCACAGTACTACATGCAGATCTATCACTGCAACCCCAGATAGCTCCCCCTCCCCAATAACACAGCACCTATACCTCCCTTCTGCCCAGCTCCCAATTGGCTGGCCGGACGTACGGGACCTCCCCTCCAGACCCGCAGCCCGAGGGTGAGATACCCAGGGTTAGGTGGTAGTTATAACCAGACAGACGCCCAGATCCGGGGGCTCGGTAAAGCGCCGGGCCCGGCTGCGGGGTGCGTTTGCGGGGGTGGAGATACGGAAGCTGGGGGTAGAGTAGGGCCTTGGTAAAGAAACCCGAGGTTGTGAGGCATGCCGAGACAGAGATACGTCAGGGCTTTAAAAGGAAGGGATCAGAGGTGGGTGTGTTGGTACGGAGGAGCTGTGCAACGGTGGGGTTTTAAGATGATGTTGAGAGGGTAGCTACGGGATCGGTCTGTGGTTTGTACCTTTGTATGGGACGTGCTGTTTGACAAGATCCAGATCTACTTTAGATGCCTATGTCCCATACTGCCCATATAATACTGCATAACGAGCCCTGATACCACAGTAAACAATAAAGGGCTGCTTAACCCTCCAAGTCTTACAGTACAATACAATACTTACTCCACTCTACAGCACCCTGTGCTACAAGACCCAAACACCCACAAAAAAACATATGCCGAGTCCACGGGACCTGATATTAAAACCAGGGGCAACTAACTGGCTAAATAAACAGCGTCCCGCCTCGAAACGAAACAAATTCCGTCACAGGACCCCCTCACTCATTGCCCTGGGCTATATGTATCTACTCCACGATACCCAGACCCGTGATCTACATTAAACTATTATTATTCCACCCCCAGCTCAAGTCACATGAGCTGTCCCTGGAGCTAATGCGAGCTCAAATGCACTAAACTGGTGCTCTGCTCTAGTAGCTCATGGTCAATCACTCGACGACAACCCAGCGTCAACCTCAAAGACAGCAGTAGCTACTGATCTGATCTGCTGAAACAAAACTCGGCAAAAAGAAAACACAGAAGGACAGGCAGGTCCCTGAGCTGCACATGTACCCGGGCCAGGTATAATATGTACCCCACGCTCATCTCACGCAGGAGCTAGCTCACTTAGCGAGATGTCTCTCCCCCTCGTGCTAGGATTAGGACGTCACGGCACAGCAACAGCCCACACACTAGGAAGAACCATGCGGTCGGTGAGCGAGATCGATGGGATGAATGATCACTAGGGCTGTCAATTATCAAGATAAAAAAAAGTACTCCAAATACATTAGAAAGTCAATCAGTACAATGGGTGACTAACTACTACTATTCGAATCCCAAATATTTTTTCTCCTCTCCACACACACCAAACCTAGGTTCAGAAATGTGAAATGCAAAAAAAACACCACATCCAATGAAAATCGTAGAAAGTATGCGCAAAACAAAAAAATATCCATTTCACGTATGAAAAAGAGACTGAAAGGAAAAAGTATATTCGTGGTACTTCTCTTTTCCCCTTCTCGCCAAACTAGCATCTATCCATCCTCCTCAATCGTCCGAATCGCCCTACCCCAGCACCAACATCGCCCTGCTTTCAGATATTATTCGGTATTTACTGGGTCTTTCTGGCAGCGCCGTTGGTGGCAGGAGGAGCAGACATGAACTTGCTCAAGTCCGAAACATCGCCAAAGCTCTTGACACCGGTCTTGATAATTGCCCAGGCAGATCTCACGCCCTCGGGAACACCGGCATCGGCTGTGATGGCATCACCCCTTCTCTCAAGTCCCTTGACGGCATCCTTGACGAAAGTGCTCTGAGCAAAGCGAACACGGAGGAAAGCGGTGTAGATGGCGAGGAGGATCCATGAGTTCTTGAAGATGATGGCACCAGCAAGGATACGGAGCCACAAGAAGATCTCGAGGTTGGCAACGAGGTGCATAGAGTAGTCATAGTTGTTCTTGACGAACTTGGCAATAGCCTCAGAAACGGCGGGCGCGGGTGCCTTAGTACCGGCGGCCGCAGCAGGTGAAGGAATGATAACCGGGATGAGGTTTGTTCGGAGGTAAGTCAAGAAGTGGAAGGTGCTGTAAACAGCGAATGGGAGAAGGGCGAAAAAGATTGGCTTAGAGTAGAGCCATACAAGAGCCATGACTGCATTTGGACAAGTAAGCATTTACACACGTAAATTTTCACGTCATAATTTCTAAAAAAAAAAAAAAAATCCCTCTTTTTTTTTCCTTCTTTTTTTCTTTCCTTCTTCCTCTCCCGGTGAAAAAAACAAAAGATTGACAACTTACACAAATATTGCACATTCTCGTCAGAGAGGATTTGCACTGCTCCCTGCTGGCCAGTGGGGAGCTGACCAGTCCTCATTCTTGTCCTGTAGGCCTTGTAAACGACGATACCGTAGGTAACAGCCGCGGACAAGAATCCGACACGGTATGCAATAGAGGCACTCGTTGTGCTTGTCGAGAACTTGACAGCCGCGACCGCATAACGGAGAGTTGTCAGGAGCAACGTCAAATGACTGATTTCATCCTCTGAATGTAAGCAAAGGGCTCCATCGTAGGGAAAACTGGCATTCAAGAGTTACTCACCCGACAAACCAGCCAAATTGAAGTGTTTGTGCAAGCGCCATCAGGCGTTGCGGGAGAGGTTCGGAGGGGACAACAGCGGGTGCCATTGTTTCTAGATATGGGCAATGTTTACTTTTAGAGGGGTTCGTAAGCTTGTTGCTGTGAAGGAGATGCTAGTTTGTTGTTTTCTACTTGTAGCAGCTCTCGAAGAGTAAAGTGGTGATGGGATGGATGATGGAGAGAAGGGAAGATGATGAAGAAGGAAAAAAGAGGGAAGGAAGGAGGTTTGAAGAGGGCTGGGAAATCCGGAAAGGGATGTCGTCACACTGATCAGCCGAGATAGAAACTCACACTTGGACGGCACCCTTGTGAAGGGCAGAAGGAAGGTAAGCAGCGAATTAGCTAAATGGACTCCCACGCGAGCAACTCAGCAGGCAATTAATCCATATAAACCGACATCTTGGTAAAAGAAAACGATGACCACATAAGCTTCTACCCTCTCACATTATTATATCACTCTCTGCAGACACCAATTCAACTTCCATAGGTTCCTCTAGCATGAAAACAGAGCAAAACAGCTTCTCCCTTCTCTCCCATCCATTCCCCGTTTAGAAAAGAAAAGAATTACAAAGAAGCCACGGTGACGTTTCCTCCCCTCCAACCAGGAACAGACCTCTTTCCAGCCACATGCGGCCTAGTTTGCGGGGCCTTGTGCACGACGACGAACGACCTCGCCTGTAAGGTTGCTCTCTCGATACAGCGCTAAAAATAATCCCCTTAGTAACCTTTATCTAATCTAGCAACGCAGCTAGATAAGGACGTCTTCGATTCTTCTTCATCTACAGCTTTCAAGCAGTAGAGTATCGACAGTATCGTGAACATCGTGGGGCGACGTGAAAATCACAATCATAATAATCTCGCTTACCGAAAGTCTCATTCGCGTAATCTTTGTTTGAGCCCCTCCAAACTTAAGCTACATTTAGGTACCTCTACAGATATGTAACTCGTCTCAAATTCGCCCCAAGTTTAATTGTCGCAGGGTACACCGTACTCTACATGATCTGAGCGCATCAACGGTGCCAAGTGGCTCCCTTCTCTGAACGATAAAAAAACCCAACTCGCAAAAAAAAACACTCTGCCTCCGAACCTTCGAGATATTATCAAAACTCTCTCTCTCTTGGCATCACTCTAGATCACTCGCTGTCAAGTTTACATCCACACCAGATCAGGCCCACCATCCTTACTTAACGCGTCAGCACCACTAACGTTGCCAGAGTGTGTGCGAAAGAAAAAAAAACGCAACTGCACCTGCATAAAACTTTCTTGATGATAGGTGTCCTCTACAGTCTTTTACCGTCTCTTGACGAATACTGCCACTTGACGAACAGGGATTCCAAGTATGGAAAGAAACAGTCAAGCAACGAGATCTCCGGTCCTTTTAATTTCTATTGGCCCAAAGTCCCCTGTTCGTCAACTGGCAGTATTCGTCAAGAGACGGTAAAAGACTGTACTCTACCGTGCTTACACACGCAGTCTTGTCTCAAACCAACACAGGCTGCATGGTACCTAGTGGGTGCACGCTCGCTCGTATCGCTTTCTATTGCGATTGGCATGTGCTTTGGTCACTTCATGAGCAGTCACTCGAGTGTAGGGTGAGGGGTGCGTTGGGTCGGTCGCGTATCTTGTCCTACGATGCCGGTGGATGAAAACGGTTCCATAATATCACGGTACCTTAATTCCGCAGGTTTGTTAACACTTTTCTCATAGGTATATCCCCATGGAGACCGAGTCAATGGAGAAATCCGTGTACACGGGAAACAACCACCGCCCAACCAAAACAAATGGTAGAGGGTTGTGCCTTGGTACACTCAGGATACATGTATATCAAAACCCCACAAAATTATCTTCAACTTTCAAGTGGATAGAGAGAGCCCAGAGCTCACCAGCCATTTAGGTTTGGTGCAAGCTTCGATGCCAAGATCCCGCGCAGCAGAAAAGCTTCTCTCTCGCTTATCACCGTCCGTCCCTAAGCCCAAACCTAATTTCCCCCCGAAACCTCCACCCCACACTGTTCCAGAAGCTTTCGGTTTCTAGTGGTTTGTGGCTTTCGTTTCACGGCGATCGGCCGACATAAGGCTGGTTTGGTGATTTGTGGATTTGTACTTGATTTGCGTGTGGTCATGTGTGAGATTGATGAGCCTACACAGTGGTATCAGCACTCCGGAAAGCAGCCGAGTGAGAATCCATGAGAGACCCTCTGGCCTTGCTCGGCTATTGAGTTGTGAGAGGCCTGTTAAGGGCGTCCACTAGAGTAGACTCTTCAATTTGTCCAAACTTGCGGGTGACACAAGTTCTTGGATTTCCGTGTCCAGGAATAAACAAGTGTGCAAACCACGCCTCCTCTGTTTGGATAACTATTATGCGTTCTCTGATATGTCGTTGGGCGTTAAGAGTTGATTTCGCGCAACATTCTTGTCCGATGTATCCTACGTCATTCTGTAGCTAGGGATCGATCCTCGCCAGGGTTAATAGAGGGACAGCTAGCAGCCACTCGGCAACCTCCCATACCCCAGTAATCAAATATCAAAACCGCATAGAACTTGGCAAAGGGTCGGGTATTTGCCAGAGGATTCAGGCAATCTAATTCGATGGTCCGTTTGCCGCGAAAACCCGAGTGATAATACATGACAAAGACCGACCCGTAGCACTGTCTTAGGTACTATCTGCAAATTACAGCGAAAGCTTTCTATAAGAGCAGGCTCAGGACTGGAATTTGGTACCGTTATAGAGAGATTGCCCTTATATAAATGGTGCCAGTGCTGCTGAAAGCCGGGCAAAAAGGACCGAGAAGTGCTACCCTTATAGAAGGTACCTTTATAGTAAGCTTTCGCTGTAGGCGGGAGGATTATACACATAGAAATCTCCTTCCCGCATATGACAGCCAAGATCATGAGCCATGTTAGCGTAAGCCAAAGCTGGGTAGCTTAACTTATGTAACCCCCTTCGTTCACAGCCCCTAAAAGCCAGATTATTGCTCAAGCTCCGTCTAGACTTCATCTTCACATTCCAATTCAAACTTCCATCTGTTTGAAAGCTCAGCTCGAGCCAAACCCACCTCTTCAACCATCTAATCAGCCATCCATCCACGTGCGGGTTCTTAACCGCTTCTTATTCTTATTCTTCTTCCTCTTCTTCTTCCTCCTCCTCTTCTTCTTCCTCTTCTTCCTCTTCCCCCTCCCCTCCTTTTATCTCGAGCTTGTCTGCCAAAGCCGGGATCCTCATCGTGAAAGTCAAGTCACGACGGAATCCGCGGGGTCCTTGACCACATTTGGTGGCGAGTCCCCTGGTCAAGTTTACGCTCCTCGCTGCCCACGCCATCATAGGCTGGGGTTTTCAATGTGCTTGCCATCATTGGTAATAACTGGCTACCAAGGCTGTAAGTTATCTCTCATTATCTGTGTACCGTTAGTTTACGTATCTCTACCATAAAATCTAACCATCAAGTGTAGCCCATTGATGATGTGCTCCGGGACTACTCCCAGATACCCTCTAGTGGTTGGGCGCTGCTCATCCTTCTTGCCATCAGAGGTAGAACTGGCTTCCACGTCTGTAAGTTAGCTGTGCACCGTTCGTATACGTATCTATACCACAAATTCTGACTTTTAGACACAGTCCACTGATGGTGCCCCCGCGCCCGGGGGGGGGGGGGGGGGGCTGATATTCTATTGTCGCCTGGTACTTCGGATCCTCATAGGGCAACTGTACTGCACGCCTTATAACCTTGTAAGATCCCTTTCAAAAACGTGGTGTTCCTCCACAATCCTATTATTATTCTCTCAGCTAACCTGGAATCATGGGTATTTTCCCTGTACCTCAACAGCTGCCGAGCAATCGACATCATGGTGGAAGGATTGAGAAGGATCTAATGTCGTAAAGTCATCCTCCGGTTCCGGGCTTCAAAGAGACCGGGACCTCTCACGTCCTCTGCACCTAGCCCAGACCATTGCGTCCTTGTCGCTGTGCCCTCAATTCTTGTAGGGCGAGCGTACTGTAAGCCCATTAGTGCTGTAGGCACCTGGCTGAGCACCAGCTCCCAGTAGAAACCCAGATTTCTCTGCAGCCACTGGTACCAATAAACCACGGCCAAGGGGCACATCCACGGACGAGCGGTTGCCCCGCGGCAAGTGATGTCAGTGCGGTACGATGGGTGCCTGCTGGACTCCAGCAGGCACTTATCTGCCTGGGGCCCCCTCGCCCTCACAATCCACCAGTTCCCCCGGGGGCGACCAATATTCGATGCATGGTACAGTAAGTTTCTGTGATATCCGCACTATGGAAGTAGAGACTGAGTATTGACTTTATTTAGGAAGCAGAAGATTCTGTCTTGCTGCGTTCCGCCGCCTCCCTTCTTGTAGGGTGGGTGTACTGCAAGCCTCATTGATGCTGGGGGGATAGAGAGATCCCAGGCGTAGGAGGAGAGCCCGAAACACGATATTATTGTTTCAACAATGGGTGGAGGAATTAAACGTACTTGTCCAAATACATCGGTGCTGGTGTTCGGGGTGGGGCCACCGTGGCCATAAATCTCCTGTTTTTTGTATGTAAGAAGTCTATGAGAAAACGTTAACTTCTCGCTGTTTTGAGTTCTATTTTTCTAAATGTCTTTACCCGTTTAAATCTTATATCGCCTCTGTGAAGCTTTTTCGTGTTCAATCTGTTTGTTCGGTTAATTCATGAGTTTGCTACCATCATAAATGGTGAGAAAATATACCAGACATATATAATTCAATATAATTCAATCATATGGGAGACTGGGAGTAGTGGTGATTATAGCGCAGACGCGGGTACACTCTGTCCAGCTATAAGCAGCACTGTGTATGCCCGGACATTTATCTCATCCCTTAATCATGTATTTAGCTGTAATTATCAAACCTGCATGCCCATTCATTAATTCGCAAACGCCCAAATAAATGTTAGGTCGTCAAAAGCTATGCCATGGAACAGATTTCTCACAAAAGAGTCGTCAGAGGCAGAGTTATGGCAAGCCAAACTGGGTTGTCGGGTTGTTGTAATGATCGAAGTAGAGTGTCCACAAGACGTTAATTCCCAGGAGTAAAGCGGTGGTGGGCCGATCTGTGGCCTCATATGAGAGGCTACAGAGGGTAATATTCCATCACTTACCCGCCTCTACCGCTTTCTTTTTAGGGCTATCCCGGGCCCTCCTCAAGTGCCCTTTCACATCTATAACACGGCACAAACACGCTAACTACTTAGTGCATAACTAAACCTCTACCGACACCCAGACTCAAGAACCCCCTTCAGAGCAGTATGTTTCCAGCTCATTCATCGGTTTCAATGTTTCACTCTTATATTAGGCTATCTGGCCCCACCAGCAGCACGGAATGAATTTATAAAGACAATTGACAGGACACATGAAGATAATAGAAACTGGCAGCTAGCTTTTTTTTTTTTTTTTTCATGTAGGTGTATCCTTGAGAATAGTAATCTCCGGGACAAATATATATATATCTTCTCTGGATTCAGGAAATTTACATGTTCGTAAATTATAGAGTGGCTCAAGGAATAAGATCCCGAGCCTAACAAGCCTAGCTTCTGTTAAACGTCAGATAATATAATGTGATGAACAGATAGCAATTATAACCACATGTAATAGTTAGAATTAACGGAAAAGGCCTAAAACGACACAGTTTTCGGTATACGTGCTCCGAAATAACACATGATGCAATATGACACGCCGAGAGCACAAAGACAATCAGGAAAAGAAGAAAAAGAAAGAACAAAAGGTTCGACCTGCAAAACTACAAAAGGTACTGCAGCGACTTATTGAGAAATTTGCGACTACTACCCCACCCCTGGTTTGAACCCAGGACCTTATGTGTGATTGGTTGTATCCTGGGTACTCTCGGTGTTAACGAGCAGTCTATCCACTAGACCGCCCGCCCATAGTGGGTGCTGTGCCCGAAGTGACACTTGAGCTTGGCAGTGTGCCAAGATGAAGATCGAACTTGAACCCCGACCCTTCGCTCAGCCAATATGTATACTAATTGATGTATTCGTTTTGGATTATACCGAACTGTGTCATCTTGCATTCATGTGTTTATGGAGCGGTAAATGTGTCAAAAGTAATTTTACCAACGGTAGTAAATCGTTTTACCACCGGTGGTGAAAATAATACCGTCGTTTATACCTTATAATGGATAAAAGCACAGATCTTTTGGCCAAAAGGGGCTATATAATGCCAATGTATGAGTCCTATTGTCCACCGGTGGGGAATTTCACCATTGGTGGCAGGTATTTTACCACCAGTGGCAGGTATTTCACCACCGGTGGGAAACTTTCATAAGTGTTGGCATTCATGATTGAACATCTACTAATGAAGTATAGCGCAGCATAAAGATTGAAATTCAGTGTTTATACTGGCACAAGGACTGAAATTCAGTACTTATACCAACGGTTGGTAAATTATTTACCAACCATTGGTAAAATTACTTTTTACACATTTACCGCCCCATAGTCTACCGAAACCTGGGTCGTTTTAGACCTTTTCCGTCGAATTAAACATGGCCAATGGACAAGACTAACCTTTGCCTTGTGGAAAGGTACCGGTGTATAGGAAAGATCTATGGGTAAGTCCCTGTAGGACTCGGTGTAGAAGGTACTAAATTTTATTAACATCACCATTTTTCATTATATATCCCCTTCCCACCTCAAAGGGAAAAGAGGAAAAAAAGCCGCTGCGACGATCTTAGTAGATGTCCCGTTTAGGACTAGCTCAGACAGCCCGAGTGATATTTCATGAATAAGTGTTTCAAGTCACTTTTTTAGAATCACCAAATCACTAGAGAATTCGCACAAGACCGGGTTTTTTGACACACTTTTAAATAAATTCGTAACCATCATTCTACATCTACCCGTTCCAACCACCCCTTTCCTATGCAAAAACCGTTTCCCATGCTACAAATAAAAAGAGATCCCAAAAAAAAACCCAAGAGACAAATGAAAATCATAAACTATCTACCAAAACAATTTACCACCAAGTAGGGAAGCGAGGAGCACGGTATCGGGGAGCCTTGCGGCGGGGGCCCATGGGGCCACCGAAGCGGCCAGGTCCCTGCTTGAGCTCGACCTGGAGGAGGGCAACAAGGACATCCTCGGGCCTCTTGCAGCCACCCTGGATCTTGACATCGCGCTTGTAGATTGGTGCCATCTCGTCAGCGGGGGCCTCCTCATCGGCAGGAGCATCGGTTGACTCGTCGGCTGGGGCATCGACAGACTCATCGGCTGGGGCGTCGACAGACTCATCGGCGGGGGCCTCTCCGGCGTACTCATCAGCTGGTGCTTCTCCGGCATACTCATCGGCGGGAGCCTCGCCGGCAGACTCATCAGCTGGAGCCTCTCCGACGAACTCATCTGCGGGGGCCTCGCCAGCGGACTCATCAGCTGGGGCCTCGCCAACAAACTCATCAGCTGGAGCCTCTCCGGCGGACTCATCGGCTGGTGCTTCTCCGACAAACTCATCGGCAGGTGCCTCTCCGGCATACTCATCAGCTGGGGCCTCTCCTACAAACTCATCGGCAGGTGCCTCGCCCGCAGACTCATCTGCTGGGGCCTCTCCGACGAACTCATCAGCTGGGGCTTCGCCAGCGGACTCATCAGCTGGGGCTTCTCCGACGAACTCATCGGCTGGTGCCTCGCCCGCAGACTCATCTGCTGGGGCCTCTCCTACAAACTCATCGGCAGGTGCCTCTCCGGCATACTCATCGGCGGGGGCCTCGCCAGCAGACTCATCGGCAGGAGCCTCTCCAACAAACTCATCGGCAGGAGCCTCTCCAACAAACTCATCGGCAGGAGCCTCTCCAACAAACTCATCAGCAGGAGCCTCTCCGGCGTACTCATCGGCGGGAGCATCGACAGACTCGTCAGCAGGGGCGTCGAGATCTCTCTTGTTTTTGTTGTTCTTCTTGGCGTTCTCGACAACCTTCTTGAGGGTCTCGATGTACTTCTCGATCTTGCGGACGAAGGCCTTGTTGTTTCGCTTGGGCTCGGCCTTGATGTGGATGTGGGTGTACTTGGCGTCCTTGAAGGCCTTCTGGAGCTGCTGCATGACCTTATCGGCGTTCTGGTCAGGCTTGGTGTTGTTCTTGTTGTTGGGGGCGTCCCACTCGGCCAAGCAGCGCTTGAGGTCCATGTTGGCAAGGACGGCCTGGGGGATGATGTAAGGGTGCTTCTCCTCACCAGTGGCCTTGCGCATCACATCGGGGCGGAATCGCATGGAGGGAGTGGGAGTGGCTACGACCTGGGTGGCGCAGAAAGCAATGACCATGGCGGCGGTGGCGGCAGTGAACTTCATTTTGATTGATTTAGTGGTATGAAAAGGGTTTTAAAAAGTTTAAAAGTAGTGGTTGGTGGAGCTGAAAGGTCGTGAGGAAAAAAACGTGTATAGTAGAAAAGACAGAAATAAACCAAGCACAGCTCAGAATTGTAATAAAGGAGTGACTAAAGGAGTGACTGTGAAAGTAAAGAAGGAAATGAAAAAAAGAAAGGAAGTAATCGTTGCCGGAACGAGTGAGTGATGAAGTGAATGTAAAAGTGAGTGAGGATGGGAAAAAAAGAAGTTGGATTCGGGGAGTTGAAGGCCGTATATAAACCATTGTGAGTAACATACTTTACCTCTTTACCGTATATTGCTTCCGGAGGTTGAGATGGAATGGATCTCTATTCGGACCCGGTGAGGTAGTGGTGTTGCGGCGTGGAGTAGATCTTTGCCAGGCACAGGGTGCTGTACCACACGAACGCCACACCACAAATAGTACTGACTGTGAGAGGTACAAGATTACTGCGCCCATATAACTCTAGTGTAATAACACGGCATGAACTTGTCATCAATAAAATTGTAAGCTTCGGTGGTGCCGTGGATTATTGTGCATTGTTTCCATTGTGAACCCCACACGGAACAGCGGGATTGTTTTCGATTCTTCGTGAGGTGAACAAAGTACGTTGATTGTAGATACACCAAGTACTTAATTCTATCGTGCCAGTATCTTTTCTCGTGAAGAACTACTGTTCGTGATAGTTGTTATCACCGCGAAAGTGTTCAATTGCACAAGTGCTGTCACGGCGAACAAACCTAGGCCCTCATACCTCCAATTAGCTAGGCACCATTCACATCCAGGTAAAACACCGACGGCACACGTACCTTTCCCCGGTGTCTCCACTCAAAGCCGTACGTTCTCTCCATCAATGCGGTTTATCCGGTCTGTAGGTACTGTATGTGTGCTGTCAGCATCCTGAACGTGAAGTGTTTACCTAACGAACCCCACCCACCGGCAGGGCGTGGTTGTTGGGTAAAAAGGTTAAATGGGATTAAGTGAAGGCTGAGCCTCACTCGGTCACCCCTCCATATCCCTGTACCCTGGCCCGCCCGCACTCGCTTGAGACCACCCCGGCCGATGCCTGCCAAGACGGCCAAGAATAGCAGCATTGTTTAATCTCCTCCGAAGAATCCCAGATGAGCTTTTCATTCTAGGTATTTCATGCCTACAACGGTGGCTGGGAGGTACCTATGGCGTAGGTAGAGATCCTTCCTCGCTCGCCTTCTAGAAAGGATTGTAAGTACAGCTATCGGTAGAATTATTGCGGAGACAGGGGCCGACGATCACGCCGAGAGCAGGGCAATTTTTCAACGCCACACCTCCGCAATAATTCTACCGATAGCTGTAATATGGCGCGATCGATATAGTGGCCGGATGCAGTGGAGCATCTGTGCCGCATGCCTCCCGGGGTATGAAGCGGCGGCGAGTGATTTGATCGCTTGTGGCGGTGGCCTGCTGATAATTTTAGAGATCGGTAACGAGGTGTTTCGCCTGTGCGGTGGGGGAGTGACGGACGCATAGGCTCTCACTCGTATTTACGAGTTTCTGAGAGGCTTGTGTGGTTCTTGGTATGCGCCAACCAACATGTTGCGGTAATGTGCTTCGGGTCGACATTGAGTATGGAGTATGGTGTCATTTTTTTTAAGGGAGATTCTTTTTTCCCTTAATAGAATTGTTCAGAGAAGACGTAGGTACATGTATCTACATAATGGTTCGACCTCCTAGCCCTCGTGCTTCCATGCGGTCGTGTTGAAGCCAAGACCGAAGTACGGACGAGTGATCACCGATGATCATATAACCATTGCAGCCCAGAGCTTTTGTTCTACCTATCAGGACATTTACGTTCAACAACACGCTGACACTTGAAGTTCCTGCAACCTGACTTCTCTTGGTTTTGTTTTTTCCCCCGGCATGTTCCCTCTCCCTCTCTGACACCACCGTCCTCTCTTCACTCTTCATAATTATGGCTTGACTCGCGTAGTCAACCACGCAGCTTGGGCTTCACCAAAGGTCTCGGTACAACTTAGACTTTGTTAGGAAAGCACTCATGCTCATCATATTTCGTTCCTCGGGGCCCAGCTGCCCTTACGAAGTTACGCACCCAGCGTAACGCGCCCTCCTGTCCCCGTCCAGCGCGTACGCGTCGAGATGCCTCGCCATCCCGAGCTTTTAGTCTAATCTCCTGTGATTTTAGTTATAGAATTCTGAATACCAACCTTGGGTATTCTTCCCATAGAAAGGCGCGGGGAATCACGTCTTCGGTAGGTCTGAGATTTAATCATGATATATCACTCGATATTTGACTTCCACATGATGTTGTTGCTAATTCATGAGGCAAGGTAGGCTCGTTTGATAAACTACCTTTTCGATTTGGCTTTGATACTAAGCTGCAGTAAGCCAGTTGTTTGGGAAGCCAAAAACACATGGAACCGACCTGCGCAGCAAGTCCGTTCTGGGTGATTAATACCAGGCGTTTTCAATATCTTCCTTCATGTTCTGGTTCGACCGTCCACCGATCATGGCATGGCCACCTTTGTTGATCTACCTCTTTCTTTATAGGATGATCATGTCTTTTCAGTGATGACCACTATTCTTACAAGCTATGTTCAACATATCTATATTGACCTCTTAACTACTACATGGACCTTGGGTCAAGGTGCTCCGACACCTAGCCGAGAATTCCGCACTGTAGTTTCGTTCCCGGACCTTTATTGCACCTCGAGCCTGTTTCTTTTCTAGTTGTGCGGACGTGAAGGGCGAAATTCAGTCAACTATTTAACTAAAGATAATATTTCCACAGCACAGTACAAGTATCCTCTCGACACAGCTATCCGCATAACTGCTTCTTCAGCTGATCATTATAAGCCTTTATCGACAAGATGCGTGTTCGTCTTGGCTTTGGTCCGAGTCCAAATAACTCTAGCAGTTGAGTGAAGCCTACTCTAGGATGAGGAAACGGCCCTCAAGACGAACCCAAGTAGCGTTGATTTCGCTAGGCTGTGGTGAGTTTAAAGGTTGTGACTTCTCTTACCAGGCCATGGTTCCGAATGGGCCATTATTGATTGAGAGGTGTTCGCTGCTCCAAGGATTCACAATAATGACACGTATGTGGGCTCTATTCAAACGACCTGGAGAACTGTACATATATACATACAGATATGGACCCGTTGTCTGCGTTGGGCCTATAGTCTAGGCTTTTTCTCGGCTCCCGTCGGTCGAAAATTTATTAAAGCATTGAAAGGCCCTCATTCGTTAACGAATAAGAAAACATGCTATCCAATATACGCGCCTAGGTATCAGTAGCACGTTTACCGTATAGGAAGGGGGGTTCGGAAACCCCACCGAAGCTCGTTTTTTTATTTTTCAACTGCGGGGATATAGAAAGTAAAGCACGCGAGAGCGGGAAACGATAACCACTATAAAAGGGGTCTTTCACTAAAATTACGACCCTGTATTATAGGGTAGGCAGAATCAACAGACGAAAGGGGATCAAATTATTCCACTTCTCGGGATATCGACCCGATCCTCGGAAGTACAGGTACGTGATATTAGCTTCCCCAAAGCACTAAAACAGCGGAATCTCGGCGGGAGGCAAGTCACTCAGGCCTGGAACCCGAGAATGAACGGGAAGCGCTGTACTATCGAGTGACATTCCATGCATGACAATATTGCCCGGCACAGTAACCAGTCGCATGCAAGCCAATAAAAGGCGTGCATATCCTCACTCAGGGTCCAGGGTTTGGTTGGCTGGCTGTCATGGCTGTCAAGCAAGATCTAGAACAACCTCGGCTAGATCCCCAACGATGGGAGAGCCCTTAGCCACCCACACCACCCACACTCCCCGACCGACCAACCGCCGCACGCTGCTTTCCAACGATTACGATCCGCTATCTCAGCTCCGTACATACGTCGAGTAGAGAGGGTCTCCTCCGGTCCATGTACTAACTAATTCTTACGAATTCTTGATCATGGAGAGCTAACCTGCGCTAATCTGCGGGCGACCCCTGCAACCCCCGCACTTTTTGGCCCGCTACCTGGTTCATCTGCTCATTACCAATGGAGAGATAATCATATATCATCACTTCTAAAGCACTTCAAAGTTCAACATCCCCATCCATTAATCCATCTAAGGCAGGAAGCCGAGAAGTTGTTTTGAAAATTTTTGGGAGGTTGCCGAGGCGCCGACTAAGCGATCACTTGTGGATATACTTTAGTGCGGTGGGTACTATTGCTTGGTTCAAGCTATATAAATTCAAATATCAGACCTGTTCCTCTTCTACCAGTACCAAGAATCCACAGCAATTGCAGCAGTGATTGAACCAGCAACAGCAAAAATATATATATCACAATAATATAATGCCAGTCTTTGTCGAACAAGCCGGTGAAGGGCGAGACACCCGTGTCAACCCAGCGCACCTCAACCCTCTCCCACGCCTTTCCCCAGCTCCTCCAGCCCGCCCCACAGCAGAGGACACAATCGAGCGCTATGAAGTCATCATTGTCGGATCGTGAGTTCTTCCTCAGGTCCGTATGTACCAGACAATTCAATTCATCCTGACCTCCAAATAGTGGCCCAGCAGGAATCATGACCTCCGTCTGCCTCGCACGCTACGGAATAACAAGCGTTCTGACAGTCGACGAGAAGACGGCGCAGATCCATGCCGGCCAAGCAGACGGGATCCAGCCACGGACGTTGGAGGTCCTGCAGTCGCTAGACCTTGCCCACGAGGTCCTGACGCAGGGGTGCCAGATGCATGAGGTCGGCTTCTGGAATCCTACGGAGGATGGGGCCGGGATTGTCAGGACTGCGTTTGTGCCTGATGTTGCGGTGCCGGCGAGGTACCCGCATGAGGTCACAATACATCAGGGGAGGATTGAGAGGATTTTTAATGAAGATCTGGAGAAGAATGGGAACAAGGTACAGAGGGGGTGGAAAGTATCAGGATGGGAGTTTGACTACGAGGATGAGGAGTTCCCAGTGGTTGTCAAGATGAGTGGGCAGGACATGGAGAGAGTGGTTCGGGCAAAGTACTTGGTCGGCGCAGATGGCGCACATAGTACTGTGAGAGATGGTATGGGGTTGAAGCTTGTCGGTGATCATACAGATCATGTCTGGTAGGTTACCCATCTCATATAAGTGGCATATATCATTTACCAACTAACCATCTGTGAATTATAGGGGTGTAATGGATGCTGTCGTCAAGACAGATTTCCCAGACATTAGAAAAAGATGTGCAATTGTAAGTCTACCAGCTATTCCCCCCTAGATTCTAGATTCCTCAAAAATGACATACTTACGCATCTCACCCCTGCAGCACTCCAGCACAGGGTCCATCATGATCATCCCCCGTGAGCGCATCTCTGGAAACAAGGTCCTGACCCGCATCTACTGCCAAATGGAGGACGAAGTCGAGCGTGACCCAACCATCGCCGCCCCTTCCACCGCCGATCCCACTGCCGCCAAACAACAGGCCAAAAAGCGCCGAGAGAAGGTGACGCTCGAGCGCATCATCTCGCAGAGCCAAAAGGTTCTCGCCCCTTACACGATCAGCTTTGCCGACATCGACTGGTGGGCCGCCTACCAGATCGGCCAGCGCGCAACCACCAAATTCTCCACCGCAGACAAGAATGGCGTCCTCCGTGTGCACATCGCGGGCGACGCATGCCACACACACTCCCCAAAGGCAGGCCAAGGGATGAATGTTTCCATGATGGACGGCTTCAACCTGTCCTGGAAGCTCGCACACGTCCTAAACGGGCTCTCTCCAGCGGGCGCGGATCTGATCGCTACATACGAACATGAGCGCCTCGACATCGCCCGGCAGTTGATCGCCTTCGACACCGAGTTCTCCAGCATGTTCTCTGGCAAGATTGGCGCCGAGACAGGCCTCACACACGAGAAGTTCGTCAAGGTGTTTAGCACCGGCAGCGGCTTTACGAGCGGATGCGGCATCCAGTACCGCGAGGGCCTCCTCGTCGCCAAACAAGAAACGACCCCCTCTGGCGCACCAGAGAGCGGCCTGCTGATCCCTGGGCGGCGGCTCATGAACGTGCGCACAAAGAGATTCGCTGACGCAAACCCCCGCGACATTCACGATGACATGCCGACGTCTGGGCGCTACAGGATCGTGGCGGCCCTGCCAACGGCCTTCAGGACGGATCCAGCTGCGTTTCAGAAGGTCCTCGAGGGCCTGGTCGAGACGCTTCCGGGGAGGTTCCCGGAGGGCGTGGTCGAGTCTGTGGTCGTGTTTCCAGGAGAGCGGGGGAGCCTGGAATGGACGGATTTCCCGGCGTGTGTGAGGGAGAGGAGTGAGTGGCTTGTGCTGGGCGACCACTATGGGATGGTGTATAAGACTTGGGGGGTGGAGGAGAGTGCGGGTGGGGTGGCGGTCGTGAGACCGGATGGGTATGTCGGGCTTGTTGCTTCAGCTCTTGATGCTGCTGTGGCGGAGGTGGGGACGTATCTTGAGGGGGTGCTTAGGACGGTTTGAAAATGGGTTTGTAGCTTTTTTCGTTTTCTCTCTCTTAGATTTAGACAATCCAAATAAATATCCACTACAAAAATTTACTATGGTATTGAAAAAGAATGAACTAGCTACTAGAAGTCTTCTCGTGCGTTCTGATCGGGGACCTGAAAATCTACATACAGTTGTGTAGATCCTCTACATGTATCCAATATGTAGCCAAGAGCAATGATAATAAAGCAGCTTACGTGACCTCTTCAACTACTTGTACCCTGTTTTCCACCCTCAAAAAGAACCCTTCCTCCCATCATCCACGCAAACCACGCCCTGCCACCTTACATAACCACGCAACTAAATCTAAGGTCACCATAACCCGGAAAAACTCGACCCAAAAGTTAAAAAAGAAAAGAAAGATCCCCCCCGGACCAAGCGCTGCCCGCCCTGATCTACGAAGGGGACCCCGGCCCCGTCTTACGAGAACCGGACACAACGTTTTTTCCAATGATATCATGCGCATCTTTGGGTCCTACTTAACTCGGCCAGAAACGGCTCTCTGTGTGTATATGTATGTGTATGTATGTATGTATGTATGTATGTAGAGGGTGTATACCACGCCGGTACGCGGCGGCCGGCCGCATCACATTGCAGTTGCAGTTGCAGTTGCAGTTGCAGTTGCAGTTGCAGTACTGCTTGTAGATTACGCACACGTGAGAAAATCAGGAATTCATTTTTTTTTTTGGTTTCCCCGCGATGGAAGTGTATGTAGGTCGAGTACTCTAGGTAGGGAGTAGGCGGGTGAGTTGTCAGCCCCAGCTATGTAGCTCATTTCTGCTATTTCCTTTTTTATTTATTTATTTTTTTTTTTTTTTCCATTTTCTTTTTTCCTTCGTTCTTTATTCCTTCCTTCCTTAATTCCCATGTGTACATATATATATATTTCTTTTCTTTTCTTTTCTTTTCTTTTCTTTTTCTCCATACCTAGCTCCCATGGATGGGCTGTCTTCTCTACATATCATGTATGTAATGCACAAAAGCTTAAAAGCCTCACGCATCACATCACGCATGGCTGTTTTTGGCCACTGTTCTTTCGGTGTTAGTGGGCGGAAACCCTAACCCTGGGTGTCGAGTGATAGTGTGTGACGAAGGCGGGATTGTTTGGTAGGAGGGGAGTTCCAGAAGAGAGATGTGTGAATGGGGATGGAGAGAGGTGCAGGGTTGTGGGTGCATAGAAGGCAGGGTGTATCGTGGTGCTCTGGGGCGTATCGTGGAGGGAATGCTGGGAAGTCGGCGGGAACGTACATACAGCTAGGTGTGCATGGATTAGGTGGTTACCGTTTAATATAAAGATTAGTTTTTTTTTTATAATTTATGAAGAGGTTATGGTATTCTGCTCAACTCTTGTGGCACTGGCTATGTAGCCTAGCCCTGAGTAAATGTATGTAGGTGTGGAATGGTCCCTACATACCTGATCAATATCACACAGTACCGGCCGCGGCCGGTCGATAAAACCGATTTTAGGTCAAGTTTCGATTTGCTAGTTTCTTCTTCTTCTACATCCTTCTCTGTGCTTCTAGCTGCGTGCTGGTTGTGTATAGGCTTAGGCTTAAGCTTCTCCGGCATGACCCTGCCTCTGCCTCTACCTCTAGGTGTAGTGGCCGATCCCTCCCTTACTTCCCACGTTGTACCAACTAACCTAAATGAAATATACCACTATGTACTCACTCAATGGCACGATATATCGCATCGCGGAATCGATGCAGCTAGTGTAGGCTGTATCATGTACATGTACATGTACATGTAACCATGCTGGCGGAATTTGAAGAAGAAGAAGAATGAAGGGCTGGCTATTCTTTCCCTCCGATTCGTGAGGTCGAGGCAGGCAAGGACGTTGGTCGGTCCAGATCCGCATGGACGGCGATATATGCTAGCTGGTATCATATTGTGTTTCGAATCCGCCTCTCTGCGCGAATCAGTCCCGTGGACAGGCCTGGGTGTCACAGGTGGTGATGGTGTCGAGGTTTCATGACAGGGGATAGTAGAGATAGGGAGAGGTTGAAGAGATTTCACGGAGGTATGTCTGCTAGCTGTCTAGTTAGCTGGATGGATGGATAGATAGATAGCTTGGCTGTGTATGCTCGCTGGCGGGAATGGCGTCCAGCAGTGTTGGATAGTTGGTGATCATGATCATGGGTGTCTTTCTTTCTTCCTAGCTGGCTGGATAGCTGGGCAGACAGCCTTGGAGATATAGTTTTGTGCGAGGGGAGTAATCACGATATCGGTCGATATCAGAGGATATTGGCATTGGCATGGGGTGATATGATGCTGTGGACGTACGTACGTATGTGGTACATACATGTAGTACTGCGTACAAGGGACAAGGACAAGCTTAACCAGAAGAGCGCATTGATTAATTGATTGATTGTGTTTCAACATCTCAATGTGATATCGATGATGCCATTACTCCCGAGCCAAGATCTGGACGTCGTAATTACTCCGAAGAATTGAGACTGCTAGCTGGTGCTACCAACCAATTGATGTGGCGCGGTGGTCTCGAAAAACTCAAATCTCAAAACTCAAAACTCAAACTCAGACTCTGGTGAGCAGAGTGGTGCACAGCTATCAATCATGTACTCACGTCGTCCAATCAATTGCCTCTTAAGAAGCGTATATGTAACCCCCCCCTCCCCCCCCCCCCCCCCCATCTCCCGCCCCCCAAGCCTTCAAGGCAACAAGACAGCTATGTATATAATAAATACTTAATTACGTACGTAGCTACATGTAGTATCCATCATGATCATGACTATGATCAAGACAAAACCCACCCCCACCAAGCTGGCTACCAAGCCATGATTCTGCCAAATGCCCTACGTACCATTAATTGATTCTGCCCTCCGGAGGCCCAAAAAGCAAAACAAGTATTTGACCTTCCCAACCGGGCACCCATTACTTAGAAAAAGCAAATCTCCCCCCCCCCCCCCCAGTTAGTTATTTCTAGTAGAGGTAGGGTCAGATCAGCCAAGCCCTTCTTCCATTACGTGGGCACAACACGCATCCGCCACACCTGCGGCTGGCTGGGCATTTAAATTTCTCGGCGCGGAGGGGCGGGGGGAGAGTGTAATTTGTAACTTGTAACTTGTCTAGTCTGACATTACGTGGATTGAGCCAGCCAAGGAAAAACAGCACGCAGTGTAGTGCTCAGTACAGCGTATCATGGACGGCCAGCCAGCCAGCGGTCATTGTGGCAGTGTAGTCTGGGCTGTAGCTACATGTAGATGCGTATTATGTTAGTAGTGGTTGTTATGTCAGTGCAGTGCTAGCTAGGTAGCTAGCTAGTCGTCAGTCCGTCAGTCATGTCAGCGCATCAGGGTCTCATCGTCTCTGCTGGTAAGGTAGATAGAGCAGAGCAGCAGTACAGCAGTGCAAGGTATCTAAGGTAATGTAATGTAATGTAAGGCTCAACCATAACCACCACCACCACCACCACCACCACCAACCCATACGCTCCTACCCGCCGCGGCGCATCGGTGGAACCCACGGAAGAATCTACTTTTCGAATTCTAAAATATATACCACTCCACACCAATCCAATCCAACCCCTAGGCCTCCCTCCCTCCCTTCCCGCGCGCGCGCGCGGGCACGGGCGTTAAAAATAAGTCAGGGAATGTAAATGTAAAGTAACGGTCTCTACTGCACGCACGGAGGAACGTTGACTATCAATTTTAGCTCCTCGAACCTCCCCCCCCCCCCCCCCATAGGACAGGAGCACATTACAACATCGTCGTCGGAAATACAACGACGCGTCATTCCGTTTTTTGCAATTTGCCTTGTTCCTGTTCCTTTTCTTTTCTTAATTTGCACCTCTACCTCTCCTCTCATGATCAAATTTTACACCAAGACCCTCCGGGCGTGGCGCGGCGCGGCGCGGCGGCGGCTTGGCCTTTGATTCTCTTCGGAGCAAAGCCCACGAATGCAGGGCGGGCCAAGGAAATGACGATAGTTGGTTATCTTGGCGTGGCGAGTGATTCGCTGTGATGGGTTGTCTGGTCGGAGGTAGAGTAGAGAAGGAGTAGGATGGCAAATGCATGGACGGACAGACGGGACGGGCCCGAGTGATGGGTATCGATCTTGGGGTAGTACTCTGGATTTTACCCAGGAAGGCTGGGCGTGGGCTTGGGCGGTGTTTTGTTTGAGATGATGGGATCTTTCATGATCTTGATGATCATGGTTGTACATGATCAACAGAGAGGGGCAGAGGGGAGGGGTTGGGATATACGTTTGGTTTTAGGGTAGGTAGGGAGGTGATGGTTGAAATAAATTGGGTGACGTGGTTCCTATCATTGGTTGGAAGGAGAGTATCATAAGTAGGTACATGTAGCCAAGTAACTAGGTAGCAAGGTAGTTAAGTAGATTGTTTGATCGATATGTTTGATCGATTTGTCTGATTGACTGTTCCCTTGTAGAAAGAGTACCAAGTACTCTTGGTAACAATAGATAAATGCAGTGTAGCTAGCTAGAGTACATGAATGTTCCCCCCCCGAACACCCAAAAAGAAACCCAAGGAAAAATGCCGTCGAATAGTCGTGTGTGTCGTATCAATAGAACTGAGTAAAAGTAAAAGTAAAAAAAAGGCAGAAACAAAGGGAAAAAATAAAATCACCGCCTCGGGCAAAGTCGAAAGTAAAGTGATGAAGGAAGCGACTCCCCGCGGAATACGAGTCGCGCGCGGCCTCTCTTCTTCACATGAAAAAATAAAGCAAATAATCCCACCCCCAAACAAAAAGAAACGAGGAAATGGAAAAAATAAAAAAAACTCCGTGCAACCCCGATATTCCCAACCCGGTCCCCCGAAGTAAAGCAAATCCAGCTTCCCGTAAAAAAATTCAAAACCCGCTCGCTCCGTTGAAAGACCCCGAAAAAAACAGTAGGAGATTGAAACGATGGATAGGAAAAAAAACGCCGCGCTAAAATATTGTATCCTCTCCATAGAGTTTAAGAAAAAAAGGAAAAGAATCCAGGAAAATTTCAATTCAAAGGCTGTGGGAAAAAAGCCGTTAGTAAAAATGATATGAAAATAGTATAATTTGGTAGTGACATACCTTATGATAGCGCCTAATTAATCCCAAATTATGAGTCCATGGAAGAGACCCTCTTTGGCCTCTCAGAGCTATACTTCCTGAGAAGCTTCGAGGGCTTCCATCGCTTCGACAGGCTTCTCGGCCTGCTGCTGCTACTCCTCCTCTCAACCTCCTCATTCGAGCTTGCAATACTTGTTTGTGAAGCCTAACCCAGAACCACCATTAGCCCCCATCCCCAAAACCAAAAAATAATAATTGTAAAAAAAAGACTTACCGAGCTAGCAGATGAAGAAGTAGTATCCATCTTGACAATAAACCCATAATTCCTTGACTCCATGCGCATCATCTCCTCATCGCGGCATCTCTGGCGATATAGATCTCCCTCTGGTCCGGGCGCATACCACTCCTGCGCTGCGCGGCGGGCATGTAGCGTCTCCATGAAAGCAGTGAAGCCCGGATCGCTGTCGTCCTCGTTTGAGGAGTCGCTGTCGCGGAATAGACGGGTGATGAGGTTGGTAAGCATTTCGAATGATTTGTATTATTTGTTTTTTTGTGTTTAATTGAGGGCGGGGATGGTGGTTAGGATCAGGTGAGGCGTTATTGAGGCTCTAGGTTGATGGATGGGTAGGAGGTATCGTGAGATTTGGATCGTGTGGATTATTTTATTTCCTTTTTTATGACGATGCTAGTAGTTTCGTGATCGTGGGCGTGAAGCAGGATGTGGGTTTTATTATTACTGTCCTGCGGAGGTAAGTAGTATGTAGTTGTGTGTGGTAGTAGTGGCTACTACTAGTAGTGATGGTGATGAGGGTGGATGGGTATTATTGTAATTGTGTGGTTGGCCGATTAATTGTATCGATGCGATCTGGAGAGCGAGAAGATGGAAGGGGCGGTGAGAAGTTAGCTATATACTCCAGCCAGGTGGGACACCCTCGATCGATTGTGTGCAGTATCACTGACGGTTTCGAGAGAGCGCAGCCCCATATGGAGTTGGCCATCCAGACTTTATTCAAGAGCCACCATGGCCTGGCCAGTGAGTGAGGCTCGTGAGGCATTTTCCGTCTCACTCACGTCTACGGTCTCCCTCACTCGCGCACCTACTCACACTCACTCACTTTTCTAGTTATGGTACACCCCCGTCTCAACCTCGCGTGTTCGGAAATGCCATAAGTGTTTTTTTAGAGCCATTTCCCTGTTTCTGGGTGAAAGGGAGCGCCAGAAAAAAAAAAGCAGGGGAGGGGTGGCCCAGCATGAGCAGAGTGCGTGAGTGAGTGAGTGAGTGGGTGTGAGAGGAGGGTGGCATGCCTACTACTGGTCACGAACGAGGAGGAAATGATATCAAAAGTTGGGCTTCCTTTTCCTCAAAGAACCGGGGTATTGGAACGAACCACATAGTGGGGTAACTAAATACGTGGCACGGTAGTGGTCTAACGACACTGACGGGGGACGTTGGATTTCCCATTCAACTTCCCAAAGAAATAATATTCTCCTACTACTCTGTTTACTTAATTACTTTCGTGACCTTTGTTCGTGAGGACTTGTTCTTTGGTGTGATGCCCTTTTTTTCCCACAAAGGAGTAACGATACGTTTTCAGGTGCACAAGGCAACGGCGGCGGCGGCGGCGGCGGCGGTGTGCGTGTGGAAACTTTGAAATAAGGATTTACCCTCTGCACAAGGTCCAGCCGCGGCGGTAGATAACCCTTTTCAAGCGAACATTATGAAAATTCCATTTTAAGACTGCGTCCCTCAGTGTCCCACTCGTGTGCTATCGTGAAACAAAGTAAGAGAAATGCTGTGAGGTAAGGGTTTGGTACGGTATCAGCTCAGATAGGTAGGCACCAATACAACCAAAAGCACGCCAAAGGGGTTAAGCCCCCCAATGCGGACCCGATCAATTGCGAAGCAATAAGGACCCACGTGTGGTGTCTGGCCTGTGCGGTGTATGTGAGTGAGCGTATGTGAGCGTGCGTAGAAGTACCTACCTAGAATACCTACCTCTCTCTACAGTAGATAGTTTGCCTACTCTAGAACAGTGAGCGTACTGTAATGCAACGGCACGCCATAATAATTGTGGTACCGGTATATGATATTCGGCAAATGATATCTTTGGGAGTTTCCTTGGCCCCCTTACTCCACCACCTCCTCAGCTGCTGCAGCAGCTGGCTCAAGCTTCCTTCCCCTCAACCCAGGCGGATTGGAAACTGGAATTTTATCAGCCAAACTATGACCACGTGCATAAAGTCCCTCTAGCTAGATGAAAAATAAGTTACATAATAGATGATTCGTTCTTTCTGCCCGCTCCTGGGAAAAAGAGGAAGAAAAGAAAAGACTACATGGACCCAGCGGCTATTCGGAAATTATTTGGCCTGGCTGGTGATGATTGTTGCGTAATGTATGATTCGCTTTTTCTACAAATACCCTTAATAAGTGTTTATTTGATTATTGATCTCTCCAGGCTTTTCCAAGTCGGATCTTCGGGACCCTCCCCTGGAGTAAAAGTCAATCCATCAAGAGCAAGCAGGCATGGCTGGTACTGGTAGAGTAGCTGGCACTCTAGAGTAGGTACTTATTGCCGTTTTCTTTTCTCTGGACCCTGCCTGAGAAACCTGGCTATCTGCTGGCAATGTAATAGGGCAGCTTATCCTTGGTATGAACAAAGGTACCGAAATCTGGTGCAATGTTTCACCCCTGCGCACCCCGCGGAGCCCTGGACCCGCGACCGCAGCACTCACTGCGGGGACCCGATCATATCGGGGAGCCGGGAAGTTGATAGGTTGGGGCCAAGTCGGATCAACGGTAATAAGCAAATAGGACAGGAAAAGAAAAGAAGAAAGGGTCCTCCATACTTTGCCGAGGTACGTATGTATGTAGGTATGTCGAGTGTAGGCAGGGCAGGTTATTGGGAATTGGAATCATCGGTTTTGACGCTGTCCATCTGAACTTGGCGAATCAATTCGGTACTTGTAAAACCCTTGTCAGTAACGTCCCTTATCTCGGCTTCCCAAAGGTTTTCCGTAGCCCAACAGCGACCCCGGGATTCCCGTCGTACCGAAATTTTGGGCACGTTTTAGACTTTGACTGAGGTGGGGGTTAGAAACAAAACTTATCAAAAAAACCCTTTTAAACGAAACATATCGCACTCCACACACCACCACCACCACCACAACAACCCCAAACGTCCCACAGCCATGGCCACCCCAACGAAGATCAATGTCTCGCTTCCCCAGCTCGCTAAAATGATTGATCACTCCCTCCTCCACCCCACGATGACTGATGCAGAAATTCGTGAGGGTCTCGAGCTTAGTAAAAAATACAAGGTCGCAACTGCCTGCGTCAAGCCCTACTCCATCCCATTGGCTCGTGAGGTGCTCTCCGGTAGTGGAGTACTCGTCTGTCCTGTCATCGGCTTCCCCCACGGGAATAGCACAACTGCCATCAAAGTTCAAGAGGCAGCAGCTGCCGTGGATGCGGGAGGAGATGAGATAGACATGGTTGTGAACGTCGGGAAAGTATTGGGTGGCGATTGGGACTACGTTACAGAGGAAATCCGACAGATCAACCAAACGGTTGTTCAGAAGGGCGCTATCCTGAAGGTTATCTTCGAAAACGATTACTTGAACGAAGACCATATCGTCAGGTTGTGCGGAATTTGCTCCGACCTTGGCGTCGCGTTCGTCAAGACATCGACGGGGTACGGCTTCGTCAAACAGTCGAACGGATTTTACTCGTATGATGGTGCGACATATCCGCATTTGAAGCTGATGCGGGAGAAGTCGGCTTCGGGCGTGCAGATCAAGGCGGCCGGGGGAGTACGAACGTTGGATGATCTATTGAGGGTTATGGCCCTTGGTGTGACGAGGGTTGGGGCCACCGCTACAGTTGCAATTCTAGAGGAGGCAGAAAAGAGAGGCATTGGAGAGGAACCAATAGAAGTTGAGGTTGAGTTTAATTGATGGAAGTGGGTTGTACGAGTTTCTGTGTTCCTGAGCGGAACAGATACCCGTGGGAGATATGTGATGATAACATTTCTTTGCAGTCAGGGCGACAGATATTTCACGGCAAAGGTCCAGCTTCAGAATGGTACTGGAAATAGCAGCACAAAGACCCTAGTCTCTATGTCTTGTGATCTTTGAAATCTGATGATGACCTCGAGAGTTTGTGGTCATTACATCCTCGAAAAGAAAGTGCCTTAACTAAATGAGCGTCTGCCAAATTATAGCGATGAATTTGTCCTAGTTTTCGGTCATAAAGATAAAAATTATCGACCACAGTAAGAAAGACTTTGTCGTGACTCATGGACGATGACTCGAGTGTAAGGCTGGAGCTGGACGCCAGACACTGATGACGTTACCACAAGCGTCAATAGTGATCTCCTCAACTACAACTACATGTAATCTAGACTTTTGCCGGTGCACTACAGAACGACTTTCCAATGGCATTGTGAGGGTTATGGTATTTTCGTGATGCCCAATTAATACATTGAGCATCTAGACCTTCACTAAACGTCATATCATTTTCTATAGTTATGTTTCACCTTTGCATTCTTCCTTGCTTCCAAACATGAGGGGTAGGGCGTTTGACATTTTGCGCATCTCCAGGGAAGCATATTGATGTAGTACAGCCGCACGAAAAAAAAAGTATTTGATTATTCAAGATATTCACACGTTGTCACTCGACCGCCACCAACCACCTGATTGCGGCATCAACACAATCAAACTGATAATGCGTACTTGGAGTAGGAAGGGGAAGAAAAAAAATATACCCGTAATTAAAAGAAATACTCATTTCAGAACCACCGCTTTTGTTTAGGTGTATGGCTTGCCTAAGGCCCCCGTCGTGTGGAGATGCGGAGAAATGTTTGACGTCAATTTACCCACCGCAGGTAGATACATCGTGGACCTCTAGATTGTGCAGACAGCCCTATGAGCCCTAGAATGACTTTCTGTTGGGAACAGTAATAGCTTCATAATTGGCTGCTTAAACGTCAAGCTATTAAAGTGTAAACAGATTATTGATCATTTCCCTGCTGATCTCGTTAGTCTTTAGTAATAAGTAACAAAGACTGCCCATTCACACAGAACAAGTGTGCAACTCGAGCTGTTTCTTTTTTCCAATCCCTTAATTAGCTTCGCCTATTGCCCAATTGCGTACCCATGGCTTGAGCACAGGTAACCGAGAATCTGGGGTTCTAGTTCAGTTGTGAATCAAACCATGAATCTCATGTAAGAAATGCTCCCAAGCGGCTTCTGCTGCCGTACAGGGAGCTTCAGTTTGAAGGTTCCTTTGCTCTGGGTACACACAACTCAGCTCAACACCATGGGTTTTTTTTTCGTGAGAAAGTTTCGTGGCTCGATAGACTGATGATGGATGTTCTTTAGGTATCTTTGAGACTGAAATATCCGCTGGCCCGGGACCATTCCAGGCCGCTGAGAATGTCCACGCAGCCAGCGCTCTACAACTGCTTGCCTTGTACTCATAGTAATCCATCCACAGTGCTTGCCTTCTTTACGCACTTATCTATAGTGTTTCTAGATGTCTTTCTTTGCTTTTATCGCTCTGTCAGATTGGCTTGCGTGTTTTGTCGTGACAGCCAGCGTCAGCTGCATGGTGAAATACCCAGCTGGCTGTTTATCATGGAAGAGTAATCAACCATTAATTGTTCGAGGCTTTTTTTCCCCCTACAATTGTTTTTCAACGAAAAGGTTTTTTATCCTCACATTCGGATGCTGTTGGAAAGCTTTGCGGATCTAATATCACAAACTAGGCACCGGCCTGGTAAATTAATGATAAGAATATCCTGGCCTTCTCCGTGCATTAGAAGGCATAGCCAAAAGAAATTCCATATCTCGAGGGGTAGGCATTGGATCTACAGATAGCTATCTCATTCAATCTCAATCTAATTGGCCAGCGTAGTAGATAGAACTCGAGCACTTACCTTAATTGAAAAACTTGTGTAGACTTTCTTTTTCCTCCATACATAGGCTTGCAGAAGAAGAAAAGTCTATGACGTTCAGGTACAGTCCTCGGATTGTGGCTTGGTCTCGTGCTGAATTCTTACCCCTGGAATGTTCCGCGGCGCATCTGATCAGATCAGATCATGAAGTGGCCGTGATTCAAACTCTTGACACTCGTTAAAACTGTCTGATAAGCACAAACTGAACCGAATTGTATATAAACGGCGCTTATCGTTGCCGACTACCCACGATATCTAACTACAGTGAGTTGAGTATGAGGGTTTAATTGTAGTCAAGTACTGAGCACATACGTACGCAGCTCGAGGGACATATATAGCGTATCCCCTCGCATTACCCATCTGTCTTTTGCCAAAACCGGAACTCGGAGCTGAGTTTTTCCTTTTTTTCCCCATTCCCCAGTTTTTCCCACCGGCCGGCCCCAACCTCCCTTCGGGTCCATGCATCATTTAGCCCCCTGTCCAATAATGATCCACCATAAACTAACCTCAATAATCTTTGAGCTCCACCACCTGCGCGAACGTTTGCACCGAGATATCTTTCGCCAGAAAGCTTGGTTTGAACTTCATGCAGGGGTGCTTCTAGAAGGATTGCATAGTTGAACTGAATATCTTTCTCTTGCTATCAAAACTGGTAAGTGGGTTCTCGATTCCCGGGGTATCATCATCCCGAAGTTGCGCTTCGGCTGGGAAATCTGATATTTATCCAATCCATACAAGGCCTCGAGCCTCGCTACCCTCCCCCGCAAAGTACATACTTACCGCTCAAATGGAATCCGGGGGCGGGGAGTACTCTAGATTAATTGGTGACACTGACTAGCTGGGTACTATCATGAGATGAGGACGGAGATTCGGTAGAAGGAGTTAGGGGATGAGAGATGGCCAAGGGGACTTTGCTTTAAATTCGGGCCCTGACTCCCTTTTTGTTGTGATTTTGCTGTTCGTCACCTCAAGTCTCCTTTGCTACCTCTGGCTTCTTATTTCCAATCGAAAGAATGAAGTTTACTCTCGGTGTCGGCGCCTGTTTGGTCGCACTCGCAGCGGCTTCTCCTACCGCGAGGGGTTCGAAAAAGTCACCATTATCGCTTGTGATACATAACGATGGAACGAATGGTACCTTTTCGTCCACTATTGCGAGTGACAAGATCTCTATGCATGTTGGTCAGCAATATGGTATGTGAATTAATATAATCGAGAGTTCGAGGGAAAGAAAGTTGGGACACTAACGGAGTGATGTTCAGGTACAAAGTTGATGTATAAGGGCGAAGACCTGGTAAAGAATGCCACAGGAGCTTATGCAAGTTATGGTAATACGCTACCCCCCTGTAAATATAAGCTTTGGTGGTTTGGCTAACAATCTTCCAGCCGGCCGCTACTTTGACCTCAACTATACGTCTGCCGCAATCTACTCCGAGACCCAGGACATGCTTGACATTGGTTTCACCGCCAAAGAAGGTGTTGTCCACTTCGTTCTAAAAACCGGTCTTGATGGCTTCTACTCCTACTTCGTCAATAAAGCTCTCGGCGTGCAAGGGGAGTTCAGAACCCTCTACCGCCTCGACCCCGGGCTGTTTCCAAATGGCCGGACGTATCTCAAGGACGAGCCATTGCCTCTATTTTCAGATATCTTGAGCGGAACTAATGTTCAAGACGAAACCTGGCAGCGTCCCGACGGCACCTATATCACCAAATATGACTGGTCGCTTTTCATGCGTGAAAGCGACTTTTACGGCGTGTATGGGGATAAGTTTGGTTGCTGGCTTATCAACCCTGGGAAGGATTACTATAATGGTGATCAATTGAAGCAGGAATTGAGCTTGCATAGAGAGAGTCAGACGAATGATACTGTATTGCTCAATATGCTCCACGGGACACATTTTCAGGCAGCTTTCAGTAATGTAATCCCAGACGGGAAGGTTTTTGGGCCTTGGCTTGTGTAAGTCATCAGCACCTCTATCCACATTGCATATGGTAACTTACTGACATATTCTAAGCTACCTCAATGACGGCTCGGTCAAGGACGCCGTGAAGCGTAATAAAGCTGAAGAAAAGGCATGGCCCTATGAGTGGTTCACCGACTCCCTCTACCAGTCACGTGGTTCTATCTCCGGAAAGCTCATGCTTGACACCGGGAAGCCCGCTGCCGGTGCTGCCATCTTTCTTGGTGAGCCGGGAAGAACTATCGCGCAGGGCACTACCTTCCAATATACCACCTACGCAGACAGTAAGGGTAACTTCAAGATCGAGGATGTACGCACTGAACAGCCGTGGACGATTCAGGCCTGGTCAAACGGCGGTGAAATCGGAGGCGTGACTACTATTTTCCAGGCAGGAAATTACACACTCACGGAGGGGAAGAACCTTGATGTCGGGAAGTTGACATGGAAGACTCAGGGGAGAACAGATATATGGCAGATCGGAGATTATGACAGGAAGAGTCTTGGTTTTGCATACGGAGGTGCTCCGTATACTCATGGCCTTGTCGATAACTGTCCAGCGAATCTTACGTACACCATCGGCACCAACTCGGCCAAAGATTGGTGCTTTGGAAAGAGTTCAAAGGGAACCTGGTCTGTTGTCTTTGACATTGAATCTCTTCCGAGTGGTAACTCGTCTGCTGTGCTTTCGCTTTCTATCGCAGGGTTCTCGGGGTCTGGAACTGCTATTGGTGGTTCAGGGTCTGCGCTTGAGATTGTTTTGAATGGAAATGCATTGAGCAACCATGCCACACCCATTGCGAGTGATCCATCGCTCTACAGATCTGGAACTACAGCGGGAGAGTGGCATTACTACGAGTTCGTTGTGCCAAGGTCGTGGTTAGTGGCTGGGACGAACAAGCTGGATTTGACTACAAATAAGACAGCTACTAGGTGGAGGGGTATTATGTGGGATATGGTGAAGATGGAGTGGAGTTAGGGATGATCTATAAATGTTTAATGTGTACAAATAAATATTAAATATGGATGTATGGATATATAGATGTATGTACAGATATTAAAGAAGCGAGAACATTTACTGCACTTCGAAGTTCGGGTTTTAGTGGTCAACTATGAGTACTAGATGACCTCTCCCCACACACTTCTTCCTGAATACGACGGGCGGTCTCATATCCAGTTCTCATAAGATGCTAATTCATACTACAGCTTTAGAACCCCGATCTCATCATCCAATGTTGTATGGATTCATGGTTTCCAAAGTTCACGTGACAAATTGGCCGGTGAGTCACGGTTCGTCACTCGAAATCTTGGACATCAACACTTGGTGCTTGGTTTTTGTTTTTACCAACTCTTGATGCTAGCTTGATTGATATATTTTGTTATTTAAAATGTAATTAGAAAGTGTTAAAGCTCAAGTTAATCAGTAGCTGCTTGTAATATATTATCCTTCGTCTGGCAAAAAATGCTGCCCACCCCCAAAAAAGCAAATTTTATATGTGGCTTTACTAACAGATCCCGTTATCTCTCTTATCAAACAATGATCTCCCATACAAATCTAATTCCCGTGTTATATGGTGGGCAGCATTACCAGACGAAGGGATAAGTAAGCTTCTATATGCTATCAAGCCTCAATCAAAACTGAGTTTCTGAGCTAGAGTGCTAATCATGCCGGTCGACTTCTATCTTCCTTCAGTCCGGCCCGTCCAACAAGGGCTTCAGTGGAATGTGTGATTGGTCGGTTCCATACAGATTTCCATTGTTTGGGGTAAGCGTGCTAAGCGCTTACTAATTCACTTCGGAACCGAAGTAAAGGAAAACGACGAAAACCAGCTACAGTATTGTAGTATCATAAAGAACTTCTGCGTTGATATGGTTTCGCACTTACAACCGGTTCACAGACTGTACCAGTTTATCCCTTCTAGTAATATCCTCGACCATGAGTTTGTATCAATTGCTTCTTCGACACGATTCGGCCCGCTCTAAATAAGAGCACCTCTTGCATTGTTACTCGGTTTTAAAGCTTCAGAATGGCAAAGTGCTTTCTCATAGAATATCACTCGATGGTTCTACTATGTGAGCATACTGATATTTTACTTGAGATGTCATTACCCAATGAGAACTAGGCCTTCGAGATTTTAACCAACATTTTATTTAAATTCCTGCCTTTGATAAAGATAATTTATGGTTCCCTTATAAGCCCAAAGGAACACAATATTTAAACCTAAATAATAGATATCGGTCTTAATTCCCCAGCTCCTCAGGAGTATCACTGGCCACGGAGGCGGCAGTAGTAACGATAGCACATTTCCCAGCCAACTCCCTTGCTTTCTGTTCACACATCACTGCTGTAAATTTCTTTACAGCACCTCCTCCTGCCAGCTCTGCTATCTTGGCACTTATCCTTTCCCACCTATTCTCATCCACTTCCGCCATCGCCTGAATCAAGAAATCAACTTCGTTCTCCTCCCACGCAGCCAACTTTGCTGTTAGTCGCGAATAGCGCTTCGCCAATGATCCTTTAGCCACTTTCCCTCTCCCCTCTCTCTCAAAGATTTCAGAGATCTCTTGCCAAGGTCTTCCCTCCTCTTTGAGCTGAACAAGACGGGAATCATCTCCTGAATTCGAAGCCGGTGCTGCACCCGATGCTTGAGTTCTAGGCTTGGGGGCTGCCGTACGTTTGGCTGGCGAGGCCTTGGCCGGGGTGCCAGAGGCGAGTCGCTTACGAGATTTTCGGGGTGTCTTTTGAGGGCTATGAAAAGTAATAGGGCTAGGAGGACTTGCGGTAGTCATGGGGGATGGAGGAGTAGCAATGGGAGACGGAGGAGTAGTAGTAGTGAGGGGCGGAGGAGTAGTAATAGTAGTAGATGCAGGGACGTTTTCATCTTGGCTGAGCATAGGCTCGTCTCCGCTCTGGGTGGAGCTCGAATGCTAATAACATTGTCAGTACATACACTACTGGTGGAGGTTTATTGAGCCAGGTATAATATTTACTTACTTCAGCAGACGAATTGGTGCTGTGTTCGGACATTGTGCTATTCTTTGGCGAATTTCGAGTTTTTGACTTGTGAATATGTGCTTGGTCTTGTCTGAAGGTCTTCGCTGAGGATTGAGCAGGATAATTCAGTCCAATATATACCAAAAAGTCACGATGTCTTCTATCTTCCCCTCCTTCCAGCCGTATGCCATGTCTCCTATGCAGTGCGGGGTCTTCGAGTCCGTGCATCTGCTCGGACCACCCTGTTCTATGTGTTACTCTTCCAGGTTTGTATGCTTGGCCAATTGTGCTGATCAGTTTGCAATTTGTTGGTTGAGTTCGTGCGGGTTCGTGAATGACGTATATATCTGGCTTCAAAGGTATTGTGAAAAGAGACTCAATGACGAAATGTCACTTGTCAAGCCACTACTAGTACTCTATATTTTTTTTACCCAAGTAAACAAACCTCTTCCGTAGGATTCTATGTGTGGATAAAAGCATTCGATTCAACAATGGCATCGAGAACACCTCTGAAAATTATGTTTGCATATTCGCCCAATATTATTATCATTCGACAAGCTTTAGCCCGATTTAGTTTTCCTCAGGCGACAGATCACCAAGACCACCAACTTGTGCGTAAACGCGGCGGCCGCGGAAATCTGCATGTAGTGGTGGCTTTCAGATGCAGGGACCAATCGGTACCCTCAATTGGGGAAATTACCTTTTGCAATTGGTATAGTCAACGCTTTCGGGAGTAGAGATATACAGGGGAGTGGAGAAGAAAAGAAAAGAAAATAAACCTATTTGGCTACTCAGATGGTAAATGATAGCAACAACATAATATTACATGCGATTAGACTAACCAAATAGGCTTAATTGTAGGCCAATATGATGATAAGAATCATTTCCGTCTCCCCGAATATCAAGACATTGAAACATCTGCGGGAACAGCGGGTTCCTCTGAAACTACAGCTACTTCTTCAGCCGCTCCATTTTTTTTGATCTCCATGGCTTTTGCCTTGAACTTCTTCTCACATGCTGCCCCCTGAAACTTTCTACTCGCACCTAGCCCCACCATCCTCTCCGCCACCTTATCCCACTTTGTCCGCTCGAACTCTTTTTCGGCCTCAAAGATCGCTTGACGCAAGAAATCAATCTACTCCCCCCACTCCCACACAACCAGAAGTAAGCAAACCCAGTGCCCGTCAAAATATTGTAGGAAAAGTGGTATTGCATTATCGCGAGGGGGGAGTAGTGGACTTGCATCGTCATCCTCCCAGAACACTATTCCTTCTTTAAGACTTCTATATCGATTTTTGAGGAGTGTTTGCTTTCGACCGGCCCAGCCGTGCTCGCGGAAGGCTTCAACGATATCAGGCCACTTCATGTTTTTTTCATCCTTGAGACTAAGAAGAAGAATGTTTTCTTCTGCGACGTTTGGCTTCTTTAGTGGGGCAGCGGTCAGCTTGGCTTTTTTGGTAGGTGTTCCTCCGCCATCCGAGCTCTCATCATCGTCAGTTGACAGGTGGCATCGTTTGAAACCCTCGGGCAACGGCTCATTAGAGGGACTAGAGGACGACAAGGGGGACGACGTTGGGGGGCTAGAACTGAAGCTCAGCCCTGGTGGCGGGCCGAAGTCAGTTGCGGAAGATTGCGGCAGGTTCTTTGATAAAGTGCCGTGATTTTGTTAGTTAACTCACTTAGATAGGGAGGAAGTGAAGTGGGAGAACTACAATCTTTTCGATCTCTTCCTTTTGACTAGTTCCCCCAGCCGGAGATGTAGGGGCCGTAAAGACAGGAAGTTCAGAATCAGAATTCTCTGACTTAGGAATCTCAGGTTCGGAAATCTTAGGACCAAGATTCTTATTCTCAAGCTCAGGCTCAGGTTCAGCATTTTGTTTAGAGTTACTAGACCGGAGGGTCTTTTTCCCCTTCTTCGTTGCTGCTGGTGTTTTTTTAGGTTGTTTCTTCCGCACCATTGTACTCAACTTGAAATATGTAAATGATGAACGTTAACTCAAACCCTGTAACGCATCCGGAGAAGAAGTTACTTTGAGAGGTAGTTATATGGATAACAAATGTTAAATATTCTCCATTAAGAACTTTTTTGTTAGAACTCTGTGTGCACAGACCACGAATCACTCGAATAGCAAATCAAATAAGGAGAGAATGACATCGTCCAACATATCATAATCAGGGCTAGGACGTTTAGCTTTTCTCATTCATAGTAGAGATCGCAACTAGAGATCACAACCAGCTCTGTGCATTACAATTCAGTTTGAGTGAGTGATCATGAGTGACAAACCTCCAGTGATGTTGGCTTGGTTAGTACATATTAACTTTTTTGGTAGTAATGCAGGCTGGAAAAATCTAGTTTTGTCTGTGTTCCAGAACAATCAATCCCAGATCCAACAAAGCTACCTAGGAAAAAACAAAAAGAAGAGGGTCCAACATATGATAAGCAGCGTGTTAGCAAGCAAATATTTGGGTTGAGATCGCTTTCTATTCGAATCGACGATAATCATATCATAATGCTCTGTGCGCGAAGCTCAATATCAATCTTGCAAGGAGGGTAGGATAAACGTTTTCATTTTTATCATACTTAGCAAACCACGAGGAACTGTGGCGATAGTAATATATCTGCCGATAACTATAACCGAGATCATTTCCACTTGGACGGGACATTTAGGAAACGGATCACAAAAAGCAAAGAAAAAGTAGGCATCCATACATACATGTAGTTACCGTACAGTATTTTGCTTATTTCACTCCGACAAAAAAATGAACTTAGTCAACTAGGTAGGCACGTGATGGGACCCACACTCAAAAGAAAAGGTGTTCACATTATCATTTACACCGTCCCCACTCCAGAAAGTTCCGGCATGGTGCAGGCGACCTATCTTAATTAGGTCAAGTCATCGCATAGAAAAACAAATAATCTCTTATAGTCTTTAAAAAGTGTTAACTTTTTAGCACCTGGTATGTATGTTCCAATCAACTAACCCCTCCATTCCCTAGGCCAATGATCATGACGTATCCAAACAAAGTTCATACCTCTCAGCCTGTAATCATCCCAACCTACCCCAAAGTCACTCGCTAATCGTGCAGATTTGGTTTCGTTTACTTGACAGATCCACCAATATCACCCCCGTGTTATTACTCGGGTCCCAGATGAGATAGTGCCAAGCCAATACTGGAATGCACAGTACTTACTCTGGATCTCGGGATTAGGGGTATTAGAAGAATCTGGGGCCGAGAAAGGTACGAATATACCGTAAGGGCTGTAAGAGATGACGTTGCTCTTACTTGGGTCAACCAAATTGGTTTTGGCACATGAAGTTCCAGGTTCAAAGTGAGGCTCAACGAAGGGATCCTAATTAAGGGTGTAGATCATATCATGTAAGACCACCGATTTTCAGTGTAAAATTCATATGCATCATTGACATGGAAATAAACACCCCAAGAAGACCTTCCAAAAAAAAGAAAGAATGGAAGAAAGAAGGAAAAAACAGGAAAAAACATAGCCCATGCAAAAAAAACAAAAAAGAACCCAAAAATGAGTGAGAAACTCCGCCAAGGAAAACAACCAGAAAACAAAAAGACCAATAAACACCGTTTTTTCTACTGGAATTGCACATTCAATAAATTCTGCCAAAAATTGTCCCCCATCCCATTCATCATCTGCTGCTCTTCCACCGCACAGCCGCTCCCAGGCGCCCCAAAACCGTAAAGTTCTTGTCCATGACTGTGGTGGTGCTGATCCATAACCACATGATGGGTCGCTGCGGCGGTGTCCCCCATGTTACCGGAGGATATTTCAGGCATTGAGAAGAACTCCTCCAGATCCATTGACATTAGATCCCGGTGTGGCACAACGGCGTTGGTATACGAGGCCCAATCAAAGTCACTCATCTGCTCTGGTCTCTGGATTTCTGGATTGCCGTGCATGTTCTCTCGCAATTGTAATTGCGACGATAACATGGTTGGTGAATGTGACAATGAACCTGAGAATGAAACTGGTGGCTCTGGCGATCCATGAGACTGACCACAAGCGTATGGAGAAGCTCCTGATGATATCGAGACACCAGAATCAGATTCTGTTGTTGATGAAATCCTGGCTCGATTTGGGAAGCTGTCTATTCGGTGTACGCTGGAAATTGCGGCTTCCACTTTCGAAATAAGCACTTTCAACACGGCAGCACCTTTCTCCGCTAATTTGATCCTCTGACCGAGCATTTCTAGTCTTCTTTGGCCTTCTCGCAGGGCTTTAAGACAAGCCTCAATCATTTCGGGATCTAAGGATGCTGGCGAGGTTATTATTACCGCCGCAATGAGAACTGCTGGATCAAACGTAAAGAAACAAAGAGTGTAAATAGTGTGATGGTGTTCTTTTGTCATCTGGAGTACTCTGGTTTGTGAATCAAGAATGACTAATGAGGCCTTGACAAGCTCCATCTTCGAACGGTCTCTTGTAAAAACAAAAGGCCGATGAAGCCCTACTATCAGGCAGAAAGCCGAAGCTTTGAGAAGCTCGCACTGGGCTGAAAGGAATGGGTATTGTTGGTCGTATGAATTATCTCTATTCCGGATCGCAAGTGCTGGTGGAAAGAATTCCGTGAAGGAAAGGATCTTTGAGTGCATCAGATCGACGGAAGAGAAGTCCAGTGAAAGTGGCTTATCGACTTTAACCTCCATATCATCAATTTCGTTTATGATATGGGCTAGTTGGTAATCTAACAGGCGCTCTGTGAAAGGATTTGGAGGATCTAGAGGCCCACGAGGAACGGGGGGCACTTTGGTGAGATCTTGAGGGATTGGGCAATCAATTGGCGGCGTTACATTGCAATGCCGATCATTGATCATTGTAGGGCGTCCAAGAATCATAGACATAAATCTAAACCGTTAGAAAAGGCAAACAATACAAAACATAATTCAACTCTTACCGATCCCAGACATAAAGATTGACCCAGACCCGTTTCTCAATCTCTTGCTCCCACACACTCGCTATACTTTCAGCGTATTTTTTAGGCCGCTCCCGATGTAATCCCATTTCTTGAGCCTCCCGGATAGCCTGTCCAAGTGCATGCCATGACTCCACAGCTCTCCCCTCACTCTTCAACCATGAGCTTCTCAGAAACCATTGTTGAACACGAACAAGGGTAGGACTGCTTGCTGATAACAGACTTGCAAGCTCACATGCAGTGTTGCTATAGGTCATACTAAGATTGTAGAAGTTCTCCTTGCCAAGGTTAAGCTGTGCCATAAACTTGTAATGTTCCACAGGAAGCATTTGCAAAGCAACGGCCAGCACTTGCAGTAGCAACGCAGGGAATTGTGAAAGTATCTTCTTCTTCCCATTATTTCCTGGTGTGTTGTTCGATGCGCATTGGTCATACCACTCCTCCATGTGTTTGAGGAAAGTTTGTTCATGTAGGGAGCCATAAATCCAGTTACACTCCTGAAAAAACACCCTTACAAGAAGTGAGGTGTAAGGCCGAGGTGGTATTTGTCGAATGTGCTTTGTGTACGGATATAACTCCACGCTATCGGATATATCAACAACCTGGTGGTTTGACCTAACCCAATTATTGACGCTTCCATGACCATCGAGATCGAGCTAGGCCAAATTAGTCCCATTAACTAAGACTAGAGTTGTTGAAATGCTTGTAGCTACCATACCTTTTCTAGTACATTCAATGCCGTATGTGTATGTCCGCTCGACCTAATGTACCCAAACCCCCCTGGTACATCCTTTGCGCCCAATATCATATCACCCGGAGACCCTGGGGGCTCTCCCTTGGGGCTTCTAGAAACCGGGGAAACCGAAGAAGATCTGCTATTATGATTCGGGCCTGATTTGCTTTCGTATTGGCACAAGTGCGATGCAGATCTGAGTGTGCAGTTTGCACATGGGTGCTGTCTATCGCACTATTATGCTACAGTCAGTACCCCAAACAAGATACATATAAGAGGCAATGGGGCAAACCTTTTGCTTTCTGCGATGACATTCGGTGCATGATATAACAGTCCTGGCTCTCTTTCGCTTTCTCTGTGGGGTCAAATCTGTACTAGGCATCTTGAGATGTAGGTTGTATTTCGGCGGTATATATCAGTGTCTGTTTGAAATGCTGAAATCTTCTGGAGGTTTTCGAAGTTAAGAAATACTCGCTCCTGACAGGAGGCTCGGCACTAGTGAAACAAGAGATTTGATGTTACTCGGTTCGTCTTCCTGCGGTGCACCTTTAAAAAACAAATACAGGTAGCGTGAGAATTAAAGTCTCAGGGCCCAACGTTTTTTCTCGGGGTCGTTCCGGCCGTGTGCTCCACAAACGAGGTGGAAAGCCTTGTGTCAGACGAATAAGGGAAGGAAGAACAAAAAAAGATCCACACGCCAGGTGCGATGATGTAAAACGACTGAAATGGTCCTAAGTGTAGCCGGACTATGGTGTACCGTGGGCGTATCGGAGTTAAGGAATTAATGAGAGCCGTTAAGACCCCAGGCGAAGCTCGTTGGACCGCAGTAGGAATAATAAAAGTAGAATAGATCGATAGTAACTACCCGAGTTTATTCGTCCCTCTTTCTTCGTCTTCACTCTTTCTGTTATTTGCGGATTGGTAATATAGGAGCTATGAAAAGAAACTCGACAGCTGTGACATCGAAATATAGGCAATTTCGATTCGATATAGTAGCAAGGAAGATGAGCTAAAGAAGAGGACTGGAAGAAGGGTTCACTTCGAGGAGGATTATAGCAGATGGGGAAATGAGAGTAAATGCAGGGAGTGTGCTTTAATTATCTGGTGTTCGGTTTTGCGCGTGTGGAGACCGGATATGTCTTGGCCAGCTCTTTGCAGTATAGTGCAACCTCTCAATATCTGCATTAAACGGGTTGAGTGTGCATGTTAAATTATTTTGTATTCTGCAGGTTGAAGGACAGCGTTGGCTTTTACTTTCAAGATTTTGTGGGTAGAGTGAGGAGCGAGGGTGGTGAGTCTGCACCCGGCTCTCTCAGGTCAGGTATGGCTTATATTTGGAGGGGTCGCGAATCCTAGTGCTTTTGACCATGGGAATCCATGCAGGCATGATATCCTTGTTCATGATGTATGTAGGTGAGAAATTTCTGAGAAGGCCGGTAGGTATCTACATGCTCTACCTACTTTGCAAGCAGGAGTTAGCTTTACAGTATGGAGGCAGAAGTGTGAGGGAGTGAGGAGGAGTGATAGAGGGGAAGCTCTGAGGACGATGAACCATCGATGATGCGGGTGCTTATCGCAATCTGGTCAAAGCCCATCTGTCCGTTTTGCCAAGGCGTAAGACGTAATGCGCACAAAGCGCGATGGGAGGGGGTTCCGGTTTGGCAGTCATATCTAAAGTACCATATGTTTGTGCGTTTCCAGCGCCGCTGCAGAGACGCAACGATTGAACAGTTCTCGATCGATTCTTGGTTGGCTGGTTGGCTGGTTGGCTGGTTGGCTATTAAGTACATGTAGTGACTTGCAATAGGTGTTGTGGGGCGTCCTAGCTGCAGAGTAACCGTTCTACTGCCTGAACAACCACAGCCTGAAGCCTTATGTGAGATATATACCGGGTAACCGAACCCTCCGAGCCAATGTTTTGTAAGTTGAAAAGCATCACTCCAATTCCGTCCCGAGAACCTTCCGAGAGTTGCTGTTAATAATTGTGCCGAATATGAAATTGCTCTCGAATGTAGACGTATGTTTTGATTGCGTGTATAGAATATTGCTCCAACCAAATGTAATGTACCTACATACATACATGAACGAATATGTGGGCCAATGCATGCACAGCCTATGTAGATCTACACGAGCCCTTTTGAAGTGCACAAGTATGATCGGAGAGGGGTTCTGTGATCTGCAGCTGGCGGGAGTTTAAATACACTCCCAATGAAATCCAAATCTCAACTACATACTTGGCAGATGAGGTTTTTATCCAATGTTGAAAGGTGGGGGAGAAAAGACTCCTAAAACAAGTGAGTTTGGTAATGATGATATGGAAACAACTAGGTCCGCCCCACGCTCATAACTTCGATGATATTCAAGTCATATTTTTACTGCTTATGCAGCTCATGCATTTCTGATGTTCGGGGGCTTCCCGAAAGTTGCTGCATCTTGATCATCCTAGACCTTTAGTTAATTGATAAGTTGGAATCCTAAGCAAAATCGAGGTTCGAGCTTTTAGCTTTTTTTGATTAAATAACTATCCATGATATCATAAAAACTATCGTATCATCGGGCGAGTATCACTCGTTCGATTCTAATCATGTTTATCAGCATCAAGAAGAAGATGTTTGCGCATTATTCTGAGAATTCAACGGGATTTCATACCTGAAGCGTAGGGAGGTCGAGGCTCTGCGCCGTTTGACAGCTGCCGAGGATTTATGACCAGGGAATTAAGCGACGACAGGGCACTCCACCCAGGGATAGCTGGAGGCTCATATTGATATCGATAACGAGTGTAGTGTATCAATTCGCGACCTCGTCTCACCAAGTTTCTGTTCAGCTACCGGTTCGTTCCTCGATATTTTTTCCTGTTAGCTGATGGACGAAGGGACGAAGGGACTCACCACCTTATTTAAACCTCCAAATTCGTGAAATCTGTTGAGATTGCGGTGAGTAAGAGATATCTACCTCGGAGTTAAGAGTAGGATGTTTCGGTGTTCTGCAGAGATAGACCACCTCACTAGTGATGTTCTGTGAAGTCCGTTTATCACAACTCCTCTCACCAAAACTGATATGTTTGGTGGCCCACCAGTCGTCACTCGGAGGGAGCGTGTATGTAGCTCTATTCCGTACACGCCTGCAGTGATCTGGCCGTTAATTTTCATCCCTGTCCCTTGCTCTTTCAGTAAAGCTAAGCGCACCCTTCTATGCTATGTCGGCAAGTGCAACTCACGACTCCCGTTATGCAATTATGTGAAGTGTCTTCTTCATCATCATCCTTCATCCTATAAGTCCTATTCTCAGACTTCACTACAATTTCTGCAGATATCTACACAAAACAGTATTGGCACGAGATCACCTGCCTCTATTTCCCTGCGCCGTGCGCCCTCAATCCACCCCCCTTAGACTTGCGTGTGCCCAAATGAGTACAGAAAGGGAGAGATACATGTGTGATGCATCAAATACAGGGGTCGCTAAGCATTCACCTCTCTAACTGTTGATACCTTTACAGATGTCCTGCTTGAGTCAACAACTGTGTCCATACCACACGTCACATCATGCCAAACCAGAACTGTGACTACTAAATTCAACCTCAGGATTTGCTCCCTTCTACCTCAGAACACCTAACTACACAGTCCCATGCAAACTATAGCAGGAGATCGGATCGCAACTACTTTACATCTATTGCGATAACGACCAGCACTATGTTACGGTATTCTCGCTCACAACACCACTGCAATTAGCTCAAGGTGTAACCCTGACCCTATAATTACAGCGGAATCTCTTTCCGCACTATCAGGGTTCCTTGAGCGAGATCTGGGCGATTTCCGATGCCTCGCTTGAGCCTCAGGGCTGCCCGGGGAATTCCTACCGATAATGGCCTAGGTTGGCCTTTTTTTTTTTAAGCATCTTGGAGAGGATAGCTTCAAGGGAGGCGCGGCTATATAAAAATTGTATGTCTGGTTATGCGCGATAGTGAGTAGTACAACAACTTTAATTTCCTACTCAGAGTTTGATTCTTCCTATACTAAGTCAGAAACAGGTTTGATTTCGTTATATACATGGATAATACTCTGAAGCCTTGCGTTTCTAGGGTGGGTCCTGCTTACGTTTCCTGGTTTACAATTGGGCAGGCAATGATAATACCCTTCTTCTTTTGTGAGTGAGCTCAGGCAATAATGATCTACTGCATCTACCCCCGGTGCATTCTTCAATTAGCCCTATCTGGACATTCCTCCACCCTTCTTACATGGCATATAGCGCTCGAAGCCTTGCGGACCGCGGGGTGACACTGCAATTGGGAAATCTGATTTTTTATACGAAAGCCTCACAAAATACCATCGACCTGAGTACTCAGTACATTTACCGTTTATGAATAGATCTCTCGATCTCCCTGGTTCATTGGGTGGATGCAACACCCTAAAGGCTTCGCGAGCTCCTCTATAGATACCTACTACCTACATCACGATCATTGAAATTGGTCTTAGGAACCCATCCGCGGAACCTGATTAGTTTGGCCGGGGATCGACAGGTTACTCGGGTCTCTAAATTTCCTATTATGTCTGGTTTAGGGCATGGATTGGCTAGGGTTTGCAATGAGGGTTTGGCAATTGATACCGCTGCCAATCGATAGATGGTGATAATGATGTGGACGCACGGTCCGCATTACTGATTAATCAGACTGTAACGATCATGGATGACCTCTCATGCTTTATTCAGCCAATGAAACATAGAGCAGATATTCCTTACTGCCAAAAGGCAAGGCCAAAACAAAAGACCCATGGCCTGCTGATCTGGGACTTTGATCTAGTTGTCCAATAGGCCAAACTCACATTTCGACATCCCAACTATCAAACCGGAACTACTATTACACATCGACAGAAATCACATGTCTAAATACCATCCCAAACATTGGAATTGATAAAGTCGATCTTTTCTTTCCTTTTTCCCTACCCTTTCAAGGCTGTCTTTAACCTTCATTCAATTACATATAATAGGTCTTTGAGTTTATGGTAGCGATACAACCACCAAAGCTTTAGTCTTCACATCTTTCAAGTCCCAATTGTTTTTTTTTTCTTCCCATAAGACATTTATTACGTCTCAATAGACCACTAAGGCCGGCAACATTGTATCTCGTGCAAGCAAGAGCATTGATCCCGGAGCCCTGAACACTATTTAGTCGCGATAAGGTGCTGAATTCCCGGCAAAGGGATTCAGTTAAAGACAAGTTAGCCCACTCCTGGGTGAAAAAATCAACTAATTGTCCCGTAACCCCTGGTACTATACCTTTCCCCCCCCCAACAGTCAGCACTTGGGAGAGTATTAGTACTGCGAGTGATATTACTCAGAAGCCAGCGTATAGGCTTCGATGTACGATCTTATTAAATCAATCGCAAGGGCAGAATCATTTTACTCATAGTCTCACACTCGAGGGATATTAAGGCTGGCTTTAGCGTGGGCGGGTTCAACATTCAATTTTTCTGCATATGTACCACTAACTACATATATCAAACAGAGAGACGAGCAAGGAAATATCGAGTCCTATTCCAGCGGCATATGTACTGGCCGCTTTAAGCGTTTATGTACTACCCAAAACGTTGGAAAGTGCAATGGCTACAGTACTGGAAGCTTGCAAGGTGATCATTATCTAAGACTCGGCTTGTATGCCCGTGAGTGACATATCTTGCACGTGTGACTAGTCTATCAATATCGCAAACAGCAATATGCCGTGCTGAAACCATAAGAACCATCATCTGGAAACCTACTTTCTCATATCCGTGGACAACGGCCTCTATGGTCCAAAAATCGCCCTACATACAAAAACGATGAGCCATATTTGCTCGAGCTCCGGTATCGAATGAATTCCAGACCCAAGAAATGTAAGTGGGTCCTACCGGGCCAGCCTTAATATTTGAGGGAGTATATAGATATCCAAATACTATGCACCACCAACCCCTTCGCTCCCCCATCTTCCCATCCAATCGCGACCTTCCCCGTCCCCGCGGACCCACCAGACAGACTTCCCGACTCATTCCCGTGCTAAACGACCCGACCGAGGAGAGCAAGACACGACCCGGTGCGCATGAGGACGAGAAGGCTATGGGAGAACCGTGGTCGCGGGAACTAGGCTGCTGGGTCGGGCAAGAGATGGGTAAAATAGTTGGGAACGTGGGGGACGTTAGGAGTCTTTTATTCAAAAACCCAAGAGGGCCGAAGGCCAGGACATGGCTGAGGGCGCGCCTGTTAAATAGACTGTACGTGTAGACGTTTTACTCGGTGCTGGAAGGTGCTGGGTCATAGCGTTGAGGGGTGTTCCCTGCGTTATGCATATATGCCTCCCCCCGGCCGGTCCGTTGGGTCGAGTATTTCTGGGCCCGGTGCGCACTGGCTGGCCGGTCATGGCGATCAAACAACGACGGCAGGTGCAGCACGAACAGGTGGGGTGGGAAAGAGCAGTTCCTAAATCCGAGGCTGCGATTGATGAGGTCTAAACTCCAGACACGCAGCAGCGTTGCTGCGCAGAGGCTGCTCGGTCCACGGAGTGGGATGCGTAGCTAGGGGCCGCTACCGTACGAAGTAAAACCGAGAAGTGCGCGCTTGGCAACGGTCGGAGTGTTTCTAAAAAACTGGAGTCAGTAGCTGCTGGAATTAGGATGTGACATCAAGATTTCGGCCGGCTGTGAGGCTTAAAAGCCGTCTGTGAGGCTTAAAAGCCGTCTGTCATAGACGAGTTTGAATACTAATCATAACCTCTCCACAAACCTACGTAGACTGCTACCTCGCCGCACTCGTTGCTGATCCCCAGACATAGTGCCTCTGGGGCAGTCATCAGCACACACCATGCCCCCACGAATCAGCGCCTCAAACGCGCTTCCATAGGCTCTCTACGTCAATACCCGGCGGCTATGCAGTAGTACATGTGGTTAACTCTGTGTACCAATTCCGAGTGATATCATATGATCCAACATTCCCTTGTGTAACCCCAGCTCTAATATCCCTGCCCTGTCAGACAGCAACCAAACCCACACCGGGGATGACAAAAGCCGCAAAGCCGAAAAGGGAAGACGGGCGCGCGGATTAAGCTTTTTTAACTCCGAATGCGGAAGTTGTGTACTCGGGGTTAGGTTTTCTGCAGTGTCGAACCTGGCGATGGGGGGAGCGGAGATAACGGGAAGAGAGATGCGGGTGTGGGGCAGGGATGGGATAGAGGGGAGAGGAGGGGTGCGGGGGAGGTGGAAGTGGAAGTGAAGCTAAGGGCACAGAGTGAGGCGGGAGTGCGGTAGGGGTGTGGCGTGGGTTTGGGTGCTGTGGTAGTTGTAGTTGTGTGGTGGTGGTGGATGGTGGGGTTAGTGGGTGGGCAATATGGAGATAGTGCTTGTGCTCGTACGGAGACAGTGTTTGGGTGTTGGTTGAGGTTGGTTCTTGCTTTTGTGTTTGTATATAAGAGTTCGTGTCTTCCAGAGGAGGACATATCAATCTACAGCATCAATCAATCAGATCCTCACAAACACACATACAACAAACTTCGAGCTTCCTCTTCTCCTTCTACATCTACAAAGTACTCAAACCCACTACGTTCCTCACTCCTCACATTACCACCGCCTCTACAACCTCAGCCAACACCTCTACCTTAACTACCACCACAAACATCCAAACACTCAAACAAACAACAATGTCTCTCGCCGGCAAAATCGCACTCGTCACTGGCGCCTCCAAGGGTATCGGAAAGTCTATCGTCGAGAACCTCCACGCCTCCGGCGCCTCCGTCGTCATCAACTACTCGCGCGATAGCGCCCCCGCCGATGCCCTTGTCGCACAGTTTGGCGCCGCCACTTCCCACGCCATCCGCGCGGATGTGAGCAGTGTTTCCGAGTGCAAGCGCTTGGTCGATGAGACGGTCAAAAAGTTTGGAAAGATTGATATCTTGGTACTCAACGCGGGAGTGCTCCCGATGAAGGATTTGGCTGGAACGACGGAGGAGGACTTTGATAGGACGTTTGGCGTCAATGTGAAGGGGCCATACTTTCTTACTCAGGTAATTCTTCTTCTTCTTCTTCTTTCTCGTCTTCATTAGGGGTTTGGTTTGGTTTGGTCTTTTTTTGATATGATGCTAATTAGTTCTCGATTGATAGGCCGCAGTACCACACATCCCCGACGGCGGCCGCGTCATCTTCTTCTCCACAACCCTCACCGCCGCCACAACCGTCACGCCAAACTACCTCCTCTACAACGCCACCAAGGGCGCAATCGAACAGATGACCCGCGTGCTCGCAAAGGACCTCGGAAAGCGCGCCATCACCGTCAATGCCGTCTCCCCCGGCCCCACTGGTACCGACCTCTTCTATAACGGAAAGCCAGAGGCCGTGGTTAAGATGATTGCTGGATTCAACCCGATGAACAGAATCGGTACTCCCGAGGAGGTTGCCAGGGTTGTGGGCTTCTTGGCGGGGCCTGATTCAGGATGGGTGAATGGCCAGAACTTGAGGGTGAATGGAGGTATGGCGTAGAGGCAAGGCGATCATGGAGTGTCACTCGAGGTTGGGGGTTGGGCTTGGCTTTTTCGGTTTTCTTTTGTGGTTGGTTGCATAAATACATAGCTCGAATAAAAGGTTCTTTCATTTATGACATTGGATTGAATTGTGACTTTCTGGGTGATTGTGATGTTCTTGCTCTTTGCTGTGTGTTTGACGGTTTATCGCCCATGTTGTTTTCTGTGAGACCCAAACAGTTAACTGTCCGAAAAAAACAAAATAGAAAAATGATGTCAATCTGTCTATCTCCATCTAGAGATCAGCCGGTAGTTGTTGTAGGACGTTGGAAAAAGGAATATGGAACCTACGCAATCCACGGGAGGGGGATGGTAAGGCACACCACCACAACCACCAGCTCAACGAAGTGAAAGCCAAGACGCAGCCCGTGCCTGTGTTGGATCTCACAGCGGAAAAGTGCACATATAATGCAATTGGGTCAGTGAATATAAGGTTCTGTAGTGTAATGGTTAGCACCCAGGATTCTGATTCCTGTAATCCCGGTTCGACTCCGGGCAGGACCTCATCTTTTGATTTTTTTTTTCTTCGTCAGATGTTTTCTGCCCACCGCTAAGAAACGATAACCCCGCTTTTCATGACCGCAATGTTTCTCCTCTCCCCACCCTTCCTTTTTTATAAGCGAAATGATAATAGGACTCGCAAAAAATTTATAGCGGGCGCTTAGTGTGATTGTCAAAAAAAATATGGTTCGAAAGGTCTTGCTGGGGATCGAACCCAGATTACGGGAATCAAAATCCCGTGTGCTATCCATTACACTACAAAACCGTTTTCCGACCGGCACAAACAGCTGGGTTGTTATGTACCTTTGACTCATTAGTAGTGCTTGATCGGGTTAGTGCGGATCATGGGGCGTCACTCGTGCTGTGGCGGTAGGTGGCTGGTTGTGGGTGGTGAGGCGTTTTAAGGTTGGGAAGGCTGGCTTGGTTGTTCTTGGCGGTTGTGTATAAGTTTGGTAGATGAGTGTGCTTGGTAGGGTTGTATGCTGTGTGTGTTCGAGACACTTGACGGCGTTCGATCTTGTTGCCGTCACCTTTGGCTACATAGACGTCTGAGGTGATTGCGAATTTTCGATGTTATCGATATTTAATACCAATATATCGCCAATCATACGGGACTACGATACGTCGTAACCGTTGGGCAAACTTCGACGATGCCTAGCTCAATTATTGGGAGCAAACTAAGGCTACGCGTCGTAGGGTTTCTATACACAGTGAGATTTCGCCTTGCGGTTCTTGGCCTGAATCTGATGAGGATGTGTAATTTTTATCACTGATGGTGAGGTTCGTTAATTCTTTAGGCTGGTAACACGGGTGGCTGGCTGGCTTGTGGTTCTGGGCGGGGTGTGTTCAGTTTGGAGACAGGGGCAGCTAAGTGCAGAAGTCTCGTAAGCTTATGGCTTGGGGGCAAGGCGTATATATTCCGTTGGTGGTACTTGTGGTTTCTCGGCCGTAGGTCATGGCTATGCGTGAGAATGCTCCGGCGTGGACCATGGTTAATCTGGATAACGAGGTTATGGTCCAAATACTAGGTGTGGGATTGCGTACTAAGGCCTGTGCTTGGAATTCACTTATGTGTAGGTTTTGGAGCCCGTACGTTGAAGAACTCAGGCTATTCATGGTTAACGTTTTACACTGGTGTCTCTACTTGGGGAATGGCAGACCATTCGTTAACTATTCAAGCTCCGTAAAATCTGCGTCAATAGCTGACTGTATTACTCCTACATCTTACTGCGCGCTATCGTATTGGTGTTTTATATAGTTGGGAATACTCACTTTTCGTACCGGCTATGGCCAGGCTTACACGTCTATAATTATTCTTGAAGCCAGAGTTGCCCCGTCCTTCGATGCAAGATGAATCTCCGCATGTCTATTGGGGGCGGGCTGTTAGGTTGGGCTTGTACCCACAGACCGTTTGGGTGATGTGTATGGTACCACTTCGTCTATCGATGCTACCCATCTTATAATAGAGAGGCGTAACTTTTATGAAAGGTTAATTAGTTGATAAGGAAGACAATTGGCTCCAACACTTGGGCTGGCAATATTTTTTGATGGGCGAAGCAAAAACGTTTTAATTAATACCCCGACCAACCGACGAACGTTCTTTGGCGGCCAGTACTTGCCAGCACGACTCTGAGTGAGCATACTTCACTATTTAAAATGCTATGCGTGGTTCTCATATCCTATGGGCTTGATTTGCCTCACGTGTAACGTCTTAATCATATATTCTCACTCGTTAGAGACGATCACCAATCCTAATAACCGCATTCGCAACGGCTTGAGGTATCAATAATCGCAGCTTATCAATGCCAAAAAGGTTCGATTAGACTAATACGGCTGTTTTGGGACGCATTATGGCCTTTTCTGCTGGTTCCCTAGGCAATGTACATGCTTGCTCAAATTCCTCAAACCTGTGAATTAGTGCAACTGAATGTAACCCTATCTTGAGTGAAATCTATATAAACAATGATTTTCAACTCTTTTCTGCTGGGTTTGTCTTGGGGTTGCATTTCTGGAGGATATTTTGGAGGTCACAATTCGACTTTATAAAGCCTGATCATACACTATCACTCGGCTATATATTAACCTGATTGGGCATGGTGAAACTCTCCACGTGACAGTCCATTTTCTATCATTCGAATTGGCACTAAGAAAAGTGTATTGCGTACACACATAGCTCAGCATAAAGAACTGCCGGATTGTAATTTCGTTTGAGACCTTAGAGCCCGCCAAATATGCTTCTTCGAAGGGTGTTACTAAATGCTATGTTGTCAGGAGCATAGTACTGATAGAAGCCTCCAGTTCCCGATAAGTTGTGGTACCATAGATAACAAGTTTGGAGGAGGGGCAAAGCTTAGAAAAAGAGCCTTTTTGTACAGACACGGTTATTGTAATTCATAGCATAGCGACCGATCCGAAAGCCTGAATTTGCGCTATTTTTTCTAGCGAGACCCAGGGTTTTGTAGTGTAATGGATAGCACACGGGATTTTGATTCCCGTAATCTGGGTTCGATCCCCAGCAAGACCTGACACATCTCTGTAATCTTTTGTTCCAGTTCATCTGCCGTGATTTTTTTTTGATAATGGCTTCAAAGCGCAACACATGTAACACATGTAACGGGTTCTTCCCATCAACGGCCTTGGTTTTGATCTCTTGTTACTGTCACCCTTTTTAGCCGGTTCAATTCTTTGGCTGCAGCTGTACTAATCCAATTTTGGTAACCTAAATTCAACCCCTCTCTCACTTGGTTCATCTGCTTGGCTCGAGGAACAGATATTCAGCGTTGCTTTTCTGGTAGGTAATTGTTGGACTTTCTGCCCGCATCTGCCGGGTACTTATAAAGAAAGACATTTATCATCAAAAGACACTAAGGTGTATCATACCCCTAAACTCGTGTGATGTAAAGCGATGCCTGGTGTCAGGCGGGATGGTGTCATGTGAATGGAGACAACACCTGAGACTCGAGTGACGACAGTTGAAGTGAGACAAATGTTGTTACAAAACCTCCCTAGGTTTCTCTGCTTTGCTTCCTTTACGTTTGTTTGTTTTTCTTGTTTTGGCCCTCACAACGTCTGGAGTCATCTACTATCAACCGGAATCTAATCTTTAATCTGTAATCTTCACAATCGCATCTCATCTAATCTCCTGTACCTGCCTCAGCCGCACGGCAACTCCCGCATCGGGCCGAACACAACGCGTCCCCCCCCCCATACTTTGATCATTGATACCAACCTACCATCATCCCACGAAATCACCCCCTCAATTCGACATATCCACAGCCATAACTACCAGCAATGACATCTCCACTTTACAACACAACATATACTCTCCACCGCCTCTCACCTCTCAACTCCTTCCCACCAATTTCCCCCGACTCTCCTCCAGCTCCCGGCTCTTCTGAAGACCCCAAGCTTCACACACGCTCACTCCTCTCCCTCCTCCGCGGCGACATCCTGCGAAATGTGCGAATCGACGACCAGTCCGACACAACGCTTACGCGCGCAGGCCGCCCCAAATCAGTAACCTGGAAACCTTTCTCACATAACGATGAAGACACACCCCGTGGTGTCGTAATTGAATTCATATATGAAAATATAACCTATACCTCCTTCCTGCTCTCGCCACCTCCTGGACGCAAAATGACTCCATCAGGCCCAACAACACTTCTCCCACTTTTGCTAACCCGCCTACCAAAATTGCTTCGTGAGATATTAATCAACTACCTCTCGACGACCTTCGATACCCTCGCGCTACCTCTCCCACTTGACTCTGAGACCCTCAAGTCACTTCTAGAGTCATGGCTTGAGACTACTATGGCTGCGGGTGGGACAGGAGGGAGAACGAGTATACAGCTCGTATTCTCGCCTCCACCTCCGGCAGGGACATCATTGAAAGCTATCACTGTAACAGTGGAGCGTGCGGATATAGAAGGTTTCTATAGGCGTGGGTTGAAGCTTCTAGCCACTGGAGTTGGTGTGAATGGTGCTTTTTTTGAGGGCCTGGGGTGGTATATGAGAGGGAACATGGGGATCGAGGTTGACGCGTTGCGTCTACTGAAGATCGCTTGTGGAGGGTTTGTGGTTGGTGGTGGCGTCGGTGGGGGCGCGGGAAAGCTCAAGGTCTTTGAGAATGGGGAGGAGGGCGCTGGTATGGATGTGGTTATGGGAGTAGTGGAGGCGTGTCTGGTTGGGCTTGATGGGCTTGACGGGAAATGAGTGGTGCTTTTGTTTTCTTCCTTTTTTCTTCCTTATTAAATCTTATTTGGGATGGGGTCAGGGCCGGCGTAATCGAATTGGGAACTTGAATGGGGGGATATTAATTAAACTGGACCTGGGTTTGGGATATTAGCTTACAGTCTGTCGGAGCCGTTGCTGTCCGGGCTGTATAAACTATAGAGCTCTAATCTATGTATAGATTGTTGATAAATACTCAAGTAGTAACATAAATAAACAAATAATCAATCGAGTTAGCTACATGCTTTGATATACTCTGATAATTCCAACCTTTCATATCTGATACTCCATTTTCGTCCCTGTATCGTACTGTAAGGTGTTATTTCAGGAAAACCTACCTGACGTTTAACTGTTCACGTGTTATCACTCGTCACATCATGTCAAGTCAGAATGAAGAGTTTTAACGAGAAGAACATTTGGCGCAAGCCGAACACAAGCATGGTATGTGTCCTACTGTAATAGAAGGAGTTTACTTGTAATTATGGCCTCTTCTGGTACTATCTAGGTGTCAGAAACTTTAATGCTATATGCCGAGTGAGCTACGTATCTCACTCGTAGCCCTATATATATCTCATCAATACCCCTTATTCCTTTAAATTACTATCAACCGCTTATTCAATCAACCTTTTATCCACTTATTTACATCTAGATATTTATTAATTATGGTACATCCTTATGTAAAAAAAGTTTCAGCCTGGCTCGGTCTTTATGCGGTTGTCCGTTTATGCATTTACGCTCTGGTACTCTATCGCGCACCTACCGAACAGATGTCGATATGGGATATACTCTCAGTCACGGGGAAACAAACTTACAATGGTAAAACGGCTCAGCAGTAACTTTTATTGAAAAAAGAACTACTTCTAACAACTGATATAAGTCCCAGACTCTAAAACTCGACCATTGGAATTGTTGACACGTGTAGAATAAACCACTCCTAGGCTTATGCTTGAGTCTTCATCACGATTACTTGCCATTGAGTGTGTATAGGAAACTTCATTCCTATTGATCAAAAAATTACTAACCAGAGATAAAATCATCCTAGGAAACTCTTACCGCCATCATTACCACTATCATTTCCTATTTATCCCTATCAACTTAGTCAAACAAGCAACACGGTTACTTCAAAGACAGAACAGCATACACAGGCATTCCAAGAGACTTCCAAACAGACTTTCAAAACACTTTCAATTTCGATTTCTAAACAGACTTGCAAAACAAACTTTCAAACAGAACACCAAGGCAGAACAGAACATATAGAACAGAACAACAGCAAAAGCCGAGCTAGAATCAACCATCGATCAATTGGTCAGACAAAAAAACTACAATTTAATCCACTAAGTTAGATGTGGTATATGCCTAATGCTTGTTTGGTCTGTGGTTCCTGCTGCGGTTGCAGCGCGCAAAGCAGGCACAATACACTAACCATCCAAGCGGGCGTGCAGTTCTGCTAGTCAGAACGAAAGTACCCCATCTGATAAGCTTGGTTTCTATATATACCATTCTCATCTTAAAATTCTAGTCTCAAATATTTTTATTAGTCGATTGCACTATAGCAGATTATATTCAGCGATACTCGATAAGTAATGGGACTAAAATCCAGGCGTCACAATCTGGCTCAACATGAATCCATTGCTCATCATTAGTATGTTGCATTTCCTCATCTCTTGATTATATTTCGATCCATCTAATTTATCTAGCCAGTTAACATCATATCAACCCTACCAAGGATGCGCCGACTTTCTCCTTCTAATTATAACTAACGGTGTTATGAGATTACAACGATCCCGTTAGGATGATAAAGGCTGGCAACATCAACTACCCATCAATAAGACAACTGGGATTCTCTTGAATTCTACTAGCAATGGTTGAAACTCGTGAGCTAAAGGTCTTGGTCAACAGAATAAAATACTATGATTTATGCCATTGGGTATGAGGTATACATAACCTCAAGCCTGACCTAGCCTATCTACAATCAGCAAAGATTTTTCTCAATCAGAACGACTATGAAGATCTCTACATCTTCTTAAACTTATCCGTAGCTGGCTGATTGCACAGATCAGATAAGGAAGGGTGTGACGGATCAATGGCGGGGTGTGGCGGATCAAGGGAGAACCTTGAGCCAGCGACTAATTAGGTTAATAGTCAATTATTAAGATTGATATTATTTTTGCCCTCAAGTATACCTTGAGTCTACTCATGTACAATACACGTCAATAGGATCATTAATTTCTATAGACTTTTGAAATTCTCGTCCTTGAACCAGAAATGCAATTTTAACAACTTATCTGAACACCAGTTGTCACTTATAAACAGCAATATCACCTCATCCCAAGAATGGTTGATGGGAATATTTTTAACCTTCACGAAGCAGTGTAGTATCATCCACTAGTTTAAAGTCTTCTTAATATTAAGACTAAGGCAACTTAAGCCATTCTCTCAAGAACAGCTTTCTGCCCACCGTGAAGCGGGAAGATCTGTGAACGAGACTAAGTTAAGCATAACCGGTCTGAATTGGAGCTACTTTTACATAGAGTAAAATCTTTATTACGTACTTCTATTTGATATACCGTCTATGTACCGGGGGTATACGTTGGATGCATATGAAGGTTAACCTTAATTAGTTCGGTGGTTCCTACAAACCGCAGAGCTGCAGTGGGCAACATTTCGCCCCAACCTCATACTCAACTTAAGAGGTTATTAACTATGGAAAAAGGAAAGTATTTACCTTCAACTTTATGAGAGTGCTCACTCCTAGAATAACATAAAATAAAGATAATGGGCAAGCAGTCACATAACAATACGTAGGATGAAATCGCCATAACTGTAAGGTTGCATGCAATCAATGAATTAAACAAAAAAAAAAAAAAAAAAATAAATAAATACGTAGGATGAATACGCCACTTAATTGCTTTTTTTGTTTCTCACTCGCCCAGTGCTAACCCCTCAGCCGCTCAAAAAGTGCAAGAAAGATAAAAGGAAGCCAGTAACCATGGATTTTAGATTCATCGATTCTCTTTGAATTTGACAATGTCCAACGAATCCCTGAGCTGCCGCGACGCGAAATGGACCGATGTTGGACTCTTTTTCCTTGTGAACATCCTAGCTCATACAGCGACTGTTCCAGCTTCTCCTGGAATTAGCATCAGGGAATATCTGGAGGTGGCATTATTCTCATTGATAGTGCCTTATTATGGTGTTGGGCGAGCACTACGTATAATCAAGCGCGGCGCGATTTGGGTAGGAGATCCACTCCAACAAGCAGCAAGAGCAGAAGCTCTTTGCGTTGTCGGGAAAAACTGGCAATATAAGAAGCCAATCCGTGGAATAGTGGTGATGACAGCAGGCGATGTGACCCATGAGCGAGCCGTTTTTAGCTTGAAAAGTCGCTTCCGTAAGTCTACAAACATGTTAACACCCAGCTACACAGTTTGGACATAAACACTACTGATACTAATTCCATGAACCAGACTATAGACTGTTCGTGCTAGAACAAACCTGCCGCAAGATCAACTTGAGGACTGTTCACGGAAACCGTTGCACGACGGATGAGTATGCCCTTTATGCACTTGGTCGATATCAAGTCGAGGAGCTCTCCCTCGAGAATGCACAAAATTCCAAAAAGTTCAAGCTTGAACTTCCTTGCAATCACAGTTTCGTCAAACCTGCGATCTCCCTTATTCAGATTGTCTACTCCTCGATAAGTCTTTACCAAAACAGCAAGACTCAGTTCAATACTGCTGGCTTCGGCGCCTACACTTTTGTTGGAATCCCGTTTATCCTCATGTCTTTACTCAACCTCCTGGCAGCTATCTGCTCTCCAGAATATCCATGTTATTACTTGCTAGAATCTGATCTTATGGACGAGGCAAGAAGTAAAGGCTGTGAATTCAATGGCACAGTTGGTAGAATCAAAAAACCCGAACCAAACCCCCCAAGAAAAGGCTCAAGAACATATGTTTCGCCAGAACAAGCAGAAAGAGGCGGTTGGGAGTTCAATATTGTCAATAAACCCAATAACCTATTTTATCGTCATATGGTAAGGTTCAATACCACCCATGCGCACACCAAACACAACTTGACATTTAGGGACGATTTTAGGAGCTTGAAACGTTTGGATCTTTCCTACCTCGTCGGAAATACACCAGGGATACCGTGTTAGAAATCATCTGCCAATTCCTTAGACTTGGTGTCATCAGCGGGCCATTCATCCTCATGGGCGTCTTAACCCGATTTGAAAAGGGGACAGTGCCTTCTCCGAGCGGGCGTGGCTTACGATCTGGCTTCCGTTCAACTTTCTTCTAATGCTTCTAGGCTCATACTCCGTGATCAGCCATAAGGGGGTCATCGTGAATTATGTGGTAGATAGGGCGCCGGAGTGTTACGGCAAAACCTTCGAATCTTTCAAGCTCGCTTTCTCTGTATTATCAATCTCCTTTATCCTTGCAGGTCCAGCTATCTGGGTTTTTTGGGTTACGGGGAAGTCGATTATGGAGCATCAAATTTGCGAATCAAAGTAGTGACAATTACACAGCAGCTTCCCGGTTCCATTTTCAGTCCAAATGACAGTGTCAGCGAAGTCCTCAAACTCAGCAGTTATATGAATTTGAGCGGTTGTCATGGTGTCCGCTCCGCTATGAATAATAGAATCCTTGATCAAAGTCAGAGTATATTTGCACGAAATATCACTCGACCGTTTATACTGGTTGTAGTATCACTACCCAAGATGGTCGTAGACATCTAATCTAGTAAGGATCAAAGTCCGTGAATATGATTAGACAATTTATATCTTCGAACCCCAGTCAATTTCTACTCAATAATAACCTTAACCCCAGGGACTACCGCCACCAATCCTATCGACTCAACATCGAAAGTCAAAGAATCGAATTAGGCAGCGTAACCACTTTTACATTACAAAAACAAGCCTTGATAATTAATACCCCTCATAATAACACCGTATATTCCCTTCGACAAGCACCGAACACAGTACGGGCCCGGTCCCAGAGGAAAGGAAGGGAAAAAAAAAAAAAAAAAAAAACCGAGGCGAGAAACTAAACTTTAAAAATACGATTTTTGCTAATTGTATTGACCTTCCCACCCTTAACCTACAACACGCCCCAGCCATCCGTCCACCTAAATATCCCAACAACATAAACTCTGCTCAACGCAACTCAACTATCCACCGTGCAGGTATTTGCTCAACGCTTGCATAGATAGTTTCAACACACAAAGATGACAAAGGAGAATTGAGAGTTCTGATTCAACACTACAAAGAAATAGTAATATTCAAATAAGAGCACGGTTTTAAATCCAGCGACGAAGAGAAGAAAAGGAAAAGGAAGAAAAAAAGAGGGTGGACATTCGAGGCTAGATCGGATCAAGGGGGGGGGGAGGGAAATAAAGACTAAGAAAAAAACAAAAGACAAGGAAAGGTAAAATAGCCCCTCCTCAGGCTGCGGAGGAGGGGGTTGTGTTTGTAAACAGCATAAAAGAAATAACAGAAGAAAGGCTTTCGTAGAATTTTCAAGTTTCCAGCTTCACTATCCATCAGCTCTCTCTTGGAGAGGACAAAAGACAAGAAGCTACAATTACTACCACCACCAATCATCCACTTAACAACTCCCCTCCGAACTAACCGGGTATCACAAAATAGGTAATTAGTTCCTTTTAACGTAGTGAGAAACCCTTCCTCTTTCCCTTTTCTTCCAGAGGTCTTCCACTCTCGACCCTGGATTTCTTTTCCTCGAGTTCGATCCTCTGTCTCTCGAGCTGCTCTTTCATCTCCCTGTGGCGGTCGTATAGCTCCTGTTCCGATTGCCGGAGCTTGCTTTCCTTCTCCGCAACCTTCTGCTGGAACACCATCTTCATCTCCGCCTCCATCTTTGCGAGCTTCTGCTCGTGGAGCGTTCGCTCCTCTTCCTGCTTGACAGCCGGGTTGACTTCTTTGAACACGCTCGGGTCTTGGGCAACACCCATAGCGGTAAGCTTCTCCGAACGGTAGTTCTCGTACAGGAAGTTGTTTGTGTGCTCCTTGAGCTCCTCCATGTGCGTGCGAATCAACATCTGGCGGAGCTTGACAAAGTCACAGTGCTCCTCGTTGTCCACCTCAATGATACCCCAAGGGTAACGACGACCGCGAACTTTGCGACCATCAGGGTTTGTGACCTCGCTATTGGCACCGACTACTGCAAAGGGGACCTTGGACATGATTTCGTTGTTCTCGGCAATCGTCTCATCATCATCCAGCTCGTAACGGGGCCCCTCGAAGATCTGAATCTGATGGTGGTTGATATCCGCAAGAATCTACAAGTTATTAGCCAAACGATCAGGACATAAAACAAATTTATATCAAAAACATACCCTCTTCTTGAAATCGGCAATCTCCTCATCTGTCAAAGTATCGGCCTTTGCAATAACAGGGATCAAGTTGACCTTGGTATGCAGTCTCCTCATAACCTCGATATCCAAGGGCTTCAACGCGTGTCCAGTGGGCTGGATGAAATAAACACAGGCGTGTACCCTGTTGTCTATGATGTTAGAACGGTTGACTTTGTTCTCCGCATCTAGGTAAGCATCGAATCGCTGTTCGATGTTATCAACGATAGGGCGCCATGACTCGTCGTTGTTAACGAAATCTCCGAAACCGGGAGTGTCTACGACAGTAAGACGCAGACGAACACCATTCTCCTCAATATCGGCAGAGATGGATTGGATGGACACGGTCTTTGGGATAATGTCGAGCGAAGGTCCCTTGCGCTCCTTTGGTGGGTAGAGGGAGGTGTTGAACAGGGTGTTTACGAGGGTAGATTTACCCAGTCCAGATTCACCTGCAATTAACCGAATTAGAGTCGTTGTTCTTCGTCAGTGACGCGAGTAGCTGAGGGCATCTCATTCTGCTTTTTTCCCCCTTATTTTTCTTTTCTGAAATGTTCAGGGGTTTCCAAAAAGGGGCCACGACTAAAATTAAGCTTAAATGAAAAAATGAAAATAACACATACCAACAACCATAACATTGAAGTTGAATCCCTTACGGACACTCTTTCGGTGCCACTGGTTGGGCAAGTTGGCGAAACCGACATATCCGGTCAACTTCCGCCTGACGATGTTCTTGCCATCTGCCTGGGCAGCAGCCTGAGCTGCCAGCTTAGGGTTGGTGGACTGAGCTGCTACTGGGATAGGTGGAGGTGATCCACTAGGAGACTGAATGGGGGACTCGGGGAGCGAGATTTCACTTTCGACAGCTGTAGCTCGCAAAGAGGATTTTATTAGCTTTGACATTTCTTTTATTCGACAAGATAGTTGGAAGAGAGAAGAAGCAACAGCGGGGTAAGGCTGCAGGTGGGAAGCAAGATGAGTATTATATAGGTATGATGATGATGTCAAGTAGATGCCAGGCGATGCTTGGATGCTTGGATGCAGCTCGAAGAGGGATTGGCTGATGTTTATCAAGAAACCTCATCGAATCGCGTTTCCATCCATTCATCCACCTGACATCCATTACCATCATCTTCAAACCGCATCTGTATTCCATGCCCTCTCTATGCCGCTACCGCTGTTGCTGCTGCTGAATCCCGGGGCCAGGCACACTCACCCATGGTGTGCTGTGGTTTAACCCTTTGTGCTTATGCGGTCGAAGGAAGGTAAAGTGGGGGAAGAATCTATAAATCAGAGTTTATTGTTAGCTATGGACACAACACGCGGTAGATAAATGAAAAGAGCGATACCTGCTAGATGCAGGTAATCAATCTGGCAATGACAGCAAATAAAAGATAGATTATGGAGCCTCAATACAATTGGGTAAGGGAAACAGCACTCAAAAAAAAAAAATGAGGTAAAAAGCAGGTCAGGAGACACCACGTAGACACACGGGAAAGCAGTGTGTAGTACCTACAAAAATGAACAATTGCCGGAACGTTATAGGGAGTGAAAGTGAGAAGAGAAAGAAAGAACAAGATAATAAACAAATGAAGCAAGTAGGTAAGCAGTGCCAGGGAAGGAAAGGGAGCTATCTCTTCGATTAAGGACTGAAGGAGCTAAAAAGAAATGTCAAAATGTTACCTTCGTGCGTTGCCGGGATCTGATATATAACGAAGCAAGAAAAAATAACCGGCAGCCCAAAACCAGTATGCTGGGAGGTGCGGAGACGAGCGAGGGAGGGAGTGAAAGGGAAGAAGGGGGGTGGGTTAGAGAAAGGTGGCAGAGAGGGAGAGTAAGGGAGTGAAAGCACCGAACGAAGGTGTGCAGAGAGTACGTTGAGGTTAGAAAGGGAAAGGGGAGAAGTCAGGCGTAGAAAGAAAGGGCCACAGGCGGGTGCAACCGATCAATCGCGCGTTCGGTTCTCTCACCACAAAAAAGGGGGATTCTGCGCTTGGAAAGAGGAAAGGGGGGCTGCCAGTTCCCAAGCCCATTCAAGCCTCACCCACAAGAAAATTAAAAGTAAACACACCTTGGCAAATGGTGCACCGGACGGGCAGCAACAGGACTGAGCGACTCCCCCCTCCCAACAGAGTAGAGTACCACCCCCTGGCGAACTGGCAACTGGAATTGGAACTGAGCGGTCTATCCAATCAAACTCCTACACGCGGGACCCATCCTCTTTTCTTTTGAGGAGAGAGTAGAATTAGGCATGGTAGTATGAGAAGAGGGAAAGGACCGAATAATTCCAATTGATCTCCGTGAATTAGGTCAATTGCATCCTCGAATTTCAATGATGTTCAGGGTTGCACTTTTGTTTCCTTTTGTTTTACACGCGTTTGTGGGCGACCTCCCCCTCCGAGATTCCAAGGGCAGCTCAAATCTGAGACAATACAATTGACACCCTGACCCTGACGAGCCTAGCCCCCAAACATTTCAGCCTCTGGTCTTCGCTTCTGCACAATGGACCCCGGCCTTCGCACGGTGTAAAGGATCATCAATGCAGCTTTCATAGGCCATGAGATGAGCTCTATATTTGTCCAGTATGCCCTTCTCTTCTGCACGAAGCTCACAGGGTATAATTCAATGAATATCGCCACCAAAGTTCAAACGTCTGTCGAACCCCTCCCTCTTCAACAACCGCCAAGATGCGTACTAAACTGAACCGATAACGTTTACAGCATCGTGCCTTATCAACAGGTTGTACCCTAAATCGCTTATCTACCAGGGCTCCTTCTGCAACGTTTATGACACCAATAATACCGAGTGATCTCAAGTGACGCAAAGGCCACCATTCACCACCACCTACTCCCACGACAATACAATACCATGGATATATTAAGAGCACTACATGGAGTTTCAACCCACTTTCCCGTCGACACGTTAACCACCCATATATCATTTCGTCCGTCCTCACACCGGTACGGTGTCCCGTCCACCAAATCAACCTCACCGGACATAATCTCACACCATAATGTCTCTGGAGAATCTCGGAGCCAAGATCTCAAAGAACACATATCTTCTGTCCGCATTAAGTCAGCGTGATCAGTCATCCATTGAGCACCGGCGGGCGAGGCTCAACTCTCGTAGATGTACATAGTTTATGTGTACTACGACGATAACGATCGAGTTAAGCCAGAGGATCGCCGGTAGAAGCCGTTTATCCACTCCACAAGACAAATGCTGCCAGTCTCACGATCATGATCATGGCGTACATAAACCAGCACTGTAACGCGAAACTTCACCAAAAACGACTCCGGACTCTGCAGGGTGACGCCAATCTACTTATCACGATCTATTACGGTGAGATTCTAATGTACTCAATTGCATTGCTCAAGGCCGTTAACTATCAAACGAATCCCCAAAGTTCTTGGCGCACAGGCATCGTGAGGTAAGGGCTAGAACGGCCCGGTTTTCACTGGGATTTGCACTCCGCACAATGATTCCTATAAATGGCGTTGTCCTACCCACACTCCCGATGCACGCCATCATAAATTAATAAATAAAAAACCCCATGGCTTCAACGTCATTTAAAGTGCAGTTTCAAATGCCAAGAGGATTGAATGGACAATCACGAGCTATATAAAACTATGGCCACTATAATCACCAAATGAATACGTGGAAAGATCATGGTATATACGTGTATGAGCCAACGGGCCGTTGTAGAACGACATCGGACCTCCATTTGCTACAATTCCTATATACCTCACTAATATTATCTACATGTACCTCTATGGAAATCATGGGCGAGAGAACATACGATACTTTGCCACGAGAAGAGTAATCAGTGCGGACTTCGTTATCAGACGCAACGCCCACGCAATATCCTGGATTATAATTAGTTCCAATTTTAGAATTCTGGCGCCCCGCAAATCTCAAAGCGGAGGCGCTATCTATCTGGCTAACTACATGTAGTTCCCATACAGCTAGAGTAAATTAATTTTACACTGGGCTCGAGCTTAGATGATCTTCTCTGCATACATAACGCAGAGCCAGCCGCCAGAAACTGCAGTCATCAAATACCCCGGGCCTTGGGCCCTGGTCATAGCATGGCACATCACGTTGCATACATACGAGGCAATAGTTCCACACTAACCCTACAAAATACGATCAGGGAATAACAAAAAAGTTCTACAGTATTTACAACAAATAATTCTTCACGGCGACTCTCTGGGGCCCATCATATATTCTATAGTAGTCAAACCCAGCCCATTACCTCGGCGCTGCAAAGCCAGGCTTTGCCCCCGGAACAACTAGTCCCTTCTCTTTAGCTTCCAAAGCTTCCTTCTCTTCCTTCAGCACCCTGGCTGCCTCCCTTTTGTCCTGGTCCTCTCTCCTGACCGCGATGTCTTTTGGTCTAAAATCACTAAACGCACGCTTCAAACCCTTTTCAATAATCCAACAACCGGCATAGTCGAGTATCATGACAATAGTCATGGTCATCTTGAACTCGGAGGTGAACGGGACAAGACGAAGCTTCTCGTTAATTTCGGGAATGAACTCAGTTGAGCAAGAGAAGGCAACGGCCGCAACACCAATGAGTCCATAGTACATTCCCTTATTCTCGCGGATAGATTCACGGAAAGGACGGCCCTGGTAGTTGATTGCAAAGGTAGAGATTTGCTGAATGAGCTGGAGAAGATAGATGGCGGAATTGAGAAGACTTGGAGTAAATTCTCCTTCAAGGTCAACGTTCTCATCACGTCTATTTATCTTTGATTAGCAGCTACCCAGGAAAGATGACAACTAAAGATGAGAAACTTACGGTTCAAGTCTGGCGACAAATCTAGAGATGTAAATCAGAGTAACGATATGGACTGCAAATTGTCCCAAAACAGAGCCAATGATGTAGAAGTTGAAGATATTTGGCTGCGGTCGCTCTTTTCCAAGCTTCTCAACAGGCTTTGCCCTTGAAAGACTCAAAAAGCACACGCTCATCAACATGCCAGAAATAGTAACTTGTCCATCACCGAATTTAATGCCCTCAAGATACAAAACTGACAGAGAGTAGGCCGAGATCAAACAATTCAATGCAAGGATTTTGTACATCTGGATAGTTGCGACCAGGGTGCATCTTCCTTGACGGATAATGTTGGCGATAGCAACGACATTGGCGAGTTTGCTAGTGAAAGGTGCAGCGACTGAAGCATCACCAAGCTTGATAGTGGGCGGTTCAGCATCATCTTCCATCTCCATCATGGAGTTCATCATTTTGTCTGCCATAGCAGCAGCAGCGTTTGCACCTGCTTGGTTCTTATTGGCCGGGTTCTGGGATTGCTGCAGGGCCCTGGCGCCAGGGGTAACAATGGTTGGAATATTGCTGGCCTCTTGCTTTGCAGCGAGGCTTGCGGCAGAAACACCTTTCTTGTTCGCTTCGCGCTCGATGGCTTTTTCGTAATGCGGGTTTCCGGGTCCTGGAGGGTAGAGGTGCGCAATATGGATTGGTGGTGGGGGAGCTGGCTGATTAAATCGCTTAGTGAAGGATACCTGCTTTTCGTACATTTCCTTGAACTTTGTGATGCGATAATGCTCTGCGATCCTCCTGAGATCCTCTTCGGAGCCGTTCAAGAGTGCTACACCAATATGAGCCTGTTTCAAGGCACCGACATCGTTGGTCCCGTCACCACACATGAGAGTTGTGTAACCGGCAGATTTCAGTCCGTTGAGAATAAATTCCTGCAGTCGACATTAGCACCTTGCACATATTAAAACCTAAATATAGTTTGGGATCTGGTACCTTCTGAAGTGGTGAAACACGAGCATAGACCCAGGTGTGCCTCAATAAATCAACGACACCTGGCTGATCCTGCATCTTCCCAAGTGCATAACCTGTGATGCAGATATCCTTATTTTTCAGAATTTCCTTATCAAGAGGATCACTTGGGTTGACAGGGATGATGACAGTTTCTTCAACATTTCTCCAGACCAACTCTATCTTGATATTAGAATCAACCTCAAACATGAGCGCTTGGATTAAACTTACCGTGATCACCGGAAGTACCTTCCTCAGGAGCGTCTAAAATCAGGACATCTCTATCGACAATCTCCACCTCACGGGCAACATGGACAGCAGTTAACGGGTTGTCACCAGTAATCATAACAACTCTGTGGGAGCTCTCATTCAACATCCGAACGGTGCTCTTTGCATCGTCCTTCAGCGGGCACTGCAAAACCAAAAATCCGGCGAAGTGGAGTTGAGACTCAACATCCTCCCTTTTCAAAGCATTGATCTTAGCTTGGCCCCACTCGCCTTCGGTCGCCAGGTACTTGTATCCGAGAGCGAGAACACGAGAGCCACGACGAGTAAAGTATTTGAAGGTTTCCTCATAGTTAGGTGGAACCTCAACAAGCATCTTTCGAACCGTTTCCGGAGCACCCTTGACACCGACAAACGTAGCCTTGGATCTTTTTCCATCACGGTTAATCAGGACTGAAGCAATTGAACTCTGTCTCTTGAGCAATGAAGAGAACTGGAAACGTCTCTTGATCTGAACAGTCCCTGCCGGGCTTGAGAAAGCACTTCCCGGGGCAGCGCTAGTAGCTTTACTGGTTAGGATATCCCCACGCCCGAGAGACCATCCGAGTGCAGTGAGAGTAGCCTTCTCCATGGGATCACCAACGACCTCACCCTCATCAAGCTTAACAAGTGCGTGCGCGGTAGCCAAAACAAGGGTGGTCTCTCCACCAACGTGTTCAACCTTTCTCAATTTTGACATCCCATCCTTTCCTGGGTTCAATCCAGCAATACCCTCGACAACCAAATCCTCACCGGTAAGAGTCCCAGTTTTGTCGAAACAACAGACGTCAACTCTTCCAGCATATGGAATTCTGAAGGGTTCCGTGCAATAAATAGCGTATTTACTCAAAGCGGCCAAAGAGGTGTTCACAGCCAAGCTGAGTTCCATGGGGAGCTCCGGGGGTACAACAGAGGTGATAATCAGGACACAATCCAACAAAAGCTTGCTTCTCTTGCGATCCTTCTGCACACCCTCGGTCCAGACATACCAACTTGCAGCAATGGCGAACATGAGTAGGAATAGAATGAACAATAGAGCTTCGGCATTATTGGCGGAAACACGTTCAGTAGAGTAGATCATGGTGCGAACCAAAGAACCTTGACTGGTCTCGAATCCGGTACGTGTGACAACAGCAAGAGCACCATTATCTGGGGGAGGCACAACACCGGATTTGTTCTCAAGAGGGGCATCATCAGGGTTGGCAGTATTATGTGTGATCTGTAAAACTTTTGTTCCTCCGTAAAGCATGGCATTCTTGTCCAAACCCTCGATATCCAGGTTAGCTTCGCCAGGCCTAAGCGCAATTGAATCTTTCAGCAAAGGCGTAGATTCTCCGGACAACATAGCCTCGTTGACAATAGCAGTTCCAGAGATCAAGACCATGTCGCACGCAACACCCGAGTCCTCCTTTGTACGCCCAACGGAGACAAGATCGCCGGGAAGAAGCTGGTCAGACTGGATTTCTGTCCATTTTCCGGAGCGATGAACAAAAATTGGGTAAGGCTTAATGCTCATGCCACGGAATTCAGTAAGAGTCCTCTGGCGCTGCCAAACAACAGTTGACTCGAAAGCGACAAGCATGACCAATGTAAAGATTGAGTAGTACCAGTATTCATCTAGACACCACAGACCGACACAGAATAGCTGGAAAATGAAGAACGGTGCGACGGCATGCTCCTGAAAGAGCTCGGTGAAGGTCGGTACGGGGATATCGAAAGAGTTGAGACCATAGTGATGCTTCAAGCGATCGACGACCTTTTCGCTCTTCAGGCCCTTGGTGAGTTGGTAATCGGCCAATTTTGGGTCTTCGTCAACAGGGTAGACAAGCGGTGAGAATGAGCCAGTTTCGGGAGAGTAGAGAAAGCGGCGCTTTTGGAACAAGAATGAAATCTCTTCCTTCTCGCCAGTCTGTAGAATTCCGCATTAGTAAATAAGAACCGCCACGCGGAAGTAGTAATAGTTCTAGGAACTGAACTCACCCTGTCGCGAACGAGTTTACAGATATCTGGAGCTCCAGCATTTTCAACGGGCATGATTCTAATTAATGTCGCATCCTCAACTCTCGATGCCTACTCATATATTAGCGCTGATATTCCCGCAAATTCTCCACGCAGCGAGAGAAAGACCAACCTTGATTCCAGTGATAAAAGCCCTCCAGCCCATGCTCCAATGACACCCGAGCCAGATCAAACTCTGCAACCCAAACGTTGACAAAAAGTACAAGACCGTCCATTCCTGACTCTGAAAATACTTGTCATAGCTCTCCTGCCTCATCCATAGTGAGAAAAGCGCCGGATAAGCTGCCAAGAATGGCCAGGTGTATAATCGCAGAAGAACCGGAAGAGGATTGAGAAGTGTGGAAGAGGCGATTTGGGAAGAATTTACAAGTTGCCGCCTGTTAATAGAAGCCGGTTAGCTGGACTGTAGTAGCGAAAGCAGAAAACAGAACCGGGAGTCACATACTTGATGGGCGGCGTTGGCGGATAAGGGGGTGTTGAAGCCATGATGTGTGGTTTTGAGAAGTACCGGTGAGGACAGTACCCTCTATATCTATGATTCCTTTATTCTGATAATGAAAGAAATTGTAAGGGAAGAGAAAAAAAGAGGAAGAGAGGGGACCTGGACGAAGAAGAAGAGAGGGTTGAGAAAGGGGTGAGTTGATCCTTCTTGGAAGAAAAGGAAAAGAAGGATTGTTAGAGGTTGTCAAGACACGTTGTGGACCGAAAGATGATGTCGTGCACCGGCTGAAGCTTGCCTCTCGAATGGATTGGGTGGATATTTACAAGAAATAGAACCCTTTTGGAAGGTTCTCAGCCTCAGGAGCCTTTACGCAGACATCTATCAACTTCTCTCCCTATGAACCTCTAAATTCCGCCACTTACAGCTCTACAAAAAAAAATTTCAACAGATTTCGCAAAAAGGACACATCGCGTCTTAGCTATCCGTTATCGCTGCTTACCGAAAACACTACTAATCCCACTCCCCCCCACTCCAATCGTCGCCACCGCTGATCACTCGGAAACAGAGCCTCCCTGCAGTCTGCACCCTCAACGACCCGAAGTAGAAAAAAAGAAAAGAAAAGAGGAACATCGAAATTAGAAGACAAACCCTTTAGATAATAAGTATGGCAGAATATACGACATATCCTTCTCGCAACGTAATCGCTCAATGCTACATGAAGAACAAGAAAGAAAAAAAAATAGAAGAGTTATTGAATTATACACGCCAAACTAAACTCGAATTGCAGACAAACATCTTTGCTTTACACGCTGATGCTAGTTTTTGTCCGTTAACTAACTACCGTCTATATTCCATTCCAATGCCTTCCCCATCAACAAACATCAAACTTGTAACGTTTTACAGCAATAGCTCAAGTGGGTTCTCCACAAAGTTCTTCAAAGCCTTCAAGAACTCACCACCGACAGCTCCGTCAACAACCCTGTAGCACATCCATTAGCTTGAGTCCGTGCGAGTACATTATATATCCATGTGATGACTTACCGGTGATCAAAAGATCCAGTGACAACAATCTGATCATCCCACTCAATACCACCATCCGCACCCTGAATAGCGACCTTCCTGACTGTTCCTACAGCCAAGATACCGGCCTGTGGGGGGTTGATGATAGCTGTGAATCTCTCAACAGCGGGGTTCATTCCCATGTTGGAGATGGTGAAGGTACCGCCCTGGTACTCCTCCGGCTTCAGCTTACCATCCCTAGCCTTTCCGGACAAAGCCTTGACTTCCTGAGAGATAGAAGCCAATCCCCTTGAATCGGCGCCCTTGACAATGGGGGTCATAAGTCCGACTGGTGTGGCAACGGCAACAGAGATGTCGGCGGTGTTGAAGGTGCGGATCACGCCTTCATCCTCACGGTAGGAGGAGTTGACGGTAGGGACCTTGATAAGCGCCGCAGCAACAGCCTTGATCATGAAGTCATTGACCGAAAGCTTGTACTCGCCATTGGCCGTGGCGTTAAGGGCCTGGCGAAGCTTGAGAAGCTTTCCGACAGAGAGGGTGCTGGAAACGTAGTAGTGGGGGTTGGTGTTCTTAGACTGGGTAAGGCGGCTAGCAATGGTCTTACGCATAGAAGTCAACGGAACATCGGTGCTGCTGGCTCCGCTGGGGGCTGCGGAAACATTGCTGGGCTTGGCTTTCTCAACATCGGCCTTGGTGATGCGTCCACCCTCACCAGTTCCCTTGATGTCCTTCAAAGCAATGCCCTTCTCAAGAGCAAGCTTCTTGGCGACAGGCGAGATCGCAATACGCCCTTCGCGGTCAAGAACAGTCTCAAGCTTGCCACCGCTGGAGGTTGGCTCCTCAGATTTCACACTGGTGGGGGCAGGCTTGGGGGCTCAGAAGTCTCGGAGGTCTCTTCCTTTGGTGGTGGTGGGGCCTTGGACTCGCCGCCAGCGCTCTCGACAGTGAAGTCGGCGAAGGCACCGATGTCTTCACCCTCCTCTACAAGAATGGCAATTGGCTATATTTCTACAATCAGCACTCCAAAAATTTCATCGTAACGTTTACGGCGCAGGCCCGAGTAAACAAAAACTTACGTTTCCGACAGCGACATCCTTCGATCCGCTATCCCTCAGGATCTTGGCCAGGACACCATCCTCCTGGAACTCAAAGTCCATCTGAGCCTTGTCCGTCTCGATCTCAACCAAAACATCTCCAGGGCTGATAGTGTCACCGGGGTTCTTCTGCCATGTCCCAATGTTACCTGCGGTCATCGTAGGGGAGAGCGCTGGCATGGTGACGACGGTGTGAGGGGGGTATGCTATCCAATCATGTTAGCTCTCCGCACCATTGATACCTGCGGGAAAAAGAGTTTACACATTTTGAGGCATAGTATCGGGAGAGCGCAGAAAGGCATTGAGGTTGATTCCTACTATAAAATAAGCGTCAGCAGTAATCCCCATAATTTTGAGTAGAATATCTATCTTTGCGCAGCACCGCGGATCTTGGAAAGATAACCCCACTATGCTGATGCTACATCCTAAAATTTGCCATCCCCGCAAATTTGCCAACAAAAAGGATGGGTAAAACCGTAATAACAACGAAATTGATACATACACTCTCAAGAAGCCAGCACTCTTAATACCACTGCTCCTCAGGCACGAAGCCACTCCGCGAGATGAAGCTCTTGAAAGAACTGCTGAGGCCGACATCGCTGGTATCAATTGGGGGAGATAAAATGGGGGCAAAAAAACCCTTCTAGAGAGGATAAGAAAGGGAATGGAGATGACGGGGAGGGGTAGGAAGAAGAGAGGAAGAACCGGCGTTAGTTGTTGTTGAGCGGGACGAGGTGAAGTGAAGGGGCCTGGGGTTGAGGTTTTTCGTTGGGCCAAAATGTTTGGGACGGGGACCTTAACGCGGTGTCCGGAACGACTACCCCGAAATGCATCAACCCTAAGAAAAACATCCCAATACATTCTCCATATATTTTAAAAGTTTCTCAAATGATTTCATGAATAGATATTATATGCTTTGTGAGATACTTTAACATTATGAAAAAGCTCCTCTGGCGCTTGATAAGGATAAGTACATGTAACCTCACTCGGGGGACAACTTCTTGGAAGTGCGACAACAACCAAACTCAAGCTCACCGTTCCCGAGTCCAACTCCTTGCAAGGCGAACTGTCCCCCGGGTATTATCTGTTGCACGAGATATCTACACGTGCGTTAGAGCAGAGATCCACGCTGCTGGGCTTTCATGTGAGGGTTTCCATGTGTGCATCGTCTTGCTGTAGGGCTGCATGTATGTCGGGGTGCATACAAGAGGCTGATGGGCACCAAAATACTGGTTTGTTTACTCCATGAGAGAAAGAGAGACAACTAGATGCAAGGTTTTAGTGCGGCCAAGAAACTCTAATGTCACTCATTAATTCTCCGGATTCTCGAACAACGCCAGTAGCGGAATCGGAGATTATTCGAAATGCTACTTCTGTTTGGGATGGGTTTGGGATTTGGCTTCAGTCATGGGTTGTGCGGCTCTTGCGATATCGTTATAAGTTCCGGACAGGCGGAACTTTTTTGACCTTTCGGCTTCTACTTGTCAACTAAGATACCATGCAACCGCTTCCTCGCACTAATTCCCCATCACCTCTACCAGGGTCTCCTTGGATCTATCCTCTCTCAGAATCACCTTCGAAAAATCGCCCCGCACCTCATAGTCATTCTATAAACTGATAATTGTTCAGCACAATAATCCAATGCCAGTTAAATCTTTAAGGGTAGGGGACAGGGTTATGGCAGATGGCGCAGCAAGTCCATAGTATCGAAGGTTATCGTATGTCATACTTCAAGACCCGTAGCATCAAGGTATCCCGTGGACATCAATGGCCGTGGCCATGGAGGCCACGCTACCAAAAACTTTGAGGACCATACTATGCGCAGGCTCAAGTCAGCTTTACAACTTCTATAACCAACCTGATGGTTCGGTGGTGTTAAATGATAAAAACAAACAGCAGAGGCGCGAGGAATACAGTAAATACAAGCCACTGAAATGAGAATTATTCGGATCCTTCAGGTTTACTACTGGATCTTAAGTTGCATATAGTTTTTACATTTGACTTGGCTCAGCGCTGAATTTTGAAACTCCCGGGCATGAATACGGGCCTTAAAGGTTAGAATAGACAATTACATGATGGAAAGCTTTATGAAGAGTAAAATTTGAATCCACGGATCCGTACTGTCTTCGGTATATATATAATCCTGGATTTGCGCCCTCCAGTTCGAGCCCCAGAGGCCGTATCTAAGGGGGTACCTACCTACACATTTAGGTGGATTGATGATAGTAAACGGGCTTTTAGTTCGTCAACTGAATTTTGTTATTGTGTACTCAGAGATTCTTAACTTTCGAAATGTTGACCGCCGAGGCATCGATAACTGTCATGGCCTCATGGCCAACTCCTAGTTGTGATGGGGTGATATGGTGATAAAAGGCTGTTAGTAGAGGATGATTCATCGAAGCATCTTTTTATTTTAACGCCCCTACAGTTTTTAATATCTATTATGCCTTATAAAGCAATATACTTTGAAACTAGCACCACGGCTTCGGCATTTGGGAAACCTAGGGCCTGTGTGGCTACAGCTATAGAGCTTCAGGTACACACTGTGTCTATTGAGGGCCAAAAATGCAACTTACGTTAGGAAGCATGCATGCACACATCTGACAATTACCGTCCGAGAGATAGGCAGGAATGGATACGATCATTGCCATAATCACAGACAATCACTCGCACCAACCACAGGCTCTCACTCGGCCTCCTCCTCCTCCTCCACCGCTAGCCTATTTTTCCTATACTCATTCTTACTCCAATGCTCGCTCCCGGCAACGAAATTCTCTCTGACAACCTTTCCTCTCTCGCCGTTCTGCCACCTGACAACCACTCCCTCTACCTTTGTGCCAGGCGCAAACAGACTCTCCCTTTCCAAGAACCCCAGCAGCATCTCCCTTCCCTCTAATATGCCTCTATAAATCTCCGGCACTATACTGATACCGCTGTTTTTCAGAAGCCCCACTAAAGTGTCCCGCCCCACGAAGCTTCCTGTCAAACGGTCCAATAAGTCAAAAGCCAAAAAGAACCCAGGAAGCTTCGTATAAGCAATGCTATGTGTTGCCGCCATCCACTCCCCAAACAACACATATCTCTCCTTCAACACCTCATCTCTCGCCAGCACCCTATACAGCTTTGGCCCGTATTTCTCCAGCCACCAGTCTATCTTCGAGAATTGGGCCTGGTCCGAGGAGCTGATGTAGTGGCTGCGGTTCTGCACTAATATCTTCCCTGTGGCATCGAGCGAAAACCCGATATTCGCGCCATCCACCTTCTCTTCCACTATAACCATCTTCTGGAACCGCCCCTCTAGATCGCTGCTATCGAGGACTAGATCGTCCCGTGTTGCGGAGCCCAGATCGAGGAGATGCCTCGTCCTGACGAATTTCCTCATAGGCACCTCTCCAAACCAGCGATTTGCCAGCTCGACCGCGTTCGCGATACACCTTATTCTCACAACACCCGTGAAGCCTTCATCCAGTGTCGGGGGCTGCAACAACTTTGCGGTACTGGAGATGGCACTCTTGACGCGGTGCGGCGGCATCGTAGGGTGCAAACCCCGATTCTCAGCGCGGGATTGACAAATCTCCACATCATAATCGAACCACACCGCGGTTATGTTGGCGCTGTAATTAAACATCTTGACCCACTCCCTACGCTCATCCGGCGTAGGATTACATCGATCCAGAACAAGCACCTTCCTACCACCACTTCTACTGCCACTGCCGCCGCCCCTCCACTGCCCCACCGCAGCCTCGCAAGCCCGTTTCGCAGACGCCGTCCCCACCCGCTCCTCCGCGACGATCTCATCCGGCGACAGGACCTCAACATTAGCATTCCGCAGCCTGCACATGCGCGCAAACCCGCTCTTCCCGCCCCCCTGCAGCCCCACCAGCACCACGAAATCCGGCGCCTCGCCGCTCCCCACAACCTCCATCTCCACGCCCGCCAGCTCGTCAACCTCCCCGCAATTACCGGTCAGTGGCTCCCCGCGCCCGTGACGCTTCCACGCCAGAGAAACATAGGACGCCACAAACCGCTCCTGCTGCTCCGTCTCGATACTCCCAACCCTCATCCCCCTCACAGCCTCCACCGCCGCCCCCGCCGCCATCACCGGCGGCGCCCCCTCCTCACCGCCAACCGTGAACCCAAACAGCGCAACATAACACGCCAGCACCGTCCCCGCGCGCCCCTTCCCGCCGCCGCAGTGCACCAGCGTCGCCCCGCGCACATCAGCATCATAGTACGCCTCCTCGACAATCACCCTCAACACCCGATCCATCTGCGCCACCGTCGGCGCATAGTAGTTCTCGACAGGCACAAACGTATTCCGCACGCCCCCCGCCGGCGGGAACCACAGCGCCGGCAGCGGCGTCTCCGCCGTCAGCGTGACGATATGCGTCACCCCGAGCTTGTCATGCAGCACTTGCACGTCGCTCTCATTACGCGGCGTGCTCATCGCGCAGAGGTGGTGCGGCACCAGCCACGAGAAGAAGCGCGGGAGCTGGTGGCGCGGGTGCAGCGTGCTATATCTCGTCCGCGACTCCAGCAGCGGCAGCGCTCTCGCCGTCGGTGCCCCCCGCACCGGTGGCAGCGGCGCGCTGAGCGTCTGCACGAGTGCGGCCGGGAGCGCGGCCGTGATGTGCGCGGCCTCGTCGTCGGTGAAGAGTGGGCCGTACTCGGTGTGGGCGCTGCAGGCGGCGATGTGGGTTTCGTAGTGCGCCTGCCGCTTTGGCGCTGTGGAGAGGGCGTGGGCGCGCTGGTAGGAGAGGAGCGCGAGCTTCCACTGGTCGGTGGCGAAGGCGGTGGCGGCGAGGCGGGCCCAGCCGCGCTCGGAGGTTGGGTGGGTGCGAGTGAGGTGGACGGCCCAGTGGAGTTGTGTTGTGGGGGTGCGGGCGCGGAGGAAGAGTGCGTCGAGGAGGTCGATTTCGGCGGTGGGGGGGAGGGAGAGGCCGTTTACTACCACCCTGTTCCTGTCCTGGGTGCTGTGGAGAATTGGCTCGGAGCCTTTGTGCAGTATCGGGATGCGGAAATCGACGGGCTCAAAGCCATGTCTAGCCCGCCAGGCGTTGCCGGCGGGCCACAGCACGGGGAGACTCCACGTCCCGGTCTGTTCGTTGTCGGGTGTGGGCTCCAGCAGGTATATCCGCGCCGTATCTGGCAGCGCGGTGGTTTTGCGCTGTGTGGCGGTGGTGGTGGTGTAGAGGGGGTATTCGGACTCTGTGAGCAGCACTATATAATGATACTGCTGCTGTTCTACGTCCGATAGGAAGGGCAGCGTAAGTGCTAGTGTTAATGTGCCGTTTACGACCGTCGGTGTGCTGACGCCCGTGAGCGGTTTGAAGAATGGGGACTCGGGTGGGGCTGCCATTGGTGTTATTATTGGGGGTAATGATCGGGGTGGTGGTGGTGGTTGGGGTGAGGGGGGTAATGATTGATGGTACACTTTTTTTGTTGCTGCTTCTAGTTGCTGGGTTGGGTTTGGCTGCACTGGACCGTTGGTTGGCGCTTGGGTTGGCTGGGCTGTTAAGTAATGGTGTGTGACTCAACAAGCTTCGGCCTGGATGGGATGGGGGCGGACTCATGGTTGGGGGTTATATCGATGTTTTGGGTTTGAGTGTTGTATATCTACACGAGATTGCAGATTCATGTCTTTGTGCCAAATAACTGCAGTATATACATTCCGTTCTGTGACCCCTTGATATCATCCGAATCCCATATCGAAACTACTTTCCTCAAGGCTGCAACCCACAACCCACAACCCACAACCTGCAAATGAAATGCCATACCTACCACCAACCTCGGCCAGTGCACGGCAAATTAAACACCAAATAACTAAACCAAACAACCCCCCCCCCCCCCCCAGTGGAGGGGGCGCCCATCGGCTCGGCTGTTGCAGGCAGGCAGTCGCACGCGGTTGTGGGTCCCCAGAGTGGCAGAAACTACACTTTCCCCAGCACGAGGTGCAAATGTTACGAGAGAGCCAAGCTTTGGGCTCGGCTGCAGGGCCGAGTCACGTCAGCTGATGGGAGGTTTCTCGGCGGTAGAGCATGTCTGAGTGCAGAGTATGATGGATGTCGGGTATCGACAGTCGGCAGCTGACAGGAGAGATTGGGGGGAGCGGTGGTGACGTTTTTTGTCTCACTTGTAAGTGCGCGGGAGGGAATGGCTACTGTATCTATCTACACGGTTTGGATGAGATGGAGGTTCACAGAGGGAGAAGAGAGGGTCAGGCAGGCAGACAGAACTGCATTTCAGATGTGGCGGGGGGGCCAGGGACGGGCGGGCGGGCGGGCCTTGACGTGACCTGCATAGATACAAGATAGACGATAGGGCATACATAGATAACTAGGAGCACCTTCTCTTCTGCTTCTGCTTGCTTTTTCACTCCTCCATCCCCTCTTCTCCTCCTCCTCCTCCTCCTCCACTTAACTTAATTTACCACCCACTCACTGCTGCTTCTATAAAACATTGCCCTCTCACACTTCTACATATCTACACCCGTTCATGCCCCAGCAGCCCACCCACTAACCCCCCCCCCCCCCCCAAAACCACAATGTCGGACCCCAGCGGCTCCCGCGCGCCAAAGACCTCCGAGCCAAACCCCTTCACACGCCTGCTGTCCCCGCGCTTCGACGGCAACAACAGCGACCACGGCACCTTCTCGTCCGACGACGACACGCGCCCGACCACGCCGCAGATTCTCGGCGCCACCAGCTCAGAGGTGCGCATGGGCGGCGGCATCCTGCTGAAGCGCAAAACAACCACGGCACGCATGGCGCAGGAGGCGGGCGTCAAGCGGCCCTGGCTGATGTATGCGAGCTACTACATCCCCAGTATTGGCTGGATGAGGGAGTATGACCGGAGCTGTCTGCTGGGGGATGTGGTTGCTGGTGGTAGGTTTGCCCTGTCCTGTTCTTGGTGGTTGGAGTGGGGAATTGATGTGTGGGTGTAGTGACTATGGCGTCGTTCTATATCCCCATGGCCCTCTCGCTGTCGGCGAATCTGGCGCATCTCCCGCCCATCCACGGGCTCTACTCGTTTGCGATCCAGCCGCTGGTGAGATGGCCCACATGTGTGTTCTGTGGGGGGGCCAATTGGCTAACATGTAGCTTGCACAGGTCTACGCCCTCCTGGGTTCCTGCCCGACCATGGCCGTCGGCCCCGAAGCCGCCGGCTCCCTCCTTCTCGGCACCGCCATCCGCACGCTGAACCAGCACCACGCCCCCGCCTTCGACGACGGCGACGAGGCCGAGAACAACGCGCGCCTCGCCGGCGTCATCACGGGCATGACGGGCGCCTTCGCCTTCATTGCGGGCATCGTGCGCCTGGGCTTCCTCGACAGCGTGCTCAGCCGGCCGCTGCTGCGCGGCTTCATCTCCGCCGTGGGCTTCGTCATCTTTGTGGACCAGTCCATCCCCGAGCTGGGGCTCACGGACGCGGCAAAGGCGGCCGGCGTGCTGCACAGCAGCTCGCTGACAAAGGCCGTGTGGATCCTGCGCAACCTGGGCGACACGCATACGCTCACGTTCGCGGTGGCGGCCGTCTCGTTCGGCATCATCATGGTTGGGCGCCACCTGAAGAAGGTGTTTGAGAAGCGCGCGCCGTACATTGCGTTCCTGCCCGACCGCTTCCTCGTCGTCGTGATCTCGGCCATCCTCACGTACAACCTCAGCTGGGACACAAAGGGCCTGCAGGTGCTGGGCAACGTCGAGGCGCCCAGCGGATCCCTCTTCAGCTTCAAGTTCCCCTTCCAGCTCTCGCACCTCACAAACCTGCAGGAGACCATGTCCACGGCCTTCCTCATCTCCGTGCTGGGCTTCTTCGAGTCCGTCGTCGCCGCAAAGTCGCTCGGCACAACGCTCGACGCCAACATCTCCTCGAACCGCGAACTCATCGCCCTGGGCACGGCCAACATGCTCGGCGGCTGCTTCCAGTCCCTCCCCGCCTTTGGCGGCTACGGCCGCAGCAAGGTCAACAAGGCCACCGGCGGCCGCACACCAATCTCCTCCGTCGTCCTCTCCGTCTGCACAATCATATGCACCATCTTCCTCCTCCCCTACTTCTACTACCTCCCGCGCTGCGTGCTCTGCGCCATGATCTCCGTCGTCGCCGTGTCGCTGCTCGAGGAGGCGCCAGAGGACATCGCCTTCTTCTACCACATCCGCGCATACGCAGACCTGGCAACCATGCTGCTCGTCTTCCTGACCACCGTCATATGGTCCCTCGAGACGGGCATCGCAATCGGCGTCGGCATCTCCCTCATCCAGGTGATCCGCCACTCGACGCGCGCGCGCATCCAGATCCTTGGCCGCGTGCCGGGGACGCTGAATACGTTCAAGGCCGCGGAAGAGGTGCCGGCCGAGGAGCTGGAGGACGTGGAGGGGTGTCTGATTGTGAAGCTGACGGAGGGGCTGACGTTCGCCAACACGGGGGAGCTGAAGAACCGGCTGCGGAGGCTGGAGCGGTATGGGGATGCGAGGGCGCATCCGTCGCTGCCGAGGATTAGGGGACGGGTGGTGGGGACGCGGACGGTGGTGTTTGATGTGAAGGGTGTGCGGAGGATGGATGGGAGTGGGACGCAGGTGCTGGCGGAGATTGTGAGGGGGTATGTGGCGAGGGGGGTGGGCGTGTGGTTTAGTAGGGTGCCGATGGAGGGGGGCGTGTGGGCGATGTTTGTGAAGAGTGGGATTGTGGGCGTGGTGGGGGGGAGGGGCATTTTGTGGGGAGTGTGGAGGAGGCGTTGAGGGCGTGTGAGGGGAGTGGGAGTGATGAGGGGGCGGTCTAGAGGGGGCTTGTTGTTGCTTTGCTTTGCTTTTTATATTGATATTGATATAAAGATTGCTTGCTTTCTGTTGACCTGTATTGTAGTGCTTACGGATATCGATTTCATTTCTTACTGTTCTTTCCCTTCTTCTTTGCTTTTCCTGTGCTTGTTTGCTGCTTGTGCTTGTGGACATGGACGCTGGTGAAGATCGGGGGGTATATATACACTCTGTTGCTTGCAATTGGCTTGCGCGCTGTACTCTATCTATATGGTCATGATGGACGAAACTAAACGAAGGAATGGTGCGTGGTGATTACGGATATGGATATGGATAATGCTACTTATGTTATGCTTGCTTTGCCTGTGAAGACCGTTGTGGTGTAGTGTGCTGTGTGCAGCGTGCGGGGAGGAAGTGAGATGGGATGAGACGAATGGGTGAGAAACACCAGTGGGGGTTGAGACTATAGGGTTAGGATTGTGGGGTTGGAGTGATGGTGGGCGCGCGCATGATATGATAGAATGATAGAATGGACGGCGGGTCATTGAATCTCACTCGGCGTGGATTGGATCAATCCCCATACAACCGGCCATGGCCATTGATTGACCGACGAAACAAACCAGACCGAAGAACCAAGTCATGTAGTGACGACAATACCGCCTGGATGTAGATTGTGGGGTATAGTGGGGGGGGGAGGGGGGGGTGAATGTGGTGTAGGATTGGCTATATGTAATTGTGGGGGTGTATAATAGGGCTCAACATCTGCACGTAGGCGGATAGGCGGTTGGGTCATTGCATCTCACTCGATTGGGCGTCACGCTGGGATTTCGGTATGTCTGCCAAGACTCATCCACATTAAGGTATGGATCAAAAATAGGGATGGGACGGGGAGGGGAGCAGCAAGGAGGTAAGAAGGGCGGATGAGGGAAGAGGTGGGCAATTCTATATAAATTTGTATTATGCCTTGTCACCAGCACTGGCTTGGGATATAAATAAATAAATCGCTGTCAACCCCCCCCCCCCCCCCCACACACACACATATCTTCTCTTTGACATCGTCCCTTTGGAGATAATAGTGATTTCTTCCCCTTTGGTTTTTTATTTCTTTGTGTGGAAGTTAATTGTGCTGATGGGCCTCTCGCCGTGTCGATAGTTGGTTGATGGGTTGGAGGCTGGTTACTGTGAGTTCTTCCCGGTACTAGCTAGCACTCGTGTTTTTATGGGAACCGAAATATTGAAATTTTAAAAGAATCCATGTCGCCGCGAACCATCAAATTCGCCCGTTCTCTGCACCTAGCTTACAGTATTACCAGCCTCCAGTGCCAAACCTCAACGCTGACAAAAGAAATATCCAAACGAAGGAAACCGTACAAAGGAAATGAACCGTACAAAATACTCCATAACCGACCAAAAAATCACAAATACAACCAACTCCTAACCACAAATCAACCCTATCATAGCAAAAACCAAATCATTGCCTACCCTCTCCCGCCCTCCGAGTTGGATTTACAACCCAATTAATGCTATTCGTCGGCCATATCCCTCCCTCCGTGTACCTCGACGAAGAAGAAGAGCTATGCGTGTTGGCTCTCCTCAGGTTGCTACTAGTCAATGAAGCGCCCCTGCTAGTGACAGAGCCCCCACTACCATACGCCGAATCCCTCCCCGAGCTCACACTCAGCAGCGAAGACCGCCTAGACGGCGCCGCCATATCAGTTGTGGCCCGCGAAGAGGCAGTCGAATACTCTGATCTGGCTCCACCTCTTCCTATAGTGCTAGTGCCATCAACCGATGGCGCCAGCGGCGGAACCCATCTGTCACGCCCGTCTGGCGGAAGAGATGGCCCGCAGTACCCTGCTGAGGCGTAGGAGCCGATGGAAGATGCGTATCCGCTGTGGACAGACTCGGGGTAGCTGGTCCTGCGGGGAGTGGTGGAGTGCTGTGTGCGGGGGTTGTATTGTAAGGATCTCTGTGAGCTGGCACCTGATGGGTGCGTGTAATACGATGTCGATCGTACCGAGCTTCCCGAGCGCACGCTGGATCCGGAGGAAGGGCCAGTGCGGGAGGAGAGATCTACGTACCCCGGATCGCCAGGTTGGTAATGGCGGGGTTCGAAGTTGTAGTAGTGGGCGGCGCCGTTACTCATTTTCATGTCGGGCTGGCTGGTACGTGAGCTATGATTACTTGGGATATTGAACGATTTCGGTAATTTTTTTAGAATTGATGCTGGTCCGATCGTCGACGGGGGGTGGGGGGATTTTATATTCTTGAGAGGACGGGTTCCAATTGTATGTTATCAACGTTCATAGTTCCCTCTTCCCCCCCCTTTGAATTTCAAAGAACCGCTCTGATCAAAAAAAAATATTGATATCAATGATCATGTTTCATGTTTTTCAAGCAAATAGTATGAAACTTGGCACACACCCCCCCCCCCTTGAAATAATTGGTGTAACACAACAGGCAACGACATGTAGGAGGTAAGTACGTACTTCTTTGAAATAAACAAATTAATTTAATATAATATAAATAAACGCGGCGATTCCAGCAGGAGGGAGGGGAGGGAGGAAAGGGAGGTGGTTAGGGGGGGCCCGCGGCCGAGGAGAGTGCTCTGATATACTCTGCTAGCGCGACTTATTAGCCCCCCCCCCCCCTTGCGCATGCTGCACTGTGCCAAGGATTAGTGGTCGGCCACCTGTTCGTGCCCTGCATGCCGTTAGAGTACGTGTACTACATGTAGCTACAGTTCCCTCGAGTTAGATAACTCAATAGAGAGGGCCTTTCCGGCGGAGGGGGTTTGGGTCCGATCGCGAGGTCGATCCATGGGTGGGTGGACTTGCTTGCAGGTGGGGACTGTTGCGTTGGGTTTTTTTTATTCTGTTTCGTTTCTGGAGGTTTGTTTTGATAGTGGTGGAGGAGGGTTATAGGTGAAACACCTATAGCGCGGTGGTGCTGGTCCGTTGGGTTTGGTTTGGTTGTTGCGCTTTGACGTTGGGCGTTGTAGGTAGTGGGCCATGGGTTTGGAGGCAACGGGTGACTTTTCATGATTGAGCATATATGTATGCATAAATTTATGGTTCTTGGGAAGAGCTTGTCACAGGTGATATCAGTTCAGGTTGTAATAGAGACAATGCTTCTTTACGTGTACTCTAGTTTGAGGGTGGCGGTCTCGAGAATGTTCTCCGGCCGATTCTAGTATTGCAAAAGAGAGGTGTATCACAGATGATATCAGCTTAGTTTGCTTTAGGGACAATGCTTATTTTTTGGGAGCTGGGAGTGGCACTCTCGAGTATCGAGAATGGTCCTCCCACGCCAACTTGATATTTTTTTCTTCATTTTTTAAGGTTTTGCGGCACAGGAGTGGCGAATCGACAGGAATAAATGCAGTAAGAACAAAAAACAGAAAAACAGTATGATCAACAACTAGAGGATACGCTCCAACACAGTAGTACAGTGCTAAAAAATCAACGCAATCTATAAACGAATAACCAATCAAAGGAAATCAAAAAACAGAAGCCAAAGAAACTCAGTCAAAGTCAAAGTCAACAATATCACCATACCATACCATATTACCATACCAAAAAGCTTTTAACGGCGGCTCGCCCTGGACTTCTCCGACGCCTTGGACCCCACAGACGAAAGGCTATCCTCAGGCCCCACAGTGTCGTACCCGGAGAGTGTACCGGTGCTCGACCTCTTGATGCTCGGCGCAGCGCTAACACGAGAGCTGCTGCTGTGGTGGGTGTTGGATCTGCTAACGTGGGAGGGCGAGTAGACCTCAGTGCGGCGGGATGCGGCGTGCGAGATGTGGGAAGGTGCGTGGGCTTCGGTGTGGCGGGAGTGGGTTGAAGGAGAGGCCATCTCGGTGTGTCTAGAAGATGCGTGGGAGCGAACTGAAGGAGCGCCCATATCAGTGTGTCTGGAAGACACATGGGAGCTGTGAACCGAAGGCTCTCCCCTGATGGTGCTGTGCTCGCTGCCATAAGACCTGCTGCTATGGTGGGATGCATGTGATGGCGGCGCCTCAAGATATCCAGCCACCCCGGAGGTGCGGTTGGACGCCACAGTGGGAGTCCTAGAGCCCATATCAGTGTGTCTAGAAGATGCATTGGAGTGAACTGAAGGGGCGCCCATCTCAGTGTGTCTAGAAGACGCACGGGAGTGGATCGAAGGCGATCCCATCTCGGTGTGTCTGCTAGAAGACACATGAGAATGGACTGAAGGCTCTCCTCTGATAGTACTATGCTCACTACCATACGATCTGCTGCTATGGTGGGACGCCTGCGACGGCGGTGCCTCGAGATAGCCAGCGACTCCAGAAGTACGGTTGGAGGCAGCAGTGGGAGTGCGGGAGCTGGGGTATCCGCTGGTTGCGGATCCCCCGGTCTCGTATCCTCCGCAGCTGCTGTGCTTGCTGGCCTTTGAGCCGGAGGTCTCGTATCCACTACGGTGGCTGCCTGCGTGCGATGGTTGGCTGGACCCTTGGGATTCTTTGGCCCCAAGGTAGAGATCCATGAGTGCGTAGGCAGGGTCGTTGGGCGAAAGATGGCGCTCTTCGGGGACAAAGTTGTCGAGATCGACAATCTGGCCGTCAACGGTGAATTGGAAGTTGTTCATATTTGTGGTGGTAAAAGTTGAGTTGAGTTGAGTTGAGTAAGTTTGGAAATGAGGAGTTGGGAACGAGGAATTGAGTGTTGTAGTAGTTGTGCTGGCTGTGAGTGTATCAAGGATGTGATGGAGTTTCTATTAGGAGTGATAATGGCGTTGATTTTATAGAGTTGGGGATATTTTCAAGATTGTGTTTGGTGGAGTGTAGTTTCGAGGGGTCAATGATTTTTGTTTCAATTTCGTAACGAGGGGTATCAAGAAACATCTTTTGGGAGACTTTGTGATCATTGTGGTTTGAAATACGATACATCCTAAGGCTGGTAGATAGTTGTAACAGGAGCTAGATGTGGGCCCCCTTTGTCTCAATTGATAGAGAGAACAGTACGTGCCTACATATACTTAACATTGCGATTAATTAACTCAATAAACTAGCCCCTCACAGCTACCAAGAAAGAGAACCCTGAGGGTGTCGAAATGTTTCGACACTCCATATATAGAACTGATGATTAAGCTTTTGCAAAATTGTAGTCTTGTGCAGCCCTCAGGAAGCTTTCGCTTGAGATTTGAGTTCTATGGCGCATGATAGCTACATGTAAGTTCCGTGTACGGCACAGCTAAAAAGTAAAAGTCGAGCCATAACGCATGAAGCTTCTACGCACGATAATCATAATACAAGTAATCAAAATAATAATTTCTCATACTCGCACACTGCAACCGTGAGCTTCTGGCGACGTTCAAGGGATTACCGCTGTTCTCATTTGAGCAAGTGACTGGGGAAATCTCCAAAACCCAGCCCGATCGGCAAGGTGGTATACCGGGTATGGGAGACACGGGATTCGAACCTGTAACCTTTTGATTTGCAGCAAGAGGTAACCAGACCCTTACGAACCTTCTAGCAGCCTAGACAGGCAATATGGGCCCTCGAGTAGAATATATCGGGCTGTGCCCTTATGTAATGCTAGCTTTGTGGGGTAAGCAGTCATAAATTGACGGCAGGTAAATCTTTCCCACAATCACGCATTTAGTAGGCACTGGTTCATTTCCGGCACTCTCCTTCTCCTCTTCCTTCTTCTCATCTAAATTCTCAGTGACATGATAAGCGCTTCCTTCTCCATCATCCGAGGAAGGTTATCACCAACCATTTAGCTGCTGCTTCAGCCCTAAATGGAAATCTGTAAGTCTTCTACTCTATAACTACTTGTATAACACCGATTCAACCTATATTCATCGATCTAACATGTCTCTTTCAGCAGATTTCTCAGGGAATGGACTCTGGCTAGCAGATCTTCCCAAGCCCGGTGTAAATATCCTTATCATCCCTCTCATCGATTATCATTTATAGATACGTGTAACAAATATTCGCTGGATAGACCGATCCCTCCTCGTTTCACCGCCTCATGTGGTGAAGGAATACACCCCGGCCCTGAAGGTTGAGCGTGCCGCTAGCGTTCCCTTCACCCCATTGCTGGCTGGGCCGGGGTTCGTATGCGCATCCTTCCTCCCAGCCTTATCCTTCGACGGACTGGAATCGCTCTCCCATATACATAAGGGAGACGCGAGTTGTCTTATAGGTCATTGGGACCTCATGTGCGTAAATCATGACTCTTTCACTAATATAACTTTACCTTGACTGATTTAATAATATAGAGGCTTTTTGGGAGTTCTGGCAGTCGTCCTACAAGCACATGGCTTATGCTATGGTCTTGTACTGATTGTGGGTGTAGATGGTGCCCCTATTTCAGTGGCTCTACTCTTGTAGGGCCGCTGTACTGATTTTGGTCTGCTTCATCCGGGCCCGCGACAGCCACCCTACTCTTGTAGGGTGGCTGTACTGATTGCCTGGGTTGCCCTGTGGGGGTATTGGTTTTCCAGTACTCTCATAGGGCGGTTGTACTGATTACTGGGGGGTGGTCGCGGCGGCATTATTGTGATGATAGCCGTGGGCTGTTATGGGGCGGAGGAGGGGGGGAGTTTATAGATAGTTTTACTCTTGTTACTTTTGTTTATGGTGTTTGAGTGTTTTGTGATTGTGACTTGGTGACTTGATGCATGTGATATCACTCGGACTTCGCTTGAGATTTGATGACGCTTGAAACCGTAGATCCAGCCATTTACCCAACTAACCTACAACGCTTTGCCTCGGCCATAACTAAGGGACTTTTCGAACGATATCTAGCAGATTAGCCTTTACGAAGCCTGTCCCAGTTTTCTTTCTTTTGGCCACTTCGTGTGTGTGTGTTGTCGCCAGGAGCCAATAGGAAATAGCCTTGGCAAGCCTCCCTGCCTAGCACGAATCCATTTCAGCCAGAACGCATGTCAATAACGAGCTTTTCCCGACTCGACTCGGGCCGACAGACTTAGGGCTGATGTGGCTTTGGGGAGATGTGCTGGTTGCGCATTTTCGGGCGTCGTGGTCTCTTCCTCAGTGGGCTAGCCGCTTGATGCCCATCCGGGTCCAGCAGGTAGATTCGGCTTAGATGATCATCTTCTGCTTAATTGCGCTGAGTACATGACCAGTTTGCTGGCCTTTGGGTCCATAGTACCGTATTTCAAATCAAAATCAGCGGGGAAATCTCGAAATATTTCCCTCATCCGTTCCTGTGTTGGCTCATCGACATGGGGCATCTCTGTGCGAGTGTCTCGTACACGATGAGCATTATACCGGCCTGTTGGGGCTGCTTCTGCAGCTGTTTGACAGCATTGCCAGCTCCAGGTAGGACTCGAACGCTTTCGTGCTTCAGCAGATAAGATAGTCAATTGACTTGGCCTCTCTATACAAAAGTTGCTTTTTGACCATTGTTCGGGAATTAGATTTGGGATGTGTAGCTAAGGCCCATAGATCAGGTATATACGTTTCTCGAGTGATTACTTGTGATTCTCCAAGCCGATTCATTGCTTCGAGCCAAAATTCAAGAACTGTACCGCCCAGGAACAAAGCCGTTTAATTACAAGCTGTAAGATAGAAATATCATTTTATATCTAGTTACGGGCGTCTATTGGATTAGAAAAAGCCAAGCGCAAGATTCACTTATACGGGTGTGGAGTTTCCACCATGGCGCCTAACGAAAACAATAGAAGTCCCATCACAAGCGCGTTTCAGGTCTCTCTCTATTGTCCTTCTTTGTTTGTCGTCTGGATAAACCCATGCAAACAGCATTACATAAGTCAGATAACCTTATGTGTATCTTTGCCGATCGCATCGCGGCTACACACTAGCATGTAACATCGACTTTACATACACCAAACATGCATGCCACGCCGCAATTCTCTGCGCTTACATTTCCCAGCTAGGTTATTCAGGGCAACCCATCTCAATAGATGAAGATGAGCAGGTACCCAACTGATGAGGGGTTTTGTGTTGGGTTCTGATGACAGGTACTTTGGCAGTTTTGTATTGCGGTCTCAACTGGATGCTGATTATCAGGGCGGAATAGAAAGCTCTGTAGGTATGGTGAGTAGTTAGAAGCATCTACAGCCGAAATGAGTTCAAGAATGTAAGTATTTACTCTATTAAAGGGTGGGTTTCTTTTTCTCAAATCCTCGATGACGGCCCCCCCCTTCAGAACTATTGATTGGATCGATCATGCGCCGTCACCCCCCAACGTTGCCTCCCAAGACCACGATAATAATAGGCTCTCAGGGTCTGCGAGCGAGATAAGGTGGTGAGCGTGTGAAAAATTCGACCCTATCCTAGTCGTCAGCTGGTCGAGAGCCTCTCTGTGGTCGCTCCATCCCTCTTTTGAGTCAGACCCTTCCTCCCATTCTCCCGCATCTAAATACCATTGGAAACTCTCCCCCCCACCTCATCGGAGTTGAATTTCATCTCACGAAAAAAACAATCTATCGCGCATCAGCATCATCATCATGGCTGCTGAGGAATACTACGTCTCCGGCGCTCCGCTCGAATCCTATCATACACAGTCGCAGTCTATGGCGCATCATAGCGATGGCAGTAGGTCGCGAGGCAGTAGGTCGCGGGGAAGAGGGGAAAGTGTTTCTCCACCGATGCCCAGGTCCCCGGCCTTTTATCATGGTCATGAGCAGGAGCATGAATATGAGCAAGGGCATGGACATGGACATGGACATCTGGTACATGAACAAGAATATGAACATGGACACGGACACGGACAAGAATATGAGCATGGACACGGACACGGCAATGAACAAAGTGTGCAAGGCTGGCATCCTGACTTTGTTTCGCGGTTTCCACCAGAGGAGGTCAGTACCACTTTTACTTCATAACAGCCTTTTTATTCTTGTTTATTTTGTTACCGCGATCTTGGTTCTATTGGTATGGGTTATGGATGGGGGTACCTTGCATGTCAGCGCACATGGTGGTTGATTGTGCACTGATAACAGGTCGGCTGCTTATCCGTCATCACGGACATCCTTCATTATCTCACATGCGATGTACTGACAGATCATCGTGTTGTAGCAACCATATGGCCCGCCCACAATTCAAGGCGCGATCGACTACTACAAGAAATTCGGCGGCAGCCTTCCAGAGGGATTTACTCTTTCTGCAGACCCCTATGGTGGCACCCACGGCAGCGGCTACAGCCACAACCACACAAGCGCACACGGCCAAATAGGACAACACCACAGCGGCCAAATAGAACAATACCACAACGACCATGGCCAGGTATCACAATACACTGATGTGGCATCTCGGAAGAAAAAGCAACGCCACAGTAGTACATATTCGCAGGAAGGCCAAGTAGTAGGGCTATACGGTCACCACGATGATCAAGTATCGCACTACACTGACCAGGCATCTCGCAGAAAACAGCACCGTCACAGTACCTATTCTCAAAGTGGCCAGGTAGTCGAGCATCAGCATCATCAAAATGATCAGGTATCGCATTACACTGAACACGCTTCCCACAAGAAGAAACATCGTCAAAGCGCCTATTCTCAAGCAGCCGTAGAATATGAGGAGCCCTTCGACCCAAATGCACCTCCTGGTGAGCGTGGTCTGGGATCAACTTTAGTCGGCGGTACGGCGGGTGGATATCTTGCGCACAAGACAGGTGGAAACTTCATGAGTACTATCACTGGCGCAATAGGAGGTGCAATTGCCGCAAATGTAGTCAATGACGAACTCAAGGGGCATAAAAAGAAGCGGGACAAGAAAGAGAGAGAGGAAAGGAGGGAGAAGAAGGAAAGGAGGGAGAAGAAAAAAATAACCTCCACCACTCAAACTACTTCATACCAACTTATAAACGCCGGCTCTTCCGGGTCAGGTGGAAGGATATCAAGTTCGGGGCATGGAGGCCACAGTGGAGGAACAGGCAGTGGTGGTGGGAGAACTTCGTCGAATACACTTCAAGTTGTAGTCGCAGGGAGTGGCCGCTCAAGCTCAAGACATAGACGCAGCTCGTCGCACCAGAGATCCTCTAGCAATACCCTATCTCCCAACGCATACAGCAGCCATGGATCCACCTATGTGGTCACTCATTCCCACTCCACCTCCCGTTCTCGTCGCCGCCGTGATTCGTCTTCGGAATCGGACCGTTCACGAGAGTATCTCTCCAGTCACAGCCATGGTAGAAGCCATAGCCGGAGCCATAGTCGAAGCCATAGTCGCCGGCTCAGTTATACTACAGAAAAGCCGATTAAGGAGCCTCTACTAACTTCGTTATTTGCATACGGGTACTCAACTGGCGGAGGCCACGTATTCAGTAGTGGGTCGAGCGAGAGGTCGAGATACGTAAAGACGTCACACAGACACCGTAAGAACCATGTGCAGCGCGAGCACCGTGACCATCATCATAAGAGGGTTGGGAGCGCAGATAGCTACAGTAGCGATAGCTCCTCTAGCAGTAGCTCCTCCAGTAGTAGTAGCAGTAGTAGCAGTTCGAGTTCCAGCGATTCCAGCTCTGACTCGGACTAGGGGTTGGTTTGTGGTGGTGGTAGGGGTAATGATCCTTTGGCCATATCTATTCATTCGGCGTGCGGGGCGGTATGGGTTTCTTTTATGAATGTACGGATGACATTTCTTCTTTTTCTTCTGCTGGAACGGCGTTTCACGACTATCAGACTCCAGATTACGAATTTTCTTAGGCTTGAGATACCCTGGGGGCTATGGAATTTATTGGCAGGCTAGCAGTTATAATTATCTTCACTGCATAATATTATTGCTTTCCATATTTTATTTTTTTATTTTTCATGTCGATAACAGGCAAACGCCTGTGCCTCCTCCTCCTTAGCAGCTTAGCTAACTACATATAACTAAATGTAGAGTACTTAACTCCAGTACCGCGCATGAGTACATGTAGGTAATTAATACACTTAAAGTACTGTAGCCTACTCGCATTCCAACATACAATATAAAAACGTTTTTAAAAAGAAAAAAACTGCGTGGCCGTATCCCGTGTATATTATAGGTACGTAAGGTACACATACACAATTATTCCCTGTTTTTTTTCTCCCTTCTCTACTTTATGCATGCATGGAACACGTCCAGAGTCAACAAATATGCACTGGGCAGGGAGAGGACAAGTTGTGGCCTTCCTACCGTCAGATAGAGTAGAGTATGCAGAAATAAATATGCCGAAAATGCCAGGTCAGGGGTAGTAAAGCAGGCACTCTCGCCGAGGAGCCATGGAGTTTGAAACCGGGCTCTTCTAAGTGCCATCATGACTGAGGCGTAACCACATGGTATTCGGAATAGCCTAGTATTCTAGCTTCATTTTTACCCACATGCAGACACCTGTATTGGAATCCTCACTCCTGTTTCCCCCGGAATCTACATACTTTGACTGCTTCCTCCAGAATCAAGCTCGACAGGGGAGAAATTCGAAACCAGCCTGTTCTCTACTACCGGGACTGCGGTACATACAATGATCACGATAGTTTCCTAACCACTTTATTACTAGGCGAGTAGATTGTGATCCTCAGTGCTTCTCCTCTGTCCGGGTACCATGGTAGAGTATGGAACTCTCGGAATTCCTCCCCAGGAATTCAAGGGTTGGGTAAAATAAGCAGAAACAAAGCTGGCTCAAGTAAGGGTAAAGTGATTGGAAGAAACCGACTACCCATGGGATTCTAAACCAGCCTTTTCTTACAGGGAGAGAGCTGCCACAGCCTGCCTGCTAACTGTTTGTTTACTAGATTAAAGCCTTAGCTGTCTACCCCGTATTACTTCCCCAGAAGTTCAGAGAGATGGGGTCGTTCACCGGCTGACTGTGGCTGAGTTGGTTGGTTGCACCTCCACAATAAGGCGTAGGCTAGCTGGTAAGCCAAGCGAAGCGAGCTAGCTAGCGAGATAGATGTCCCATTCCCCTCAGTTTCAGGTTTTTCAGTTCCGAGGTTGATGCGAAGGATTTTCTTTGCAAGATGTTTTCCCGAACGCGCGATCGGCTGCAAAAATACAGCTCCCCGAAAAGTAAATAGGGGTACGCCCCCGTTATCTATCATAGCCACGCCCGCGCGCCCACGCCTGGCGCAACCATTACGATAGTGGGAGGGTGGAAAAGACTGGTTCATGCAGAGAAGAACACATAGAAGGCTCTTCGTCATAAAGCTGACACAGATATAGGAATCAGAAGCGAGATCTGACAGGAACGAGTGAGGTGATTTCTGTATGCTAATTGTGATGTTTTTATGGAGGGTGTGTAGAGAAAGATAGAGCTGCAGATAGATCAAGATTCAGAGCGTTAAAACGGCGTGAGGTTGGTATGTAAGGGATAGGGAGAGTAAAGGGTGTGTAAATGCAAGATGCGGGAAGACGTAAATACACAGGATGCAGGACGAGGTTGGTATATTCTGAGGCTTCAGGTTGTTGTGGTGGCTTCTTTCTGCAGGCGTCTGCAAACTTGCATGTGGAAAACGAAGATGGTGGGTATATATCCAGATTTTATAGGGAGTTATGAAGGCACCATAGGCGAAGAACTTGACGCGAAGTAAACAGATATCGCAAAGGCCGAATTGAAAAAAAGACCTAGCTACGTAGCGGTTAATAAATTTGACCAACAAACAGACAAACTTGAAAGCCTGGAGTTTTGAATTATTGGTGAGAAAACCCCTCGAGCGGGGAAACGAAGCAGGGAACGATAACGATAGGTAGGAGCTTCTCGTGGTTCATTAACAAATTTTGAGGCAAACCGACCAAAACCTTCTTGAGCTCTACCTCCTTTTAACAGTGACGTGATGCAAACACAGAATATGTAGGTACCTAGTTCAGTAAATTGTCCACTGATGTCCTGTGAACTATTTACCTCCCCAGCTCTACATAAGCTGTTGACATGCGAGGAAGACCATAGAGGACTGTGCGCTATGTAGAATCCAACTCTCAATTCGCGTCTCGCAGAAAAATCTCGGCGCGCTGTCGCGGACTAACTATCAGGTGATTCACAGCACGACAGATACCTATCCTTTTAGACCTGCCGATTTGATGCTGTAGACTGTAGTGATAGGATGGATTGAGATCCCGGGAGGAGTCTGTCGTACCAGCGGCGACGGGGAGTTGCCGGTAAGGACAGATATCCGGCAAAATCCCTCCTGTGTTGTTGGTATACTGTAGTATACCTACATGTACCTACTTACTTTAGATGGAGTAGGTAAAGTACTGGTTCGAGCATGAAGAACCCAGATACACAGCACTTTTTTTAATTAATCGATTTGCCACCGGAGAGTCAAATCTCATCAGATCTTAGATATGAAACTGTACCTAGAAAAGGAGTTTGTCCAAACATCAAAACATAGACTTCCCTTCGAGAAAATAAAAAAACGGAGTTGTTGAAATCAGCATCCTAACCCCCTGTCTATCGCAGACGGCGCTAGCAAGGGTGGTATAATCGGTGCTTTATCGATAAGTTGTTCTTTGTCTTGCACTGAGACTTTGCGGGGCGAGTTATTCGCCGGCGGCTAGACCGAGTTTGAAGTCCGGGGGATAAGGGACTCGGATAAGGCGCAAATACCGTGTATGGTCTTGGTTAACTAGAGACGACCACGACAACAAACTCAACAGAGGTGAAAGAGAATGGATATCAAAATTCATTTGGCTGCACTAAGTAGGTAATAATGTATCAAATTATGAAAGATCAATCATCGTGCCCCTGATTTTGTAAATAACGAGCACACCCTCAACCAGGAACAGAAATGCATGGACGGGATTGGTGGGTGGCCGCATCTTGCTGTTGTGAGATTTGATCTTGCCTGAAGAAATTGCCGGATTGGATAGGTGTGTGTGGATGGACCCTTGCGTTTCGACCTATGATAACTGAAGTTCGGAGCGGTTCAAAACAGGCACGGTTCTCACTGCTGCTTATGAGGACACATGTGCTCTAAAATCAATCAACTGAAAGCGCGGTCGTGCCCGATGTTTCTTGCCATGAGTGTTGCAGGTAGGTAATACACCGACCAGAGGTTGTCGGTCCGTTGACGCGATAGACGAGTTAAGGCATCAAATTAGAGTCTAGATCAGACAATTGGACAGGCACACAGCGTTTCTCCTGGGCTTTCTCGAACAACACCTTCTGTGTTGTGGATGTGTCAGTTGCAGAAATTTGCGCTCTGCTTTTCTTTGCCTCCCGTGAAGCGAAGGGTGAGGTAGAGCATGTAGTTAGGGAAAAGGCTTGATTTCTAAGGCTCTAGAAGTTGCCCCAGATTTTCCTCTCCGCCGCCACCGACGAGACGAAATTTTTAGAGTTTTCGGGGCAGGGCCGAGGGAGGAGCGAGTAGGCATAGCGAGAGGGCGTATGTAGGTACTCTAAGTCTATACCGAAGTCGGAACATGAACCGTCATACCAAAGTGGGTACACTTCCAGAAGGACCCCCTAGACTTCTTTCACCCACCACCATGACCGACCACCAGGGGCACTACACCATCTTTTGGATATTTTAGTAGTAACTCTGCATACATGAATTCTACTCAGCCTGATCCCTGTATCTGCAAATTGGTTGTGCCAACTCAGTGCAGCGGCCATATTTATTTCTCCTTGAATAGGTAAATGTAGGTACTCTATGCAAGAAGGTGCCATTGTATTATTACTGAGCCCAAAGAGCGTACCTTGTAGTGTGCGAGTACAAGTGACAAGGTGGCAAGAGACCATGGTGAGAAGGGTTTTTTCTCGGAGGGGAGTGGGTAGAGAAGAGCGGGTAATTGTAAACAGGGCCGAATACCTAGGTGTGGGTGTGGCCAATTCGAGGGTGTGGCCAATGGATAACAAGTGCCAAGGAGAGAGTCAGCGAGGCTGGCGCACAGAAGGCGAAGGAAGGGCTACAGACTCATCCCAAATCGGGCTTAGACTAATTGCCGCTGGAAAGATTTTTTTTTTTTGGAATTTTCTCTCGTTGAAATTTTTTCTTTTTTTCACCTTCTTTGCCTTTGGTTTCTCCTTACCGCCCACCTCTCTGGCATTGTTACATAAACTCCCTGCCTGAATATAAGGGTCCCTTCCTCCCTCCCAAAGTCCGCCTTTCTCTTTCCTCTTCATACACATCTCTCTTTCTTGTTGTTCTCATAGATTTTTCTGTCTTTGGGTTTCTTTTTCTCTACGGGTTTTCTCTCCATAGACGGGACAGCGAAACCAAACGCTCTGCTTCTTGCTTCTATCCGCGTTCAGTTAGATCCGAACCACTCAACCCCTCCCCGTTTCTACCAGCCAACCCCCGGTTCCCGTGCCCTTATCGCTTTCCGTCTGAAAAAAGTTTTTCTTGCTACTCTTAGAGTCTAGACTGCTTTTTCTTTTTTGGTCTTTTCTTCAACCCCTCTTTTTCTTCCTCCCACACATATATCTATAGACTTCCCCCTCACAACTAGAATTTCCACCTCTCAAATGGCACCTGCTCTCGACACCATGAACCCCACCGACGCCGCTGTCGCAGCTGAGAACCAGAAGTCCGTCAAGGTCTTGGACGAACTCCTCCAGAAGTTGACCATCTCAAAGACAAAGGACGAGGCCACTTACGCCGCCCACAACCTTGCCACTTTCATTAATGGCCCCATCGAAGAACATGAGGTTCCTACAAAGTGAGTCTTTTTGCCTCTATCTCCTTAATATCTGTTAAATTTCGCCTTTACTAACAAGTTATCCCTTTTCAGAATCCTCACTACCATCAAGAAGCAGTTGAACAACAAGAAGGATGCTCTCGCTAGAGAACACGCCCTCAATGCCATCGCTGCCATCTGTGAGAACCAGGTTTCGCCCAGCATCGAGCCCTACATTGTTTCGCTGCTCTCAAACGTCCTCGTGGCTGTCGGTGACAAGATCACTGCTGTCAAGAAGGCTGCTGAGGCTGCCGCCGTTGCCATCATTTCCAGCATCAACCCCAACGCTGTAAAGGCTGTCCTTCCCATTCTCTCCAAGTCCATCGTCTCCGCCTTGAAATGGCCCGAGAAGATGTGTGCTCTTAGCTGTCTCGATATCCTCGTTGCCCAGGCTTCTTCCCAGACTGCCCTCAGACTTCCCGAGTTGATTCCTACCGTTTCTGAGGCTATGTGGGACACAAAGCCTGAAGTCAAGAAGGGTGCCCGTGCCGCCATGGAGAAGCTTTGTTCTTTGATCTCCAACAACGATATCAACCGATTCATTCCTGAGCTCATTAACTGTATCGCCAAGCCCGAGAACGTCCCGGAGACTGTTCACCTTCTTGGTGCCACCGTTTTCGTCGAAAATGTTCAGGCTCCCACTTTGTCTATCATGGTTCCTCTTCTCGAGCGTGGTCTTGCGGACCGTGACACCGTCATCAAGCGTAAGACTGCTGTCATTATTGACAACATGTGTAAGCTTGTCGAGGATCCCCAGATCGTCGCTCCTTTCTTGCCCAAGCTTATGCCTGGCCTTGAGAAGAACTGGGAGAACATGGCCGATCCCGAGGCTCGTGAGAAGACCCGCCAGGGTCTCGACACCCTCATCCGTGTTGGTAACGTTCAGGATGGAAAGATTCCCGAGGTCTCATCAGCTGGTGAGCCCAAGGTTATTCAGGAGACTATCAAGACCATCCTTTCAAGCCACAAGGACCTTGTTACCAAGTTCGAGCCCATCATCGCCTACATCGCTGCCATCGCTGGTAGCTTGGTTGATGAGAAGGAGAACGAGTCTGCTATCTGGACTGAACACACCACCCCCTACTTTGCTGCTTTCCTTCCCGAAGGCGAGGCCCAGAGCACTGCTGAGACTCTTCGCAAGCGTGCTTCCCCTATCTACCAGGAGGACGAAGTTGCTGAGGATGATGAGGAGGGCGAGGATCTTTGCAACTGCACTTTCAACTTGGCTTATGGTGCTAAGATCTTGCTCAACCAGACCCATCTGAGATTGAAGAGAGGTCAGCGTTACGGTCTTTGCGGACCCAACGGATCCGGTAAATCTACTCTTATGCGCGCTATCAACAACGAGCAGGTCGAGGGTTTCCCTAAGAAGTCCGAGGTCAAGACCGTCTTCGTTGAGCACGATCTCGACTCCGCCGATACTGAGAAGTCTGTTATTGGCTGGACTTGCGACAAACTCCGTGAGACTGGTGCCACCATCTCCCAGGATGACATCCAAGAGAAGCTTTTGGAGTTCGGTTTCGTTGCTTCCATGTTCGAGGCCCCCATCACCTCCCTTTCCGGAGGTTGGAAGATGAAGTTGGCTCTTGCCCGTGCTGTGTTCGAGAACCCTGATATTCTCCTTCTCGACGAGCCTACCAACCACATGGACAGGCAGAATGTCAAGTGGCTCGAGAACTACCTCAAGAACTCTCCTTGCACCTCCATCATTGTCTCCCACGACTCCGGTTTCCTTGATAATGTGTGCCAGCACATTATCCACTATGAGCGTTTCAAGCTTAAGCGCTACAGAGGTAACCTCAAGGCCTTCACCGAAAAGGTCCCATCTGCTAGGTCCTACTACGAGCTCGGAGCCTCAGAACTCCAGTTCAAGTTCCCCGAGCCAGGTTTCCTTGAGGGTGTCAAGACCAAGGCCAAGGCTATCATTCGTGTCAGCAACATGTCCTTCCAGTACCCCGGTACTGAGAAGCCTCAGCTCAAGGACATTACCTTCCAGTGCTCTCTTGGGTCCCGTATTGCCGTCATCGGCCCCAACGGTGCCGGAAAGTCAACCTTGGTCAACGTTCTTACTGGTGAATTGATCCCCACCGGTGGTGATGTTTACCAGCACGAGAACATCCGTATTGCTTACATCAAGCAACACGCCTTCGCCCATATCGATAACCATCTCGACAAAACTCCCTCAGAGTACATTCAGTGGCGTTTCCAGACTGGTGAGGATCGCGAGACCATGGACCGTGCCAACACCAAGATCACCGAGGATGATGAGCAGGCCATGAACAAGGTCTTCAGAATCGAGGGTACCCAGCGTCGTGTTATCTCCGTTTCATCCCGCAGAAAGTTCAAGAACTCTTACGAATACGAGTGTTCGTTCACTCTTGGAGAGAACGTCGGTATGAAGAACGAGAAGTGGATTGTCATGTCTACTTCTGACAACGCCTGGATCCCCCGTACCGAGCTTATCGGTTCCCACGCCAAGATGGTTGCCGAGGTCGATCGTGCCGAGTCAATCAAGAACGGACAGTTCCGTCCTCTCGTCCGTAAGGAGATTGAGATCCACTGCTCCAACTTCGGTCTTGATGCCGAGCTTGTCTCCCACTCTCGTATGAGGGGTCTCTCTGGTGGTCAGCGTGTCAAGGTCTGCCTTGCTGCTGCCACATGGCAACGCCCACATTTGATCGTTCTTGACGAGCCTACCAATTATCTTGACAGAGATTCACTTGGTGCCTTGTCTGGTGCTCTCAAGACCTTCGAGGGTGGTGTTATCATCATCACTCACTCCGAGGAGTTCACCAAGGAGATCACCGAGGAAGTCTGGAGTGTCATGAACGGAATGATGACTCCTTCCGGACACAATTGGGTTACTGGACAGGGTTCAGGACCTCGATTGGGAGGTGAGAAAGAAGAGGAGGATCAGTTTGACGCCATGGGCAACAAGATTGAGGGTGGTAAGAAGAAGAAGAAGCTCACTTCATCTGAGCTCCGTAAGAAGAAGAAGGATCGTATGGCCAGGAGAAAGCGTGGTGAAGAGGTCTTCAGCGTAAGTTACCACTTTCCAATCAATATCTTTGAATCAATACTAATAAATTATTATAGGATGAGGACGACTTCTAATCTAATTTTCCATAACTTACGATTTTTCTTTTGTTGATGAAAAAAAATGGGGTTTGGGTTTTCTGTTTGGTGGTGGTCGGCAACTGTGTTAATTGTTTTTTTCCTTGCTCATGGGTTCTTTCGGATAGGTGATTACGATGCGATATAGAGATGTGATTCCTGTATGTTAATATAAATGGTCTGCTCGTATCAATTGGTCTCCAGTTTTGGCCACCTAATTAAAAAGCCTTCGGTTTTTAATAAGTTCATCCATTTCAATGACAGCTATAAAATGTCAGCCCTTTAGTTCCCCCCGATATCCATTATAAATTCCTAGTTTCCTTCAAGTTCTGTTTTTAAGTCGGGTTGCGTGACATGTACCGGCCTCCCCATCTACCCTGTTGTCTCCCATAACCGATGGTCTTGAATCTAGAGCAGAAACAAGTCGTTTAACGTCTGGCTAGTGGTAGGGCTTTTCATAACTCTCGATAGGCTCCTTAGGAGTGCGGTTGAGCTTCTTGGTTTAGAAGGGACATACTAGCCTAGATATCTCGGTGGCGGTCGAGGGCACGTTGTCAAGTGTTGTGATCTGTAGCAATTCTTCCGACGGTCTTGATTTTCTAGCTACTTGGGTTGATCGATGGACCTGAGAATCTGTAAAAAAAATCCTCATGCGGGGCATCATTAACATATGAGGTGCTGTGTGTAACGTAACCACCAAATATGCGGGGGAGTTTTTTTTTTTTTTTTTTATGGGAGCCCTCCAAAAAAAAAGCCAACCAACAGGGCCCTGAATAGCATTCCACAGTAATAATGAACTAAAATCTAGGTTTTATGGTAACGGTATCGTGAGTTAAGAAGTCGGCCTGACGGTCGTTATTCCAATGTTTCGTTGGTCCGGTAGAGTTAATCATGAACTAGCACTCGGTCTTATACCTGCGGCTCATCAACAGAAATCGGGCCCACAAGATGGTATACGAAATGGGTAAATATACAAAACAATGTGTTATATTATATTAAGACCTACTTCTCACCTTATACTTGTCGACTCTTCGGGACCGTTTAACTACTTCGGAATACAAATACAGAAGAAAGCCAAGCAAACCTTTCAGAAGCTAAACTAAAGCCACCACCAGAAAAGCGACGTAGCAACACGTACATGAAAAAACACAAAAAGCTGTTAGCAGGAAGAATAATGTTGGAAAAGATATCTTGTCTGATTGATAGCTCCCACTTATCCACCCCCCCCCCCCCCCCAACCCCTACCGAATTGTTGGATTCTCCATACATTCTACATCTAGAGCATCATGAGCAGCTAATTTAGTGCTTTTAACGCCTTAAACCTTATAGAACAGGCTCATATCTTGCTTGATACATTCCCCATATAATTAATTCTAGAAAGACCTTAACGCCCTCCCGGCTTCAAGGCACTCCAATCACCGGATCTAGCCAAAAATCGATCATGATTTATCTATTTATTTGTTCATAGAGTATATGCAACCTTCCGGCCATGCATATAGTACCATGTGGTCTAGTATTAATTGATTTATATATTCATGACATGCATGCATGTGGTCTAGTAATGACAAACCGCAAATAAGTCGTGTATATATGTGGAATCATTTTGTTCCCGCCGTGAAAATATGATGTGCGTACTTGTGCTGGGTGATATCCGAGTGGCTCGAATACCAAAATCCGCGGTGTATAATAAGAACTTTGACGTTATTTATTTATGGGTTGAGGAGATGGCGGGTGTGGACCGTTTGTCGATATAGTATGTTGGCCATCTTGATCACGGTTCTTTACCTGTTGTCTAATGTCACTATTAATCACACTACCCGCCAACACACCTAGAATTTCAAAAAACCTCTCAATCCCTAAAACTACTCCTTTCCCTTACCGGCCCTACTAGCCCTTCCCTTCCCCTTTCCCCTGCCCCTGCCCTTACCCTTACCCCTCCCTCTTCCCTCACCTTCATCCTCCTCCACCGACGCCGCCAGCACAGGCGCTCCATTCCACGCCGCAAGCTTGATCCGCCCATCAACAAAGACGGAATCGCTCTCACGCGGGCCGCCGGCGCGTGAGATCTTGACAATGGCATCGCTGATGGTGAATGTCCAGATTTCGTCGCAGAAGCGGTAGTTTTCGATTTTGCCCTGTTGTTTTTCTGTCGTTAGTATTGTGGCTAGGTGTTGGGTGTAAAAAGAGGATATATAGAATGAGAGAGGGGAGGGGTTGTAGGTACATTGATAGAGATCGTGGACCTAAGGTCTGTAGTGAGGCGGGCGGTCATGGCGCGGTCAAAATTCTGCATAAGCATGTTGGCGGCGACTTCGGTCATGGCGTTGCGCTGGATGAGGGTGTCGATTGAGTCAGCGAGGGAGGTGCCGAGACTGTTAAATGTGTTAATGGGGGTTCCAATAGGGAGAATGGGGGGTACGCGCCTGGTTTGGCGGTATATTTGGAGGGGGTTGAGGCCCGGGGGGGTTGTGGGTGGCATCTTTGATGATGTCTTTCGATATCTATTTGGTAGTGAAGAGGGAGGGGGAGAGGGGGGGGGGGGGGTTCGGTGTTAGAGATATATAGCAGTGGATGTAATAGAATTGATGATAGGGCTATGGAGGGGGGTGATTAGGGTTTATTATCCTCGAGGATATTTGTAGAGTAACAGGCTGATGATCTAGACAAAGCGCATGTAAAAATGCGACAAACAGTCCTCAGTAGTGTAACCAAGCTTTTTGGTATTTGCAGAGTTTCCTCACAAAAAAGCTAACCGGGCTCCCACCGCTTCACCACACCCGCCGCCGCGGCGCCGGGTTATGTATTTGTGCCGAGTGATAATATATGATGCATGTCAAGATGCGCCGCAACCGACCAAGAACGAAAATCTGGTAATGCGAATGGTTCTTCCACTACTGTGTTCGCGGTGAAAGCCCGAGCTGGCTTTTATACTTCGAAATCGGTGGGATGAGGTGCTGGCCCTGCAGTGGATAAACTCTCGAGCCTCGAGCCGCGAGACAAGGAGTCTATTGATAAACAAGGCAGTCTCTTCCTAATACGTTCGCTGAGAGAATAAACTTCATCGCTGACCTGTCCCATAGAAATTTCTGGTGGTTGTTATCAACGTTGCATTCTGTACATGTAGTACTAGTACTCTGGACGTGGCCTGTACGTATACTTCTGTCTGGGACGAGTTGTCCCTGATTATGACATGACTACAAGACGGGCCCTCCCCTTCTTCCTCCCATTCAGTCACCCAGACCCGCCAGCCCTGGGACACAATAGATTTTATTCACCAGTTCTCACTCTCATCAAAACTCACCCCTGTGCCTGCGTGACAGGCGTGACACATGCGGGTGACAAGGTACCAGGGACGCGATACCCAGGGCCTGGGCGAATGAACGTCTGCAAGGTACGTACAATGACGCCCATTGGAAGTAAGGGGGCGCGCAGTGCACAGGGTGAATGAGTGGGTTTAAACTTTGTACTTGCTTTAACTTACGGGTGCAGGTTCTACCAACCACCGGTCCGCTATATATATGGCGAGCGAGATCTCAGAAACATCTAGATCTTCTCTTAGACCCCAGCTACTGCAAATATCTACACTTTGTGGCCATCGAGGCTTAGAATAACATACATGCCATCTGTACATGCCGGCCTCGCCGATTGGTAGATGAAGACTTTATTCACAGTAAGCACAGCCAGCTAAACACATACCTATCCGTAGGCAGACTCAGTAGAGTGCCCCCATCGATCTATCCGTCTATCTATCAACCCTAAGCCTCGGCCCGCAGCCGTGCCCCGCGCCGGTGGAGACGAGGATATGGTATCATATCAATCATCGTTTACTCTGTGTCCCCTGCACTGCGGCTGGTAGTTGGGCAGAGCCAGTGTGTGGTCCCTTGCCTTACGATTCATGTCAGTGACCAACCAGAGTGTTCAGTACTTAAAGTGCTTATTCCACTGCTACACTGTTCGCTGCTCTGCGTCGCTCCAATCATGATATCATGTTCACTTCACTCACAAGTGCATCTATAAGCCGAGTGACTCTCCATGACGCACCGTAACATTCCTCTCGGCTCCCTCTCACCGGGAAAGTCCGACGTCACTCTACTCTTTTTATAATTTATACAAATATAACTCTCCTCTAGAGTGGTACTCCTTAATATTATTCCAGAACTCTTATCTTGGCTCTACTCCTATCCACACGCCTGCATCTCCGCTCCGCTCCCAGGTCCTTCCATGCCAAAATATAAGGGCTCGGCCATATATCTACACCCGATCGACCACCCTTCCCGGAGCCATGGCCATGCCCGAAATCCGTGCCGCAGAGGGAGAGTCAGGGCCAGGGCCTTCTAGGAAGCGAACCAGGTACGTAACTCGCTCGGCTTTCTGGTGTTGGGTCGGGCTCGCGTAATTAGCCCCCCCCCCCCCACGCACCCTCGAGCTATGGACATCAATACATTCCTCGCGCGCGCGGACCCCGGTTTGGTTGGGATCAGACAGGTGGTTTAGTAAGTAAGTAGTTGGTTGGAATGGAAAGGAATGGATCAGCAATTGCGCGCGCGTTCGTATAGGTAGGCTATTATATTGCTTATATTGCAGCGCACATATAGATATATTATGTAGGTAGAGTATATCCTAGGCTTCCTAGCTAGGTAAACGAACTACTAGATAGTAGAGTACTTCTATGTATGTACCCAGCTAGAGTAATTGGGGTACATCCATAGCTCAGAGTCGATCGCGTATTGCCAACGTGGTGCGGTGGAGAGCTCGTATTTGTTTACCTACCCTCCCCTACTGTACTGTACTGGTCTGGATAGTTTTATACTATTTCTGTCGCCATGCCTGTTTTCCATGGATGTATTCCTCCGTAGCTACCTACCTAGGTACTCTGCCCATAAAGCAGGCAGGTACTCTACTTCCCTACATACTCCCATGTCCATGTCCTTGACCCTGTCAACAATCCACGCCCACACGTGCCCAAAATTACCCAGGACTGGCCTACCCAACGAACACGACCTACCTTCCCAGATCTCTCTCGCTCGTAAAGCCAGATCCACAGACCACACGCATCGAGAGGGTGGTCCTTCGCAACCGCTCCGGAATGAGGTTGTTCCTAAATATACCGATCGCCGTCCAGGAGCTGGAGGGAGGGGAGGGTGAGTACTGAGCTAGAGTATTGAGTTACTCTACCTGGGTAGAACTAGAATCGTAGAAGGTAGAAGAGGGAGGTAGTTGTTGCCAAGCAACACAAACACATGAGAGGGGCATCATGATAAGTGCGGATTCAGCAACCGCACCGCGCTCAACTGCATTCGTGGCACACATCCGCTTTGGAAAGGCTGAACTTGAACAACCAGCCCAGACAGACAGACAGACAGGCCAGCCAGCGGATGTTTTGCCTTGTGCGAGTGAGAGCGATCGGACGAATAGATGGTGGGGATGGGGAACGGGGGGGGGGATTGTCTGGGTCGTTGGCAATTCGATTACCTAGGTGCCCTGCGATTGCCGACAGACGGGTAGAAGGGAAGAAGGTGGAGAGAAGAAAGATGCACTTACTCGCGACCAGCAACAAGAACCCGAAAATGCACGTCCTAATCTGCAATTTCCATTGGAGTAGAAGTCAAAAATACACCAAAGACTTGCAGCTGCATATTCGGGTTCTTGTTGCTGGTCGCGAGTACTCTAGAAACCAGCCAGCCAGCCAGAGAGACAGACCGACTCAGTTCTTGTGCCTCCCGAATGAATAACACCCCGTTCTCGGCTATCCGGAGATTTTTTTTTTGTCATTTAGTCCCAAACAGCTCTTCCGTGCTGGACGTTGATACGTTGATATGATGGGAAGAAAAGTTATTTTGACGTCGGAGGTTTGATCCAGAGTCGAGTACCATGGTTCGCATGGTCAGAAGGAGCTTCCGTCTCCGAAGCTGGAAGACGATCTCTGAGCTAGCTAGGTAGCTAGCAATTGCTATTGTTGTCTCGCCTTGTCGAGTCGCTGTCGCTCTTGGTTGTTGTCTGTCTCCTACGTTACCTAGTATAGGTATAGTTGTGGTCCTTATTCTTGTTCTTATTACACGCGCGGGTAGTGGACCTACCTACCTTGGTTGTAGAGAGTGAGATCTTTTGCCAACCTCTCGATCACAGCTGTGCACTCGCTCTCTAGATCTGGCTATGTACATCATGTACTACGCTGGCAAGTGGTGGAGTAAGTAAGTAAGGCAAATGTAGAGGCAGAAAAAAATAGGTATGTCGACTTCAGCTACGATGGTGGTCGTCGAGGGAGGCCCCAGTTAAAGTTCCTCGGGGAGTACAGTAGGCCGCAGAAGCTCAACCAAAAAGTGATGCAACGCGGGTCCGGTTCCTGGTCCGGGGAGAGGGAAAAAGCACATGGTGGAACTTCAGTTGAGACGACGATGTCCATGTCCATACCCGTCGTGAACCACGATCCCAAGTGTTTTTCAGGAACGATGGTCTTGGCCTCTTTCGAACACTTTCCACGGACGGGTAGGTATACGGATCCACGGCCAGCTCTATATTTAGTAACATTGGTAGAATAGAATAGAGTTTACCTAACCTACCAGAACGCACCCAGCGGGTTTGAAAAGTACAGTCGCTCACCTACTGACGGCGGATCCTGTCTGATGGTTCTGTTCGCAGTAATTTGCCCTTGGCGTCCAAAACCTAACTCTTTTATTGGCCTCAAATCCCTGACCGCCATTAGACAGGATCCGCCTTCACCCCGTGAGTGACTGTAGATCTGGGAATTAAAGATGGCAACACACCCAATATCATGAAAGACATCGTGCCGTAACGTAAGCGCTATTTATGTTTTGCAGCTCACTTGACTCTTGACATCAGCTGTCGATGTCTCTTTAACTAAACCCACGATACTCACTGTCTCTCTCTCTACTCTAGCTAGTAGAGTACCTACTGGAAATGGATGTCATCCATCCGTAACCTACGCGCGCGCACATAGGGGATAGGATACATGCATGTGAGTACAAAGATATACAAATAGAGTATCTTATTTATGATAATGTCTAACGACTAAGATTTTCGTAATTTCTTTCCCAAAAAGAAAACTTCAAAAGTCTGATACATTTATTTACTGATAGTTAGTCAATCGGCAATGGCATCCCGCGTCAGCCTTAAGACAAAGTAGGAGTCGACGACGTCGTTTCGTTTCGTCTAATGCCCACTACCACTACGACCGCCGTCCCGTGCGCGGCTCGGCTTTTGACGTTCATCTAGAGGTATGTATGTAGCAGCCAGCCCTGCAGAGTACGAGAACGTCTCTACCTAGATGTAGATAGGCTATCCCAGCCAAATCAGACGCCTCTAAAGATCAACATGTATTCAATTTTCCTAGCGTTGGGCTGGAGCTCAGAAACTCCCATTGTCAAGGTTCGATATACACACATACGAGTACAGTTGCACCTCGCTATGGCGGAACTCAATATGCCGGATCCCTTGCTGTCCCGTATGAAATTTCCTGAGAATTCTATTTTTCTACTACAAAATCAATTTACTATCCCGAATTTCTTGAGAATATTTGCTATCCCGTACATGATTTGGTGAATCTTGGCGATCCGGCATAGCGAGGTGCGACTGTAGGTGGTTTGTTAACATTAGATGTTCAGTAAACATCCAAGGTTCTCCGTCACCGAACCGGGTTGAAGTACGAGTTTAACCGGCTGACCAATAAGGGAAGTTATTGCTCTAACTGAAGACCTTAAACGGATGCACCTAGCTCGGAAGAGTTTATTTCCATGAATCAGATTCAGGGGCTTGGCAAAAAGCACATATCACGTCTTCTCGGAACACCCGTACAGTATATACTACGCTATTTTTAAAACATCATCAAAGAAGATTGGCTAGACTTCTTGAGGAGAAGCTTCGAAGGACTGAAACTATGCATGAGCAGAAACTCGTTTTTTTTTCTATCTCTCGCGCCCTTGCGTAGGTTCATGAGAACGTTTGTGTTTTTGAAGAAGCTCTGCACGATTTTTCACCACCCCCTGAGACTGGGTGTTTGAACTCTACAGTTTCAGAAAGGGGAAGAAAGCCAAGTTCCAAAAAGATGTTTGGCAGTTTCGCCAAGGCTGTGACCTGCTGTAGGAACAGCCCACATTGAGCCATTATCTCAGCTGAAAGCATCAGAAGAAGTGGAGGAGATGAAGGGCGGACTTCGGAACGAGTGAGAATAGGGGGCCAATGTTATCGGCATCACATCATGCCTAGATCATTGGCTTGCAATGATTGCAGGGGACTAAAAAGCAATGAGGTTAATGTTCCAGGCTGAGCTGTTGGTGGAGAGTGGCGAGAGACTTCAATATTAAAGAACTCAAAAACCACGACAGTTTTAATTTTTCTCTCGCTCGGGCGTTCGGTTGGGTTGCTAATAAATAGATCATATCGCGGAGTCGTTTGTATGCAGTACTCCTCAACCACTACAAAGTCATCGTGAGTATGCGTTATAGTATAAATATGAATTGAAGGTTGGAATACCTACTAACTTCTTAACTATGAGCTACCCTAACGGTACTGCCACGAGCCCAGGCCCTCAATCCCATTTTCACCCGGCTAACACGGTACCTCAAACCATGTAGGTACGACGACGGCAGTGTTACTCTAAAGCTCCCCTCTATCCAAAGACGCAACCGCGAGAGATCGGACGGTGAATAATTAGGAATTTGGAAGGCGAACGCCCTCTCGTTACTTTGACCAATCAAATTGCATGCAGTGCGTCACCTACATTGACCCTATTCATAGGTTATGCCACTCCACTTGCGCCCTGGAGTACGGACACTCATCATTTGTTTGCCCCTTTCATGGCACGCACACGTTAATGTGTGATGTTACTTTTTCCTTCTCGCCTAAGTTCCACGGACCTAGTTAGGCAATTGTTTTTTTTTTCTGTGGCGAAACGTAGTGATATGTACCCTCAGGTAACAGGATTCGCTACGATTCGACAGGGCGATGTCCTAAGGTAAAAAAAAAAGGCATGGCATGGCATGGCGGGCAGGGTACCTCTACTCTAGAGTAGAGCACCCCAGGGCAGAGGTTGCTGCTATCCTTAGATCCTTAAGACCAAGAGGAACAGAGGTGCATATTTCCAGCGTGATGGCTATGCAGGTTGGGCCAAAGTGGCAACTCCCCTTCCATCCAGAACGAGCCAGCAAACATATCCAGGTCTGGAAGAAATCGTTTGGCTCGACTTCTTCTTTTCCCCGAGGTGGTGATGCGATGGAGGAGAAATGCACCAACGAATGAGACAGCGGGTTCACCCTTGCTCTCATGCTTGTTTCTGTCTTACACGGATCGGTTGTGTGGTGGTACCTTTTTGGGCCACTCACGCTGGACAGAAGTGGGTTAGGGTGGACTCAGCATGCAGGGGACGTCTCTAATGGGGAATCTGTGTAAGAACTTTAGTTGGCTTGTCGTTTCACGAGGGTCTTTTCTTTCTTATGGTAGATAGGGGACAACGTGGGGAATGGATAATCCAATCGAACATTCGAATCTTCAAGCGAAGCTTAATCTTTCCTGATTTCATGGATTGCCCCCTTTTTTCTCTCTCTACCCTTATGCTTGACAGCTGGAGTAGTACTAGTAGTTGTTGCGCAGCCATGAGGTAGAGTAAAAATTAATATACAGCCCCCATAATAGGAATGTTGGGATATATCGATAGTAATACTCCGCTGTAGAGCACTTTCTCGTTGGTAGATACATCATGTATCCAACGCGTGTCACTGCGCAACTTGAGTTTGGATTTGGAATGTAAGCATTGCAGGTAATTGGTGCCCAAGTGGTTTAAGCAAAGTCAATTGGTTCCTCCGAGGTAAGTACCATTCTCTCTGGGAGCCGTCTCTTGTCTCTGCGCTTGCGGCCTAAAGAAGGTTGGTACCATCTGGCCGATAGGCCAAGGTATCCTTGTGAGACGTTGAGCGACGGCCCAAACAAGAAACCAACATACGAAATGGTTTCTCTGGCCGCCGCGGCCGCCATCTCCACTAATCCGAGGTTCCAAAGATCACCGATATGACGATAGCTCATTTGGCTCGGGGAGATGGGATTTGTTTTTTTCCCATGGAGGTGCCCATGTGTAAAGGTATTCTAGCTTCTCTTCCTACTGAGCTTAATACTCAAATGTAAGTATATAATATGAGAATTAAAATGAGGAATAAGATCTCCTTTTTTTTGTGTCTCTCTGCTCTAGTGGGGCTCCGGTTACCTAGGGATGTTTTGTGGGCTGTCCGGCGCAGGGTATTGGTTATTGGTCCCTGAACATGGGGAGTCCAGTATTTCTCACTGGCGCGCGTTGACGGAATCTATGATAATACCCCTTGTCGATGTTTGTCTCTGGATGTCTCTGATTCTCTTACTGGCGCCCTTGGCCTGTCGTCCTCGTTCTGCCACAGTTACAAGCACACATGCACGTTTGCTGTATGTGTCTCCTTCTACCGTCACTTACAAGTATCATCTGTCACCGCACTATGTCTCCTTACTCCCCTTACCATTTGCCAATTGGTATCGATATTCACTTCTCCGGGTGCTGCCGTCTCTTAGCTTTGCATAGCATAACCTTGTCGATCTTTACCCTGCTGCCTACTACTTCGTTCAAGACAAAAAGGAATTAATTATTTGTAGGCTGAATAATTATTGGAACACACCCCCCCCCCCCTGTCACCAAGTCTCCTCCTACTACTTTTTTTTTCATATTATCCCACATAACCCCCCCTCTTCTCCTCTTGTGTTCTTCTTTCCCCAAGTTCAGTTCCTTCGTTATTTTTGTGCAGAACAGCCGGACTTTCCTCAAGGGTTCCCCAGAAACCCGGGATTCCATCAGCACGAGAGTTGGTTGTGCGTTGTCTGTCGGTATGTATAACACCACCTGTACCCGGCCCTCTCATGTTGTCGTGCTTCTGCTTCTGCTGCTACCCTTCCTTTGTACTGCGTGCCTGATATAAACTTTACCACCACTTATCTGGGTTTCTGCGTTCCGATCAGCAGCACTATTTTCTTCTTTTCCCCGAATAAGGCGTTTGGGTTGCAGCGAGAGTTAATTTGGAATTCTGTGGCTTATCAATGACTGCAGTTTGAAGAAAAAAAAGAACTCCGTTTCGTAGGAGTAGTCGTTCGTTATTTTTTAATCCTCTTCGCCCACACCTGCTGTCGTCTATTTCAACACCCAACCAAACACGAGGCCATCCACGAGCCATTGAATTTATCGAAAGTTTATAATATCTATCCAACTCAGCAGTACTATTCTTAAAAACACCGCCCCGACTGACAGACCACAACTGTCTATATAGTCGATCAGGGATCTTTTTGTACGTTCCGAAGATTCAAAAACCAAAAATCAGTTGAATAAAGGGGGGAGTTGCTAACGTTTAAGTTTTTCGTTAGATCTGATAGAAGCGTCAAAACAGCGCTTCTTACAGGTGGCTCAGCAGATTAAAAGCGCCTAAATACCTGGTTTCCATATATTTGGAGCGCCCTCGTTCCTCTTCCTTCGTTTTTTTTAATTTTTTTTTTTACATCATACAAAATGGCAGACGTCGTAGATGAGCCATGGCAGGTTTCGCAGATTGTATATACATCCATCATGGGTGTAGTAATGTGCGCTGCGCTGCTGGAATGGTTTTTGTGGCTGGTAATATATCTCCCTCTTGCAGTTGTTCTGGTAAGAGGTCGTGCTGATCGTTTCAAAGGCCGCTTTCCTATACTGCCTAATCAAGGTCTTCCAAAAGGCTGATGCATGGCATATTCGGGTACTTGCTGTGATTATGATGATTCTCTTTACTGCTTTACGGTAAGCTTTAATTCTCAAGAATCTGCAAATCGAGGGATTTGAAACTCACTGAATATCCTTTAGTGCTATTTTCTTGCCCATCATGGTCGTCACTCTCCCGCTTCCCTCTCAGATTACTCGTCACTTTCCCGAGGAGCTTGTTAGCTTCTTGCAGTGGTTCGCTTTCTGGTCGTTCTCGGCTCTTTTGACAATCCCATGGTTGTTCTGTGTCTATCAGCTTGTCACCAACTCCCTTGGAAAGCACAGACGTATCAAAGAAGTTCTCGATGAAACCTCAGCGCCCAAAGTCGTCATTGTCATGCCAGTGTACAAGGAAATCCCCGAAGTTTTGCAGACCGCCATCGACTCCATCGTGGACGGCGACTACCCTCCATCGTGTCTCCACATTTTCTTGTCATTCGACGGTGACGAGGAGGATGAGTTGTACTTGAAGACCATCGAAAACTTGGGAGTCCCGCTTTCGCTTGATAGCTACCCTGTCAGTTTGGATGTCACCTACAGAGGAACCCGTATCACTGTTTCCAGATTCCCCCACGGAGGAAAGCGTCATTGTCAGAAGAAGACTTTCAAGTTGATTGACAAGATCTATACCGAGTACCTTAAGCGTAACGACAACTTGTTCATTCTTTTTATCGACTCCGACTGTATCCTCGACAAAGTGTGCATTCAAAATTTTGTTTATGAAATGGTAAGGAGACGCTCTGCTCTAGTTATATATCATCATTCTGGCTGCGTCGGTCAGCAGAAGGATTCAGCCTTAATCAATATAATTATTCGCATTAATTGCATGGTTGCTGATATTGAGTGTCGCACAGGAACTTAAACCGGGCAGTAAGCAGAACATGTTGGCAATGACCGGTGTCATCACATCTACCGCTGAGAACCAGACTTTGATTACCCTCCTTCAGGATCTTGAGTACATCCATGGTCAACTGTTTGAGCGTTCCGTGGAGTCGGCATGCGGTTCCGTCACTTGTCTTCCTGGTGCACTTACGATTTTGCGTTTCTCTGCTTTCCGAAAGATGGCTAAGTACTATTTCGCCGACAAGGCCGAACAGTGTGATGATCTCTTCGATTACGGAAAATGTCATTTGGGCGAAGATAGATGGCTCACTCATTTGTTCATGATTGGTGCCAAGGAGCGTTACCAGATTCAAATGTGTACCGGAGCTTTCTGCAAAACCGAGGCCGTCACTTCATACCGCAGTTTGCTCAAGCAGCGTCGTAGATGGTTCTTGGGGTTTATCACCAACGAAGTTTGCATGTTGACTGATATTCGTCTCTGGAGGAGATACCCAATTCTTTGCATCATTCGTTTTATGCAAAACACCATTCGTACCACCGCGCTATTGTTCTTCATCATGGTTCTGTCGCTTATTACCACTACCCAGAGAGTTGCCCAGTTGCCTGTTGGATTTATCGCCGTATCTTTGGGTCTTAACTGGGCGCTCATGTTCTACTTTGGTGTTCGTCTTAGGCGTTTCAAGGCTTGGCTATACCCTCTCATGTTTGTTATCAACCCGTTCTTCAACTGGGTCTACATGGTTTACGGGATCTTTACTGCTGGTCAACGAACATGGGGTGGACCTCGTGCCGATGCCGGTGCTGCCGATACAGAAAAGACCCCGCAGGAAGTTATTGCAGAAGCTGAGGCCAGAGGCGAAGACCTTGAGGTTATTCCTGAGACCTTCCGTCCGGCCGCTGAAGCCAACAAGAACGCTGCCAACGCTGAAGGTCTTCGCCAACGTGTACCAGTCCAACCTGATGACGGAATCGAGGGTAGATTTGCTGCTTCTGAGAGACTTCCCGGTGGTTACTACAACTATGAGAACGCTTCCATGGGAACTCTTCCTGACATGGTCCCCCGCAACCCCAACGCTCCTCATATTCCTCTACATCCCCGTGCTTCATTCGACAGTTTTGTTTCCGGTACTACTTCTGCCGGCAACTCCGTCTATATGCCCCGCCGTGTCGAAAGTATCATGGGAGAGGAGGATCGCAGAAAGTACCTCGTTGCTCAGGCCAACCAACGCGAAGCTGGAGGTGCATACATGCAAGAACCACGCAAGGATCAGATTGAGGTCTCAGATAAGGAAGTTTATGGATATAAGAATGCCGTTAATGAGTCCACTGAGTCCATTGACTCTGTAGGAAGCGGCTATGGATACCACACCAGAAACAGCTATAACAACAGCAATAACTATAGCCAACCTGTAAGCAGAGCTGCATCCCCCAGTAATGGGCCGACTACACCAGCAGCCACGGGCACTCCAACAGAAAACCATCTCGCGCTTCCTGAACCTGCACACAGGGCACCCTCTTCAAATAGCAACCAACACGCACGGGGCCTTAGTGCCGCAAGAAGTCCTCTTGCGAGACTGAGCTTAGTCCGGACTGCTGGTAGCGACGGCGCCGAGCAGGAGGAGCATGAAATGACGTCCACTGCCGCCGACGATGATGAAGACCGAGAGGGGCGATCAAAAGAGAGAAAGAAGCTGACAAAGAATCGACAATCATAACGATTGCATGATGTACTTTGTTAACTTTCTTATGTCTTCTCTCTTTTTCTCATAGGGTGGTGTTAATGAAAGGGATGTGTCTATAAAATGGAGCGTGCATAATCGGGACCTTAATTCTGTGGTATGAGTAGGATAAATCTTGCTGTATACTTTCGTTTGGGATTTTTTTTTTTTTTTTCAACGTTCATAAAAAGTTTCTATCATGACTGGAGGGGAGGAGAGTTGTGAGGTAGAGCATTCGGGTTCCGATATGGGGACCATATACATAGTATGTTTCGTTGGTTACGAGGGGGATCTTGGCTTTGCTCTTGTGCTTTTTTTTTTTTTGCCTATTTATTATTCTATTCGGGCGTCCATTTGGTCTTTAACGATTATTTTTTTATATATCCCATATTGGTTTCACGCACTCATTTATACTTCTTTGGCCATGCCATTCGATAACACTACATACATACCCTGACTACGTGTAGTCACTTTTTCTCTGTTCTTACGTTCGTTAGCACTGCTGGGGCTTTTTGAGTATGGGATGGAACATACATGTAACCGATGGAGGAATTGCCGCTTGGCCTGTACACGTGTGAGGGATCTGGTTTTAATTTTTCAGGACTACAACCACGATCAATATTAATTTATCTCTTGCATAACCACGATTTTTTGAAAGTTAAAAGTGAAGTTTTAATGTACACTGAGCACACTTGAGTAAACACTAAGCACTAGGCAGTAAACACTGAGTCTTGCAGACTTTTTGACCCCACAAATTGGACGAAAATTCGGCTCTAGAAAGCAAATGGTACTTTCTAATGGCCTTGGTGAAGTAAAAGTAGAGCGTGATGTTTGTAAGTATTATAAATATTACGTGTAATTACTCCTCAGTCAAGACTTTTTAGGTAACAACGGTGCACCTTAGCACATCCGTCTGTTTGCAAACTCGTGGTTTTTGTGAGTTCTTTATGTGTACCTCGGTAGATTTTAGAAAATCGTTTTTATGTATGCAGTTATCAAAATAGCTGTGTTTGATTATCAAGGTCCGAGTTTGCGAAGTTTGCAACACAGCAGCAAAAGGATAAAGCGAAATAAGGCTGTGGGTTACCCCCTCTCCCCCGGGGACCGGAAACCTACCTTTTAGGGCCAAGAATGCGACTTGTGTATCTATAGCTAGCCAAAGTAGATTTTAATAGATGAAAAAAAAAAAACAGTTTTTGATATCCCCGACACCCCGGATTCTCATGTATGAGAGGTGTTATGCCAATCAGTGCTTGTGGAACAGAAGATCTTGTCGGGGATTATGTGATCTAGATATATATCAGATCTGCTCGACGTCGAAATAATTAGGATTCGGCTTGGGTTAGGGTGCGTACTTTTATACAACCGAGTTTTCTTTTGTCTTTTAAATAATAGGAGAAAGCCCCGAGGGGCTTCATCCTCCTGGCCAGTATGATTCCCCGGACTTCAGGACCTATGACAACTCCTTAGCACGTTCTGTGCCTGGAAAGCGGTAATAGAGGCTCGTAGAAGCTCCCAGAATTCACTGGACGCCGCCAAGCCAGCAGAGGCTAGCAGCTTAAATAAAAAAAAAAGAAGGAAGGCGGCGACAACACAACCTCAACTTTCCCCTCCCCCTCACCTCTTCACCCCGCCAGTCTGCGCCCATATCCCACAACTCCACCCCACCATCCTCCCGTTCATCTAAAAAACCATCCATCCTCCGAGACCTTTATCCTCGACAAGATCATCAAAAGAACCAACATAATATTGGTTTCTCAATATCTGGATATTTTCCTCTATTAGCCTGCTCTTAATTTCTACAAATTTTCATCTCCCTATAGCGGCCAATTATGTCGGTAGTTGGTGTTGATCTCGGTGCTCAGAACACCGTCATTGCTGTCGCCAGGAACAGAGGTGTCGATGTGGTATGTAATCTCTTTTAAGCTTCTTGCTAATCTTTTCCTGTTCTCCATTCTATCAAGAGCACGTGCATGGATTTACTCTATCTTTATTCTTTATCGTGATAACTAACGGTTTCTTATCGATAGATCACCAATGAAGTCTCGAATCGTGCTACACCGTTAGTAACACCCCTCCATGGCCTACTCAGATGAATGATGGAAGGAAACAGATGCTGATACATTGGAGGAAATAGGTCTATGGTCGGTTTCGGACCTAAGAGTAGATGTCTCGGAGAGCCAGCAAAGACCCAGGAAATCTCCAATTTGAAAAACACTGTCGGTATGCTCAAGCGTCTCGCCGGACGAAGATTTGGAGAGCCAGAGCTGGAGATCGAAAGCCAGTTCATCTCTGCCGAGCTCGTTGAGGCGAGAGGCGGTGAGGTCGGTGCCCGAGTCAACTATCTCGGCCAGGACGAGGTCTTCACAGGTACTCAGTTGATTGCCATGTTTTTGTCAAAGGTCAAACAGACCGCATCGGCGGAACTTAAGCTTCCTGTGTCCGACGTCGTTCTTAGTGTTCCTCCATGGTTCACTGATGCCCAGCGCCGTTCTATCATGGATGCTTCCGAGATTGCTGGACTGAAGCTCCTCCGTCTGATGAATGACACAACTGCAACTGCTCTTGGTTATGGTATCACAAAGACCGATCTTCCTCCCCCAGAGGAGAAGCCCCGCCGTGTTTGCTTCGTCGATATTGGTCACAGTAACTACACAGCCTCTATTGTTGCCTTCAAGAAGGGTGAGTTGACCGTCTTGTCAACTGCCTATGACAGACATTTTGGTGGCCGTGATTTCGACAAGGCCCTTATCGAGCATTTCGGCATTGAGTTCAAGGAAAAAAACAAGATTGACATCCAGGCCAACCCTAAGGCTTACTTCCGTCTTGCTGCCGGTGTTGAGAAATTGAAAAAGATCCTTTCTGCAAACGCCCAGGCACCATTGAACATCGAGTCTATCATGAACGATGTAGATGTGTCATCTATGCTCAAGAGGGAGGAGCTTGAGGAGCTTGTCAAGCCTCTTCTGGACCGTGCTACTGCCCCTCTGGAGCAAGCGCTTAAGGATGCTGGCTTGAACCCAGAAGATATTGATGCCATCGAACTTGTCGGTGGTTGTACTCGTGTCCCCTCACTAAAGGAGAGAATTTCTGCTTTCTTCAACAAGCCCCTCTCATTCACTCTTAACCAGGATGAGGCCGTTGCCCGTGGTTGTGCCTTTGCGTGTGCCATTCTGTCGCCCGTCTTCAAAGTCAGGGACTTCTCTGTCCACGACATTGTTTCTTACCCTATCGAGTTCACATGGGAGCAATCCCCTGAGATTCCTGATGAGGACACCAGCTTGACCGTTTTCAACAAGAATAATGCTGTCCCCTCAACCAAGATCCTTACTTTCTACCGTAAGGAGCCATTTGACCTTGAGGCAAGGTACGCCGAGCCTGACAAGCTTCCCGGAATAATCTCACCTTGGATCGGGAAGTTCTCCATCAAGGGAGTCAAACCAGACCCCAAGGACGACTTCATGATTTGCAAGTTGAAGGCCAGAGTTAACCTTCACGGAGTTTTGAATGTCGAGAGCGGCTACTATGTCGAGGAGGTTGAAGTGGAAGAAGATGTAAGTCTGCTTCTCTATCATGGGGCATACATCAATCCTAATATTCGCGTGTTTGACAGCCCATGGAGACCGACGAGGCTGCCGCTGATAAACCCAAGGAGAAGGTTAAGAAGCAGGTCAAGAAGGGCGAGCTGCCAGTCATCAGCGTCACTGCCTCACTTGATCCAGAAATGAAGAGCATTCTTAATGAACGTGAATCTGAGATGGTCACCCAAGACAAGCTTGTTGCCGACACCGAGGACCGTAAGAACGCCTTGGAGGAGTACATTTACGAGACGCGTGGAAAGCTCGATGATCTTTATGCTCCATTTGCCACCGAGGAAGAGAAGAATAAGATTAGAAACATCATGGACAACGCCGAGGTAAGATCAGCCTTCCTATTACACGACCTCTTTTTCCGTTGTGTTCTAATAACGTTTACAGGATTGGTTGTACAACGAGGGTGAGGATGCCACTAAGAGTGTCTACATTGCGAAGATCGAGGAGCTTCGCTCCGCTGTAGGCCCCATCGCCCAGAGGTACTTTGACAAGGAAGAGGAGAAGCGCTCACTGGAGCGAGCAAAGCGCGATGAGGCCGAAGCCATGAGGAAAGCTCAAGAGGAAATGGCTAAAAGAAACAGCGAGAACAAGGACGCCGAGATGAAGGATCCAGATGGTCAACACCAGCCACAGGTGGATGACGTCCAGGATAGAATGGATACGGATAGGGCTTAGATTTGGGAATACGCTTTAAACTATTAGTTCTAGTTCTTGTTGTTCTCTTTGCCTTTATTTCTTTATCCTTCCTGTTTTTTCTTACTTTACATTTTCTTTTATGACGTAGGGTTCCTCGCAGTTTTGTTACTGAATCCCGAGGGCGATGAAATGGGTATGACGGGCATACTAAAAAAAAAGCTTTCGTACATTACCCTCATTTTTGTTCTATTTACATTACTAGCTACGGCCGGCAAGCTGTGATATCCTCTCCTTTCGTTTTTTATTATTATTTATTTCTTGCTTGTTTGCGTTGCTTGGGCGAAGAATGATACATTTATGTAGAAATTACAAGTCAAAGGGCTGAAAGGGTCAAAAAATGAAATAGAAGTGTCTAATTGTGGTCTCCTAGTAATTAATACCTTGGAAATAATTAGCTTGAAGCATGACCATTCACTATGTTCAATATTTATTTCATTGAGCTCCGTGTAGTTTTTCTTCAATCCTACATAGTGCCAGTATAGCGTACTTACTAGATATTCTCAACGAAACAAAACTACATGTTCTCGCTAGATTCACTATATCAAAAGGTGCTGCACAAGTGTTCACGACGTCAAAATAACAGCGAGGGATTGAGAGTTCACAGAAAGTTTCGTTATTAAGCACAGCAAGGAAGCAATTTTTATGGTTTAAGATACTTCGTCACTCGGCTTATTTCTACTTCAGTCAATAAACAGTGTGCGAAGTGAGTCATGAGATATCACTCGGTAAATTGAACCTCCAGGATTTAGAAATTCTAGTGACTATCGTCATATCAGAAACATTTTCTCAAGTAATATCAGTGTATTTAGTGGATTTCTAAAAGTACCGAGCGAGTGATCTTGAATGAATGTTAGAATAAATTTGATGACGTCACACTTGATGTCACTCTTTAGAGCGGCCATACATGTATCTATAAATACCAGATCTAATAAATTTCTAGGCAGTCATTCCTCATTCGGTTTTAATATATACCCCGATTTGTATAAGATTTAGATTAAACTCTTAAGTAGACTGCGCTTAGTCATTAACATGTCCTTCTTGACCTCCATTGTCCAGATACATCTCAAGATATACGGATGCCTCATTTGAGATTCCTCAAATTTGCTGACCACAGTAAGTGTTTTCTCGGCGTTAGAAGGCTACCTTTTGTGTGATACTCCACACCACGGAGCCAATGTGTTCCCTTGAAAATCTCTTTGGATGAATGGGTAATCTTGCGTTTGGGGTGGTCATCCACGAGTTTTTAGATCATGGGCTGTGATGCCCGTTTTCAATCTTATTACCAGTGTTAGTATCCTCCCCTTATCTCGTTAAGTAGGTCTATATCTTCGAATGTCGTGATTAGTGGTATTGTGCCTTTGCACAAGCCGTATTACTCTAGCCTACCTTGAAGATAATCTCCAATAATTAACTGTCAGAGCAGGTTTGTGACAATCCAAAGGTTAATTAGTAAATAATCTCACTCTTTTATCTGTTTTGATCTGATACAAAGGAAAATGACGATGCACAGTGCCCTGCTAGCATTAAGTGGTGTATAGTTGTTCTATCGCATCAAGTAAGAATAAGCGACTTAGTAGAATCAGATTACAATTTTGAGAAATCAAATCATAATATATCACTCACCAACCGAAACCTGGCTGTTTGGGACAGAAAGGATCCCTAAAAAGCTTGTTTTCACAAATTAGCAGTTATTCTTATCAGAAACCCATATTCAACATAAGAGCCTTCGTCTTTCGAAATGGGCTTGCGGTCTTTTGCCAAGCCGGGTTTCTTGGCCTTATCTGTCGATGGAAGTGAACATCTGAATCGGAGCTCCTACTGATTCTTGTTTACTCTTGTCATTCATGCATATAAGTCTGTAGGGTTTCGATTTGATGAACATTATATACGGGTACGGGTACCGGTTTTCATGGTGGTGAAGTGAATTTTCTCAAGATCCGGCTAACCCCACGGGTGAAAAGATCCTGGGTGAGTCAACCAAGCTCGCCGGTACCACGGCATGCCTGCTCCATACAGACTGTCTAATTCCTATGACAACATCAAATAAACCCCGTATCGCTAAGACGCTGACCACAAAGCATTCTCAACCAGAGAAACCAGCGCGTGGGGAGGGCTTTACAAATCCGAACAGTTGACAAAGGCAGTGCCACGGATAAGATGGAAAATTAGGATATAGATAAGCGGCGAGGAGTAGCACGATGAGGCGATCGAAAAACCAAAACATAGTGCGTAAGAGAAAAAAAAATGTTGAGGAGGGGCAGAATTGAGATTCAAAGAGGGTTAGCAACAGCAAGAGGTAAGATGAGGGAGATATGGTACCTAGGCTAGAATGCATGACCAACGCACAAAAATAGGATCGCGGGGCAAAAAATTGTTTCGTGGTGGGTGGTGGTGGTGGTGGTGTTGAGTTCGCGGAATGGGAAAAACAACCCGCATGGGTGTGTGATTTCCAGCCTTTGGAAGGATCATGAAGGGGACAGGAGAGGTACGGGAGGTACGGGAGGTACGGGGAGAATATTTTGAGAGAATGGTAAAGAGATTACCGAGGGCATCGGGTATTCCTATTTTATATATATGAATAAGGTGAATTTATGGATTTTGTCGGAAAGCCTCCGAGAGATTTTCGCTCCGAGTTTCCAAAGCATTAGCGGGTTGCCGAGAATAGGCGTGGTTCGCACTTGGAATAAGACGGTAACACACGCGTACAGAATGGGGAGGGACAGACATCCAGGGACCTGGGGATGCAGTAGAGGGCATTTGCTTCTGATTAATTCTGAACGCATCTAGATTGCAATTTTACTCTTGTTTCCGTGTCAAGTTTAGAACGGGCTACGGCCACCCCCGCTACTTGCCATGATAAATACCTGGGCCCTCACCCCTCATCCTCTTTACTGCTCTTCAGTCAAAAACTCAAACACGCATCCTCCATCTTCATCATCAAACTTATATCCTAGAATTTCTTCCTCTAGAGTAAGTTTATTTTCCCGGTATTTGATATTTATTTGATGCCTTCTCCTACTTAGGGATAACCATTATCTTGGGAAATAAGATTTTATCCCCTTGAGCTATCTACATTCTATCCCTCTCAAGGGCGTCGTTCATCTTAAAAACAGCCCCTAACACTGCGTTAAATAGATTCACTAAATAGTCAAAATGGTTGTCAACGTTGGAATTAAGTAAGTTTCTAAAGGACTTTCACCACTATCTTCAGTAGCTGACAATATTTTTTTAGCGGTTTCGGACGTATCGGACGTATTGTATGTTCCACCCGATATCCCTCCTTGGATTTATTCTTCGATGATCGTTCCCCCCAAGTATCTTGTAATTCTAACTTTGTTTTGTGTTTCTTCAGGTCTTCCGTAATGCGTAAGTCGAACCTAACACCCCACCATACCTTATCGTTATCTCTGCATCTTATCAGCGGGGCAACATGAGGATCTGATAGCTAACATAATTAACGCAACAGCGTCGAGCACGACGACATCAACGTCCTCGCCATCAACGACCCCTTCATTGACCCCAAGTATGCCGTCTACATGCTCAAGTACGACTCCGCCCATGGTAACTTCAAGGGTGAGGTCTCTTGCTCTGAGGCCGGTGACTTGATCGTCAACGGAAAGACCATCAAGATGTACCAGGAGCGCGACCCTGCAAACATCCCATGGGCCCAGGCTGGTGCTGAGTACATCGTCGAGTCCACTGGTGTCTTCACCACCATTGACAAGGCCTCTCTTCACTTGAAGGGTGGTGCCAAGAAGGTCATCATCTCTGCTCCCTCTGCCGATGCCCCCATGTTCGTCTGCGGTGTAAACCTCGAGAAGTACAACAAGGACATCAACATTCTTTCCAACGCTTCTTGCACCACCAACTGCTTGGCTCCTCTCGCCAAGGTCCTCAATGACAAGTTCGGTATCGTTGAGGGTTGATGACCACTGTCCACTCCTACACCGCTACCCAGAAGACCGTTGACGGTCCTTCCGCCAAGGACTGGCGTGGTGGACGTACCGCTGCCACTAACATCATCCCTAGCAGCACCGGTGCCGCTAAGGTATGTGAAAATTCTATTCATGCTCTCCCCTTAGAGCATCCATACTAACTATTATTCCATAGGCTGTTGGCAAGGTCATCCCCGAGTTGAACGGAAAGCTCACCGGAATGTCCATGCGTGTCCCCACCCAGAACGTCTCTGTTGTTGATCTTACCGTCCGTCTTGAGAAGCCCGCTTCCTACGAAGCTATCAAGACCGCCGTCAAGGAGGCCGCTGCTGGCCCTCTCAGCGGTATCCTCGCCTACTCCGAGGATGAACTCGTCTCCAGCGATCTCAACGGAAACAACCACTCCTCTATCTTCGACGCTAAGGCCGGTATCTCTTTGAACGACCACTTCGTCAAGGTCGTCTCCTGGTACGACAACGAATGGTGAGTTAATTCCTTGCTTTTCTTACTCTTGCGTGAATAATTTGCTAACCTCATATGAAGGGGTTACTCTCGCCGTGTCCTTGACCTCATCTCTTACATCTCCAAGGTCGACTGCGCTTAAATGCGCGTCGAGAATCAGAGATGTGGTGGTTTCTTTTGCTAGGGATTTTCTTTTCTTTTTTGCGGTAAACGCACAAATAAGATATGTATTGCAATGCCATGCGGGAAGAGATTTTTGCGGGTATCAAGGTACATGAAAGGATGGATTAGCGTAGGGAACAAAAGGGATATGCCTTTTTTTTTTTCTTTTTTAATGTCGATACCTCCAAACAAAATAAAAAATAAGCCGGTTAATCGCCATAAAAATACTTCCCATAGTAACTACAAGTAGGGCTGGATACGCTCCACCATAGCCTGGATAATGGCTATAGCTCCCGGTTCAATAAGGCGAAGTAAACTGGCCCCAAATGGCACTTGCAATAGCTTATCGAAAAAGCGATGATAAGCCTCCAAAACAATATCCGATCCTCGGTACTTGTGGGTAGGATACCAAACTTGCATAATTGTCTGATTAGTACTCCTAAATAAATTCACTGGCCAAAATAGGGCGTGAACTCAAAAGCTTTCACTAGCCTTAATGGCGTATGGAAGGGGCTATCAATACCTTTATCCTCATCAACGGATACTCACCCATTAATTAAGTCCTAAGAACTTGGTAGTAACGACCTCACAGGGCTTAATTAATGCGCAGTTACTCTATATACCCGCATATACTCACTATTGACAATTACAATTACAATTACAGTGACGATGACGATGACAATGACGATGATAATGACAAATACTTTTATGATTAGTGCAATATAATGAGCTCATGTAGGTACAATGGGCCTATAATTCATATGCTGCTAGTAACATGTGCTTGTAATTATGGGGAAAGGATGGTTAGAGCAACTTCTAGGCCCTTAGTGAATTTCGGTAAACTATATAACAAACTTATATTAGAATCATTTCAAGCTTTATGGAATACACCACAAACCAGCCCATGTCGAGTGATACGCTATGGTTACAAGCCAAGCCTTATCGGATCAGATAGTGCTGAGTAACACCAACTTCACAGCCAGCGTCGAATCTCCAAACCCCACGCACAACCCAAACACTTTTAAAACCTTCGACTCAACACCTCGCCGCAATCTGCCCAGCAAGCTACTCTCATCATGACGCTCGCCGAAACCGTGAAGGACGCCGTCCATGACCTCAAGGAGGCAGTCGTAGGAACCCAGTGTACGGCCCAACAACACCCCCCTTCCGAACCCCACCCCCCCCACCAAAATCGCGATTAATACAGTTGTTCTAACGATCACCTTCCGGTTCCTTTAGTATCCAACAAGGAAATGGCAGATGCACGGTTGCCGATTGCGTATAGAGACAAGTGCGCGCACTTGCTCGTTCCGCTGAACCGGTGTCGCTACGATACATACTACATGCCATGGAAGTGCGAGGTACATACTTCAACCTAACACAGCTCTCAGGAGAATTGGTGCGGTTACTGATGTTTTTTGGGGGCGGGGGTGCAGGATGAGAGACATTCCTACGAGAAGTGCCAGTACATCGAGTTCAAGCGACGAGTCGCGAAGATGGATGAGTTGAAGGCCGAGAAGGGTGGAAGAAGCGGACTGAACTGAGAGAGGATTCCAGCGGTTCCCGCAACCAATATGAGGATGAACGGCAGCCACGGTTTGTGCATAGTGTGCATAGAAATCTTAGCAAGTGAAAAAGTGCATCGGTGGACGGTAGACGTTTGTCTTAGTAATCTAGATATATATTCCCAGCACAATGGCCTACAGGAATGGGCCATGTAAGGAAATTATATTTCACCATAGCTGACAAACCCGCGCTCACACGCCACACAACCCATACGGAGGAAATCAAGGGCGCAAAGCCCATGCCATATAGCTAGAAGAACCATGCATTCCATCATTTAGGTCAAATTAGCTTATGGAGTCAGATATCGAATAGGCTTGGTTAATTGAGTGACAATTGTGGTGGGGTGAAATCGGGTCGGAGGGGGTCGCCGGTCTCTCGGGTTTGCGGGACTCAGTTTTGAGATTGTGCATATTTAATGTGGTGAGAGTGTTGTAAGTCAGAGCATTGATAAAAGTAGTTCCATTCTACAGTCGGTGTTAAGGAGGGAAGCAAGAAAGTAAAATTCGAAAGGACTGGTGCTATTAGACAGAAAAGCCCCCCCCAAAATGAATATATCGGTACATTTGATTTGATGAAAGCCTGGGAAAAAGAGTTGCAACCATCCAAGATTGGTCCACAGAATCACAGCTTTGATAAGCTGCCAGATGCCCCGAGTTTCTGTTGGATTACAGCTCCGTGTTCGTCACTAGTCCTGAGGCCATGGACGAACAAAAATGGAACCTGCATGAGATAGAACTCGGACACCGGATCGCTTGGGTTTTCCCGAAAACCTTCCAGAACTACCGTTGTCTCAGGGTGCTGTTGTGCAGTAGCAAGAGTTGACGACATTTCACTAAACCCCACGCATAAAAGGTTTCATGATTCAAGAGGGGTCAGCCCCGCAGCCTCACTCCACACATCTCTTATTGAAGATCTCGAATTGAATTTTATGAGCTGGCGGTAAGTGTGGTAATCTGTGGTGGTATTGATATAAATCTATCAAAGCTGGGTATTGTTGTGAGGTGATTTTTTACGTGCTACTCGTATTCGAGAGGGTTCGACTTATGACTGGTAATAATCTGTAGGTCCAGAAACATGTTCAAAGAGCTGTGAGTACAGTTGTCCCACGTGCATACATGTAGTTAGTGGGTCAATGATAGACTTGCTGTCTTGGCTTAGGCTCGTGGATTGCCATATTCCAGCCGGCTTGGCTCATGGATTACACAACCCGAACGGCGAACAATAGGTCAACTTCCAAAGGCCGGAACTCATTTGTTACAAGGCGGGCCCAGTAAGCTACTTGTTCGGGCAGTCCCGTGCATGTCTAAACTTCAAAATTAAAACCAACCTTTCTTGTTGCGATATAAATCAACAATATCCCACGATTAATTGCAGATACACATAATGAACCCCTGTATGATATTGGAATTTACCTACGCGCCGCTATATTTATCGCCAGGAACTTGGGGCATTACATACATGTACTACTGAGGTACCAAAACGGGGGGGAGTGGGGTTATTACCGCACTACCGCGGCGGAACACTAACAGCAAGATATCAGATTCATCAATCCCATATTCCTCTGATATTGTATCGCTTGGGCTTGCAGGGGCCTATAGTTGATGAGCGCAGGAGCCACATGCGTGGAGATCTGTTGACACAATAACGCAATTGCAGGAAACGTCCGAGCACTCATGTGCTTTATTTTCTACGTTTGTTTAATCGGACAACGGTCTGTAGAGCAGATTAGGGAGCTGATCATAGAATTGTGCACACGTATGCATCATTAGAGTATGCATATACCATCTACGTTAGAGCATGTAGGTCTACTCCAGACTACATGTTTCAGAATTACAGATAGATAAGAGTTCCTAACCGAACTCTACATTCTAACCTGGATATCAAATTGGGATAGCCAAATATACAGACGACAGGCTATGTGTCAAAAATCCTGTACCTGCTCTAAATATGTCCTCACATACCAACATTGACGTTCCCCATAGCCTCCATATAATGGGAAATTGCATTCGATAACATTCAGTCAGCGGCTCCCACTGATACACGTATCAAGCCACCACAAACAAAGAGTAGCACGAAACACGGAATTCTTTCTCTAGCCACAATCATCCGGATTATCTTCTTGGTGATTTCTATTCGTGCTGCTCGAAACCAGCCTAATTACTCCGGCGCTTTGAGGGCGAATAACAACCCCACCAGCTGTGAGGATTTCGGGCTACAGCCGGAAATGCCAAGTAAAGGGGTATGGAAACCTTGCTGAACCCTTGTCGCTACTAAATAAACCATGCGACATCCGCTCCGCTAGTTACCAACTGTTTGACTGGTTCGCCTCTTTATGAAACGATGCGCTGCGAATTATTCCGCCCTCCCTTTTTGTCTTCTCGCTTGTCGATCTCGGGATTGGAGAGTCAGTACAAGTATCATACTTGGTCGCACTCGAATTTTTCCTCTTTCTCTTCTGCACACATTAGATACGTTCTCTCCCTTGTCAGCATTGAGTGCTATTTTCTTTATTTTTTTTATTTCTTTCGCTAGCTTTGGACTACGAAGATCGTGCAAGTCACGAATTATCATTATAAATATTTTTTTTCTACTTTGCGCCCATCTTTACCGAGTATCACATTTCGAAACAATGATGGCAAGTCCTAACACCACCAGAGCCATGATTGCGGCAACTGTCGATGAGTTCTCATTCATGTTCACCGATATCCCACCACGATTGTGCAACGCCAACGACTCGCCGTCGGTGAGCCATAAAAACGGCTATCCTCCACACCCTCACCGAGATTTTGTAATCCAGCTCAATGAGAAGCTTGAGGCGTGGAACGCTCGTACTTACCCTCTATCACCCCCCACATCAGACGAGTTTTCTCTCTCCTCCTCCTCAACTGCTTGCAGGTACAGCGCGATTGACAGGATCAATCCATACGATCTTTACGGCCCTCCAACTGCAGAGTCTGAGACTCCCTCCCACATTCTTTTATTCCAAGACCAAGATCAGGACCGCAGCGCGACCTCCTCCACCTCCTCACAAACTCCAACAAGTCCAAAATTTCAAAATATTGCCCTGGAAACCCCATATATGGATCACTGCACAGCACCACCAGCTTATACTGAAAACCCGTACTCGGCCGCAAATATGCACAACACAAACCCATGCTACATCCCATTTGAATATGCAAAACTACCTCATTTCCACCCCCCGCGGTTCTCGCGCCGCCTAAGAGAGCTAATTGCCGATCGCCGCCGGCCCATGCAATTACATTTACTACCTTTACACAAACCACGAAACAACGAGAAACAAGGATGGATTATTGCCACTCCAGACTCCACATTACTTCCTACACCAAGGAACAGGTTTTTGGCATGGTGGGATAGCTTTGATCCACGGCTGGTGGTTTTTGTTAGCTTGATGACAATGCTTTTTGGTGTTTTTATTATTGCGTTGGTTGTGAGTGGCTTTTTGCAGTGATGGGGCGGGGTTTATGACGGATGGTTTTAAGTATATAGTACGAAGGTTGGCTGCATTTGATGGGTGGGGTTTTTTTTTATTGCGTGGCATATCTACGGAGTTTATTTTTTATTTTTTATTTCCTTAGGAGGGAGAGGAGGGGCCGGGATGAAATGGATGTATAAAGTTGTATGGATATGTAGGTTTAGAACTCTGACACACATGGCGAAAGCTCGTAAACAATATATCTTTTTTTTGTTATTCAGGTTTGGGGTTCTCTATAGTACATGTTACCATATATCCATATATCATGAAGATGATCGGGATCCCTTGTTGAAAAGTATTAATCCGGAACAAGGTGAAATTATCTCAGGACTCTGATGACTTCAGCACCGATCGTCATCACCCCCGGTTTTTTGCGCATATATCGCGCGGTGGATAATATAAATTTCAAGATCATCGCAATTAACCTATAAAATTTATAATTATCTTGATGGGTAGCCTGAATCAATTGTTGAAACTTAGGTATAATACAGTCAAACAGTCAAGGCAAATAGGTGTTTTTTGACTCTTACCTATCGGCAGACAGTCACATGCAGGGTCTTACACCTTTCCTCCCAGGGTATGTCCAGCAACGGAGACTTTTACTGTACCTACAAGTAGGTACTGTGCTACAAAGGCTGTGGCCAAGGCAGAGGTTCTGAGCTGTCCTAAATGCTGGAATACTTCCTATCTAGGTAATAGTTGTAGTCGCGAGAGCGCTTGTAGTGGACTGTAAAGCTGAACACAACGTTTCACACAGCCCTATGCAACATGTGCTTGTATAGGAATCAACTATTCTAGAAGCTCAAGTTGTTTAGTAAACTAAATAGTTGCCTTAGTACTGTTTGGATCTGGTATGAAGTTTGGTTTTAGGAGTTGCTGCCAGCTGAAAGCGTAACAACTTTCCCCGCGCTACAGCTGTGGCGCACGGAAATTGCCGCCACCAGATTGAGCCACTCTCTCACTGGCGGGCGGGCGGGCGAAAGTCCTCATGAACATCACCAGTAGTCCAGTTTATCTAATAGCATCATCGTTCAGTCAACACTTCACTTGATGACCTCTCGCCTAGCCACCACCACCTCCTTCCTCGCTTCTCTTCATCCTCTTCATCGTGTACAGCCGTTACTACCAGCCATCCATCGATCGTATCTGAACAGCATTCGATCCTAGCGTAAGTGCCCATTGAATTTGAAGCTATTTCCCTGCAGTCTCAACCACGAGGGCGTGTTTGAGAATATTTAAAGTAAAGCCACAACATCGTTAACTAACTAGCTTGTGTTTCTTTTTAGAATTGAGGTAGAATAAGAAAAGTTGAACTATATAGCATCAACATTTTTAAACGAAAGAACAGCTGCACAGATGAATCGTGCTCGTAAACGTAAGATTTGGCCTAGCTTTCGCAGGAAAAGTGGGGTTACTAACGGGTATTGTAGGAGAATTGCGAGAGCTCAACAAACTCGCTTGGGAAGGCTCTAAAGGTAATATCTACCAAGTAAAAAAAAAAATAAGAATAAAGATAGCATCTAGTTCTGAATACCTTCTGACAATGTTGTAGATGTGTTCAAAACGGCGAAATCCCTTGATTCATCGCTCAAGAAAAACACAGCTGTGATCAAGCGCCTCCGAACGTCCCTTACTGCCGACTCACTCGCAACACTTTTGAAGGAAATACAGACAATCTCACTCGAGAAATATCTTCCTGAGGTTATATCAGCTGTATCCGAGGGCCTTCAGAAAACAAAGACTGCTTCCGACATCACGGCCGCGGTGGAAGTTGTGTCGGCGTTGCATCAACGTTTTCAGGCGGATTTTACCCCACAACTTACCTTTGCGCTAGCGAAAGGACTTGCAACCCCGAGACCAGATGTGCTCAAAGGATTGACGGTGGAGCAAAAGGAAAGGGAGGAGAAGGATAGATTGGCTAGACAGAGAACCTTGCTAAGGGTAGGAGTTGAACTATGGTTGGTCGGAGTCTTGAGAAGCGTACAGGATGCTGTGAGCGTGGATGAAGCCGGGCCTGCAAAGAACGGGGCGAAGGCTGCAGCAGCAAATGTTTTGAATAACGGCACGAAGAAGAAGGAGGAAGGAGGAGAGACCGAGGCGTTTCCGCTGGAGGTTTTGAAAGACCTTTTAGGAAGAGACCGGGAACATATCAATCTCCCGCTAGTTGTCTTATTTGTCAAGAACTTTTCCTACGATGTCTTAGGCGTTAAACCGAGAAACCTTGCAAGAAAGGTTGTGGAGGAAGATGGGGCAACAATAACTTCAGATTCTGCAAAGACCACCGGTGATGCTGGAGACACAAACGGAACGGGTTCAGTTGATCCTGAGGATCCACCTCTGATTACAGCTGAGCTCCAGCAACGCTTTAAGAATATTCTTGCCCGTTACCTGGAATCTGTCAAAGCGCACATTGTTCGGCAGCACAAGCATCTTCAGACGCAATTTGCTAAGAATGCAGAAGCGTATGTTAAATCTGGGGAGATTTTTGAAGACCGGCAAGCAAATTACGAAAGACTGGTCAAGACAAAAGAAAAGTTTATCGCCAATGCACAGATTGTGGCAGACGTCTTGGGACTGGATATGCCCGATTTGCAAGATGAGAAGGACGAAGAAGTGGCGGATAGTATAATAAGAGAAGGTGGCAGCATGTTCCCTGTCAGGGAAGATGGAGGGAGGAACGGGATGTGGGAGGATGAGGATCAGAGGAGATTCTACGAAGACCTCATCGATCTCAAGGTCAGAGTTCCAGCAGTATTGCTTGATGATGGAAAACGGAAAAAGTCAGACGCAGAGGGGAAGTCTGAAGGGGACAAAAAGAAGGACACAGATGATGAGGAGCCTGAAAAAGTAGAAACCGCTACTGAAGGCCTAGAGAGTCCTTCATCTCCAACCGCCGGTGAGAGTAAAGCTGGAAACGATGAATTTAGTACCGCCATTGCGAACAAAACTATTGGCGCCCAGGTTGATGCTCTACTCATCCGCCTCCCTGAACTTACAAACCGTGATCTCATTGATCAAGCAGCCGTGGACTTTTGCTTCCTTAATTCTAAAGCTTCACGAAATCGCCTTCTCAAAGTCCTGCAGGATGTCCCCCGCGGCCGTCAGGATCTTCTTCCATATTACTCCAGGTTGGTTGCAACTCTCAATAGGTATCTACCAGACGTCGGCAAGGGAATTGTGGAATACCTCGACAAAGAATTTCGATCCCTTCAGCGCCGCAAGGAAAAGGACCTGTTTGAAGTTCGTGCTAGCAACACCCGCTACCTATCCGAGTTGACAAAGTTTGGGGTTGTACCTCAACATGTTATCTTCCATTGTTTGAAGGTCGCCTTAGAAGACTTCCACAGGATCAATGTCAACGTTATTTGTAGCACCCTTGAAAATTGTGGAAGATATTTGCTTCGTAACCCGGAAACCAACCCAAGAATGACTCAGTTCTTGGAAACTTTGAAGCGCAAGAAGGATGGTGTGACCTATTTAGGGCCCCAGGAACGAGTTGCAATCGAAAACGCTTTTTACTATGTTAATCCGCCGGAGAGACCGGCGATCGCACAAAAAGAGCGCAGTGTGGTTGAATTGTTCGTCAGAAAACTCATTTACCTTGATCTAACGAAGCGGAACTATGTCAAAATTTTGAAACAAATCCGAAAGCTTAATTGGGACGATAAAGAAGTGACCGATTTGCTTTTTAAAGTTTTTACCAAGATCTGGAAGGTTCGATACAACAATGTTCACATTCTTGCTATCCTCGTTGGCGCAATTGGACGCTACCATCAAGAATTCGCATATGCGGTCGTTGATGAAGTGCTTGAACAAATATCACTTGGGCTTGAGCAGAACAACTTCAAGCATAACCAGAGAAGAGTTGCCCAGGTAAAGTATCTGGGCGAGATGTACACCTACAAGCTTATCGATTCTCCGGTGATTTTTGATGCTCTGTATAGAATGGTGACTTTTGGTCATGAAAACGGGACTCCAAAGCCGGGTCAGGTTTGCATGCTAGATATGCCAGATGACTTTTTTAGAATCAGGCTGGTTTGCACCTTGTTGGATGTGTGCGGAATGTTTTTCGAAAGAGGAAGCTCCAAAAAGAAGCTAGATTTCTTCTTGACGTTCTTTCAGGTATTTAAACTATCTAACGATCCCCTTCGGAGTTGAAGGCTAATCAATATATTCAAATAGTACTACCTGTTTACAAAAGATCCGCTACCAATGGATATTGAGTTTATTGTCCAGGATACATTCCAAGCTATCCGCCCGACATGGCCAATTCCAACCACAGCCGAAGAGGCTGGTAAGGCCTTCGAAGAGGCAGTCGCTAAAAGCTATAAGCCTGACGACAAATCCAATCCTGCCGAACCCGAAGAACCTGAAGATGCCGAATCCTCTGACGAGGGGGAACTCCGCGAGGGTGAAGACGAAGCCGATGGTGTTTCGGAGGCTGAAGTAGAAGACGAGGAACCTCCAACCCCAGGCGTTCGCATGGAAAGGCAAAACTCGGAAGAATCTACGGGTTCTTCGAGCGAAGATGATGAAGAGGAAGATATTGTTGTGGATATGCAAAAAGAAACACGTGATCCAGAGGCGGACGCGGAGTTTGATAGGGAACTAGCAAAAATGATGCAAGAGTCTCTCGATGCTCGCAAATTCGAACGCAAGCCGTTGTTCGATGTTCCACTGCCAATCAAGCGCGCCGGCAGCACCTTGTCCATGCTCAGTCGGGAGTCAACTTTCGATATTAACGAAGGCGGGGATGCCAATTTTGGTGCTGGTAGCAGTAGGTTGAGCTCTATGATTAGCTCTAGCCCCAATAGCAGTAGTGGACCTGGCATGATGGCATTCAGTCTCTTGACGAAGAAGGGGAATAAGCAACAAACAAAGACTGTAGAAATGCCAACTAACTCGAGCCTCGCGATGGCATTGTTGAACACACAGGAGCAGGAGAGGCAGGAGAAAATGAAGATCAAAGAATTGGTCATGAATTATGATAGGATGGAAGAAACTAGTGAGCTTGATGGTATCCTTCCCAATTTGCCTAATATTCCAATACCGGGCGAGATTTAACATTATATAGCTTTGGAAAAACACGCGGCCGCCAATGGTGTTCACCTAAAGTACGAAAAAGGGAATAATTATGGCAATACAAATGGAGGCAGAGGTGGCACGCCGCAACGCGGCCGTAAACTTTCCATGAACGACCTCAATTGGTATGACCAGAATCCGTGCCTATCTAATAATAATCGCCGCCGCCAGTTCATTCGTAACGGACAGATGAGTCGATCTTATACTACTGCTGCTTCTAAACCTAGGCCTACGCTGATCGAAACCAAGATCACCGAAGAGCCAAAAAGCGTAGTGGCAGCAAAGGCTTCATGTTCTGTTACAAATGAGCTGGCGAGGTCTCCTCAATTCAAAAGAAGAGGCGGCGAGAAATACTAGACATTTGCTAAAACATATCGTTTTCATTGCGGTTTGCAGGGGTTAAGAATTGAAGAAGAGCCTTTTTTCCTCGATTCATGACACCGAATTACAAAACCTACCACCAACCAAGGGAACGAAAGAAAGAGTAAAAAAAAATCCACCATATCTTACGCTGTTTTTGGCGTTTAGGATTCGGCCTTTTTTCCCTTGAAGCAGTACTACACAGGCAGATGAAGCTGAAATCTATGGCAAATCTCCAGACGGGAAGAAAGCCTTGAATGGACCGAATTTATCACCCCTAACCTATCAATCTATCAGCACGAAACAAGTTCAGAGATCTATGCTATACTCAAAGGGGTTCGGAATTTAGATTGGAATCAGTGGTGCGATGGGATATCAGAGGCAAGACGTGCGAATATCGTAAAAGCAAATATCACGATTGGAATTATCTTTTCTTGTTTCTTGGTATTCTCCTTTCTCCCAGCGTTCGATAAAGCTCACCAATCTCTTCGTTTCACCAATCAGCCCGTTGATTTGTCGCAGCTTACTCTCTTTTCTTTCAAACCACGTACAGTCGCTTTCTTTGGCTCCTTAGTTTTTTTCTCCCGATCTCATAAGCATATTTCTCCAGATTCTGTTTTCGAGATTCTTTACATGTGATCTCCTTTTTTTTCTTCTTTTTTTCTTCTTTCATTTTTTCGTTGGTTCGTAGTTGATAACGAGGTTTTTTCACCGCCTTGTATTTCTATGAACAGCCATGCGTGCTTCTATGCTTACATGTACTTTTGATCAATTGAATTGAGGCTTTCCCTAATCAAGTGCTGTCCCATGGATTATATTCTCCGATGATCGATTCTTGACAGAGTCTAGTAAAGCCAGTGTCCCTACGAAGTCAGGCCCTAGAGTACACGTGTATTCTAGTTTAGGGGTTTACCCTTTGGACAGTCAGGCCCGATATATAACAGGTATGATACAGTAAACTCTATGGGTGAAGCTATTTGATACTGCTACAAACTAAGGATACATATACTCCTAGCGCAGTCTCAGCGTGACGGTGTGTCCCGGGTTCAAAATATCATACCTACTGTATGGAGCTAGTAGTCATACAGTACCAAAAAAGCGGGTGGATCCAGTACTATCTTTGGCAAAATACCGTATTGTTACGGTATTGTTACAGTGTTAATACAGTATAATAGTTAGGATTCCGATTTAATTCGGAAGTTTTGCACGATTCCGTATTGGCACGGTACTTATTACATCCCCTTTTTCGTACTGTAGTAACCCTTTTGATCGGGCCTGGCCGTCTAAGGGATAATAAGGTTAATACACCTCACTCAACAGGGAATCTACATGTATATATAGCCCTGGCCAGAGACAAAATAATGTTTTCGCTTTCCGCTACAGACTAAATTAATCTCGATGACGAGACTCAGTCAGTCTCTGGATAACCACGTGATCCAAATTCTATTGCGGGAAGGTGTCAGGGTTGAGTATGTGTGTAACCTAATTGAGATTGCCATACTTGGTAATACAAGGGTATTTAATGCAACACATATTTATCCAAAGTAATGGGCGTGTGGTTTAGGGGTATAATATCTCATTCGCATAAAACGTGTCTTGAGATGGTCCTGGGTTCGATTCCCAGCACGTCCATTCTTTTTTCTTCTTTTTACAACTAACAAACAAAATTCGATAAACCACTTACATCAAACGCTCCCCCAGCGTCTTTCTCGCATTTACCAAGATTTTCCACGTGATTCGTCCTTGGCTAGAACAACTGTATGAACCATTGTACTGCAATTTTTCTGATCTCACTAATCAATGCGGTATCAAAAGAGCCTTGACTATCACGCTCATCCAGTAGCCACCTTTACACGGACTTCAACAAGCTGAGCTCGAGAGGTATCGGGATTTATTAGAAGGGCCGTCTTTCTTTAAGCTTGTATGACATTCCGATGCGGTAAGGTGGAGGTGGCCTGTATAAGCCAGTGCAGTGTCAGGTTAGCGTGGCATCTCTAGCCAGCCCTGTGGGTATTAGGTGGAGCTGACAGCGAGTCACAAGGGCACGGCTTAGTGAGCAAGGGACCAGAATTTTTGGTATCTCCGGAGTTTACGATACCCTCGGGTATTCATAGTCGAGTGATACATGGTGAGTCACTCGCTCAACTACGATGCCAGTACTCCTTGGGGACGTTGCTGTGTTCGTGCCTTGATCCTTCTCGATGGAGATTACAAATTGTTTTAATCCCCGGTTGTCTCGACTCGCCCTGTGTCTGGTGCTGGATGTTTCATCTAATTTCAAAAAGCCTTGATCGAGAGACCATTGGTTTTCGGTACTTTATTGTCAAAAACCACTATTTCACTCTTGGTTCTTTTCTTTTATGTCACGCGATCACTGAATATACATCAAGATTATTCATTCGTTATAGTTACAGAGAACAGATCCTGCGGGATATCTCGAGACTAGCCGGGAGGGGTCCCGGGCCTCGTCATGTGTGTTTCGGTGTGCATGGATGGTAATTGTGAAAGACCTCTTATAACGGACTTCACGATTAGGAGTAAGACTCGATTTCCAACAGGCTTTTGTCCAATTTAGGATAGTACTTGCGCGAAGAGGTGTGGTATATTATTTCATTGGATATCACTCGCACTATCACTTGATTTCTTGATATACCCCCATACCTTTCGGTTTTTTTTTTTTTTTTTAATTCATTAATTGCACGCAACCCTACGGTTCTGGCAATATCGCACTAGTTATCCCAGAACTTCCCATCTGCCTCCACCGCCTCTCACAAAGCAAATAAAGAAAAGTAACTAAACAATTTGGTCCGCCTCTACTAACTCCGCATGTGTCTTCTTTCTCTCCTCCCCTACTCGGGGGCCGTCTTGCACTAATGGTGACTCACTGAAAATTTCTCTGCCCTGTACCTTCATACCTTTCGGGCCGTATATGGGACGTTACATGTAGCCATCTTGATCGAACCCCGTGTATTTGGAATAATATCTACACCCATTCCTGGGCCCTAACAGGCATACAATGCGTCTTTCTCTTCATTGTTTCTCTCTGCATTGCACCACGTAATATAATATTTGTCTGTTCTCATAGTAGATATCAGGAGTTTCCATTTCCGACGCAAGTTGTGTACTCTATTTTCAAAGCCTAACATTTTCCACAGAAAGCACAGATGTGACATTACAAGACCTCACTTTCATAACACTAACCTATCTCATTCGTCTACTTTCATTCTTAAAATCTTCACAGTGTCTATTCCCACTAGCAATTGTATGAACTAGTTAGCTTTGATTTCACGGTGCGATAACCCTTTGCCCGTGTCCTAATAATCCCCTAAACAATATGAAGGTGGATATGAAAATGGAGTAGAACCTTTGGTCCTATATCCTACTGAGCCCTAATCGGCAATATGCCTGAACACCGGAGACAGGTTATAGTATTCACTGTTGCGAATGCCCATCTTGGACTGTCCTGAGGATCTTGAAGATCGCGTAAATAATTTCCCGTCACTGGTACCATACTGGAGGGACTTACACGTGAGTATTCTTTCCCTCTTCCCCATCGCCGGTGCATGCCCGATAATAAGTGGCGGTCCTAGGAACATATCAACCAGCCCAGGCATCCCGGGGAATCAACGGACGGCTCTGATCCCGAAACCATCGGAAGTTTTACACATCTGGAAATCGTCGGGATACCCACAAATCACAAAAGAGAAGCAAAACAATAGCAGGAGAGAGAGGCATTCCTCCGGAAATCATCAGAGAGAACGTATCCAGGCCAGGGGTAGATCCAGGCTCCTGATCCAGTCCAAGTATCCAAGCAGTTCGTAGCGGGTCTGGTGGGGAGGAGGGATGGGAGGGCAAGATGTACCAAACTAGCGGGATGTAAACGCTGCTCTGGAAGTCGTCGGATAATACTCTACTCTCCTGCCATGTCGAAAGGGACAAATAGAGCGGGGGGAAACATACGTTTTAACTAATAAGAGTGGATTAGAATGTGGTGAGCTAGGATAAGTACGCGTCGGCCGGGTAATATAACCATACGAGCATGTGGTATAGCATCCCCTAAACCACACGCTCGAACCTAGGCCTACTGGTAGCCACAGCCGCCAAAATCGAGAATATGTAGCAAAGCAATATCAGAAACTTCAGCCCAAGACTAGAGTGAGGGAATCGTATTATGGTGTTGTTCCGTGGGTATTGAGGAACCTGACCAGGCGCGACGTCTACTATATACACTATAATGTTTTTTATTTTGTAGAGAACACTTGATATCCATAATTAATTCAAAGCTTAAGTACATGTACGTACCCTTTTTTTTTTATATGAGGGCCTTGAAATGAGATTTTATCAACTTCAAGATGTCATGCCTAAATTGGCTACATGCTCAAATATGTTTCCCCCGTCCTAAGCACAGCAACCTAATCGCGATATATATATCGGTAGGGCAGCAATGATATTACTTCCATTAATTCCGCTTCGGCCGCGTTATAATTGTTCAGGGTATTGGAGGTTTGATTCCTTCAAGGAGCTTTTTTTTTTTTTTTTTGGAGAGAGAGAGAAGTTGAAACTTCAATACGTTAGTATACGCGAAACTGTGACCATACCTTGTGGGGACCAAAAGGGTTGCTAATACAACTTTGTACGCCAACATGGCGTCTGACTCGGAACCTTTGAATATCATAAAATCTACGAAAACTGGACAACTTAAGGATAAAATGTCACCAAATGTGTGTTCTCTTATATCAACAGCAACTCTAACGAGATCGAGGTGAGTGAATGTAATACAGATTAATCAAGGGTCCTTAAGAAGTCATTTGAAGATTTGGTGCATGATGTCAACGCAGGTAAAATAATATAATTCTTCTAAAGACTACCCGCACATGGATCCCGATTAAACTGGGTGCAAGGACATCGCTGCGAGGATTCCGCTTCGCTCCGCCCCGTCCCGCCCCCCCGCTCCATTGAAATCGACCATCTACATACATACTTAAAAGACCATAATTCCCACTCTCTACACAAGACGATAGCCAGACATCACATAACAAAAAACAGTCATCGAAACCCACTCCCAATATTTCAGTGATATCTCAATTGCAACCCTCAAGCTCAGGGGCTCCGGCGCAGTTGCCGGCTACCAAGTCTATGGGAAACTTTAATTAAAAAGGAAGTCTCCAGACCTCGACGCTTGTACATTAATCCGAAGAGACTCTAGCTAGCAGGGTATCTCTGGCTACTTTGCCCGGGTCGTGAGGCAATCCCAGCCAAGAGCTTGTGCTGTTTCACCAAGGTTGTGGGGGAGGGGAGCTCTTGCTTGGGCGAGAACAGACCTTCTTTTGGACGGCTGTATTTCGTTTCGTTCCACGCCAGACTCACTCCAGAAGGTGGCAGTGGGCAAATTGAAATAAGGGACCTAAAGCTTGGTCTGGCTACCGAGGAGGTCCTTCCCGTACGAGCCTTAATTGGAGACACTCTCCACCCAGCAGCTAAGAGCTTGGTATTTTTCGGCTCCAGTTGCTTCCGCCTTGGTCGGTCTGTCGGCCTGGGAAAGGTCATAAGTTATCACTCGGGCGCGCATCTCATCGCCAGGGCCTGCGACAGGGGGAGCAGCACCCAGGGAGACGGGAGATACTTTTCATGCCGCGTAGAAGAATCTCGCCACTATACAACACAACACCGCACAACACAGTAAGTATGGTAGAGAGTGACCTGATTCCCAGCACATCAAGAATCATGTCAAGGGAGAGATAAAAAAATATCAAACTTATCCGCCTGAAGCTGTGCCGTCCGGCAGCGCAACTGAGGTCGTGCCCTCCACCCCCAGTTCAACCCTCCCCTGTTGATCTACTCTATCTACAAGGACATCCCAGCTGCTGCTTTAGCACCGTCTATAGGGTTACCTAACTCTACCTACATACATAGCCGCCGCGGGAGAAACCTGTAGGTACTCTGAGTACCGTACCTCGGGACCGCCGAACATTCCTCCAGCAGCGCGTGCTTTTCTCCAGGAAAGAAGGAAAGACGGCGGCTGATGTGTATGTAGCCTCATCATTCCTTCAGCTGAGCACACACTCACTCGGGTTGGGCAGTAGCTAGCAGCGCAGTTGTCAATGGATGGGGCTGGAGAATGGAGCGAGAAGGCAGCCGAGTACCGAACGGAGATCTATGGGCGCGACGAGATATGAACGTGTTGACGATCAACTGGTGGTGGGTAGTGCCTGAAAGCGGCGGGCGCTTCCCTCCTCACTGATTGGTGGGCAAAGAGGCCCTTAAGGGCTATTTACGAAACGGACAAATAATAATAATAGCCTGGTTGGTTGCTAAATCCGAACTTCCCAGTTCGCGCCTAACTTGTGTCTAAAGTGCCTACTTTCTTTGCTCTACATAACCTGCTGGACCCTAGCTAGAGAGCTAGAGGGAGTGCTCAAGTACCCCCCCTCAATAAAAATATATACATATACAAGAATAGTGTATAGTGCAGTACTAGTACAATATAACCAACAACAAAAGTATTTGACAGAGAACTCATGCAAACCCACCCCCAGAAACAAATGAAAAATAAAAGATTACAAATTCCCAGACGAAAACAGCAACAAATCCCAAAAGGAAATAACCAATGCAAACCTTAATACCACAAGAGGAAAAAAAAAGAGGTGGGGGAAATTTACAGAAAGGAAAAAAACAAACAAAACACAGAGTAAAGCACATAGTGGAATGAGATATACATGTGAAACAGGAAGAGGAGTTAGAAAAAGCAACATCATACCCTTTACGAAACAAGGGGTGATGATGACGAGAGTTTTTTTCGAGTTCAGCCGATCAAAAGTCGCCTGATAGAAAAGGCAAAAACAACAACAACCAAGCTCTCAAGCTTCCACCGAACCAGAAAACCATTCGAGGTAGAGGCAAGAGAAGGTGAGGTGGTGAGGGGTGAGGGAGAGGCATTGTGAAATGCAAGCAAGAAAACGGGAATTGGATCTTTCCTAAACGTTAAAGATTATGCAAGCATGTACAAAGCCATATGATGAAATAATAAAAAAAAACCGCCCCGTAGCCAAAAAATTAAAAAAAAATGCCCCCTAGCCCGTAAAAACTCCAGTTATTTTCCCAAAATATTCCTTTATCCACAAAAAAAAGTCCACAAGGCTTTAAACTAAAAGAAAGGTATGCACAACGCAACTCGCTTGCTTCGCTGATCAGCCAAAACAAAAAAAGGAAAAAAGTATAGATATATAAAACAGATTAGACAGAGAAGAAGAAGTAGCTGGCTTTTGTGTCTTTAGGTCCCTTTTGTCGGAGGGTCGTGAAAAGTGTATTTGCAACTATATCGCGCGATTGCCTCCAAGGGTTCCCTGCTGTGCAATCCGTTTTCGGTACTGGTCTCTAAATCGCTGGCGTTCAAAGGTCCCTATAACGTAGACAATTAGCGCTCAATTCTTAATAGAATTGGGGAGTGGACAAATCTGCAGCTTACCGTATCCAAAGATTATACAGGCCAAAGCCATATAACTTCCATAGAAGTACAGGCCAATCGGGACAATCTCTATTCTTGTCCCTGGCAGCTTAAACGGCGTTGCAGCTGCACTAGCGGTGGTCGTCGTGTTCGTCGTCTCATTAGCGACCAAATTCGAGAAGACCCCGTTGACGAAAGTGGCATCATCAGTTGAAAGAGTTGTCTGTAGCTCCGTCCCATCCGACATCTTGGCAAATAGGGTAATATTTGGTGTGAGCAGTGTTTGCAATTGGGCACTATAAACAGCACAAAATATATTAGATCGTGAACAAATCACATGACAGACCCCGCATGTGACAAGGAAGGGATCCAGGTTATGTATGGATATGGGTATGGGGTATGGGTGAACCTACTCAGTCTTCTCATCCTCAAGCAACAACTTATCAATCTGCCCAATGAAGTGAAACTCCTGGACCTTCTCTGGCCCCGTCGTGCTCGCCGAAGCCGACTCAGTCGCTGCCGCCTCCTCCGTCGTCTCATTCCTCAACTGCACCGCAGCCCCATTATACATGAGCGATACATCGATATTACCGCCAACGCTCGACCAATTGCCCTCCGCGGCCGACACCTGGTAGAGCCTCAGGTCCGCCGCAAACACACCTGAGTCTGTGCTGAGGAACGGAAGGTTGTAGCACACCACGATACCGGACGGGTTCGACGCCTTTGAGATGCTGCTGAGCCGCGAGATGCACTTTGCCGTCGTCTCCTTGGCCCACGCCTGCAGGTCCAGCTCCTCGATAGCCGTCTCGTTCCTTGCCCCTGTGTCCTCCGTGTCCTCTGTTTCCACTCGTCGTACCATCCGCTGGATCTCGCGGCGGAGGAGTCCATGCCATTTCTCTGTTCCGCTATCCCTTTTGCTGTAGCTCGTTGTCCCTAGGCCGACGCCTAGCCCGCTGCTGCCTACTCCTGATCCTCCGCCCCTTCCTCCTCCTCCTCCGAGCCCCGGTGGGACAATCACCATTGCGTCTGGCGTTGAGTGGGCGTATGAGACGGTGCACAGCGCCGCTAGTGTCGTCAGGAGGACGAGATATGATAGAACGGCGCGCTGCATCGTTGTTGTTATTGTTATTTGCATTTGCATTTTTGTTTTTCTTCCTCCTTCTCCTTCTTTATTGGTTTTATTGAGGTCGTATTGTTACCAGAGTAGTGGTGATAAAAAAAAAAGAGTGAAAAGGAAATTCGTTCGTCGATAAATAAGTAGTGGAAAAAGCAAAGCACCCCCTGTTATTGTTTCCTGTTCCTGGCTGGCGTGATGATGGCTGATCTCGTGGGTTGGGGTTCTTTTCGAGGGGTAGGTGTATCCAACGAATTGAATTGAATTGGGGGGAGGGGGAAGGATATACTATATAAACCCTCAAACGAAAACCGACACACACAAAACACACGTGAGGTGAGGTGATGTGATGTGATGCGAGAGAAACTGGGGAGCCCTTTTGTATAATAAAAATAAATAAAAAAAAGCTGGTATGCAGGAATTAACAGATTAGTGCCTGGATCTTTCCTTCAACGGGTAAGCACGAAAAAAGAAAAGAAAAAGGAAATGTCTAGCAGTTCGTCTATTCGCTTCGGGAGGGAAGGGAGTGGGGAAGATCAGAACGAGTGAGAGTGTGAGCGAGCGAAGGTCGAGTGAGAGGGAAAGGATTGGAACGTTTTGCAAGTAGGAGTATGTAGTAGGTTGTAGCACCAAGCAACATGGAAAAAGGGCAGGGCAACAACAACACTAGGCTAGACGGTATATTATCGTTGTTACTTACAGGTAAAAGTAGTCTGCAAATCCACACGAACAAAGCACACGTAGGCCCTCTAACCCGTTTTCCCAGAATGTGGGATGCGCACAGCGTTATTCCCTTACTGGTAGGGGGGGGGTGGGAAAGGCTAGTACCGCCCGCGCTGGAGAATGGGAAATAGATGCTTGTCTCTTTTCGGGTGCAGAGGTCCGAACCGGACGGAAAAACGCAGCGCCGGCGCTGTTTCTGGGGTGGGTGGGATAGCTGGGAAATGAGAGGTTGAAGATGAAGAAGTATACTAGAAGGGCTGCTTCGCTCAGTGGATCGTCGACCGTTATGAAGTACCTCCTAGCTAGCTAGCGCGCTATGGCTTCCTTCTACCTATAAAACCGCGGCCCTAGAAACCAAACAATAAAACAATAAAAATAAAAAGGAACGGACTGGCAACTTTCAAAGATGCCAAAAATATAGTATACGACAAGAACGAAAAGGAAAAAAAAGTAACCTCAAGTAAGAGAGAGCCAGGCGAAGGAGTAAGTAGAGGGGGGCGAAATATATGTATGAGATTCGAACGCCGGGCAGCTGGAAGGGCAAAAATGGATATTTGTGAGTGGGTTGCGGGCTTGAATAGAAAAGCGGCTGCGGCTACTGCAAGGGGAATCGTGGGTGTTGAGGAGGCGAGGCGTTGGCCAATGATATCCGGTGTTGTAAAAACGGGAAATAACGAAGGGCAAAAAAAGTGTTCGTTCCACCACAGCAACCACCACCTTCAAGTGGGAAAAAAAAAAGGCAAAGAAAGATGCACTGAATTCAAAAGCGTTCCTGCCAAGTGAGAAACTAGCACTTCGCTTACGATATTAAAACAAATAAAGAAAAGGGTCTTAAAAAAATGCACGCACGGGAAAGAAATAGAGAAAGACTTTAAAGAAGGATTCTGGGTCCTCGATGGGGAATTATCGAAAAACCAGCCCTCTCATCAAAGTCGAATGAGGGGCGGGGGGTAGGAGGAGGAAGGAAACCAATTATGAGGGTCAAAGTGTTTAGAGATGCCCCGTTCTCTGATCTCTCTTTCTCATTCTCTCTACTCTACTGTAACACAAAGGAACCCCTCATGAAAAGCACGATATCCCCAATCTCTACGGTTCATCCAGAACAGGAAGGAAAGCTGTAACTTTGAAAGCAATAACGGTTTCCAGTCTGCCCTTCTGCGACCTCTCCCTCGCTTCGAGCTGCTGAGGGGGAGGTTAAAAGAATGTGGCTTGATGATAATTAATTTATGAGCGCGCGAGCTGGAACCTTCAGACCAGAATTAAGCTGTCAGGCATTAACTTGCTGTGAGTACAATGATGTACCTCCACAGGATCGTGAGTGGGCGTACCTCGAAAGGCCATGCAAAACTACAGCCTAATGAGCCAATATCATCTTCTCCACCAATGGCCATCAATCTGTACCTGCGCTGAGCAGAGCAGCTGAGTTTTGCACCCCCCTCGATCCATTCAAGCGCCGCCCATCCGCCCAATAGCCCTACCCAATACCTGCCCCCCGGTGGCAACAACATCTCGAAATCCTCCGAAAAAGCCAATCGCTGGCACGGGTGTCTCGGGAGAGTCCCATCATCATCGCTTTAGCCATGCTGCCGCTTTGGCGCCTTCCTTCCATCCAAGAGAGGGGGGGGGGGGGTAGAGTTAGACCGTAACGTGCCTTTTTCAGAGTTTCCCCCCACCGTATAGCTGGGCATACCTCCACGAGGAGGATGAGCACCGTTCGTTCGTTAAAAAATTCCAATAGACTCCCCCCACGCCGCTGGAGACATCTAAGTCAAGTCATCGCCTAGCCATGTAGCTTTCTCATCCCTCATCCCTCATCCCTCCCTCGCTCTCGTTTTTACTTTATCCCCCGCTTACCCACTACATCATACCCACAAAAAAGAGTTTTCCCTTTCTGTCAAACCAACACTAGCTACCTGCACGGGTTTCCGATATGATACACAAGTAAAACGTTGTGGCACTTTTAATCGCCAAACAAAGCCTAGCCATAGCCCAACTACCTCGACCCAACCCCCACACCTGTACGTACCTGAAAATCAGGAGTCTTGGCAGCACCCTTCATCGAGAAAAGAATCATGATACAGTGACAAGCCTTTTTGACATGTTACAATGTTACGGTAAAGCACTCTACTTTAATTTTGTTGGGATGATATGATTGGCATGCTGTTATTCCTCGAGGATTGGATGTTGTGTAGGTAGTTCGAGTCAATGACCATACCGTACCGTATTGTACCGGCCGGCGACGTACAGCACCGGTAGCACATGTAGCTAAAAGTAGAGCCTTTGCTACTCTAGAGCCAAGATTTAGATCCTAGGCGCTGTGCTGAACTTTATTCTATCCCATATGCTTGCCTCATCTGGCGGCCAATTAATTAATATCGAGCCCTAGTAATCTGCCCTGAATACATGTAGTACATGGCATCTAAGTAATCAAGTAGAATAGAGTAAATCATCTCGCCTGGTAAAACCCGTGGATTGAAAATCGTTACATAACCCGCTACTAACTACAGAACAAGTAGTTGCTAAATAGCTAGCTAGAGGCTCATACCATATCATGCCAGCTTAAGCGGCTATCTCGAGTATTTTGACACGCCCTCTTAATCTTTCTTGCTATCTGGCTACTTTATGCTCTGCTAGCTCTGCCGACCACCCTTTTTACCTTCCTACGTACCTTCCTGCCTTCTTTCCTTTCTTACGAAATGCTCACCAAGAATAACCGTGCACCGCAGCGCATTATATCAAACCCGCCCCATAACCCATGTCCACCCCCAATATCTATTGTGCACCGCTACCGCCGGAGTAAGTGGTGAGTCGATATCGAAACACCAAGCTCCCGCAGAAATTCAACGATGCCTGCCTGTAACTCAACCCAACCCAACACCACCGGTTGCACACACAGATATGCACTGGGGACGAGAAGAAAAAATCCAACGCAGTCAGTGTTTGGGAGTGCTGACCGCCGTCGAGAGATCCTTCCTTCCTTGGATCTCGTATCTCTCGTATGTTAATTTTTGCGAGTCTTACAGCTACCTGATATGCGCACTTGATTCGTCTCACAGGGCATGATCAAACACGGTGCCGAGACGGCGCTAATTGCCAAGAGCGAGAGAGTAAGAAAGAGTAGCCTCCAATCCAGATGCTCTGCTTCATGGAATCATTTAAGAACCCAAGTCGATGGAATCACGCCACTTCCATGGGTTCCTGTCATTTTCTAATCGCAGGAAACACTCATGATGCCAACTAACTAGCTGTTCAATGTCAAGCGTCTCCAACCCCAAACCCCAAACCAACCCCCCAAAAAACCCAACGACAGACAAGCTAGCACGGTACCATCTAAAGCGAACAAACCAACCCAGTGTCTCGGTCGTCGTCGTCATGTCGGTCTCGCTAACTACCGGATAGGCCGGCATGAGGCTCAGTTTTTTTTCGTCTCCATATATCTAATCCCACGATGCTCTCCCAGGCTTTGTTCCATCGCTTCTGTGCGGGCTTCCGGAAACTGGTGTGAGACGTTCGTTGATCGGGTAGATATCGCGTCGTCTGAGACACGGGAGTGGCTCTTTAGATCTAACTACATACTCGGCATCTTTGGTCCGACGGTGGGTTGGGTACGTACTCTAGCTACTGCGTGGAAAACGTGCGTATGCAGGTGTAGAACTTACGGAGCTGGAAATGGTGGATCTCATGGCTGTTAGAGATTTTCGATATCACTTTGTGTGAGAGAGAGGCTGCCCAACGGCTTCTAAAGAACCGACACGGCTCTGTGCTGACGTGGATGCTGTCTGCACCACGAGTTAAGCATTGCGCCCGCACCGGCCATTGGTGCGGGATCGACGTTACATGCATTCGCACTCATAAAAGAACACTCCCCCAGTGGAGATGACAATGACGACAAACACTCCTGCAGCGCAAACCAAATTTCTTCTTCCACTTCTTCCTCTTCTTCCACTATCAAGCATCTGGTTGGGCGCACACCGACAAAAGCAACGTACCCCATGCAATCAAGTCCTGTCCCGAGGAACCACGGACAGCACGGCACACACATAGAGTACTTAAGATTACGGCTACGGTGTATTTTCCGCTGGATATATGGTCGTAGATAATTTGCGTGGGTTTATTTCGGCCGAATTGGGCGGGTGGGCGGGCGGTGCTGGATGGTTTGTTCTAGACCTTTCGTAAAGCTTCTTCTTCTTCCCCGGGCCTCGGTATAGTATTAAAAGGGCGGCAGGGCGGTAGCTGCGGTGAGGTGCTGCATGATAGATATATGGAGTTGATAGTGCTAAGGCTGGGGATGGGCAGGGAGGAATATGGAGGGAGTATGTATGGATATGAGGTACCAGCCGGGCAGGTAGCTAGAGTATTGAAATTCAGACCTGGATTGGTAACTATGGAGCTGGCTTGTAGAGCTGGAAAGTCTAATCTGCCGCGCGCGGCGTCTCGTTCTAGTATAGGGCCAGGCGCCCGGTGCCCGCCGAGTGAACCAACCCATATCGACAGCCCCTCTGCGCGGGATGACGACCACGGGAGGGTTAAAATCCATTATATTTACCCCTATACTCTGGAGAGTTAAAGTGTTCTGCTTTCCCCTACAATTATAGCTTCAATGGGGTCGAAACAGCACGCAGCTCCTAATATTAACAATTTGCATCATGAGATATCACTCACCCACGTGCACGTCATCTGATCTACACGACTCGGTAGCTAGGCTGGCTAGTGCTGTCTTTCTTTATGAAGTCCTCAATAAGGTTATAAAAGCGGCCGCCGGCCATGAAGCAGCGCATGTTTTGGGGGTATTCTTTGTTCGGCTGCCCGCGCAAGCTCTTGTGGGTTTAAGGTATGAGATATAGTTATTGGTAGGACTAGCTGGATGAGATGACCTTGACGAGATGTGAAAAAGATGGAATTGAAAAAATAATATGTATATACATGTACGTATCGCTAAAATATAGTCTTTGATTTACACAGTAACCGACTTTTAAATCTCCCGGTCGTAGTTATCCCGTAGTCCAATTCCCAACCCGAACCCAGAACCCAGAACCCAAAAGCACATAACGCCGCCCGCTCCCCAAAAACCCAACCGCAAAACTCAACTACCACAACCCTATAACCACCCTCCATGACTCACTACAACCAGAACCACAACCACAACTACCTCCCGTACCCCCCATACCCGCCACCGCCAACCCCCCACCACTGTCCCCGCGCGCCTGCGCCCGCACCCGCTTCCACAACCACCAACTCCCGCAGTACCGGCAGCCGCCTCATGATCATGAGCGCCAGATTGAGTAGCAATAGCTTGAGCGCCACAAATAGGATGAGTCCGAGCGTGGGGAGGCCTATGAGTGCTAAGAGTAGCAGCTTGTCGCCCATTCTAGTATAGTTTAGGTTAGGGCCAGCTTAGATAGATGGTGTATGGTAAGATATTGTAGGATGATGATACTGGTTGTGAATTACTGCAAAGCTCTAATCAACTCGAGGAGAAGAAGACTCGAAATCGAGGTAGGGAGGGAGAGAGAGAGAGATGGCTCAGGATCATGCAGAGGTGGACATAGATAGATGTGTTGATAGATATATACGAGAAGCGTTTCACTCACAGATTGAATGCGTCATTAATTGGCACACCCCATCCACCCCATCCCTTCCCTTCCAATTCAGTCAGACTACACACAACCCCAACCCGCAATTATCACAACGAGGCTGAGAGCCCTGTAGGGCAGACTTAGATATCTATCTATTCTGTTCCTACTACCTATCTCACTAGTACTATCTACTATTACTGGCCACTCAGATATCTAGACCTCAATAATAGATGTGTCTTGAGTAGATCATCCAGCACTCAGTTCCTATTCTTGGTAACCCTGCTGTGGCTAAGTAACCGTGCAGTTTCTATAGCGTAGAGTAGTGTAGTAGCAACTCCCAATTCAGCCTCATTTGCGGGCCTTCATATCAACCTCGAAAAGCTAGATGCAGCATCACAACCTCCACTCCGCCGTTGTTCGGGTAACCGTTCCTGTTTGCATTTTCCAGGTTTCGACACGCGCAAGAGCGACGCCAAGAAGACGACACACACCACCACAGCACGCACCAGCCTCCTGTTGTTCATTCTGGATGATACGTCGACCTCTCTCTCTCTCTTTCTTTTCCACCCCCCGTCGAATAGGTACATAGCATCATTTTCTTAAACACCAAAAAAGTCAAACTTCCTACTAGCTGCGGGCGGGGTATTCTTTCCTCTCTGTTTGGTTCTTTTTTTTTTTTTATTTATAGATATCCACCATTTTTTTTTCTTAAAAAAAAAATCCCTCTCACGTCATAGCCATTCACTCGGTCTACTACATTTACAGAAAAAACCACAACCACAACCACCCACCCCACCTCCCCACAATCTGCCCTGTCGCCGCCTCCCCCACACCTTTTTTCACTTGGCGGAGAAAAACGATAACTGGTGGCCATGCCTACTACTACGGTCACGATAAACGACACACGCGTTCTGGCTGAAATTGCAGACTGCATTGCACGGTCCAAGAAAGCCATTGTGGTGACTGGGGCTGGTATAAGTACCAATTGCGGTATTCCCGTAAGTATCTCCAGACGCGTTTTTTATATATAAATTTATATACATGATATTTGGTGATATTATATATATTAACAAATGTTTGAATTTATAGGATTTCCGTTCCCAAGATGGTCTCTACAACCTCGTTAAATCAAGGTACCCTTCATCGGTCGTCAAAGGCCGCGACCTCTTCGACTCGGTTCTCTTTTCGGATCCCACCTCGACCCAGCTCTTTTACACGTTTATATCATCACTGCGCAATGAGATAATCAGGGTTAAGGATACAACACCTACACACAAGTTTATCCGGAAGATGTCTGAGAGTGGGCGGCTGCTGCGATGCTACACGCAGAATATCGATGGCCTGGAAGAACGCGAGGGAATGACGACGAACTTGGCGTTGGGAAAGGGGAAGAGGAAGAGGCCCAGCACTGTGCTGGCGGGCGTAGTGGATAGTGAAGAGGAGAAGGGATGTCAGGTTGTGCAGCTGCATGGAGACCTCAAGAATTTGAGGTGTACGCAGTGCCAGGGTCTGTGCAAGTACGATAAAGAGCGGGTGGAGAGTCTCCTGGATGGGACCCCCCCAGAGTGCCCCGTCTGTGCGGGGAAAGATAAGGCGCGGAGAGAGAACGGGAAACGGGGGACGAAGGTGGGGAGCTTGAGGGTGAGAGCTGATATCTACTAAATGTTAGAGATGTTGGCACATATGCTAACATACCCTCAGCCTAATATTGTTCTTTATGGCGAGGAACACCCCCTTGCGGAGAAGATTGGTTCTCTCACGTCCGCAGACCTTCGCTCAAACCCGGACATAATGATAATTCTCGGTACTTCCCTTAAAGTATTTGGTCTTAAGCGCATTGTTAGGGAGTTTGCTCGTGCTGTGCACGCACGTGGAGGGAAAGTTATATATGTCAACAACACTCCTGCAGCATACAGCACATGGAAGGATATCATTGACTACCATGTCGACATGGACTGTGATGCTTGGGTCGCCGACGTAAAAAAAAGACGTTTCGACATCTGGGAGCGCCAGTTGACATTGGACCTAGGAAAAGTGACGAAGAAGGCGACGACGACGTCACCATCCAGGCTGAGCAAGTCCAAGAAGATCTTCAAGGAGGTGGAGCAGGAGAACGAGATCAAAGCCCGGCCCAAGGCCAAGGCAACCGGTGCGAGGAAACCCCTGGGTACAATGACAGGGAACGGGCCTCCAGGCATTCTGAAGAAGTCCTTCAACTTCACGATCCCAATGTGCCCCCCAACCCCGCCACCGACGAACGGTTCCCGCTCGGAGAAGAGGTCGACTGTTAAGTATGCAAGTACACCGTATAACCCACCTTCAGTGCCTTCCACTCCTACCGGGCGGCGTAGCAGGTCGGCATCAATGTTCCCTACTTCGGTGCCAGCTACCCCGCAGGCATCGCCATCTCGCCTGATTAGTAAACTGATGTCGACCGTTCGAATAAACTCGGCAACGAAAGAGCGACTACCCTATTCTCCCCGACGCGGTAATAGTCGCTGTGATTCTATGGAACAAAGCCCACTTCCAAAAGCGAAACGAAGAATGTTAGAGAAGAGTAACCCGGTTATAACAAGATCAAAAGGGAGGGGGAAAGGAACGGGGTCGGAATCAAGAGCAAGCCTAGAAATGGAAGTCTGTGGAACGATAACACTAAAGCCGCTACAGCTGGCGTCGGGCATAGAGAGGAGGATTTCACGAAGATTGTCAAAGTTACCAGCAGAGGTTCCTGCCTAAATAGCCACATATACCACCGCTTAGCTAGTTACGCCCGCTCATTTCACCTGTTGTTGGAACGATTAAATGGATGGTTTCCCTTTGTTTTAAGTGTACTCATTCTTTCTTTATACGTTTATTTAGTATTATTATCCCCATGTTTTTTGTACAAGTCAGGGCCGGAGGGACTGCTGCTGGGGATGTGTACATCCGCGGGTGCTTGGGCGTTATGCGGGGCGGAGGATATCAATTGTACTGTTTATGACGGGCTCATGTCGGAAAGTATTCATGCCTATATAATATATACCCACGTTTCTTTTTGTTTGGTGATTAACACCATTAATTTTTGTTTCCCCCCGCCCCCTTCGGCGGCTGCATGACTTGTGTGTACATAATTTAATTTTCACGAATTACAAAGACGGGGAGGATCCAGAGGAGGGTTTGGTCAGCTTTTGAGCCGTAATTCCTCGATTGGTTGTAGTTGGGGCCGCCATCGACATCGATACCGACATCTAAGATCACAAACACCACGTATGTCGTTCCGCCTGCGGTCAAGAGTCAAGACGAACACAGGACACCTTGCGAACCTCATTTTCCACAGACAGCGGACCCCGCGAGTAACCGTTGACATCCACGGCTGAATTCGCCCAGAGTAGAGTACACGTGGATGACAACCTATCTTTGGAGGCTCTGTTAGTGTGTTAGTGTCGGTTTCCATGTACCTAGTAGGAAGGGCGCTTGCTATTTTAAGACGCTGCATCATGGATTATCACTCGCTGCGATGGGAATACGAGCGTGGGCTGTGGGCGCGTATCTAGCGCATGTAGGCGTTTTTGGCACTACAGCTTGTGATTTGAGGATTTGTGCGCTTTCCTAGGTTAAGGTTTGGCGGGTTTGGCTATGTCTCTAGGGGAAGTTCTTGCTGTGCTGCTGTGCTGTCAGGTGGAATTCTAGGCTTAATTTTTTGGACTGGGGCTTTCTAGACGCTCATGACGTTCACGGGGTTGTATCGTGAGTACTTACCTGGCGTAGGGGGGACTGGGGGGACTGATACATCCTGACCGGCCAGCGACGAAGCCCTATCAGCGGTAGCGAACCCCATACAGGGGCAGAACCGGGATCTGAATAAGGTTATTTACACATGACACGGTGGCGCATTCTCTGGGAAATGTCGGGTTTGAAGGGGTCTTCGCCTTATGTTGCGTTCAAGCAGCGAAGAGTACGTCGAGAAGATTGATAAAGGCAGTTTCGTGTCAGGGTAGTGGGTTTTGAGCCTTTAGTGAAAGTTATCTCCAAACGTTGCTTGGCGTTTGATAGTGTTCCGCTGTTTTGACTGTCGAAACATCTGGTGCAGTCTAGTACTGGTCAATTAACGACGAACAACGAACACTGGCTCAGCCTCAGCCTATCTAGGATCATAGGAACGCCCGCAGGGCGATAATCCACGAACAAAAATTCTTATACCCGACTATAACACCCCTTAGTCGGGCATCTTGGTGACTTGGGCTATGGGTTTAATTTCTGTGGGAATGGAACATAGACAGCATGTGTGGAAATCACAAGTATACCCATGTCTCGGTACGCTGCATCTGTCATCGAGCCCTCGACCCTTGGAACTTCCTTATGTTTGTCTTGTAAGTGGTCTTTAAAGAGATAGAATAGGGGATTGTTTATGCTCAGGATATCTCAATAAGGAAAACACTCCAGAATATGATTTTGTTCGCAAATGGGGCGCTATCTTCGCGATAGGGCTCGCTTTTCGATATTGAGGGCCGCACAAACAAGACAATCATCCAGAGTTGGAGGCGTCTTTTGTGAACGTTTCAATATGTGATTGTATATCTTCATGGGCATTTGTGGCTGGGACAGAGACACACATAATAAGATCCCATTCACTAATGTCAGCTACTCATATTCATACGACCGATCTTCTGATTATTTCCAGGAATCTAGAGGTCGTTTTTGGCATTATTGGGCGCTGCACTTATACCTAGACCCGTGAGGGCGTCTGTCTAACTTATACTACAGCTGTCATTCAGGGCTCGATTTACTTTTTCATTGGCGCTCTGTACCTCGAAAAACAGGATATCTTATCGAGTCATGGATAACATTGCTCCCGGTTGGTGTTATATGGGTCGAGTCACAAGGAATCACTCACATCCTCCGGTTTTCCAGGCGTCGAAAATATTCGATCTTTTAACCGGCGAGCATGACTGTCGCCCTCATTACAAGAAATAAGCCTTAAATTTATAAACGCCTTACCTTAAGGCACGACTTCGAATGCCCTATTCACCACCCCAGAGTTATATCGCCCAACGGTTACCATATGTTAGAAATATCTATCTCTATCACGGGATGTGCTTCGTGCGGTAATGACTTGTCTTGCGAGATCCTTCTGGTAATCCGAAACTGCATGGTAATCCGAAACTGCATGATTCCGAGTTGTTTGTCTGCATCAAGTTCTCGCATCGTTCCATAGACGGCTAGCTCAGCATCTTTCACGAAGATTTTAGACGGATGGTGGTGGAGATAAGGCAGTACGACCAACAATTGGTCCGGGGGTTACTACATGCAGTAGATGTACCTCCAGCACTTTTGGCTTGGTGTGTCATGTCACCTGAGGTCACGAATGCGAGTCCCTCTCCCGGAACGTGTATCATGGTATAACCCATTACTCTACATACAACAAAAACAATCGGTCCTGCGTTCGCGCGCGAGAAACGTGTGTACCTAATGAATTGCAAAAGACGGAGAAATGGCAACAACATAGGTACTGTATTTAACTTCAGCCTTATTTCTATTTAATTTTGATAATTGTTGGCAGGGAGAAGAAAAAAAAACAAGTACTCTGGTGTGGGCACTCGTTGATGGATCCCCCCTCCCTCGACATGGTGAGCCTCGAAGGCTCACACAGCGCGCAAATTGTTAGTCCTGATGACTCATGACAATCCGGCGTGTTTGTAGCATATGCATACAGATTTGTGGCAGTAACATCGACCTCTGGTTGTGTTTGTCCCATTGAAAAAGCGCAAGAGGATAGCAAGGTTATGCATATTGCCAGTAAAGAACGGATTTTAAAGGCCACAGTCCACTAAACTCCCTAATTGTCGATGAGAGCATGTTCGAGAAGGACCGGCCGAACAAGGCTTCCTATTGGCTGAATATACGGGGTACCACCTACAATGACAGTGGGGGTACTGCATTCTTCTAGCGTTCTGAGCTGTACTGTCATATAATGCTGGCATCATATTCATTGACGAACCGTGGTGACAGTTTCCTATAGCTTCAGATGCCCCCCCCCAAAAGACTTGGCTGACTACGGCTATAACGTATTGCGATATGGTCTTCCAGGAAACCGTTCTCCCAAGGCCCATAAAACCGCCCAAAAAGGATTTGACACGCAAATCCACCTTTGCTTGAATTTAGACTAGAAGGGCTTTTTTTCCCCACAGGGCCCGGATGAACCACATCCCTCAACGTCTTAGTGGGATTTATACTGGACTAGCGTCGCATGTGGATTGAGCCAAGGGGGAGGGCTTTATTTTTACTCTCAACCTCAGAATTGTAAGGCTGATGAGATTGACGAGCCAACCATATGTGCACTCAGCGAGTTGTGGATGAGTTTTCTAGCCCAGAAGAATCGAACCACATGGCAGCAAGTCCTTAGGGCTGTTCCTTGCTCTAGTCTCGTCATTAAGGTGGGGCCAAGAAGATGTACAGACACGTACCTGTGCTTTCCTAGCCAATCGGGCATCAAACCCATCTGTCGGATCTCGGTCATCGGAACTCATTCGTCAGGAAGAGAGAACACGAATGGAGCTTCTCTTCGAAGGTTATGATTCACTAGATGTGATTGCGCCTTCTCCCGCCCGAGTTGTTGCCCTGAGTACACACATGTAGGTACCCAGGGATGGTGGGGGGTTCGGACCAATAGTTAGACATGTCTTAGCCGTATTAGGAATAGCGTACTCTCGGGAGATCTACCCGGCGGCTCTGTTGAGCCGCAGCATGGATGACGACATGTCAACAAACTTGTGCATCAAACTAGCAAACAGAGTTCTTGGTCAGAATACATGCAATTGTATTCAATAATAAATTTATTTCGCTCTTGAGAAGACGGTACTCGCCTCTGTCCTCGAACATACCAGCAAACCGTGAAGAAAGAAAAACCCAACTAAACTTTTGTATCCCCAAAGCCTCATAACGACCTGAATAACCACTTTCAGCCAGCCGTAGTAGAAAAAGAAGAGAAATATAAAAGAATGGAAACTCGAAAAGAAGACAAATAATACGGGCATTTACCGAAAGCTCGGCGGTTTCTGTAGGGAAGGGATCTAGCCGTCTACTTCCAAGCAAACTGGGATCGACCCATCAGATGAACGCACGGTTCCCTCTAGTGTGCACTCCACACCCCACGCTCCAACAGACGGGTTTGACAGAAATTGAAGGGAAAATAAAGAGAGAATTTGGGGTTTAAACCATTCTTCGTGTTAGTAAACTCGCGACTGTACGGAGGAAAGAATAATGCAACCCTCCAAATGAATAAAGGCGATTTGTAGAATGACACAGAACATTATCAAGACCATAAAAAAACACCAAAGGATATACAATATAGAAATAATAAGTAGAAGATTTGGATGACAAAAAGAAAATCGTAATGGATACCTAGGTAGTAGAGCAAACATTTATGCATGAGTAGACAACTAACCAAGATATGCCTGAAAAAATGATGAAGGCTATCAAAAAATGATACTTATGCTGTAAATGGAAGGAAAAAGCGGGGTAAAGTCTCATTCGCGATACAATCACGTCCCCAAAAATACAAACATGAAAACTAAGAAAAGTCGTAATGCCGTCTCCACTGATTCAGAGATACAGTTATTAGGCGTGAGTTTCCGGGGGTATCAATCACACTAGCATCCGTTGGAGAAGTCTAGTAAGTTGGCTTCTTTGGCTTCCTCCAGTAGTATTGCTAGATTTAAGCAACCATTAGTCCCATCCTCACACCTTAATAAAAAGTATTTATACGATTAACTAACCTTGTGGGACTTTCTGCAAGACCTTAACCCTACCCTCCCCATCCCTTCAACAACTGCAGCACGTCGACCTTCATCAGTATCCTGGTCGGGGATATAGTAATATTCGCTCTGCAGAGGTTTTCCTGCAGCATCCTTGCCAGTACGCTTGATTTCTCCAATACAATCAATGTTGCCCATAATCTGGACCAAACGTTCCTTGGTGATGGAAGCTGCCAAAGCGGATGGAAGATGAGACATTAAAATTGTGAGAGAGGTGGATGATAGACGTGAGAAGGCAAGCTGATTGATGATGTGATTTTGGACAGTATTAGTCTTGTTAGGAGAGATTGAGGCACTTCGGCGTTGTATAGGGGAAGAAGGCAAAGCAGATACTGCGCGGATAGTCGAGGAAGTTGCCGGAGTTGCTGGAGGGGCATAGAGTGATTCCTTTGTTGAGAACCTAGCCATGGGTGGAAGTATAGGTTCCGGTGCATAGCTATGTAAGATCGGCTCTTCCTCCCTCTCCTCCTCTTCCTCCTCCTCTGATTCATCCGATTCATTCTCAGCTAACAATTGCTTGAGCTCTTCATCATCATCAGTTTCATCTCCCAGGGCCATCGGTAGTTTGGCAGCATCCTCTTTTTCCAATGGTCCGGGAAGCTCTATATGGTCCTCATCCTCATCCCCCTGCTCATCGTCCTGCTCATCCTCTTCTCCCTCATCCTCGTTTACCTCCTCGTTAACAAAATCTGCCACTGGTTCGTCTTCATATATTTCCAAGAAAGTATCTGTCATATGCGGATCCGATTCGAATATGGCACCAGTGTTACCCAAACCTCTCCTAGGAATAGGGGAACTATTTTGCTTTTCAGTAGAAACATTGAACAGGCGACGATCAGTGCGTTCATTGTTACCAAGAGGGTCGATATTTTCATCGTTATCATCAGCCCATCCAATTGAAGGACTTCTGGAAACTCTAGCACGAGTTGGTGTGCCAATAGTAGAGGTGCTTGACGAGCGGGCCCGGCGGACCTGAGTTGGTACTGGCCATGCCAAGACAACTCTAGAATCCTGAACATCTAACATGATCTCTGCATCCTCCGTCTCAGATGTGAAGACATCCCCTTAGAAAGCTCCCATGCTTGACCTTGACAGTGGATTTTCACACCGTTCCATCCCATACATTGAATCTCGACCATGGGCCGTGTTGAAGAGGACAGGTATTGCGCCTTGACATGGACGCGTGAAATTAGTCTGTTTGCAGAAAGCTGATAGTGAGATGAATTGCTGGACCTGCCAAGTAGAACTGGTTCACCATTTTCGGGAAGAGTGATGGATGGTAGTGCGGATAGCGGAGCACGCTCAATTAGAGTGGATTGGCTTCTTGCGAGGAGGGGTTTGCGTGCAGCAGCGACACTAGGATGTGGAGGCGGAGACGATTGAATCCTCTGCGACGACGAAGAAGGGACAGGTGTCGGATATCTGTTTTCGTGTTCTTCTGATAGGACGCGAGATTTATGTCTTTTGAAGCATGGAGGTGAGGATTGAGGCTCGAACGCTGGTAGCAAAGGGCCCGGAGCAGATCGTTTCACCCCAGCAACGGTGTTGTTTGTCTCGAGGACGACCCGTGCGGGCGAGTCCATTTCGGACTTTACTATTTTTTTTTATGTCTCTGTGTTAATAGACGACAAATATCTGTGATGATTTTTTCTTTTTCTTTTTTGGAATATATGATATGACTCTCAGCAGGAGAGGGTAGAGGATGAATGGATGGTGATGATGGTGATGATGATGAATATTCTATGGCGAAAGGGAGACCAACTTTGCGTGCTAGAAGGGGATGGGGAAATAGTCGGGTAAAGTGGGTTCGTGGTCGGGTGGTTGGTAGTTGGCACTTTACACGGTGGAGCAATTTGACGGAAATTACCTTCACGAATGAATAAACGTGTAAAGTGGATTACAGTAGGAACACCGAGTATGGTATTGAGAGAGTATTGGGTTGGAGAATATCAAAAAAGAGTGAGACCGGGAAAAGGATACAGCACTCGCACAAGGACAGAGATAGATGAGGGGGTTAGGAGGGGGGGTTTGGAGGAGAGGTTGATAGAAAGGAGTAAGCAAAAAAAAAAAAACGAAAAGAAAAAACGTCGAATTCCCTCAAATGGCTAGATAGAAACTCCGAAAGACACCGACGACAACTGACATAGAACGCTGACAGACGCTCAGAGTAATGAACTTCTTGATGCCAGGCTGACCAACACACAGAAAGGGAAACGAAAGTGACAGATTGAGGCGGAGAAAGAGTGTAATGCAGGCTCCAGCAAAGTCAGCGTGCAGCGAAAGAGAGGGGGTTGGGCTGCGTTTTGCCAAAGGTGGATACGTTGCGTGCCGTTTACCAAAGCAAGCAAAGACAGTATTTTTTCCTTCCATAGGTGCCAAAATATTTATTACGCTATTAATAAGACGGGTCACCACTCACGCCTACTTTGGGTCTCTATTTTCATTCTCCATGACGGTACTCTAAGCTGTTGCTCTAGTCTTTTTGTTCGGCAGCTTGGCACTGGAGGCACAATTTCAAAAACTTAAGGGTGGAGGCTGTACTATGATCATGTAGAACAACCACCTTACAGTTTGTTCTCCCCTGGTACAATGTTCCAAACCCCCCTCTGTTTCTTGCTGGTTGGGGTTGAATGATCTTTGATTGCTGCGCGTTGCCCCGGATCGGACCCGCGATTGGGAATCACGCGAGCAGCGCGTCGTTGAGGAAACGCGTTCTCCGGGCATACTCGTGCAGGCTTTGAGATTTACTGCTCTTATTGGATATCATATTGAGTGTGCAGATTGCGCTCTCATGCAACTCTGCTTGGCAATTTGGGAACTTGGCAGCTACATAGTAGCTGCAGTCTACTCTTGTTGGAAGCTGGAACCTTTCAACAACAACCGCCAGCTCCAAAATAACTACAACTACAACTGCTCTACTGCTCTATAGATATAGGTACAGTTACAGCTATGTACAGCTACAGTTACAAGTTGCATATACTCTCAGCCAAAACCGTCAGGAGCTGTCCTCCCCCTAGAACAGTCACCGTCCAGGTCTGGTCGCTAGGTTCCTGGTTTGTGTGACATGCTGCAACAGCCCCGGGCTAACATATGAACGTTCGGTGCCGGCAGACCGTTCCGGTCAGGACTGATAGCCGAGCTGACTTTTACTCTTTTACTACGGTTGACCATGGAATCAGACTTTATATACATACATGTATATACAAGATGTAGGTAAATACACACATGTACCTTACCTAAATGTATATATAAGCAATGTAGAGGTAGCCATATGTGGTTATATTATTTGATAAGGAATCTTTCCTAATAGCGCTGCTACTTCCGAAAAAGCTATGAAGTAAGCAGTTGAATCTAGCTGCAGACAGTTTTTATAACTCTTTAATCCTCGGGTTGATGCATAACCACACAAAGATGAACCCGAGCTACCCTACTGACACGTCTATCTATACGATGTCACTCAGACATATCGTCCAATCACTGAGTGATTGCGTGCCTTGTATATATTTCAGGCTACCTACTCCCTTTAAGAATATACTCGCAGCAGGAGGAACCCAGTAACTAACTGAGATGTGATTCTTGACGCTTGCTGGACGCAGTTCAAGGACTAGAGTAGCAAGAAATGTCTTCTGCTTCTCTTAATTCTGCAGCAAAGAGGTGCATAATTAGAAAAAGAAAAGAAAAAAGAACCTTTTTGATGACCAGCTAGCTTACCCCTCATTAGAGGTCAAGTTTATCGCTAGTACATACAGTGATCGTGTTAAGTCCTTCCCAGCCCTCAGGTGTGGAACGAGAGCTTTGACGTCAACGGTCAACGACGATTATATGCAAGCTTATTAACCCTACAGCTGCTGCCCTAACATCCATCATTACTTCTGCAACTGCAACTGCAGCTTAAGGGGACGCGTTTTTCCGTCTCGTTTTCGCATTTTTCAATTAAGTCATGTGACAAGGCGCGCTACATCGCTTCCCAATCAGTAACGAATATTGACACACCGGCCCGCGCCTGCGACAACCTCGCGTTCCTGAAACTATAGTGAAAGTTGAATTAAATATTAACCCCCCCCCTCTCTCCTTCATATGATGGATTTTTTTCGCGACACGAAAAGTGAGATGAGATTCGGAATGCACACAGATAAAACCCCTCTCCCCGAATTTGTCGTTTTTCCATCACCCTTCTCCTTGCATTCGTAGCCGGCTGTTGGGTGTTCACTGTAGATTATAATTTGTTGAACACTTTAACAGTTCACCCTATGAACCATGCTCTCTAGGCAGGTTAGGCTTCACAATCGAGAATCGAGAGCGTAGCAAACGCGCCGTAGATGCGCTGCAGCCCGGTTCAAGTCCCGATATGATAAGTACCAGTAACATGTAGGTTTGATCACAGTGATATTAACCACAGCATAAGGGTGTCCACCTTACAAGCCATTACTCAGTGGACCTTGGTAACTCGGGGTGCCTAATTCGGGAGTTTATTTTCTCCCTCCGTATCTGCCATCCTATTATGTATTTGGGTCACCTTTCACCTCCCATCTGAGGTTTTTTCTTCTTTCATCCTTGCGGGCAATTCACAGCACAAATTGCCGAGGGTGTGTTTACATATAAACTCTACCCCTCTCCCTCTTCAGGCTCCTCCTCGCTTGTTTATATGGAGCTAAAGGAGGATGGGGGGAAGGCCGGTAAATTTTTATAGGCAGATACTCTAGCTTTAGTGGGTAGACGAGTGAAATCTGGAAATCACCTGCAGTGAAATGCAGTTCCCACGAGGATGTGCTGCAAGTTTCAATAAGTCCAGCCCCCTCCATACAATACGCACCGCTAAGAGGCAAGTACTCTATATATGTACATAAATGTATGTATAAAAAATACTTTACATGTACATACCGTAAACCCCACCCAGCCCGATTAAAATCATCGGCAACAAACGCCGTCGCTTGTAATGCCTTTATGAAACCGATCTCCCCTTCTTGGGCCACAAAGCGATATAGAACTCTACAGCCCCACCAAAACACTCCTAACAGTGAAGGTAAATTTTTCACTCCTTTATCTGGTGGAGAAAAATAAACATAAAAAAAGTATCGGATGGTAATTGTCCAGTCCTCATGATGATGAAGGGCTAAAGAGCATCTCCAGGCTTTCAGCCTCCTCTGGGGTAGTTGTTGTCTCGAGAATTTCTTGAGCAAATCTCCTCGTACTCTCATCGATACCAAGCTCCTGTGAAAGCCCTTCACTAAATGCTAGTCTTGTCATCGCAACAAGATATTTGTGGCTAGTGTTTGGCGTCGCAATTTTCGACATGCAAGGTTGGCCATGTATCTTCAGGATACTGTGGAGTAATCGCATGGCCAGATTAACTAGTTGAACACTGTTTTGGGGTCTCAGCTTTCTGTACTTGTAATATGGTGGGCTGCGCTATTTTTGGTTTCTTCTATATAAATATATAAAACGGGGATGCATCCTATCTTTCTTTTCCAGAAGTGGAAGGTCTCAACCACTCAAAAATTAGACAGGAATGATTTATACATACCTTTGTTCCCTCCCGAATTTACACTCATAAATCTCTTCGAGCTCGTCTGCCATTCTTTTTATAAGCCTCGTCAGTGCAGTTGGATGCTTGGCAAGTGCTGAAAGTCCTGTTTCCATCCCTGAAATACACCCAAGGAGCTGAAGTATCTGCTTTCGGAGCCCTATGATCTCTAATTTCGTATATCCTGGCTTATTTGGAATTGCCCTAGGGGTATTGACGAGAAGTTTCGTTATAGCATCTATTAGATGCCCCTCGTTTGTTCGTTGGTCCATCTCGTTGCTGACCACAGAACCGAATGAATCGCCGAGACAGCTGATAGAAAGAAGAGATGCCATACGCTGGATATGTGGTAGCCGCTGGTGCGGGTTAAGTATCATCAATGGGAAGTCAGAACGGATAAATTTCCAGAACCTGCATATTGTTAGACAGCAATGACATCAAAAGAAGGGGGAAGACGATCGGCTGTCAAAACCTACATCTTAATCCGTTTTTCATCCCCGAAAAGCCCCAGAGCGATACCCTCCAGTAATCTCAGACAAAGATCGATATCTATACCTTCGTCCAAGAGTTCTATGTTTCTCCTTAACATCGGCATAGCATTGACGTCAACTGTCTGTTGAAGTAGGGATACCGCTTCATCAAAGAACTTGTAGCATTTGCCTCCTTGGTCCCACAAAACACCAAATTCAAACAAATTCAGGATAGATTTCAAAGGCCCGTGCTACTTATTTCTTTTGTCAGTTGGAGGTAATACGAACAAATGAGAAATGGGGTTTGGTGGAGGCTTACCAAGCTTTCGGTTAAGCATCTGCGCCATATATAAAGCAATGCCTTACACACTCCAGCCGAAAGTTCTGATTTATCTACTGTTGCCTGTAGTAATGCGATTTGGTCCTGAAGTAGAGAAGATATAGAAGTTTCGGGGGATGATGGGAACGAAAACTTTCTTAGATTGTCCAAAGACCGCTCCATGCCGGGAGCAGGTCTATGTGCCATAACTGCTTTAAAGAAGTCGAAGCGATCATCTTCTATCAATAGCCTTCCTAATAACATCTCCTCCACAAACTGCATCTGGGTATGATCAACTGGCATCATCCTTGGATCCTTTGATGATGTTCCGGACATTTTTGGACTATCAATGAGCGGCCGTTTTCTTTTAATTCCAGGTCTCATTGGTGATCGGCCTTTAGCCTTCGATGGGCTCAGCATCTCTGAATCCTCGAACCCATCTCTAAACGCATATCCCTTATTTCTCCTTGGCGTTGTTGCCGGGCTCTTGTGGGATTCATTACTTTGGTTACCCAAAGACGAGTGAAAGTCACCACTCTCCCCGACAGTTAGAACTTGATGTCTTGCTGTTTTTCTTCCTATATTCCTGGGGCCTTGTCTTGCTATTTCTTCAATCTCTTTCCTTAAGAACATTATCTCCGTTCTCGTACGCTCTGATTCGGTCTCAATAGCCTCAATATGAAGCTTATACTTTTCTCGCTCTTCATTTCGTTTTTGTTCTGCCTGAGCAATGGCTTCTTTGAGTGTTGCCTCAGATTTTGCTTTGTTTGTGCGAACAACAGATATCTCGCCATTTTTTGAAGAAACAACATCTCGAACGGAAGCGATTTCTTTCTGAAGACTTTCTTTTTCTTTTTGCAACTAATTACATTCTCAGGATCTCATTAGTAAATTTCAATAGTCAAGGATCTATAATTTGAATCGAAACCCAGTTTACCTCTGAAACTCTAGCCATGAGCTCCATGAGCTTGGTGGATTCTCTTTCATTTTCCCGATTCTCGGTTTCTAGCTCTACTCCGACCATCACATCACCACCCACAAGGCTCACTCGGTCATCATGTGCTGGGTTGTTGCCGGCGAGGTGATAGGCCCCGGCAGAATTGTCAAAACGCCTCCCTTCATCTACTTCCCCGTTGTCCTCCGCATAGTATTGTTGATCGTTTAAATCCTGCGTTAGCGTTTGAGTCTGTGCTTTTGGCGCCACCGCATCCCATAACTCTGAAGTTTCGTCAAACCCGCCATAATCATCATCCGAAGACGGCGGGTTTTCTGGTACTCTAGGAGTAATTTTACGGATATAATTCTGTTGTGTTGGCAGCTGGTTATTTCGTTGATGGTTATATGGTCTGTATTGATTATAATTCGAGCTCCATTGTTGAATCTTAGATTGCTGCTGCTGTTGCGGCGGCCCTACCGGTAACTGAGGTGGTGGCGGTTTTGCATAATTGTAATATGGGGGTTTTCTACTGATAGCGCGTGAGTCGGGTTGAGCCTGCTGGTATTGGGATTGCTGGTATTGAGATTGCTGGTACTGATTCTGTTGAATTGGGCGCAGGGAATATTGTGTCTGTACAGGCTGTTGGGTGCTTTTTACTGCGGCGTCTTCGAGAGCTTGAAGCTCGTCTTCCGGTAGAGCATCAAGTGTCGGATCATCGGAGAAAAAGTCCTCGTCCATGTTTTATCTCCATAACCTTCGAAGGAGTCGTGGGAGATGTATTAAGCTAGATTGAGCCGAGTCAGTGCTGGGTAATGGAATTTACTTTTGATTCCACATCGCACAGTGTCGATCGCCCTAGCACGTGACCCAAGTTTCAGGCACACCCCAGTATCAGGCGACTTAAACATAAATCCCATCCCACTATTTAGATTTTTTTTTTTTTGTTTAATTCATTGATCGCATGCATCCCACTATTTGGACAATGCTACAAGGTTTTAGTTAATGCGAATATTTTCAAGAAATTCAGTTCATGCGATTCACAATTAATTTCGCTCCCACAGCAGATACAGCACAAATTACTTATATTTGCAGAGAGAGGAGATATATATTTTATGGAAACCGTTGCTAAATCAAATCCTAACACCAATTTTTTTTGGACAAGAGCAGGCATCAGTTGGAGCAATCTACCTAAGATCTCCATCAGATGAAGCCCACAGAAAGTGTCACAACTTATCATTGCTTATATCTTCCTGGATTTTTCTTTGTATTTATCTTTCTACCATTCGCCCGAACCCACATATCCCATTCTATCTTTTTACTTTACGGGTTGGACTTGACGAATTCCTTGCCCTATTGTTTTCAAAGTCAGAAAATCTCGCTGGATTATTGAGGTGATAAGGGCGTTTTACCTTTGCAATGTTCTTGGCAAGGTCCTTAAGCGCAGCAGCAATAAGACCTTCCTCGTACTCATTGATCTTTCCGACGGGGTGGATCTTCTTAACACCCTCGGGGCCAAGCTCAATACGAGAAGAGAAGAATTCACAGCCCTGGTCCTTGTACAGAGGGCTCTCAACGAAAGCGGGCTCAGTGACACCCTGCTCACCCTGGGCAGCGCGAAGGAGAGAGTCGGCCATCCTGGAACCGGCATAAGCCATAGAAAGAGTGGCGGAACCAGCGCCATCCTTTGCTTGAACGACCTCATCACCACCGAACTGGATGCGGTTGACGAGAGCATCGCGGGTCTCACCCGTGATATCGGGGTGGTTAGACTGGGAAAGCAGGGGAACAATGGTAACACCTGAGTGACCACCAACGACAGTGACCTCCTCGTTGGCAGGGTCGGTGCCCTTGATCTCAGAGATAAAGCGGGAAGCACGGACAACGTCAAGAGTAGTAACACCAAAGAGGCGCTTAGGGTTGTAGACACCCTTGGATTTGAAGACCTATTAGAGCAGCTGGTTAGAACTATGTGCGAGAAACAGAGAAATGGATAGCAAGGAAATGATAATCATCATACCTCAGCAGTAATAGGAACAGTGGAGTTCACGGGGTTAGAAATAATAAGGAGGTTGGCGTTAGGTGAGTGATCAGCAGCAGCCTTGGCCAAGTCACGGACGATAGAGGCATTGGTGTTGAACAAGTCTGTTAATAGTTTAATTCATTAGCACTCAGAGCATAGAGTACCATTTTGAAGCTACCAACCATCACGGGTCATTCCAGGCTTGCGGGGGACACCAGCGGGGATGAGAACAATCTCAGCACCCTCCAGAGCAGCCTTCAATCCCTCAGGACCGACGCTGTATCCAGTAACCTTGCTCTTGGTGTTGACGTGAGAAATGTCAGCGGCGACACCTGTATATATATCAATTAGCCAGTGTCATCATCTATTAAAGCAATCAAGCTGTATTAAAGCATACCAGGGCCTCCACGGATATCATACAGAGCCAATTCAGTGACTCTGGGGTTCAGCTTCAAAAGGAGAGAAAGAGGCTGTCCGATACCACCAGCAGCACCAAGAACAGTGACCTTGGAGTTCTATATCACCCAAAACAGCAGCAGTGAGCATTTTGAACCTTGTAGTTATAATAAATATAGCAGGAAAAAATTTTCTCCGCAAAGAATTGAGTAGGAGAATTGTACCTGCTGAGCAGAAACAGAGAAGCAGCGCCTTTGGGCGGCAGAGAAAGCAGGCCTGAACATGATTGATAGATGTTTGGTAGTTGATAAGACCGAATGGATAGAAAAGAAAGGTGTCTAGTCTACTATGACACGGCGAAATGTGGGGAAGAGTGAGGGAGAAGGTAGAATTGACGATTTTGGAGACATGGTCGTAGGCACGGGTGTTAAGGTCCGGGGTGGTGGGGTCGCGGCTTGGCACTAACTAAAACCCCTCACAACCGTCGACGGAGAAATGGAGATTCTCGATATTCTTTAAGATCTGGTGGTTTTGGTAAAGCTTGATGCACAATTAGATTCAGTAGAGATAGTGTGTTGCTTGTTTAATTATTTTTATTATGACCATAACAAACCTCTTGAATTTCTAAATCATGTAGAAATACCGCATTCTTGAAATAACAATTTACGTATGAATCAAGTAAAAACAACATTGGAAAGTAACGACATCTAAATAGCCGGAGAAAATCAGTGATACTCACAAATCATGACATTGGGAAAAATCCGGGGTGGCCGGCCATAGTACAAATGACACTCTGGCTATTATAAAGTGCCTACATTCGCTCCCACTGTTTGTCCGATCAAGTAATGGGTTTAAATTTGATCGTCAAGTATAACAATATTGTTTATGAAACAACGCCGAGTGATAGTCAATGATGCTCGTATTTGATCGGTAATTGTTAGCGCGGTCTGGTCTACAAGGCAGAGATTAATTCTTCGTTCTAGCTCGTCTTGAGATATATTCCTCAAAGAAGTTAGAAGAATTTCATCCCACCTCAAGGCAGACATGGCCTACTGCATGTAATACACCGTGCCCTCCTTATCCTAGGTTGATGTTTTCCCAGTAGGCGTGAAATTAAATTTCTAGAAGCAATCTTAATTAAGGAGGTCTCGATCGACATGAACATGATAATTTGAAACCGGAACTAGTTTCCTCTTCTTTTGGTACTCTTATACTGACCATCTCGAAGAGTTCACTCGGGTTCACTCGATATAGGTACCCACTAGTTCATGGGCTAGATTGATTAGGTTATATACAGGTTTAAAGCAGCCAGTATGTGTATTTAATATCCTCCAGCCTTGATTCCGTGTCGCCGAGAGTTTTTTGGCGTTTTTTACTACTCATGTTGTATTTATATACATGTAGGATCGATTGTGACCAAGACACAGTTGTACTTCATATATCAGCAACAGCCGGTAGTTGACAAATATTTGAGACAAGCCGAGAATACACCTATAATTACATGTATATATAAGCTTACATCTATACTATAAACAGCGCGTGCCCCTGCATGCACTTAGATTTATAAGTAATTAAAAATTAGTTCTAGATTGATAACCAATCATGAGTACTAGATTCGGTGTACTACAAAGCTATTCAATGTCTTATTCTTGCTATTCTCGTTCCAAGGCCATTCGATGTTCCTTTTTTGGTGATGGCGGTGGCCTGGCCGGACATCGATCGACTATTGTGCTCTAAATAATATGACGAATTCCCAGCTACAGAAGATATACATATGCGCAGTATGGGATGGGCACTGTGCGCGTGTATGAGATTACTAGTGAGGAACGACTTCCAGTTAGCTGCAAATATAAAATAAAATATCAGTTCGAGAAGCCGTTTATATGCATATGCATGCAGGTCCAGAAAACTCATAAACGTTAACGATTCTTGGTAATGTGACGTGTGATAGAGATATTTGTACCTGACTACAATATTCCTATTCAGATGTAAGTTCAGTATATACAAAATACACGCGTACGGGGTTGCATATAAATCAGTACACCCTCTAACTTCCAGCAAATCTCTGACAACAACGACAATACCAAACCCACCAAAACACAACCACCAAAATGACCCATCACACCAGGGCTAATATACTAATTAACAAGATTATTCGGCTCGAGGAAGACAAGTTTCAAATGAATAAGTCTCGAGCTAGTGATCACGACAATGAGAAAAAGGATTTCAATGTTGACCTCATCCTAGAAACCGAAATCATCAAAGAAGCTAGAGATGCATCATCTCTGAATAAAATCCATTTCGCCCTACGTGCTCTTCAATTACTATCATTTATAGCTATGACCGGTATGGTGGTCTTTATTCCGGATTGTTCGGCGGTGCATATCTTGGAGACGTGCGCTTTCGTGGTATAAAATCCCTTTTTTTGCTACAATTCGCGAGAAATCTTCACAAACTGACTGCTATGAGTATTAGTTCGCGGTTGGAGTTAATTATTTCTTTGCACATGTTTTGTTCGCTGATGTGATTGATAGGAACCAATAGTAAGTTGTGATCAAAAGTTCGATTGGAAAATCAGAAAATATTGATTTGCATGCATCTAAAATGCGTTTCTTTTGCTATCGATGCTTCCTTCTGGATAGTGCTTCAAGGTATGGATGGTGCTCTGTCACCTCAAGATATAGGCTGCGGTTATCAAACATGGACTTTTGTGGTTTTGTACCTATGTTCCTCAAGTTAAAGCTGTTAGCAAGGTAAACAGCTCTCTATCGATTGATATTTGGCCAATTCCCAATAAGAGTTTCTATATCTAATCTTTTTGGTGTAGCACCTCCTTACTAGCTACTATGTTTTTAAGCCTGCCTCGTTATCTAGGTCGTGTCTGTGCTCGTTGGGCTTGCAATCGTAGTCGCCAGAAGCAGGGGGTCGAGAGTATGTGCTAGAATTAATTATTCATTTTTTTTAAAGGTGGATATACTATACATTACTTGGGATTGGTATAACTATATATTGAAGATTTGATTCCTCGGGGAAAGGTATATCGACTGCAGGCTGCTGTGAACTTGAAAATTATACTTCACAAGAAGGGGGTCAATGGTGTCAATTGTGTTGCTTTTAACGCTCTCAATTTGTGGTTTAATGAATTATTCTTGTAGTAGAGTGTCCAGATTCATATACACGAAAAGGAACACTGGTGATGCTGATCTACTTTGGAAACACTAAGTTCTCATTCAATTCCCTTGAGCCATTTTATGCCTTTTTTTTCACTCGTCATAAGTTTATAAGTTAAGAGTGTCGTGTCTAGATCGCATGCGCAACTATGCCAATATCTATCCCTTCACCCTGCTGCAGCTGATATCTCAGTATGACCGATAGCCCACCCCGAACACATAATCAAACTCCCAGTACAATACCCTACAAATCGTGGAACATTTAACGCTCATGTCCTTTAATTCAGCTAAGAATACTCATAGTCAGACTAATTGCGCCAAACACCCAGGAAGTTGCCAAGTAGAAGCCACGCCCTCGTCCCACTCAACCATACGGGAAATTGTGGGTATGAAAACTACTAACGAAGCCATGACAATCATCCAATACTATGTCATGGTGTTTATTCTCGGTGTCGAAGGCCATATTCCAGAGTGCCATTGGGCGCACAATGTACTCGTATATTTACCAGTGGTAATGCAGTATCTCAACCTCATTCGATATTGTGCTGACCGAACAAATACCAGTGCTTCAGCGCATTCCCCTATATATTTTTATGCATATGTTTCACTGGATTGAGCGATACACATCACCTGTGAGTCGATCTGAAGTCTCTCAATTATAACCACTGATTAACGCAAGGATAATGGGGGGTATAGTGCCAAAATCACCAGTCGAATCGTTGATCAATCTTTCGTGAACGCATTCACTTTTGTCGCGATCAAGCTTGGCCGTTCGGAAATGTGTGGCGCTCATGTAAGGATTTGGAACAAAATCACAGCCGCGTGTGTAAATACACTCTTATAAACGTTACGGCTTTATCGGGGCTGAGCTGATTCATTAGAGACAAAGAGTACTATTTACTGGAACCTGTCTTGTGAGCTACTTTCGACTGAAAGAATTGGCCGAGCACTATAAGAACGTTGAGACGGAGATCTCGATCGAGTCTGAAGGAGGACCATCTCCATGAGAACGTGCCTGTAAGTATTTTTGATATGATATACCTGAAGGGAATAGCGACGGGGTGGGTCTTGTGAACTGTAAGTGTACTTTCAGTTCATAATATCGTGTAATGAAGGTGGCAGAAAGAGAAATTCCGGGAAGTATATGTCTCGGAATATGAATAGACAATGCATTTATATTGCTAGTTTTTCTCAATGTCTGAGATAATCAGGCTAGAATAGTGACGTTTACAGTCGCTAGGGTTTAGACACAAATCGCTTAAGTAAATGTAAATTCATGTAGTAATATACTTTGTACCAGAGGCTAGTAAGCAGAAAAGCAATGCCATAAGATACGAAAACACTTATATACTGACACTGTCTATGCCTAAACGTGCCTTCATACATACCAAAAACTTCAGTGTCTGGGTAGGTTCCTATCAAGATTTAGTATATTGAGGTTAGTACGCAATGATTGATCAATACGTATGTTTAATCCGCACCTTACCCGCAATAGGCCACCTGACGTCCCGAGTCTCACGAACTAGATTCCATCTCATATCTCCATCTTACCGGTACTACTTCACCCACATATTTACACACACTCTCTTTTTGATATTGAAGTCACCACTCAACTTAACATAAGTCTTTGACAACGCATTGACCAAATATCGACAACTATGAGCGACATGTCCCGTCTTGATCCTCGTAGGCTCAGTAGTCCAGCGCGCCGGGCCATCGCCGGGCTCGCAGTAGAGATACCCCTGGAGCACCGTGGCGTGATGGCTATCCGCTTCCTTCTTTTTATAGCCCTCTTTATCTTTGGCTTCACATATGCCAGCGCACAGCCAAGAGTCTATCACGACATTCTCATCTGGAAGCACAATGCCACCCCGCCTCACACTGTCTATATATACCGCAACACAACATCGTGGGCAGATAGCAGGGGTTCCAGCAGTGGTATTGCAGACGGTGGTGATGATGATGATACGACTCTGTTCGGAAGCTTTCTGTGGAATAAGACAAGATCTCCAGGATCGGGGGCACGTATTTGCAATGATACCCGTTTCGCAAATGCAGAGTACGGGATTGCGTGCGATGGTACCAGCTGGTCGCAGGCGAACAGGATTGGATTTGAGGATTCGTTGGGGTTCAGAAGGGAGGGTGAGAAGAAGGGTATCTTCTATATTGATAGATATGTGTTCTGGATGATAATTGTGTTTGTGAGTTTTTCCCTGTACACAATGTGATGTGCGCGAGGAGAAATGCTTATAATTATGCGGCCACCAGGGAGGTGTTGCTGTGGGGCATTGTCTTATTTGCCTGTGCCATTCTTTACAGCCCGAAGGAATTGCTTTCTACCGGTCAGTGCCCCCACTAACACCAAAAAGTTGCGAGTTGATCTGACAGAGAAGACTCTAGATATGAAGTTATTATGGATTGCATCTTAGCATTAGCCTTCCTATCTCTAGGCATCCTTCCGCTAGCATGGCTACCCTCAGGAAGGCTTGCAGGAAAGGAAGGACCTCCCGAGAAATGGAGCTACAACATAACCGACCAACTACTGAGCAACCGCCCAGACCTGAAAACAGGTACCGTGATGGGCTGGCTATGCTTGTACGTATATCCTCCCAGTTTGTTTCTCTGCATTGCCTAAACTAACGTCAACTCCTAAAATCCTAGTATCGCATTTGGCGCCCTGATTGCGCTCAACATGATACTCATCGACGACCTAAACATGTTTGCCAAGATCATAGAGAGAACACAGAGCCAGACACAGGGGCGCACTCTCCATGACGATATAGTCGAGCGTGTCTCCGAGTTTGGAGCAGTCGGTAATACCGGCAACTACTACCTGCAGCGCCCTGCTGCCGCTACGCCGCGAAGAAGGGCTTCGGGGGGTAACTGTGTTTAAGAGGAGGTTTCTTCCCGGATACGCATGCGGGAGCTGTCTTATGGCGTATATTTTTTATCGAAACTAGCCGTGGATAGGCCTACATGCACCTTTGCGTTGCTTTAGGTTTTAGACATGGCCGTCGGTTATACTAGTCTTAAAGAACTTAAAAGAAATAGATTGAACGCTTTTTCTCCTTCTTTTTTTTTTCAGTTGATCAACTTGCTCCGTTTTTTTCGCTATCCTTTTTTGAGGGCGAGTGAATCATGATGTATCACTCGCCATACTACTAAGTACCCAAGATGCGCAATTATATCTTACTTACACCCCCCACCCCCCTCGTCTCTACTCAAGCGCCCATGGTGATCACATTGTGAAAATGTTCGCGATGATACATTTCTACATAAGCCGTCCTATAAGAAATTTTGTAAATGCGAAAAGTACATTCTAGTACCAACCCCATATTTTTTTGTTTAATTCATTCCTAACCCCATATGAGAAATAGGGTCGACTCCAGGCCCCCCATCATCGAAAAATAAGGGAGAAGAAGCGCAAAATGGCAACGAAGAAGAAAGAGGCACGCACACCAATGAGCAAAGAGAAGAAAAAAAGCCATATAAAACCTATAAAAACCCTACAAGAACAGCAAAGCAAAAGAGAAGAAAAAAAGAAACCCCAACGAAAACCCAAAGCCCAAAAGAAAAGCCAAGAAAAGAAAAACAAGTCCAACCCCCCCCCCTCCTTCCTCCTCCCCACACAACACTACACTACAACGTCGCCGCCCTCTCCACCCCCACCCCCCCACAGTCACCCCCCCGTATCTCCACCGTAAACACCACACACCCACTCGTCTCCACCACCACCTCGTCACCCGCCAAATGGTTACTCGTGCTCACCAGCCCGCCAAACCGCGTCTCGGCGTCCCGCAGGTTCCACCGCAGCCCCTGCGTCGTCACCGTCGCCGCGCCGCCGATCGGCAGGATCCCGCATGTGAGCCCGAGAAGGTGCCGCGGGGTGTAGATGATGTGCGAGCCGGGCGTGAGGAGGAAGGTGATGTTCTCGGAGGAGACGAGCGTGAGGCGCCGCGTGGGGCGGGTGTTGGCGGATGTGTGGAGCGCTTGTATCTATCCCGCCAATCCCAATTAGCCATCTACCAGCGCAAGACGCAAAGAAAAGGAAAGGGGAGGACACAAACCGAATGTAAACTCTGATCCACCCTCCCGCCCCACCCCCCCAGCGCAACAACGGGGATGGGGCTGTGCGTGGCGGAGACGCGCACGCCGCGCCAGCCCTCGAGCGCGTCGTGCGTCTCGGTGAACTCGGGCGACTGCAGGCCCGTGTGCTGGCTGATGTAGTCGAGGCACTTGCCGAAGTCGGTGCTGTCCTGGTCGGGATTCTTGAGGACTGGTACGCCGTGGGCGGCGTAGTAGGCGTGGATGGAGGGGAGGAGGGAGTCGAGGTCGCCGACTATTGCGTTTGGGAGCTGTGGGGGGGGGGGGGGTGTTAGTTGGGATGGGGGATAGAGGGGGGGGGGGGGCAGGGGAGGTACCATGAGTTCGCGGGCGGCGTCGGTTTGTAGTGCCGTGTAGAGGCGGTTTGCGCCGCCGTCGGCGCAGACGCGGAAGCTGCCTGTGGCCGGTCGGGTGTTAGTACTAGCTACTGTTATGAAAGTGGTACAAAGTGGGGGGGGGACAGAACTGTTTGCCCAGATGTTCTCAAACAGCTCGAGGTCGGTAATCTCCTGGTTGAGGATCAGCAGGGCAAAGGGCCTGTCGTCGTCGTCGTCGTCGTCGTCTGATCTGGCGGGGTCGATGTAGCGGGCGGGATCCCAGACGGTGGGCGGCTTGGAGGGGGAGCTGCCCATTGTTTTTCTTCTTTCTTTCTTTCTTTCTTTCTTTCTATCCTATTCTGTTCTATCTTCTGGTTGGTGCCAGTAGTATGGTGGTTGTGGGTGTTGGTCCAGCACCCGATAGAAAGTATTACCCCAGACACCCGCTATCCCCCCAGACATCCCCTATCTAATCTAATCGCATCCATCTAATCACGGCCCCCGTGCTTAGAAATGCTCTGTGCAGGAGATGCCGCAGCCAGGAACATCTCTCTCTGCCGCCACAACGCACAATCACCACCGCTCACCACTTATATCTCTCCCTCCATCCAATTGATCTCTCCCCCCATCCAATTGATCTCTCCCCCCGATACAAGAGAAAAGAAAACAGAAGAAGAAGAAGAAGAACCAGCACAATGTTCCGCCCCGCCGCCGCCGCCCGCTCCCTCCTCCTCCGTCATGCCTCCTCCTCCTCCTCCTCCAGCACCACCAGAACCGCACTGCTGCTCCGAAGGCCCGCCACAACACCCTCCAGCCGCCTCCTGAGCACCTCCTCCGCCGCGCCCAGCAAGAAACGCAGCACGCTCAAGGGCACGGCAACGAGGTGGGCCCTGGCTGCAGGAATCGTCTACTGGTACACCACCTCCGCCGTCTTTGCCGACGAGCCTAAATGTCTGTCTCTCTCCCTCCCCCTCCCTCACCCCCTCCACCGCACAGCACATAGCTAACCCCACCACCAGTCGAAGAAGAACGCCCCGCAGGCCCCACCGAAGCCGAAACCGACCGTCCCGCCTCCCTCCTCCCCACCACTCCCATCCGCCGCTCCAAGATCCCCCCCCATCCACCTCCGCCACAGGCGAAGGCGAATCCGCCTCCCCGCGCGCCGCCGCCGACGAGCTCGAAGAAGAAGCCTCGCAGGAGGGCGCCTTCAACCCCGAGACGGGCGAGATCAACTGGGACTGCCCGTGCCTCGGTGGCATGGCGCATGGCCCCTGCGGCGAGGAGTTTAAGGCTGCCTTTAGCTGCTTTGTGTTTTCGACCGAGGAGCCAAAGGGCGTGGATTGTGTGGATAGGTTTAAGGGCATGCAGGCGTGCTTTCAGAAGGTTTGTTTGTTTGTTTCTTTCTTTTCTTTTCTTTTTTTTGGGGGGGGGGTGGAGGTGGAGGTGGAGTGTAGGACAGGAGCTGACAGCATAATAGCACCCAGAGATCTACGGCTCCGAACTCGACGACGACGACGACGACGACCTAGACGCCGACACCGACGCCGACCCCACCTCCCCCGCCACCACCATCCCCTCCACCGATCCCCTCGCCGCCAAATCCTCCCCAACCAACACCGGCCGCCCCGACCGCTCCGACTCCCTCTCCGCCTCTTCTTCCCCCGGCTCCGCCGCGTCAACCGGCTCCGTCCCCGCCCACACCGGCACCGCGCCCGCCACCAGCAGCAGCAGCGCCGCCGCCACCCGCGCCGCCGCCACCCGCGCCGCCGCCACCCGCGCCGCCGCCACCCGCGCCGCCGCACCACCAGCAGAGGTGACAGAGCGCAAGACTACACCAAGTCTCGCGGAGCCGAGCTCGTCGGTGCCGGAGACGCCGGTGCTGCAGGGTGCGCATCGGGGGGATGCGAAGGCGCGGTCGGTCAGTGATCCGCCGACGGAGAGGGAGAAGGCGGTGGCGGAGGAGGATGCACCGCGGAGGAAATAGGTGCTGTGTGGGGAGTGTAGGGGGGGGGGGGGGGGTTGTTGGACCCCCGGGGAAAAAAAAATAGAAGATGTAAGAGAAGATGTAAGGTACGACAGGCAAGCAAGGCCAGGCACGATTTTTAGAGACGCAGGCGCAGGTACAGGCGCAGGTATAGGTACGCGGTTTGTAAAAAAAAAGCCAAAAGAAATTCAAAATTATGTGTATATTTATCTCCTTTCCCTCTCTTATACTTTCCCTCATTTTTTTTTTTACATACACCATCCCTTAGATATATAAATAACACAATGGCCCCCCCCGTGGGTTGTATATAAATACACAATACACAAAACCTCTCTCTCCCACACACCCCGCTTGTGAAAACACTTCCACACCCCCCCCCCCCCCCGCGCCCACCGTCCAATCCCACCGTTCCATTCCATACACTCTAGCGGCCGGATTGAAGCCGCTCACACACACAAAAAAAAAAAAAAAAGGGGGTAATCGATCTGAATACTGCAAAAACGTGAGCTCTTAGCCGTTGCCAGATCACTCGCCACAGTTCTTTGAGCGGCTCCAAAGCGGCCGCGCGAGTACGTATAGCATCCTTCACACGCCATCACTCGGCCCCGTCATGAGCTGTCATTCGGTGGGTTAGGTCTAGGGTTAGGGATGCTATTTGGCTTCCAGTGCGTTGCATACATACTATGGGAAGGGGGGAATCCCTCTAATCCAGCATTTATTCGGGCCGTGTCTCTTCTGCGTGGGATAGTGTGATGCGCACGTGGCTTTGGGACAGCAGGAATATGGTCGAAATATATGTATATGGGGGATTATATTTCGCTCGGTGCTAAAGATTGTTGAGCTAGGGCTTTTTTTTTTTTTTTTTTTGTTGTTTAATTCATTAATTGAGCTAGGGCTGTTACCAGTACTGCTGGGGAGATATATGGGTTCTGGTAGGAGCCGCGCGCCGTGGGTACGTACATGTAGCTTTGGTGTGCATATGGTTTTTATATCTCTCCCGCGCGGTCTCGTATTCTCTTGAATCTAACAGCGCCCCCCCCCCCCCCCCCCCCCCCCGGGGGGTCCCAATGGCGTGACTGGGGCTAGTGGCTCGACACGTATTCGCCCCATCGACATACCGCCGGTGCTCAAGCGGCGGCGTATCTCCGATCCCAGGCACGTCCCAGACGAAAAAAATATACCACAAAATCAGAGTGGTAAATAGATAGCAGCTTCTTGGCAGACGTATGGCGGCTTCTAGACAGATATCAGCCGGCCTATAGCTGTCAATGTAGTGAGAAAGCAGCTCATAATCATGCGCGAATAGTTAGCTATGTAGAGCGGCCCTTCTATGCTGGACTGGAAGGCTATGCGGGACATATTCTGTGGGGTATCACTTGCTCGCCCGCCCGCGAACAGGAAGTTGTGGTTCCGGCACAGAAAGCACCGGTACCCCCGGAGGCTGTTTAAAACAGAGCCGTTTTTGGTACCTTAGTTGGCGAAGGAGCAGCTAGCCAGGCCTGGTCTGGACGGAGGAAGAGAGACTACCTACTCTGTTACGCTACATGGCTTGCTGTGCATGTGTCCTGCGTAGCGTAGGTAAGCCGGCACCGTTGGCGGCGGGTACTGGGTACACGCATCCTCCTGGAGATGAGGTTTCCCGTCCGCAGGCAGCTCACTCGGAAGCTTCGATCCTAAATGGCGTGACTAGCAACAAATCCGGTGACTACCCCCCCCCCCCACCGCACCCGCACACCTACTCCGCCAGCTGCCTGGAATCACCATCTCTCGGCCCAGCCGGTCTTTAGCGGTAGGAGGTGAGGGTAGTAAATGCCCCGGGAGGCGGGAGGGCGGCGGGATGTAGCGCAGCGGATACACGCCGGGCCCAAGGTTCCGTGAAGTTTGAATGCGGCACCGCACGCTATCTCCTTCTAGCTATGCTGCGGGGAAGACATGGTCTTCACTCGCCATAAATCCCGGCGGCACGGGGCCTGGGCATACAGCAAAACCTATCATAATTCTACCCACGTGGTGGCCGAATTTTGCTGGAATTATCGTAGGGATGGAATTTAGAGAGAGGTATTTGTTAGCAAACTAGTATACAGGTATCGTTCCCTCCAACCGCTGGAAGTTTGGTAGGGATGGAACTTCGAGGGGGGTGGAATTATGATAGGTTTCACTGTACCTACTCTTTGTCCCCCCCTCCAAGATGGGAGACAGAAGTCAAGTTCCCGGTCCTCCGGAGCCGTAGCTAGGGCCTTAATTCAGTTCAGCCAATTTTTCTTTTGTAAGACCTACGAAAAAGGGTCTCTCGAGCGCGCAGCAGTAGAGTGTATATAGGTACTACACGTCTGTAGGTTTTCAGACCCCAGACCCCGAACCCCTCTGTCTACAAACCCTCTGCCACGAACTATCTTAGACGGGCCAATCCATGAATTAAAAAAAAAAGGAAAGAAAAGAAAAGAAAAGATCCTAGACGGAGTAGTGGCTCGAGTGAGTACCTATGTGCCAAGACCTAGACCATCTATTGTCCTCTCGATAGTATCAGCATAGTCTCATACCCATCCCCTACTCGCAGCGGGCTGTCTTGGAAGTGTGAAAGCAGACGGGTTGGGGGACGAGCCTAGTATCAGCGTAGGTAGCAGCAGGCTTTTGCACGGACCCGGAGGGGGGGGCGGGGAAGAGAAAGAGAAAAGAGACACGGCGCCATGTCTAGCTAGACAGCCGTACCACACATAATATGAGAAGCCATACGGTACGTCAGAGTATCACACGAGCAGCATCTACCCATCTCCGCGGGGTGAAGTCGAATAAGGTGAAAAGATGCTAAGCTGTATTCTTTTCGCGAATTTCTATTCGTTCGTTCAATCATCCCCCCCCCTATGCAGCGTAAACCTATTACGGTTTTCAGTGCAGCTGTCAAAACTATTGTTCGATGTCTTAATATAACAGGGAAGGCGTTCGAATCATAGATGTTGGAAAGACACCACCCATCTATGGTGTGGACCTTCCCTTCCAACAGAGAGCGCGCGACCTTGGCTACACGTCTAAGACACCCGGATTTGGGGGCCTAAAGTTTCTTTTAACGACAATAGTCCTGGAAACTGTAATGTTTGGGGCGGACATTACATACATGTACAGGGAAACCCATCATAATTCCACCCCCCTCGAAGTTCCATCCCTACCAAACTTCCAGCGGTTGGAGGGAACGATACCTGTATACTAGTTTGCTAACAAATACCTCTCTCTAAATTCCATCCCTACGATAATTCCAGCAAAATTCGGCCACCACGTGGGTGGAACTTATATGATAGGTTTTGCTGTATGTAATGCTAAAAGGTTAGAGAGGGCGTGTCCGGACAGGTAGAATGAAGTATGTATTCAAACGGAGGTTCCCCCACAAGCAGTCGAGCAGTAACTAACTGATGCGAGATATTGGTTATCGACTAGCATATGGAGACATACCGATACTGCGCACACAAGTGCAACACAAACCGAATACATACACAGCGATAGAATCGATGGGACACCAACAGCCTCACCTAAACAGAACCCCAGTGGGAGAAAAAAGTACCCTTCACCCGCCTCTTCCCCCACAGGTTTCAAAAGTAAGCACATCAGTATAAATAGCACTATTGCACTTTCACTTACCCAATGCCCCGATCGGCGGTCTTGTTCCTCTGCTTAAGCGGAGCAAGACATTGCCTGAGTCGACTGGGGCTCCTCGAAGCACTCGCCTAATTTAAGGAGATGTCAGATCATCATATCATCATCACTGGTACTACTGACACTGCTCTCACTGACAACAACCATTCACGAAAGTTTATAAGCTTAAGTACATACGTACCCACTGTCAAAATAGTTTGCGGGGTTTCTGGTACATACACGTACATAAACCGAATTAATTCGCTTACTTATCAGGCGATATGCACTTTCCGACAGCGCCTCATCAGGGATGAATTCGGATGTCAGACCTGCAGGTTATTGCAACATGGAAGCCTCGTCCAGGACTCTGGTGAATTCTCAGATCCTTACTAAACTAAAGATGGGAATTGTGGTAGTACATACCACGGTAGAAGAAAACTCAGCCTGATCACTAGTGGTCGTACCCTGGCTCTTGAGGTCTAGGTTCACCGAATTGAAGGCTGGTATCAGCAAAGTGTTCATAATCGCCCCTGTTTCATTGGGCGAACGTATTGGGTACATAGAGAAGTATGTGTTTGGGGAAGTACGTGTTTGAGGACCCTCAAGCCACTGACCCCTGGGGCACGGCGGGAAATTGCTATGCCGAAACTACCTTGCACATATCCAAACATTTAATCAACCCCCAAGACTCTATATAATATGTAGATGCGTGTGGTTTCACTGTCTTCTTGCCGTTCCTAAAATGCTCATCGACTTCAACCCACAAGGTATCACTCAGCGATCCTACGTTCTTACGACCACTGTCAGCACACGTGCACAATGAACCGAGTTTAGACATCCCCTTACTTCTGTTCAGTCATGGCTAAGAACGATATCGATATTCAGCCATATCCTCCACCAGCCACCGACCCAGGAGTTACTGGCCCAAGTACTCCTCTGCCTGTATACGTACCGGAGTATCCTTTAGTTGGGGAAACCGAGATTCCAAAATTCCTCAGCGCTCAACTTCTTACTCAAGATTTAAACGAGATTTCCACATGGCTATTGCTCTTCCAAACGCCAAGCTCCAATATTTCGCCCCTTCATCATCAAATTGTCCGTCAACGGGAGATTGTAATAACAGAAAAGATGGGGTTGCATCTACTCTGGCACAAAAACAGAATTTTTATCAAGCCATTGCCTTCATATCTGCTTGACGATAAGTTCCGAGAAAAGTATGTGGATAATAATCCAAGCCTAAAACTAGCTGTTCGCGGATTCCTTCATTCATATACATGCTTGATTCAAAGTCCATCCGACATGGATATCGCCGTCGAAAAAAAGCTACTACCAAAAGGGGCGATCAATGAACCGGATAAACTTTTCAGGCTTTTGAG